AAAGAAGAACGTAGTAATTTTTTTTTTTTTTTTTTTTTTTTTTTTTTTCTTTTGGGTAAACATCTTCATTATTCTTTTTTTGTGTTTTTTTTTTTTTTTTTTTTTTTTTTTTTTTTTTTTTTTTTTTTTTTTTTTTTTTTTTTTTTTTTTTTTTTTTTTTTTTTTTTTTTTTTTTTTTTTTTTTTTTTTTTTTTTTTTTTTTTTTTTTTTTTTTTTTTTTTTTTTTTTTTTTTTTTTTTTTTTTTTTTTTTTTTTATCCCTATGTTTAAATTTCTTTATTCGTTTCCTCGCCTTAAATTAAAATGACTAGCATGTGTTTGCTTAAAAATATAAAAGTTCAAAAATTAGTTGATCCTCTATTCCTACGTTTTGTCTTTCACAACTATTTAATTATATATAAGCAATCAAATTTTACATTTTTTTTTTTTTTTTTTTTTACTATTTTGTTTTCTACTAGTTTTTGTGAAAATATTCCACGATGAGTTATTTTTATTCTAATGGTAGCAGACGAAAGTATGGTAAAGAGATGGCAATATATCATAAGAAGAGTACATTATATTTCTACGTGAACATAAGCTAATTTCAGAAAAGTTGGGTGCTTTCCCATTTTTATACATGTGTATGACTCTCTACTTCTTTTCATGGGAGTAATTTCAACACGTGGTTCTTCCATACACTTTTTGGTATATTAATATTCTGCTTGTACTTAATATTTTTACATACACATAAATTATGTGTATTCTTACGAATGGTAAATACTATAGTTGATAAAACGTGAAAAGAGGCTTGCATGTTTTTTTTTTTTTTTTTTTTTTTTTCTCCTTGCACATTATATATATCCCTGTGTATGTTTTATTTTTTATGTTACATGTGCCATGTACATGTTTGTGTAAACAAGTGCAATTACATAATAAGTATTGTACATACATGCGTACATACGTACATATGTACATATATGAATGTATATATAATTCATATATGCATAAGCTCATTGTGTATATCACATAATCTACTGAAAAAAAAAAAAAAACCTTGAGTAAATAATTAGGACAATCAATATATTGGAAACGGCACGAATTTTTTTTTTAAAAAAAAAAAAAAATGCGCCAATGGTGATTATATTATCGTAATTTTTATCAAAATTTGATACTTTTTATAATTACACTATATTTATTTATTTTTTGTTTCTTCTAATTGTTTTTTTTTTTAGCATAATGCTTTACATTATAAGAAATTTTTTTTTTTTAAATTTTAGCAAACCTTATGAAAAAATAAAATAGAATTCCAAGAAAAAAAAAATACCAAAAAATGTGACTTCATATTTAAAATATGTTTTGGTAAATTTAAAGATAAAAGTGAAAATAAGAGAACAATAAAAAAAAAAAAAAAAAGGAAAAAAAATGGTAAAAAAAATTTGCTTGTTTAAAAGGCAGGAAGAGACAATAACATACGCCCATCAACCCTTTTTAATAACTGGAATGGTAATGCAAATGTGTGATACAAGATAGGTGTGTATAACTTTCTTTCTACCACCTGAAGTTGTGTGTCATTTCTTAGTCTTTCCATGTAGAAGTTATGCATACACATATTGAAAAAGACACTATGGTCAATTAAAACCTTAAACAGATTTTCCCATCAGTTCGATAAGCTAATTTGCAGTCGTATATATATATATATATATATACATACATACATGCATGCACTTACACCTTTAAGGGATACTGGGTAAATACTTACCTTTTAAACAAGAGGACAAATTATTACCCATAGCCGGTTATTATACAGAGTAAGTTTTAATTTATTTTATTTTATTCCCCAAGCTCCCCCCCTCCCTTTTGGTCATTACGACACACGAACGTTAATTTTCCTAAGACATTACGAAAATAAATTAAGTAATAATCTTTTAAATGTCTTTGGTATGAAGCGATAATTTTATACATAATAAAATAAGTTTGAAATAAATTTTGAATTTCAGCTCTATATATTTTATTATTCTCAAGAATAGAAATATCCATGTGTATAGTTTGTTCTGTTATAACTTTTTAGTACCATCATGTGTAATTTATAAAAAATAAAAACAAAGAAAAAAAAAAAAAAAAAAAAAAGTCCTTGTAGTCAAAAGTAGAAAAAGAAAAATAATCACAAAGTCGAATGTAGTATTTATGTCGTGTGTTATTTCTAAATAAAAATATAAAATATATAATTTAAATGGTATTAGAAAAATGTCTCACTTTAGGGGCTTATTTCATTTTTTTTTAGTACTATTTTTAAAGATGATGATTCTTCACTCTGCAGGAAAATTCCTTTTCCCACATTTAAAAAAAAAAAAAAAGAATATCAGATGGAAATTCTAGATTCTCTCTTTTAGTGATGTTACTTTGATTCATACTTTGATTCATACTTTTATTCATATTTTGATTCACACTTTTATTCATATTTTGATTGACACTTTTATTCATATTTTGATTGACACTTTTATTCATATTTTGATTCACACTATTATTCATACTTTTTTATTTTTTTCTTTACATATTTGTGCATTAGTTTGGGAAAGTTGTGCACTTAATACCTTCAGCTGTTTATCAAAATTACGAATTCTTTTTTCCCTACTCAACGTAATAAAGAGTTGTAAAATGGAGCAGATAACGATATATAAATTATTTATTTAGAGGAGAAAAGTAGTACCAAAAGGATTTAAAAGGATTATAAACTTTAGAAGGCATATTGAAAAAATAACATTTAAGCCACCTTAGCACAGTCGGTAATGCGTTTGATTCGTAATCAAAAGATCGTGGGTTCGATTCCCACAGGTGGCTCTGTTCTTCCTCTCCATGTGGGTTGTGTATGCAGGTTGCGGTTTATATGATTTCTGGATTTTGTTTCTATTGAGCCATAGTGTTTGGTGTTAAATTTTTTAGTTTAAATAAAAACACCATATTTTAAATAAAAATAGTTCAGTGGAGGCAGAAAATAAGTGTTTTCTTTATTTAGTATATAATATATATATATATATATTATTGCTTTTTTTTTTTTTTTTTGTCGCATGTGTAAGAACAAACACTAACTTCTGCACCTCGAATGTGTGAATGGCAAAAAAAAAGAAAAAAAAAATTACAAATAAATAGCTACAAAAAAAAAAGAGAAACACTCACTTTACTAAACTTATTTTTTGAACATCTGGAGCATGAACACCTAGAGGTGAATATAATTGAAAGTATTTATTTTTTTTTCTGAACATTCTTAATATAGATAAGTGTCAGTTTTTATGCATATTTAAGTTGTGAAAAATTCAGCTGTGGAAAAACAACTGTCATACCCCAACTGGACGTTAACGTGTGTATTTTGCATAAGTTTGGGATTTATAGTTTTAAATGTGGAATGGTGTTTTTTTATTTTTTCAACCATTTGGGATATAACATTAGAAAGAAAATTAAAATAAAATAAAAATAATTAAATAAATAAAATAAAATAACACAGAACCTTAAATTACTTATTAAAGCCACAAAAACATGCTTCACCTCGTGGTTGCAATAAATCGCTTTAGCGCCTTAATTAATTTTGGTAGATTTAATTAAAAAAATAAGATTAAAAAAAAAATAAAAAAAAAAAAAAAAAAAAAAAGGTATATATGTAGTACAATATGTGGATGACAAAAGGGTGTATTACTATTTTTATTTTATTTTTACTATATAAAGACTCCTTTTTAATGATGTTATGAAATTCGTTTTCTAGTTTTTTCAACCCTGTATAATAAACATGGAAAATGGTTAAAAATGTTACTATAACGACAATGACAGCTCAACAAGTATAACATTTTTATGTTATATAGCTAATGCTGCATGGACACACTTTATACTTCTGTCTTACCTTTTCCTCATATATTATATACCTTATGAGGATGTTCAAAAAAATGTAAATTAAATAAAGTGTACAAAAAAAAATAAATAAAATAAAATGAAATAAAAATAAGGAAAATTTCGAAAGAATAACTAAAAATTTAATAAAAGTGTCAGTAATAAAAATGTATGATTGTTCATGTTTATTAAAAGAGGTTATCAAATGGGAGAAAAAAAAAAAAAAAAAAAAAAAAAAAAGGGCGGAACGGATGTCTGATGTGATTTTTCATTCCAGAGTTAAAAAATGGGCATACAAAAAAAAAAAAAAATAAATAAAAAAAAAATAAGTAAAATAATAAAAAAAAATTAAGTACAAAGTTTAGAGGGTTAAATGGGGACGGATGTAACGAATCAATCGTGTACTGACCCTTACAACCTCTGTTTGCACAGTTGTTACAAATTTTACAAGTGCTTTATTTTTATTAAATTCTCTACCAATTTCACAAAAAAAAAAAAATAAAATAAAATAATAATAAAAAATATAACGAATTGACATATTTTCTACACCATTTTATGTGATTTCTTCTGCATGCTGTGTGTGTGCGTTTGTGGTGGGGACATATGGACAGACCCATATAGAAGACTAACAGAGTAATTCATTTATCTGGATTAATAAGAAGAATATATATTTTTTTTTTTTTTTTTTTCTTTTCTGTGTATATTTTTACTTTCACATAAAATGGGCATGAAAAATTAGTACTTATTGGTGTAGAGGAACTTCTCCAAATCCTTGTATATCGGAGAATCTGGCCCATATGTTTTTATGATGTTTTTTTTTGCCTTGTGAATTAAATTAAGACCTTCCGATTTTAAATCCAGAAATAAGGCGAGTTTTCCAGTTAGAAAAATGTAATAACCATATATGGGGGAATATTTTCCATATGAAACTTCAATAGATTTAAGATATTGATTGGCAATATTATATGCTAATTTAAATTCTTGTAATTGTATAGATATGTATAGAATTTTCGCTCTCATTTTTTGTAATGAATATCTAGTATGATGATAAAATGTTGTTAGATAATCAATTTTTGATTTTATTTTATTTAATGATTGTAAGACTGTTTTATTGTCGTAAGTATATTTTTCATTAAAAAGGGTTTCAAGATGTGTCGTCTCTTTGACAGTTTCTTTTTCTTTTTCTATTAAACTTTTAATAGTATTATCATGTACTTCATTTTTACAAATTGCACATTTCCATATATGTTGTTGTTCAGTAGACTTTTTTAAAATTGGATAAGAATTTTTACACTGATTTTTATTTACATAGCATGTTTTTCTCTCTAATTCGGATATTAAAATAAGTTCCATGTGATTTACAGATTTTTTACAATTCTCAGAATGTGTACATACAAATTGTGTGTTAAAAATGTTGTGACATTCGGATGCAATGTTTACTTTACATAATTTACATGAACATGTAAAGAAATACTGATCCATACAAATGGAAAGTCTTGTATTTTTGTCAAAAGCTATATCTATGTAACTGATTGTTAGCTCATCCCCTGGATATACATCAATCAAAGTTCTTATGAAAAGCTTTTGATTTTTAAATATAGTAACACAGTTACTTAAACATGAGTGATTAAAATATGGGACAGGCTTTTTATAAAATGCTAGTCCAGCTGGTTCTAATTCATTATCAATTATTTGTAAAGTATTTTTAGAAATTTTAACAAATTTTTCTATTACATTTTTTAATATACTTTCATTATCTTCAAAATTCGTAAACATTTTTTTTTTTTTACTCATTAGTGCTACAGCAACTATGTACGCTGGGTATTTAAAATATTCATATTTTTCTTTTGGTAATTCTGATACACTTCCACAGTATTCATAAAAATTGAAATGACTTAAATAACTATTAATAACCATTCTCATTATAATTGTTGGACAAAATTTATCAAAAATGTTGGATTTTAGTATATCACATTCATCTCTATGTAATTTCCACGCTCTCTCCATACATATGTCACTGCAGTATACAACATATTTACAATTCGGGCAATAAACACATTTGTTAAATTTTTCAAAGCAGTAAAAACAAATATTAACCGTTTTGTATTCATTCTTCTTATTATCCGCATCAATGATTCTAGGAGCCATGTACTTAACACTAAGTGGGATGGATATTTCTGGGTGTGCTTCCACTATGCAATACCCTGCACGCATTTGATTAACTGCAACAACACACTTCCCTTTGTCTTCCTTGTAATCAATTTTATACATTTCCTTTAGCCCAATGGAGAATTCAGCAAATAGGAAAATTCACAAACTGGAAAAAACAGACAAAATAATACAGTTGACTTGTTATAACTTTTTCTAAGTTTACCAAGTTTTTCTTTTACTGCTAAATTCCCAACTTCCCTAATGGTGCTGAAAATAGAGTCAGTGAATCCTTCTTTTAATAATTCTATGCCTTTTTATTTTCTCATGGGAAAGGGTGGATGGAGAAGGAAACATAAGAACTATGGTAACGCAGGTTTTTTTTTTTTTTTTTGTATCACCTTTCAGATTAGGTACTCCCTAATCACGTCATATAAGAAAACTATGTTCCTCCTGCCACTTGTTTTAGGAAAAAAAAAAAAAAAAAAAAAAAAAAAAAAAATTTTTTTTTAATTAAAATTTTTAAAAATTAAAAAAAAAAAAAAAAAAAAAAAAAAAAAAAAAAAAAAAAAAAAAAAAAAAAAAAAAAAAAGAAAAAGAAAAAAAAATAAAAAAAAAAAAAAAAAAAAAAAAAAAAAAAAAAAAAAACACATGCATAAAAATGTGCTTGAATAAAAATGTTCCCCCAAATAAGCCTTCTTAAAAATACTGGCAAATAAGCGGGTGTGCGTTTCTACGTATGTGACTATTACCCCAATTGGGAGAGGCTTTTGAAAATTTCTGGGTTTGCTGTTTTATCGTGCTTACGTAAATATGCACTTAATTAATGCATGCATACACATATACAAATATACAAGTTTAGCAAATTTGGGTCTTGATATCCACACAGAAAAAAAAACTTCAAATCCACTAACACCGAAGTGTGGTTCTCCCTGAAACTTCAAATATGAAAAAATAAAAATAAATGCAAAATAAACTAAGTTTTGCTCATTTTATGAGGGATGAGAAGAAGGTGCGTACTCTACGCACTTCACCGCTGCATCATAATTAAGGTTTTTTTCTTTTCTTTTTTTTTTTTTTTGGGGTTGGGGGATTGAAAATAAATAAAAATGTATTTACAAAATTGAGATATATATATATATATATATATATATATATATGTGTACCCCCACATTTCACCATATCACCATTTCACTATGCAACATCTCTCATTTCAGAGCAGAGAAATGAATTTTGACCATCACACGTTTTTGTCCTTAACGAGGTGTTGCAGTTAGTAACATGATGTAGTTTTTTTTTTTTTTTTTTTTTTTTTTTTTGATCACTTCAAAGAGATGTTTATTAAGGGTTAAAGGAGGTCCATCATTTCGGCTTCCTATTTCGGTTTCTGTTTCTGTTTCTGTTTCTGCCTTTGCTCCTACTCCTGCTTCGATTTCTTTTTCTTTTTTTTTTTTTTTACACCAAAATGAGAACAAAATAAAGGCAAAATTGTGGCATTGAGAACTGTGCAGAAATACACAGATAGGCTTAAAATCTGCTTTGGAGAGAAGGGGTGGGGTGGGGGAGACGATTAGGAAGAAAAGAAAACAAGCCATAATATAAACCGGGTGTTAGCATGTTTGAAATCCATGTCTATGTATAGACACATAGAAAATGCACAAGCTTAGTATTAAAGTGAGTTGTTATTATATAATACTAACATGTATAGGGTACACTTGGAAAGGACAGACATTAAGATAGAGTACAAATTCCCAGTGAATGCAAACACAGTTACATGTGCATATATATACTTATATATACACATATATGAGAGAAAAAAAAAAAAAAAAAAGAAACCTTCACTTTGTACATGTTGAAGGTGAGAGACACCAATGTGCATATACATGTAGATTTATCAAAAAAAATATGATCATGGTAATTAGACGGTTTGAGAGTCTTTTGTGTATCCCCCTCAGGAGGTACAATCAGATTACATGTATCTGTAAAAGCTGCACTAAAACGAAAGGAAGAAGAGAAAAGTTTTTTTACACATCGTGTGGATCGAAAGGAATACAGTTGAAGGGAAAAAAATATGAAGAAAATGTTCAAATAGAGGAATTAAAAAAATACTTACATGCTGAAAAAATAAATTTAGAAATTTTTAAAAAAATAACGGATAAATGTATAGAAGAAAATAAGTACAACAACACAAGTGTTGAAGATTTATTACTCCTTTTAATTTTGTTTACAAAACATTATCCAAATTTTAAGCACACATTTGGTGATGAATATTATGTTGAAATATGCAACAAAATATTAACTAGTGTAAAATTAAAAGTACATTATTTATATACGAGTAAAATGCTTATTCATACTATGAACATTTTATTAAATTTAAAATTAATTGATAATGTAATTCTACATGCATATATAAATAAATGTTCCTATTTTTTTAAAAATGAAGAATATGAAATTGAAGATTTAGTTCATTTTCTTTCCATTTTTAGTAAAATACATATTTTAAAAAATGAACCAAAATTCAAAAATTTAATTAATTTAAACTGGATTTTACTCAAAAGTATATGCAATAAATTAACGCACAATTTTGATCAATTCTTCTTATTTTATAAAGATTATACTTACACATATAAGTTAAAGAAAGAAATTAATAACCAAATTAAAAATATACAAAATGGAGGCACACTGAACCGAGGTGCCCATTTCAAATGTCATACACAAACAGACCCTAGGCAAGACAATACATTTAACAGTTCAGATCAATTACACAGGTATAACACGATCCATAATATTCCATTCAGTAAACAAACTCGTATATGTTGTGCTGAAAATAGGGAATTTACGATAAAAAAAAATATGAGACTAGAGAGAAACGATACATTTTCTACTCCCCACATGCGAAATACCCCTCATGAGTGTTCCTCGAATGCAGAAATAGATGCCTTTTCTGAGAATATTAACATTCCCAATCTTATTATGAGAATGGACAAATCGGCCACTACAACTAGCCAATATGACATCCCCAAGGAGGAGCAAAACAAAATATCTAATGAAATTTCCCAAGTGTCTCCCCCAGAGGATCACCCACAGTATTATCTCCTCGAAACATTGCTCAGTATCTGCAATAGTTTAAGAGACCTGAAGTTTGCACACATACCATTATTAAACGAAGTTGCAAACAAATTGAAAAGAAACTTCTTGGATTCGGTTCAGCAAGGGGAGGAAGAAAAGTGTGATTATGAAGAAAATCGCAAGAGTTGTAACATTTTGAAAAAAACCATCCATGGAAAGAAAATTTTTTATATTATGCAGTGCTACCTGTACCTGCAAGTGGATCATCACATGTTATATAAAAGCATTTTAAATACATATAAACATGTTCTTCCAACTTTGAATAACTTAGTGATTCTTTTTTTCCTTTTGTCAAAAAATAAAATATTTCCTTCAAAAACTATTGATATGTTTGATTCAGTATTCACTAGAAAAATAAATCAAGGATTATATGATGAGAAGAATTTAATAATACTTTTAGATTCCTATGCAATGCATAAATACAGAAATGCTTCTGTCATTAAGCTAATACTACTTCGCGTACTGAAAAAATGTACTTTTTGCAAATATAACGAGGGAGATCATTTCTCTCAGGTGCAATCTAAGCATCATCTTAAACACAAAGAAATATATCACAATGTGAGCTGTACGGACGATAGGGGTTGTGTGTTTTATTTCGATGAGACATCTAGATCGAAACGGGAATATAGCTCCTTCCATTCGGAGAGTGACAAAAGCTGCTTCTACTCGGAGCGTGATAGTAACTGCTTCAATTCGAATCTGTGTAGCAGAACGGTGGACTTTCCGGGTAGAGTTAAGATATTCCACAGCTTGTTCAAATTAGACATATATGAAGAAGAATTCATATCTGAAATGTGCAGAGAGATAATAAATGAAGATAATATAAATTCTCTAGGATACAGAGAGTTGTCCAAATTGCTGTTAAATATGTGCTACTTCTCCATAGAAAATGTAGATGCATACAACTTAATAATTAAAAATTTAATAAAATATGACATAATTTTAGATAATATATATCTTACTCAGTTGAAAATATGTGAATTGGCACTAAGGACGAGACATGTGCCAAATGTGTATAATGAGCTCGATACCGAATGTATTGAATATATGAATTATATAAAAAATAAAGAGAAAGAGGCACAGTATCATATTAAATCAGATTTACAAAAAGAGATTAAAAACATCCTCCTGACATTCAATGTATGCATGTCTGAAGAGGTACCCCTTGGTCCATACGACGTCGATTTTGTGCAAGAAGATGAAAAAAATTCTCATGAGACGCACAATTATATTCTTCGTAGAAATGGAAATATATCCACATCCCAAGTTGACATAAATCGGTGTTATTCCAAATTCGATGAGGAGCATGCATCTCATTCGGATGAGCATGGTGCAGCGTCTCGAGAAGTGGAAGATAGCGTCTTCTTAAGAGAAAATAGGAAACACCAAAGTTGCAGTGAAAATCAAAAGAGGAATAAATTAATCATAGAGGTAAATGGAGAAAATCATTTTTATAAAAATACAAAGTCATACACCGCGCTTTCAAAACTAAAACATAAGTTGTTAAGAGACCTTGGATATACAGTGATTAATATCCCATATTTTGAATGGGGTTTACTAAGAACGAATTTAGATAAAAAAGCTTATATTAAAAAATTAATATCTAACAATCTTAACTTTGAAGTAATAAATATTTTACCCCTTAATCAGAAAAATGAGCCATTAGCCAAACACGAAATGTCCAAAGTTGCCTCAACCATTCAGCGATGCAAAAGCAAAACACAATTCTTGACGAATATTGCAAAGCTGAGAACAAAAAATAAGTTGACATTTTTAAAGAGGAAAATTAAAAATGTCTGATTTCGTGGCAAAAAAGAGTGGACGCTCTTGCAGGTTTGAAATTTTTTTTCTTTAACGTGGCCAAGTGTGGTTTTTTTTTGAGGCCATCAAGTGTTTTTTTTTTTTTAATGCCATCAAGTGTGGTTTTTTTTTAATGCCATCAAGTGTGGTTTTTTTTTTTTTTTTCTTTTTTTTTTTTTGCTTACCCAATTTGGCTGAGTCGATATGCTTCCAGCACGAATCGGTGCCCTGCGTGAACGGACAAAGCTAGGCTTATAAAGATCCAAATGGATGAAATTGAATAAAGCCAAGCTAAAATTAAATCAAATTAAATCAAATTAAATAAAATGCAATTGCATGATGAGCATAATTTTTGCTTCTCCTTTTTTTTGCTTTTCTATTTTGTCGCTACCACTCTGTGTGTGAACAGCAATTTGTCCTGAAGAGAAAAACTAATTCAACCTGCACATTCTATTGAAGCGTTCAGATTTGGGTCCACATTTCGTGAAGCAAAAGCAATTGATGCATATTCTGAATGCATAAGTGGGATGATTTTATGTAGCCTTAAACATTCATACACACCTCTGAGATTATTGTCAAATGGGGACACAGTTCCCACATGTTTGCAAGAAATCGTGTATTAATATTATAGTACTTATTAGATGTGTTCAAAAAAAGTACACTCTTTAATTCAAAATGCTCAAATTGCATCGTTGTGATTTTAATTTTCCTAGCTTGGTCTACCCGGTTGGGCGTAAAATAAGTGTCTACATACCTGCCCCATCACATATCTTTTTGTCATTTTTCGATTGAATATTAAAAAATATATATATTCACACGTGTATATTCACATATATATTCACATATATATTCACACGTAAATATGCACACGTAAATATTCACACGCATATATTCACACGTATATATCCACATATATATAATTCATGGGCACTTGTCCACATCGGTTTTGGGTCTACTTTGAATGACGTATAGTACACACAAGGGACCTAGACACACTGCAAGGAGACCATAATTACGTGAGTAAAAAAAAAAGTGGGGAGGGGCCGAAAAATTGGCCAAATCTTATGTCAATCGTTGTGTCAATATGAACACCCATTTATTTGCACACTTCTTAAAACGAAAGTGATGTAAACTAAGCGAAGCAAATGGTGACTTGTGAGATCAATTGCTTGCTTCATTTTTTTTTTTTTTTTTTTTTTTTTATAAAGTTGGATAAACCAGGAATGGTTCCACCCGTGCACGAACTTGTTAGGTGACAGATATGTGGGGATCAATAAAGTGAGAATTATATTTAAATGCACATTCATACATGCATATACATATGGTACATATATATATATATATATATATATATATATATATATATATATGTACCATATGTATATGCTCACGTAGACGCAGATGCACAGAAGGGCAGCTGTGCAGAAGCGTACATATACACAATCTTAGATGTGCACAAGCTTCGATGCAGAATTCAGAAATTGTCAATGTCCTCTTGGAAATCCACGTCGTCCTCTGGAATTTTATCCTCAGTTTGATAATTCTTAAACGTGTTATAGCCATATGTATTTTTATTCGAGACAACTCCCTCTACTATAGGACCTGCGTAATTGGGATGAATTCGAAGAACAACATTTTCAGTATCTTGTTCATTGACTTCGGATAATAGCTTCATGTCCTGGTTTATCAATCTTTGAATAATTTTTTTCAATTTGTAAATCCATTGATCCACGTGTTCAGTGGATTCAGCTTTTGCATACACTTGGAGATAGGTCTCAATAAGCTGATCCTGTGTAATACTTTCATTATTATTGTTAAATTCATATTCTTTTATAATTTCAAAAATGACAGCAGATATATATTGATATTCACTTGCCTTAATAGTAGTAATTTTTTTATTTTCTGCAGGATTATTTTCGTTCATTTCTGATTGAATAATTTTACTTGTTTTATTATTTAAGATAGAATTACTAACTTTATCAAATTCTTCATCCAAATTTATTTCCTTCTCATTGGATATTTTTTTCATCGAAGCTTTAAATATTGAACAAGCTATTTCGACATGTTTTACATCTACAAAATGAGAAAATTTTAATTTAGCTACTGCTTCACTTAATCGAATGAGAGATTCTAACTGTCTAACTGTCATTCTCATTGATCTCTGTGCACCTGGAGAATATTCAATATTTCTAAAAGATACATAATAATGTATTAATTTATATTTTGCCTCATCTGTTAATAGTGGTTTTACTCTTTTACTTAATTCTAAATAAATTTCCAATTTCACAGTATCTAACTTTCCTGCATTAGCTTTCATATGTTTTTCTGCTTCTTCTCCACAGTGCATAGAAACTAAATGGTTAGCTATATTCGTGTCTTTATCTAAATCTATGCTATCCAACATGGTATAAAATAGATCAAAACGAGAAAGTAATGGTGCAGGGATATTCACATTCTGTGCAAATGTTTTTAATGTATCATATCTTCCATATTTTGGATTACATGCAGCTAAGACGGATGCCCTTGCATTCAGTGTTGCTTGAATACCAGCTTTTGTTATGGAAATGGTTTGTTGTTCCATGGCTTCATGTATTGCTACTCTGTCTTTTTCATCCATTTTATCAAATTCATCAATACAACAAATACCTTGATCTGCATACATTAATGCACCTGCTTCTAGTACAGTATCTCCTTGATCTGGATCCCTATGCACAGCTGCGGTTAATCCTGCAGCTGTGGACCCTTTTCCAGATGTGAATATAGCTCTTGGTGCAAAACTTTCTACATATTTTAATATTTCACTTTTTGCTGTTCCTGGATCTCCTACTATACACATGTTAATATCTCCTCTCAGTTTACAATTAGACGTAATTTTCTGAACACCTCCTGTCATCATTAATAATGCACCTTTTTTTATTTCAATATTTCCCCAAATTTTTGGTGCTATACATTCAGCTAATATATCAACAGTGTTAGGATGCATTGCAATATCTCTCAACCATTTCAAATCATCACAATTTAATATTTCTTCACAATTGATATCTACTTGTGTTTGTTCATCGAAAGAGTTATCTTTCTTTGAATTATTTAATTTCTCAATTTGACATGCATATATACATAACTTATGATTCAAATCTTGTACACCAACCCCTTTAATACCTGTTAGCCCTTGAGAAACTAAGGAATTTTCATTTTTTTTTAAAATTTGTCTAGCTACACTTCTTGGAATATCACCAGGTTTCATTAAAGTAGGAATATCTGGAACAACAATTAAACAACCAGTTACTATAATTCTATCTCCTGCATGTACAGAATCCACAATATCATTTCTTAAAATAACATCCATATTTCTAGGCATGGATCCAGGAGGACTCTCTTGTGCTATTTCTTGTAATCTAATTTTTTGCCAATCCACAAAATAAGACTGTTCTAGTACTAATGCCCAATCATACATATTACTACAACTTGCAGATGGGCATTTACTTGGTTGTGTATATCTAAATTGTTGTTTAACTCCATTTATAATATTTCCACATTCGTTACATTTAAAAGCAGCTAATGTTAACTCTGGTCTAACATCAGATGTTCTGGTTACTTGTCCCCGTACACTTATCATTTCACCAAGCATTTCACATCTTAAACTTCTCAATGAATGAATAGGATTTTTTTTATTATAAAATCTAAGGCATAATTTCCCTACTTCTTTTGTTTTTATAGGATTAATACTTTCTGCTAAGGCTTGTACTTTCTGTTCAAATATGTCTAATATTCTGAGGAAATGTCTTTTTATATACATATATAATTGACTACCTATGTCAAAACGATTCTTATCCGTTGGTTCCCACATTAGTACATGTTTCATATCTACTACCAAGACTTTATTTCTTGAGTATGAATTTTGAAGAATTGAAAAAAGTAATAATACATAATGGGCATCTTTAGCTATTTCTAATGAACTTGGAAAATCGAAATTTATATTGTCTTTCCATACACTATCATTATCTCCATCTTCATCATCATATTCTTCATCATTTTTTTTTTCTGAAAAAGTTTTTAAAAACTTCTCAAATACTTTTGCCATATTCTCATCTTGAACATATGATGGTTCATCATCTTCTTCATCTTCATCCTCTTCTTCTTCTTCTTCTTCTCCTCCTCCTTCTCCTTCTTCATTTTCTCCCTCCTCTTCATCCATTACATCGTTTCTTCCTATATTGGAATTTTCATCGAATTTTCTTTTTTTCTTTTGATAACTGGAGGTCTCATTATGTGCAAACACGCTATGTGCATCAAGGCCAGACAATTCGCTCTCGTTAAATATATCTGACATTTTTTTTCTTTTTTCGACACAGATATATATTATTCTAGATCTTATATATGTGTTCCTTGTGATTTATGTATATGCGCTTCTTGAAACTTTTAATATCTACCCACTTACGTAATCTGCAATTGTATCCTTCAGCCACATTGTTTTGAAAAAAAGGAAGATTCAGATTTGTAAGGGTGTGTGTATAAATGTTAATACAGTATAATGCGTACACACACAAATGAGCAGTATGAATCGTCAAAATGATTTTTTTTTTTTTTTTTTTTTCTCTTGGAAAAAATTTTATCTTACCTTTTTTGTTACTGTATAAAGTGCTCTTAAGCTGCTTTGCTATATGCTGCAACTTATTTTGTGGTAATTTATTTGGCAATTTTTTTTTTTTTTCTCTCTTATTTTTTTATTGATAATTTATTTTCGGTACAGTTTATTTTGTCAGAATTTCATTTTCCTTTTGGAAAATTTTTCACACTTTTTATATTTCTCTTTTCGACTCCAAATATGTTTTTTTTTTTTTTTTTTTTTTTTTTTTTTTTTTTTTTTTTTTTTTTTTTTTTTTTTTTTTTTTTTTTTTTTTTTTTTTTTTTTTTTTTTTTTTTTTTTTTTTTTTTTTTTTTTTTTTTTTTTTTTTTTTTTTTTTTTTTTTTTTTTTTTTTTTTTTTTTTTTTTTTTTTTTTTGTGTTTTTACTTTTTTTCTTTTATTATCTTATTATTATATTATTTTATTATGTTATTATTTTATTGTTATATTAGCTTATTATTTTATTATTATTTTTTTTTTTTTTCTCTCACTTTCAAAAGACTATTTTCTTTTCTCGTTTACACTCACTGGGGTGTAAGCCTTTTCCATTAAAACATATGCAGAGGACATGTTCCTTTTCTCATGAGCATATCGAAGCAAATTTTTTGTTACAGCTGCTATTGTGCTTATGTGTCTGTTCAATTTTGGCTCTCCCTTTCTTGAAGTTATGTTAGGCAAATATACGAAAGCATTTTAAGAGAATATTAGACGACTTATTATTTCTCCTTTTTTTTGATGAATACGCAGATTAGAAATGAGAAATTATTTCCCCCCTATTCCCAATGGTAGTTTTTTTATTTATTTTTTTTTATTTTTTTCGCGTAACTTTTTAAAATTTAAGGGGGAAAAAAAAAAAAAAAAAAAAAAAAATGAGGAAAGCAGACTACTGCATATACACACAACTTGTCATTCAAACATGTAAATACCTATCATATTATATTTCTTCTTTTTTTTTTTTTTATTCTTAAACTAAAAAAGGAGCCTTTAATCAAATGCCACGTTAGCAAAATCGGTTAAAGGTAATTGTTAATTAAAGTGTTCATAATTAAAAAAATTTATGCTCTTGAAAAAAGACAAAAAAAAAAAAATAAAATAAAATAATAATAATTATAAAATAAATATACGTGCATATGCGCCCGCAGGGTGAAAAAATGCCTCCAAAAAAGTTAAGCTATTTTGCTCGCATATACACTTGTTCCTTTACCCATTTGCCTGTTTACATATTTTGCTTCTCCGTGCAACCGTTTCATGTAAGTCGAAACGGATTACACATTCAGAAAAAATAGGAACATGCAATTTTTTGAAAAATATCCGAGGCTACGTATTCACATGGGAGAAAATTGGAAAAATTTGAAGATATAGGCACTACTTAATAGCGGGGCGAAAATTCAAAAAAAAAAAAAAAAAAAAAAAAAAAAATTCTTTGAGACTTATCCATACTACTTGTTGCTTTTGGATAAGTGCTCTACTAGCGTTTACGAATGTTACACCGGAGTCACGTAAACCTCGTGTTGGTATTGTATTTTCACATATATACACAGAGAATTTATCTTGTACACCTATTTTTATCACCTGTTGTGTTCCCCCGAATATACAACACATGTACATGTATATACATGCACCGATTAAGCAGAATTCATGTCCAGAAGAAAACCACATAATCTCCTCATGTTTGGTGGGTACTCAACGATTGTAAAAACAAGAAAAAAAAAAGGGAAAAAAATTTGATCATATTGGTGAACTTCATGTATTACGACAGTAACACACAATCATAAGGGAACATGATTGTGGGTAGATTTAAAAAATTGCAACGTGATAACATAACATACATACAACTGATTGAAACCCCTTTTTAAGCATCCTTTTCCTCTTGCACCTTGAATTTAAAAAGGACTTTTCTTCTTCCAATCGAAAATATCCCCATGCTCGTCATAAAGTTGATACTTATTCGATTTTTTTCGTATACTGTTTTTTTTTTTTTTTTTTTTTTTAACCCTTTGAATACCTTTTTGTGAATCCGTTTCTGATTCCCCATCTAGACCCCTGGAGCCAAAACTTTTCTTTAGATTTTGCAAATTTGCTGACTTTATTTTAATTTCATTCAAAATATGTTCTTTGTCATCAAACTTATCATCATATAAATAATCGATGTAGTTGTTTTTCTTCTCCTCGTAAACGCTTTCCAATGTTTTATATTCTAACAAGATATTTTTTTTCTGTTTTTTAATTTCTCCAATTTTTTGATTAATCTTGTGTAAGGAAATATTTTCTCTTACAAGTATATCTTTTTCTTTATCATCAAAAAATCCTCTGGGAAGATTTTCATATTCATTTGTCTTTTTTCCGTTGTTAGGATATTCTTCTATACGTTTAACATTTGGTGTATTGGGGTGTGCACTTGGTCCCTCGTTTTTTATTTGACCCCTTTTCAAATTTAATAGCTCATAAATTTCGTCTATGTTGAAATTATTGTCATTCTCACTTTTGTCATCGCCTCTATTTTCAATTTTTTTTTTCTTTTTATGAAATTCATTTAATTCTTCGAGTATTTCCATTTCCATCTCTTCATTTTCCTCCTTCTCATCATTGTATGAATCTCCTAAAATGTATTTTTTTTTCTCCACCAAAATTTTGTGTAGGTAATCCAATTCTTCAAAGTACGCAGTGTCAAGCATTTTATAATTTGTTAAGTCATCCAAATTCGTATTTATAATATTCATAACATGATTACTGTTCTGTTCTTCCTCTGTGTCTGTACCATCTCCACTTCTATGAATTATATCCCTGTTTTGGTATATATCCTCCTCATCGTTTTCTCTTCCTTCCACTTGATATTCCTCACCTTGTAACATTTTCCTTTTTTTTTTTATTTTCTTCTGGAATTTTTCATTCTCTATAATTTCTGTACTATCAATAACATTCTCAATAATTTCATATGTTTCTATTACTTCAACATCTGTTTCATTATTCTTATGAAATTCCTTTTCGTTTTGTTTATCCATAAATCCTATTTCTTCTATAAATTGTGATGATGATGCAGACTTATCATACATCGTGTTCTCTTCATTTAATTTATATTGAACGTTAATCATACTAGAACATTCCTCTTCTTTCAACGCTTCAAATTCGTTGCTTTTTTTTCTCCTCTCGCCAAATGTTTTCACAAGGGGGGAGGTACTACTTTTTTCATTATTCCTTTCACTGTTGCTAGGATTGGATGACAGTTGGATGTCGAAAAAATCTGCAGGTAAGTCCTCCACCTTGTCTTGCTTATTGTCATGCTCATATTTTGAAGTGACATCTGAATATTCACTATTCTTTTCATTCCTATAGTCTAAAAAGGCATCCTTAAAATTGTTGTTTTTATTTAGCCTGTTTAACGGTGCAAGAGGTTCGCTGAAATGTACCATTTTGGGAATTTTATTATAACAACTTTTTTTCAATTCCCCATATTCAGCATTCTTTGTCACACGGGATGAAGCATCACTTTCTTCCACTTGATCAAATCCTTCTGTATGATTAAAATCCTCTGTTACCACACTATGTTCATAATTATTTTGAATTTTCAAAAACAGCTTGTCCCCGTGTGGACCTTTGGTGTCATGATTATCTGTACTATCATTCAAACATGAACGATCTTCCACTCGTACCGTCAACTTCTTCGGGACCAAATGATGACCTCCTCCATCGTTTTCCTTTTCTCTTTTCTCTTCATGGTCTTTTATCACCTTTTCCGTTTTTTTCCTTTCCTCTCTTAGTAATTTCCTTCTTTCCTTCTCTTGTTTTATGAGGTCCTTAATGTTTGTACTCATCCTGTCATTCTTCTGTTCATAGGTTCATATGTCGTGCCAATCGGCAGAATTCGCAAAGCCCAGTCATTCCAAGGGAACACAAGTGTGAAATGAACGAAACGAAACAAAAAATAACAATCAAATAATTAAAAAGTAATAAAAAAATTATAATAAAATAATGATAAATAGTAAAAAAATCGTAAAAAAACAGTAAAAAAATAATAATAAAAATCGTAAAAAAAATCGTAAAAAAAATCGTAAAAAAAATCGTAAAAAAAATTGTAAAAAAAATAATTATAATAAAATGTAGGAAAAATAATATACGTGAAAAAAAAAAAAAAAAGCATGAAAACTCGGCTTAAAATATTTTCAAATATAAGAAGAAGCATAAAATTCGCAGCAAAAATGTTCCTGTATGTAATTGTATTCAGATGGAGTCGTAAAATGGAAATTACTCTATATAACACATTCGCTTGAAATACAAGGTGATGGTGTATTTAACAAATGTTGTTAACTAGGTAAATGTGCATATATATACGTTCATGTGTATATGTGTATATTCTTTTCAGATCACTTCAAATTTTCACTTTTGAAGGTGTTCTTAATACATGTGTTGTGGTTATGTTTTCCGTTTTAAGAGAGTCCTCAAATGTATGTCCACATTTTTCTAGCAAAATAAAGGACAAAAAAAAAAAAAAAAAAAAAAAAAAATTTTTGTTTTTCCCTGCACACATCAAGTATTTATCTCTCCACATAAGTTTCCATTTTTTTTTTTGTTTTTTTTTTTTCATTTTCTAACTGGTAAAGCATGCATAAACTGTTAAAATAATTTTCCATTAAGAATAGGGAAAATGACAAACCAAACTTTACCATTTTTAAAAAGTAATGACATGGTCAGACACAGAAGAAAGGAACCCTCTTTTTTTTTTTTTTTTTAACAACTTGAAGAGGAAATTGAGGTTATTTGCAAGTTAGCACGTGTGAACAAGCAAACTTGATCTGAGTGTCTGTTTAAGGGGTTACATATGGTTTATTGCATTTTTATCTTATAGAAAATTGAACTTTTTAACAGTCTTTATTTCTACTTCTTTTTTTTTTTTTTTTTATAAAAACAATTTTTTTTTTTTTGTATAAAGCATAGTTCTTTGTATGCTTCATCATGAAAAATGTTCTTTGCCTTTTCAGGGGATGACTCTTTTTTTTTTTTCTTTTTTGCGCAGCTCTGTTCCAAATAATTTTCCACATACTCTCCCATATTTTTCCACATTTTTCCACATTTTCCACATTTTTCCACATTTTTCCACATTTTCCACATTTTTCCACATTTTTCCACATTTTCCACATTTTTCCACATTTTCCACATTCTCTCGCCCATTATTCCAATGTCCGGAAAGAGTACATTCGAAGGGACATAACCAAGCATATTGCTGCCAATAGTAAATGCATAAATTTTGCATGCAAAGGATTAAATTAATTTTCCATAAAAAAATAAAAAATGCCAAAGACTGAATGATTTGTCAAAACATATTACATGTTAATATTATTGTCTCCGTTTTGGTTTTTTTCCATCCTATATGTGGTTTGACCTGCTTTAGTTTTTTTCCCTTTTTTTTTTTTTTTTTTTTTTTGTGACACCCAACTAACTAAACCTCTTTTGCCTATTAATTATCATAGGCGATTCGTCAAACTGTTGCGCCTCCTATCGATGCTACTGCTGGTATTGCTCCTACAGCCTCCGCTACCATCACATCCATCACTACAAACCATCACTACAACCATCACGACCACCTAGTATGGACAAAATTTACCTTAAAGTATTCGAACTTAGCGGGCTGCAGGAAGATGATTGTGGCAGTTACTACATAAAAATATACTGGAAAAATAAAAAATATAAAACGTCCATACAGAGAGATGGGTACTACTTTTTCAATGATGATTTCCTCATACCAGTAGAAAACTTAGAAAAGGAGAAGAAGGAAATGCTGTCGATAGAAGTGTGGATGGTAGGAATATTGAACAAAAAAATTGCATACACTTTTTTTACCTTGGAATTTATAGAAAAGGAAAGAACACTAAGACAAAAGGTGCAGTTAATTGACATTATAAAAAAATGCACTGTAGAGTTATCTTTGAACCTAGTTAGGACCCAAATGGATATAACATTTTTCAACGTTAAAGAAATATATCAACACAAAACCGATCAAGAAATAAGAAATATCATTTTGATACATAGGAATCAAGATGAAGTTGTTAAAATTCTGAGAAATAGCCATACACAATTGCCCACACACAGTAAAGAGTGGCCAGAACAAAATGTATCTTCTGTTCCACAGTATACACACACAGCTCACGAATCAGAAATGCAAAATAGACACTACCACTATAACACAGGAAATCATAGAAATGAATTATCCCATGTGTCTAATAATATTCCATTTTCTACCTCCAACCAGTTGAATAATCCAGCAAATGTCATAAATAATACACCCTCACATAGCGTGAATATGAAAATAGACACTAACAATTGTGATATAAAATACATCAAAAACTCTTTTCCTAACCCTAGTATATTACCTAATTTGTATGATGACAATAACCAGAGGAATCAAAATTATTATCAAAGTAATCTATACAATATTGGTTCTGCATCTCCTTATTCAGATAAAATTCTACATTGTTCCTCTAGAAATAAGAAAAAGGCATTACTTATAGGAATAAATTATTATGGTTCCAGTGAAGAATTGAATGGATGTACAAACGATACAGTGAGAATGAAAAATTTGTTAATTTCAAAATATAATTTTTATGATTCATCAACAAATATGGTTAGATTAATTGATAACGAAATTAACCCAATTTATAGACCTACAAGAAAAAACATTTTATCTGCTTTGACATGGTTAACTAAAGATAATCAAGCAGGAGATGTATTTTTTTTTCTATACTCAGGACATGGTTCTCAACAAAAGGATTATACATGTATAGAAGATGATGGATATAATGAGACGATATTACCATGTGATCATAAAACGCAAGGACAAATTATCGATGATGAATTGCACAAGTATTTGGTTCAACCTCTAAATGATGGGGTTAAATTAATTGCAGTAATGGATTGTTGTAACGCAGGTAGTTGTATAGATCTGGCATATAAATACAAAATGAAATGTAGAAAATGGAAAGAAGTGAAAAATCCATTTCACGTAGTGTGTGATGTTAGCCAGTTCAGTGGATGTAAAGATATGGAATTTTCTCATGAAATAGAAACAGGTACACATGCCCCTGGAGGATCCCTTGTCACTGCAATGATACATGTTTTGACTACAAGCGTGGATTCATATAAAACAGGAAATATAGTACCATATTCTAATGCGCTTACATATGACCATTTACTACAAAATGTTAGCGATTACATTAAGAGTTATCATAACCAAAAAATTGTTTTCATGGCTTCACAGAAATTTAGCATTGACCAACGAGTTTTTGATTTCGAACACATTCTAAAAAATAAAAATGACAATTTGGGACAAAATATCAACAAGCTTGTGAAGAAAAAGAAAAAAAAAAAAAACAAGGATTATTTCAAACGAGACTTTTTTTCCTTCTTCTGAAATTTTTTCAAATGTATTGGTACTTAATCAGGCTTGTACAGTAGGGAAGTAGACGTGGCAACCTTTAGAGGGAAAGCGCCCTTTCTTGCACGAAAAAAAAAAAAGAAAAAAAAAAAAAAAAAAAAAAAAAAAAAAAAAAAAAAAAAAAAAAAAAAAAAAAAGAAAAAAAAAAAAAGAAAAAAAAAAGTGCATAATCTCGTATGCGTATGTGTACATATATATATACCTATATTGTGTACGTATGATCACCCCAGATTACACTGACTGAATTTGCTAATTTTTTTCATCCATTTTGGCTCTAATTTGTGTTTTTTTTTTTTTCTTTTTTGGATGCATCACATTTTATCCCATTTTACACGCGCATTATTTGGGTATTTGCAAATTGATAACTTATAACCTATTGAGAATTAAAAGTAGAACAAAAATTTCCATCGCCACTACACAATGCCCAAATGAGGAATGTCCAAATGTCGTTTCTGTAGATTTTTTGGCACTCAATTTTTTTGAACAAGTCTTAAGATCTCTTTTTGCGTTCTCATTAAGCACACCCCGCGAGGAGTGTCTTTGTCGGCTGGCAGAATAAAAATAAATAAAATAAAAACAATAATATAACTATAATTGAAGAATATTGTTTGACTCTTACATGTTCACGAGGTTTGCTTTATTTGATGTTTTTTTTTTTTTTTTTTCCCCACCCCTTTTGGTTGTGTCCATGTGCATGCGTTTGAAAAATATAATTTTTTTTTTTTTTTTCATCCCATAGGAATGGTTAGCAGCAGCGCCGAGCCTTTTTTTTACTTTATTTATTTATTGATTTGCTTTATTTTATTTTATTTTACATATTTTTTTTATTTATTTGTAATTTATTTTGTTCATTTATTTTATTTTTTCTCACGAAAATTGATCATATTGATGTTGTTTTCTCTCCTTCTTCTGTGTTCACCTGCGCATGACACTCAGTATTCATTTGCTCACTTTTCACCCACTTTTCCTGTTTTTTCATGGATTTACTAAAAAAATATGGCAATTCAATTTGCATCAACCGAAGTGGAAATGGGTATGTACATACGAAATGTGGTAACTGTCTAGTTCCAAAAAGGAGATAAGATCAAAATGGCAAAAAAGTCGCAAATAAAACTGCACCTCACCACGTATAGAAAAAAAAAAAAAAATAAATAGGAAGAAAAAACGACAGTCTAAAAGACAAATAATTTTCTCATAAATATAACAAGACTTTTTTTTATAATTTATTTACAACTTTTTCTTTCTTTCTTTTTTTCTTTCTTTCTTTCTTTTTTTTTTTTTTTTTTTTTTTTTTTTTTTTCTCTCTCTCTCTCTCTCTCTCTCTCTCTCTCTCTCTCTCTCTTATTTTTACCTCTCCAGCGTAAAGGTGTATAACCCTTTTTTAACATCCTTTTTTTTTTTTTTTTTTAAAGAATTTTTTATTACATGAAAATTGTTTCATACCATACACCAGCTATGAACAAAATTTTCTATTTTATGAGAAATGTCTGAGGGTCAAGTTCACTAAAGGGTTTAATTGGACTATTGATATAATATGTTCAGGCATCTCTATAATTGCTTGGTTTCTCCTTGCATTTGACACAGCACATATCAAGAAATTATTGCAGTTGTATCAACAAGGTCTTACCACCTCAGTCTTATCATCGAATGCTTCCCATGGCAACCCCCTCGAATGAACTGTTCATCCTGCACTTCACGATACACGATGTGTACGATCGAAAGGGCAATGGAATATCACTTCATGAAGAACCTTACATAAAATTTTACTGGAAGAGTGAAAAATATAAAAATTACTTAAAATTATTCTCGGACGAAATAAATTGGTTTTGTGAATTTTTTTTACCCTACAAAAGTGGGGATTATGTAGAAAAGTTGGTTATGCAAATATGGGTAAATGGTTGTTTAAAACGAAAAAGAAAAGTATCCTATAATTACATCAATATAAATGATGTTGAAAAGAAAAAAAAAATAAATGGAAAAACAGAACTCATTGGAAAAAGAAAAGGATTAAAAGTTATTTACAGTCTTCAAATAATATACTACTCTTTATATATGATTATGAAAAATGCACAAACCTACATTCTGAACAAAATATCTATTTATAAAATGATGCAGATTTATAGAAGCAATCAAAGAGACACTTCTACCAATGATGAAAACATTCTCGACAAATATATTATATCCTTATTTCAAAAAGAAAGTTACATGAAAAAAAATACACCTTTGCAATTAAAAAATACATTTCGTGTAAATAATACTAGGAATAACATCAAGAACGATTTCCAAAGTCCACATAACTTAAAATTGAAAAAAAAAAAGCATGAGCAAAAAACCTCAAAAGATTCACTTTTATCTTTGTCACAAAAGAATCTCAACGAAAAAACCATCCACATCAGGAATAAACCAAAGTCTCAAAAAAAATCTGCAATGGTGCAAGAAACAGTAAAGGGAGAAAAGATTGAACAACAGGTCGATACAAAAAAAAAAAAAAAAAAAAGAAAAAAAGCTCAAACAACTGAAGTGGGGAGGGGGTTTTCATGAAACATGATATAACACATTAATGGATTTTTGAATATGAACTAAGGGTGTAACAAATGTAGGCACATCAATGAGAAGTAAATGAAATGAAAGAATTTACAAACCAAGGGAAAAGACATATCTGTAAGGAAAATAAAATTTCTTCCCTCAACTGATAACTCATGATGCGAAAAAAAAAAAAAATTTTCTCGACCTTGGCTACAGCATGGTTGAATAAATACGGAATCAAATTACTAAATTTTAGAGTCTTATTTTCCAGAAATGTTGTGATAAGAATGAAGATGGAAAAAGATTACACGTGTTGTTGGGACGTGGTGTTAAAAATTGTTTAGATTCGGTACACAATGCAAATCTCAAATCGTATCGTTTCATGTAGAGCCAGAGTACGACTAGGGTATCTTAAATTGAAGTGAAAAAAATCAAATAACAAAAAAGGCGAAACGAAGTCCTTGAACTGATAATTAGTTCTCAGATTTAAAATAAACGCCCACACTGCTGCCACACTGATGCATAACTTAAATTAGGGTCTGTAGAAAATATCAAACATAGGGAAATATAATAATTAAGTGGGGATGAGAGTTGTTGCTTTTTGTCTTGTTCAATTATTTTAAATAATTTATTTTTTTTTGTTCTTTTCATATTTTTTTCTTACAAATTTTTTTTATAAATTTTTTTTATAAATTTTTTTTTTTTTTTTTTCGAACATGTGCATGCAATCCCAAAATAATGGGAAAATTTGTAGGAAAATTGAATAAGTTCCTTTTCGTCGCGGCTATATTTTATTATTTTATTTTTTTTTTTTTGCTATTGCTATTATCATTTTTGCTTCCAAGCCTTTTTTTGCCACCACTATTGCTATAACTTTTTTTTTTTTGATACAGTTCTATTTCAGGTATAAATTGTGGTGTTGATTGTGTTTGCCTGTCCACTTGACAGTACCTCAAGGTAAAGGAAAAGGAGGGTCCTCTCCTCTAAATATACATTTTTGAAATTTGTTTACTATTAAAAATTGCTGCGTTCGTTTATACGAAAAGATATGTTTTGTTATTATATATGCCCGTAAGGGTGTATGCAAGACTTATATAGAGATAATGTAACAATATATATATATAATCCTTACTAGTAAAAACATGTATAATATTAAAAACTTATAAGTAGTATATAATTAAATATACGCAAGCATGTACAATAATATACCTCACGCATGTATGCAATTTACAGATTCCATTTTCCACAGTGATGAATGTTTTATTTTTTATTTTATTTTTTTTTTTTTGCACGAGAGGGAAAAAACTGCTTAATTTTTTTTTTTTTTTTTCGACTTTTTGACGTTATTACATGATGCAACTTTCATAGATCACGACTCATTTTTGTAAATTTACTCACTGTTTTGTAACTAATGATAATATTTCCCGTTATTTTACGTGGGAAGTTTTTCTTAATTCACAATATTATATACCACGTTATATTATTCTAATTATTTTTATTTCATTTTGTTTTCCCCCATTTTGTTTTACTACACTTTTTTTTTTTTTTTTTTTGTTCTCCATTTGAGCATATGAAAAAAAACAAATTTCGTTACATATGAATGACTTTTTCAACCCTTTAAAAAAGGAAAAACTCAAAAAATGAGTAAGAAGAAGATAAAAAATAAACAGCCCCTTCAAAAAAATGGCACAAACAATAGTAAGAGGAAAAAACATGTGAAGTTTAGAAGAATAAAGAAGGTTCAATTTAAGGATGAAAAGAAGGTGATCGTCTCAAATGAGATCAAGAAAAAGAAAGTAAAGGTAAAGAAATAGAGATCTGGTCTTTTTTTTTTTTTTTTTTATATTTCATTTTGTTTTACGAGATTTTTAATCCACCCAGTTAGACTTTGTATTTTTTGAAAGATATTTTTAAGCGTGTGCTTTTTTTGCTCCTTGAAAAAGTGACACAAGCGACAAATTTTCCCCCCTCCCGTCTCTTCACGCATGCACATGTGCATGTATCCATACGTTAAGATATTCACATCCACATGCAGTGGAAATGAGTGTTGCATAGAATTTTCCTTTCTCGTAAAGAACGCATCGTTATGCCTGAACACAAAATGAGCAACCCATCATTTTTTGTGTCTATCGCCACTCTTTTCAGATTCATGGGAAGAAAAAATTGAACACCCCTTACCAAAAAAAGGAATATAAAAAGATACGCATGGATCAGGCTAATGAATACATAAATTTACAAAAAGAATTAGCAAGTCATAAATTCGATGAGCCGAGATGTTGTATTTTTGCCATTCGAAATAACATTAATTGTGTTGCTTCTGCCCCCATGGAAGTTCTTCAGGTATAGCCACAAGCATACAATTAAATGTGAGAGTATACATTGTATGGATACATATTTTCGCAAAAAAAAAAGAAGAAATGAAATGAAGCAAAAAAAAAAAAAAATGTTGTCATTTGCAAGAGTCCAATTCCATATCACATTGAAGATGGAGATAAACACCGTGTGCTATTGCATATATACCCATATATAATAACACATTTGGTTTTCTCATGTCATTAATTTTTTTTTTTTTTTTTTTTTTTCACATTCTATTTTCTTTCCAAAAGAAACTCAGGCTAATGGAAAATTTCTATGGAGTACTACTTGTCAATAACGAAATAAACATGAAAAATTTATTTCTCGTAAAACGATACGTATGTTATGGATACATACAAAAATACAACTTATACAATCTCCTGGAGAAGAAATTATTTTTAAAAGATGGAAATGAGATTAAAAGATGTCAATCGAATAAAATCATAGAAAAATTATTTAGCAAAGATGGAATATATTCTTTCCCCGCATTCTGTGAGTATATTTTTGAATGTAAAAATAATGCCGATCAAATAACAAAAGAACATATTATTCCTTTTAATTTTTCGTACTTAAAAAGTGATATAACATTTGACTTTTTACAATTTAAAAATGAACTGGCCGGCTTTGTCAAGGACAATGAAATTAACGAAATATTAGAAAAGATAATTTAACCGTGATTTTACCAGTATACGAAGGTACTAGTGATATGCGCTTGGGGAAACTGGAAAAGACATATATACACGAATTTTTTTCTTTTCTTTTTTTTTCATTTTCCATGTGTGTTTACACATATGTGCATATTACATCATTCTCTTATTCATCAATAAACATCGAAACGCACAACCGTGGTGGTCCAATGTGTGTAAATATGCCCCTCGATGGAAACACCCACATCCTATTTGTATCCCCCTTAACTATTGGACACTCCTTTTTTTTTTTTTTTTTAAGTTATTTGTTTTTAGTTAAACTTTCATATAAAAGCAAAAAAAAAAAAAAAAAAAAAAAAAATAATAAAACAAACGAAATGAGCAAAATAAACAAAGCAAAAAAAAAATGCAAATATATGGGAACATAAATATACAGCAAAATGTTATTATAGCAAAACATCGCGATTAAACTGAGCTTGTCTAATTGTAAGCCTTTTCTAACAATAGAAAATTAGAAATTTTTTCTTTCTTCACCTTTTTATATTGTCTCATACAAAAAAATAAAAAAATGTTCCTTCTCAAAAAGGAGTGCTATATAACATGTATACATATCGGAAAAACTAAAGTGTATCCATGTTGTTTTGCGGGAGAGAAAAAAAAAAAAAAAAAAAAAAAAAAAAAAAAAAAAAAAAGAAAGTTAACATAATCCAACCATATTAGGAACCAATTCTCGTATGGCCCTTTTTTTTTTTTTTTTTCGAAGAAAAATGTGTTAATACAACAAATTTCATTCGACTATTTCATCACATGGGTACACTATTGTCTGAATTTTCCGATCGACTGTCTGGGTCCTCTGCACATTATCCTCCACCCCATTCACAGTCATAAAGACGTAAACACTCCTTTTCACTCACTTCTTCTTAGTAATCGTGTTACTGCGATTTGGACCGACACCAATCCACACGATAGGAGAATCTACATATTTCTCTATCGCCAACACATATTTTTTTGCATTGTTTGGTAATTCTTCAAATGTTTTACAATTTGATATATCTTCTTCCCACCCTTCAAATTTTTCATAAACTGGTTCGTAATATTCCGAGGCGTCCTCGTCCACTGGGTAACACCCTTTTTCCAACAACACACCTGAACAGAATTGAAAAAAAAAAAAAAAAAAAAATCATGAAATATGGTTTGAGTATTTACAAAGAAGTGACATTATCCCCCCCCCCCCCCCCTGGCACAAATTGATCAGTCGTGTAAACACATACATACACACACATTCGTGTAAACAGAGATGTGCACACACATGCATACAGGCACAGACGCATTATTTCCATGGAGTAGTTGGGCCACCATTGTGGAAGCATACCTGACCCTTTGCTGCGATAAGCAACACAAAGGAAGATTTCCTTCAGCCCTGAGAGAACGTCTAGCTTGGTCAAGTTAATGATGTCGATTGAGTTGATGCATTTCACATAAAGCAACATGGGTATGTCAAGCCATCCACATCTTCTAGGTCTGTTCGTGGTAGTCCCGTATTCATGACCTTTTTCTCTTAAAGAATCTCCAATTTTGTTGTTCAGCTCAGTCATAAATGGGCCACACCCTACCCTAGTTAAATAGCTTTTAACTACCCCTACTGTTAAATTCAACGTTTTGTGATTTATCCCAAGACCTGAAAAAATTCCACCAACAGTTGTAGTACTACTTGTTACATAAGGATATGTACCAAAGTCTATATCTAACATAGCTGCATTAGCTCCTTCGATTAAAATTTTTTTCTTCTTATTTAATTGATCATTCATAAAAGATATAACATCTATGATTCTATCTTTTAAAAAAATATGGTATTTATAAAATGCTTCCAATTCTTGTTCTTTATTATATTCTTTTATTTGGTACAAATCTATTAAATTATTTATCAATTTAATATAAATTTTTTTAAAATTTTCAAAATTTTTTAAAGCTCCTAATCTTATACCAATTCTAGAAACTTTTGTTGAATAGCATGGACCTATACCTCTCTTCGTTGTGCCTAATTGTTTTCCTTCTTTCAGTTTTTTATTTTCTTGAATCGTATCAATAATTTGATGAATATCAAATAAAATGTGACATTTGTCTGAAAGGTATAATCTATCCATTATATTTCCTCCAACAGACTTTATTTCATCTATCAAAGACTTTATATGTACAACCATTCCATTCCCCAGGACGCAGATATTATTTTCGTATAATATTCCACAAGGTAATAAATGTAAAGCATATTTTGTATCACTCACAGATATGGTATGGCCAGCATTTGCACCACCATTGAATCTACAAGTGATATCTGAATGCTTTGACAAAATGTCTATTATTTTCCCCTTCCCTTCGTCTCCCCATTGTGTACCCAATATTGCCACAACATTTCCTTTTTCCACATTTTTGATATCGTGTTCGAATATATTCATTCTCTTAGGTAAGCAATTCTTCAATCGAATACACGAAATCTCCCAAATCCAATGATTCTGAATCCTTCGGATGTTCCTGCTGCGGTGCTCTCCTACTCTGTTGTATGATGTTGTACCAAATATGCACTGCTTGTGGGGTGAAGAGGTAAAATCTAAAATGCTACTATCAAGGAATATTTTTTTATTTATTTTTCTCGATGTGCTTGTAAACAAAGAACTACGCACACACACCTTCTTCCTAGGTACATCAATGTATTATTTGCCTTAAAATATAAAAAGCTAACCGTAAAGGCTTTTTTTTTTTTTTTTTTTTTTCCTTAAAAAATAAAATATAATAATTTTTTTTCGAATAGTATATATAAAAAAGTTTCTACTTATTTGGTTAATTGTTTCGTCGTGCTAATATACTAAAATGAAAATATTTTATGTACATCAGGCATAACTTTCCCCCCCCTCCCTTTTTCAATGTAGATTCCAAAGGGAGAAAAAGATTCATTTCAATTTTTTCAACAAAGATTTATGCACTTACACGACTTTCATAAATTTTATTAAGGCATCTTCATTTATTCCTATATTTTATGACATTATACATTTTGAAATTTAAAAAAAAAAAAAAAAAAAATTGTCACAGTTTCGATAGGGTCATTTTAATTTCTTAATCTAAGGTACGAGAATCATCCACAGGGTCTATGGCTCAAGGAGAAAATAAAAAAAAAAAAATAGAGAATTTTTTTTTTCTTAAATCCACTACCAATGCATTCAGAGCATTAGGGTCCTTAGACCTTAATGTATACAAGTATCAAATGAATGAAAAATACAAATAAAAATAAAATAAAATAGAAGCATATTACACCGATTTCGATATCTTTGAAACGCTATGTGTGAGACATTTATAGCTGCTTGCACACAGGTATTCACATTTCTAGCAAAACAGACATAACATATACCAAGTGATCCAGTATTAGATAGCCACACATGATAAGAGGAAGAATGTAGCTTTTACACCTCAGACACAAGAAGAAATCTTTACCGCAATGAGAAAATAAAAATATTATGATGCCATTCGTACCCGAGATGCTTCTCTCACTCACTCACTCTCTCTCTTTCAGGATAAAATCTCTAAGAAATCAAAACGTGCTCTAATTTGTCATCAACCTTTGTGTGCCATTATAAAATGGGAAGAAAAACAGCTTAAATTTAATCATACGCATTTGTAAAATTTCCTATATTTTCCCCATGTGGTGATGATTGCTCATTTTTTTTTTTTTTTTTTTTTAAATAGGTAATAGAAGTGTATCGCATTCTCATAAAACGATTTACGAGGCTGATACAAAAATTAAAAAGAAAAAAAAAAAGGTTAGCAGGAGCTAAATCACACTATTGTGCTATTATTGCTTCAGAATTTAGGGCTGGATTAAATTCCTTACAGATCCACCCCCCAAAAAAAAAAAATCTATATTTTACACTCTTTTTTATAAAAGAAGTCGTTACAAACATAGATGTATATTTATATGTTTTTTTTTTTTTTTTTTTTTTTTTTTTTTTTCTTATCACATTTAGGAGAAATAATTGTCGTTATAATATATGTGGTATATTATACATGAAAATTATAATTTTCTTTTCTTTTTTTTAACTATACTTCTTTTACATGGTTCCTGAAATGAACAAAAATATTGCTACTTATATGCGCAGCGAACAGTTAATAAATTTACTTGCTTTATCGCCCTTGTTACCCAGCATATTAATGTGTAATGTGCTCCAAAGAGTTCTAATCCTTTTCCATATTTTTTTTTTAAAAACAATCAAAAGAATAGACACATTATTTATAATGCATTATTCCTTTTTCTTCCCCCCCCCTTATACGTCCTTCCTTTTTATCATAATTTATTAACATAAAAGTTCCCAATTTTGTTAGACATATGTTTATTTACGTATAGCTATTTCTCAAGAATCCTGCTACTTTGGGACTGTCTCATATGACAGTCTAATATATATTCGAATAAAATTGAAAGACAGACACAAGAACACATATATCTTTCCTCTCTACCTTCCTTTTTTTTTTTTTTTTTTTTTTTTTACGTCATAAGTTGTCTCATGGTTAATCAAAATGTAATGTTCCCATCATGATTTTCATTCCTGATGAATTTCATACCCATAATATTTTTTCACATGTTCTTTTTAATGCAACTAACTTTAAGATTGTTTCATCAGATTGGTGTTCTACCTTTTCAGTTCGTCACGTTTCCCTTAATGGTGTGTGTGCAAACGAATTACTACTACAAGGTTCATGCATATTGTTGACACACGGGTTTGGATTGCATTTTCCTCTTCCTCAACATGCTTACTCTTGTCGCACTAAGCAAGTGTGAGCATGTGTGTACATATATATATATATATATATATTTATATATATATATATATATATATATGTGCACATTTACCTTTTTTTTTTTTTTGCATTCCATCCATCACGTTGCATTCCTCTCATTTTAAAGCAGCTACAAATGTTTTATTTGAACATTTTTTCAAAGATGAGTTGATCTTTCCTCAAATTGTTGCTTTCAAATACCTAGCGCATTATGTACGTATTTTATTATGTAAATAAGGTATGAATCATTCAGTGCCGGAAAAATATACTATATGTGTGTACAATTTATTTCTCATCTCTTATGTATTATTTTTTTTTTGTTTGTAAAATTTGCATCGTACAATGGAAAATTTTATGCGCATGTTTTTTTCTCAGGAAAGAAAAAAAAAATTATGTATATTAATCCCTTAGCTACTCATTAAAAAAGAGGAAAGAAATAGGAAAGGGGAAATGAAAAAATGGATATAATTTTTGAGGCAATATTTTTAAATAAAATAATCGAAAAAAAAAATGTTCAAATGAGGCTACAGACGTACCCAACATATAACAGTATGTTCGAATTATGTAGCAGCTGAAAAAAGAAAAGCTGAAATTTAAAAAGGGGGAAAACACGTAAAAAAAAAAAAAAAAAAAAAAAAAAAAATATGAATTCGCCTTATATCACGTAAAACTTATGCTTGTATATAAACATATGCCATTTTCAAGTTCCTTTTCTTTTCATTTTTTTTTTTTCCTTCCTTTTTTTTCATCTGTTTCCCTACTGCTTTTTCTTTTTTTTTCACTTCCCACTTTTTCTTTTCTTTTCACCTCCCGTTTTTTCATTTTTTTTCACCTCCCGTTTTTTCATTTTTTTTCACCTCCCGTTTTTTCATTTTTTTTCACCTCCCGTTTTTTCCTCTTTTTCCCTACCGTTTTTTCTACTTTTTTCCCGCTTTTTTTTTTTTTTTTTTTAACACAGATCTGATGAAAATTTTGAGTTATAAGAGAAAAAAAAAAAAAAAGTTACACTTTTGTTTGCATATATAAAATATATTGACAAAAAGTTTTCAAAGTTTGTTTTACTTATGGATTGTCGTTGAAACACATGGAAAAAAGGGTTACAAATCAGTAGAAAAAGGGGATTCGCATTGGTGCATGTTATTTTTAAAATAAACACGCACGATCAATCCGTTTAAAATACGTACAGAAATGTATACAAATATATATACAAATGGAAGCGTGAAAATATGTATGAAATACACACACACGAATGCATCCCCAAGCGTATACACAAACATATATATGATCTACTACCCAAACATATATACGAACTTCCACCCAAACGTACATTACATATATGTATGCCCGCATGTGTAATGTCCTTGCAATGAATTCGTAAAGCATATTCGAAATGCATAAGAAAACGAAGCAAGTTTTGTGTCTATAAGAACAAAACGTTTCTTACAAGAATACTTTTTATGATATACAGATAATAAGCTAAAAAAAAAAAAAAAAAAAAAAAAAGCAGAGTACTTTGATTCTCCCACAACATCATCAAAAAGGTACTCATGCTCATATAATATTATTAACATATATGATTTTTATTGTTCCTACAAGATATATACAAACATTTGAGAACACAAGAATATGATGTAGAGGGCGAAAGACAAGGGACAACGATGCAGTTGTAGACCTTCCCTGTCAAAATCGCAACATATATATATATATCTTTGTTTTCGGAATCTTATGCGTAATGGTATGTACATATATTTATACACAAGTACTTTTCTGTTAACACCTCCCCCTCCTCCTATAGCTCCCGAACGACGTACGCGAAAAGTACAAGGCATTTTTATGCAGAAGAAAATACCTAAATTGATATACATAAAAAGAATACATGCGCTTAGTTATGGAAATACATTAACCCATTTACCAGCGCGGGCATAAAATAAAAATAGTATATCCCGTAACCCTTTCAATTAATGTAAAACCAAGTTAAAAATAAAAAAAATAAAAAAAAACAATAAAATAATAGAACACTGGAGTAATAGAACAAAATAAACTATTACCAATAAGAAGGCTGTTGAAATATGTATAATTCTTGGTCTGAAATCATTCGATCCATTTCGCCCTATAACTGGGCAATGCTTGGCATGGCAATGTCCCTCTTCCTTTCCATTATAGGAGCAGCATGGTATGCACAAATAGATATTAAAGGAAGTATCATAAAATGAAAAAATATACTTAAAAAAAAAAAATATTTTATTGTAATATCTTCGAATATTCCAGTATCACGAGGAATGACATTGATGATTGTCAAACTTAGGTTTCCACGAAGATCTGTTGTAGAATTCACATAACGTCTCAAATTTAAATGAGTTTTAATACGAATACAAGTTCAACCATGTATATACATATATATATATATATATACGCTATCCACATTTCTCCATTGTTTTTACCATGTTAGGGGAATATTCATTTGTGGCACAAGCATTGTAGGAGCATCAGTGAAGTCCCCACGTATCATTTCGAAAAATTTGATTTCCATTATATTTTGTGAAGCGTTAGGTAAGCATTGAAACATTATGTTAATGAGTGACAGATAAATGAAGGAATTAAAACCATTAATGCTGTATCATTGTACATATACGTATTACCCCCACACACACCACCTTTTTTTTTTTTTTTTTCTATCTTCCTCGCTCTCTCTCTCTCTCACGCGTTTTCACAGGAATGTATGGAGTCATTACTGCAGTTTTTCTACAAATAAAGTTCAGTGGACTCAGTAAGGAAGTTCACAGTCCACTGATTTTAACGAATAAGACAGATCCACTGGTTATGAATACAATAAGAGGAGGATGGGCTCTATTTGCAAGTGGTCTGACAGCAGGTCTGTCAAATCTTGTTTCTGGGTAAGTTAATAAGTTGTGAAGAAAAAAAAAAAAAAAAAAATAAGAAAATGAGACAGATAGTTAGATGGATAGTTAGATAGATAGTCAGATAGATAGTTAGCTCAGTAGATCAAGAGAGAAATGACAAAGAGAATAATAAATGAAAGAAATAAGAAAAAAATAACCATTTGGTGAACGTTTCATGGGAAAATAAATGCAATAACGTATTAAATAATGCTCAATCATAGAAACATAAACAAACCGCATCCCTAGTTACACTTATTTGAAAGAAGAAAATCCATAGTCCATTTATCCATCGTGCTAATACATATGCACTTTTTGCAATATCTATAGTGACGAACATTTCACATTTTTATAAGACTTCATTGTACCACTTATATGTGTTTCATTTTTTTTTTTTTTTTTTTTTTTTTTTTTTGCAGCGTTTCCGTAGGTATAACGGGTAGCTCATGTGCTTTGGGAGACGCACACAATTCAGATTTGTTCGTCCGAATGTTGATGATTGAAATATGTGCTAGTGTTATAGGTTAGCTTTTTGTATGCTTGATATTTTTTAATGAGAGAAATATATTTCTGTGTATAACATGATTGAGCGTTCGGAGTGACACTGTGTTTTTCAGCAGAAAAATATATCAATACATAGTCGCATTATGGCTTTTGCATATGTGTACATATATATGGAAAAATGCTTTATATACCCAATGTGCAATTTTTTTTTTTTTTTTTTTAACAGGGCTATACGGATTAATTGTGGCAATCGTGTCCATCGGGGATATACAACTAACTTAATCATTGCAGAGGAATATGTTGTTATTTTTCACCTTTACATTTTAAAAATTGTTTTTGTTTCTTACATTGATAATAAATTTTATTAACACGTATAAAGCTCATTTTTTGTGCAACTTTTTACGTTTGTTCATGGTATATTTTAATACTCTTTTTTTTTGGTCAACTTCTCTTTTTTTCCTCTTTGAAGTTTCCATAATAAACCCTTGTTGTTACTTTTTTTTTTTTTTCTTTTCATATTCATTTTTAAGAGTTCCAAGTTTATTATATGCACATATATATATATATATATGTGTGTACATAAATATGTATGACTATGTATTTATCTTTACATATTTACACACGTACCTGCAACTTTCTCTTATTAACTTTTTTTTCATATAGCGTTTCAGTCTTTATGCAATTTCTTCTTGCAATCGGGTATGGATAACACACACACGTAATGTGTATATATATATATTTGTATATACCTAACGAATATTGGCACCTTTTATGCCTCAATTCCTTTTTTTAAAATAAATAACAAAGCTTTTAAAAATGCATACACATATAATGTCTCTATATCTACATAAAGTGTGTTTCGTAAACATAAATTAATGAGCAATACCACGTAACAGTCATAGTAACAGTATCGATTTTTTTTTTCATCTTTTATGTTTAAAAAAAATATACAAACCTAATAATGAGAATTAAAAATGTGGAATAATTTCGGAATTAATGTGGCGTATCCCCCCCAAAATTTTTTTTTTTTTTCTTTTTTTTTTTTTTTTTAAAAAGTATAACTATACATATAAGGATGAGATAAAATGAAGAAAAAAAAAAAAAAAAACTGTAATTTGTTAATAAATAAATCACATAAATAACGAGGTGGGGGGGAAAAAGGAAAACGTATATATAATAAAGGAAATTCCCAGGGTTTCACATTTAAGGTTAAAATTTATTGCTCTCCAAATATAGTTGCAAAGTTGTCCGTAGAAAAAAAGGGGATCGAAAGCCATATATTATAAAATTTACCTATTATATATCAATATATACAATTCTCCATCTCTTCATTTCAATGAATATTTCTTTTTTAATAATATCACAGCCCTCATTACCCCTACGATTAAGCAAAATTTTATGTGGTTTTAAGGTAGAGGGAAAAGCTTAAAAATTCTCTACGCCCATGTAGTTGTGAAAAAATATATTTTTATTTCTGTACATAATATTTTTTCTCATAAAACTAATTTCCATAGGCTAAGTGGGTTATTCACAATTGAGAAATCCCATCTTTCTTTTACCCACTTTTTCCAGTAACTGATGAGTGGATGTATAAAACATTCGGTGCATAAATCAAAAAAAAAAAAAAAAAAAAAAAATAATTAATATTTTTTTTTTTTTTTTTCTATATTCATAAATATATTAACAGCAATCTGGACTAAAGAAAGGAAATTTGAAAAATTACAAAGCAGATGAAAAAGTGAAAAAATTGATGCAATGTTGTGACAATAAAATACGAGGAAAAACTACAAAATTCTTGGAAAAATTGCACAATATTCATAAACCCCCATTCCCCTCCAAAAAAAAAAAAAAAAAAAAAAAAAAAAAAAAAAAAAAAAAAAACAAAAAAAAAAAAAAAAAAAAAAAAAAAAAATGTATGAAATTTTGGGAAAAAAAAAAAAGAGAAAAAAAAAAAAAATTTTTGGAAAAATTGCAAAAAATTCAAAAACCCCCATCCCCCCCAAAAAAAAAAAAAAAAAAAAAAAAAAAAAAAAGAAACATAACGTAACGTAACATAATGTAACACTAAAGGAACAAATAAGCTAACAGAACGATACGCAAAAGTACCTGATGGGGAACTAAACGAAAAACTTCGAGCTGTCATTTTCTCGAAGCTGAATGAGAACAAGTCAGCATTTCTTTCTTTTCTCTAATTTGTGCTCAAAATAGGGAAAATATATACATGTATTATATGAATAAATATGTATTACATGTTTCTAAAAATCTTTGAGCGAATATTTTACAAAACACCTTATATCAATCAACATTTTTATACGTAAAGTTTTGAATAAAAAAATTAATCGATTTTAAAAAATCTCTAGACTTTTAATTGACACATAATATATACATGAACTAGAGAGGACTGCTCTTTTTTTTTCCCCCTTGAAATATTAATGTAAACACATATCCCTAATTATATTGTTACTGAGGACACAAGAGCATGCCAACCATATTTCCCCTTACTCATTGTGAAATGAGCAAAAAAAGGACCATATCGTAACTTATTTTTTCTCTAGGAAATTCCCAATAAGGTTTTTTCTTTTTTTTGTGAAATAAAGTTGGCTCAGAGTTTGAGGAAATTCCGTTTTTGCTTCCAAGGAAGTATAATTAAGTCTCCTCATTTCCAGTTATTTTTTAATTTTGTACATTGCATATATACGAGTTCTTATAGTTGCACTAGTTTCCTCTAGTCTAAATTGTAGCGTATTAAACAAATCGTACACGAACATTAGTGACCAAAAAAAAAAATAAAAAAATAAAAATAAAAGATGGGGAAAAAAAAGAAAGTCGGAAAGGAAAGAATTGACAAATATTACAAGTTAGCCAAGTCTGCTGGATATAGAGCGAGATCGGCATTTAAGCTAATTCAAATAGCACAGAAATATAATATTTTTAAAGATGCAAACATACTAATAGATTTGTGTGCAGCACCAGGTGGTTGGCTACAAGTGGCATATAAAAATATGAAAAAGAGCAGCACGATTATAGGAGTAGATTTAGTACCAATAAGAAAAATAGATAATAATGTTATCACGATAAAAAGTGATATAACTACAAGTTCATGTATAAAACAAATTAAAAATATAATTAAAAATGATAAGGCAGATGTAATACTAAATGATGGTGCTCCAAATGTAGGTACAACATATTCTTATGATAGTTTTAATCAGAATATCCTAGTTCTTAACAGTATAAAAATTGCTTATATTTTTTTAAAAAAAAGGGGTATATTTATTACCAAGGTTTTCCGAAATGAAGAATATATATCACTAATATGGGTTCTAGAAAAACTATTTGGAGAAGTTAAACATATAAAACCAAGAAGTAGCAGAGAAATATCATCAGAAATTTATTTAATTGGATTAAACTTTTTAAATAATAAAGTGGATAAAAAATTGTTTGATTATACATATGTTTTCAGTGATCAGTTTAAACAAGACTCAAATAAATTAAATGCAAACAAATCCAGTGACGATGATGACAATTTCTCAGATTCTAGTAATAATGAAAAGGAAAAAAAGAAAAACAAAAAAAAAAAAGGATTATCAACCATTTTAAAAGAAAAGAAAAAAAAAAATAGACAAGGTTATAACCTTGGGGATGATTACCGTTCTACGGATATATGCAATTATATTCATGCGGAGAATTATGTAGACTTACTTATAAAAACAAACAAATTTACCTTTGATAATAATTACCAAAATTCAGAGGATCCATTAGTTAGAAATACCTACAATGTTATTTATAAAAACCCTAGCACTACACAGGAAATTCTTCAACTCTGTAAAGATCTTAAGGTGCTTGGGAAATCTGATTTGTTTCATCTTATTAAGTGGAGATACAAAATTAGGAAGAGCATAAGTCTAGCCAAGGAACCTGAATTTATCAAATTGGAGGATTTGAAAAATGATCAGAAAAATGATGAGAAAAAAGATCAGAAAAATGAGGACAAACAAACAGACACAACAAAAGCTTCGATCCAAGACGAAGAATTAAGCGATTCTTCTGATGATGATTCTGAAAAAAATGAAATAAATGAATTTTCCGCGCACCTGGAAAAAAAAAAAAAAAAAGAACAAAAAAAGAAGGAAAAAAAACTAAAAAAAGAACTAGAAAAAAAAAAACTAAGTAAACCATTAAAACTTGATTATGATGAAGATGAAATACATTTTAATAAAAACATGTTGAAATTATTAGATAAGCAATCTTTTAAGGATCACATGAACGTGTTGCGTAGTAGCCAAATTAGCGACAAGTTAGAGATTAACCAAGAAGGTGATTCGACAAGTGAAAAGGAGGAAGATATAGACATAAACAATTTAAATGACTCCAAGATGGATCGAATAGAATACCTTGTCAATTTAGACTATGCAAAACAAAAAATGAAAGAAAAAAAAATGAACGAAGAAAAGGGCACGGAAAAGATTACCAGGAGGAAAAGGGCGATGGACTATAAGAACGAAGAGCTGATGAAAATTCAAAAGATCATGGAATTAAAAAATGAGCAGTTAATAATGAAGAGAAAACTGCACGAGTACCTCAGCGATGACGATGGGGACGATGATGATGACAGCGACTCTTCTGTAGGTAGTTCTCAGCGGGGGGAGCAGCATGACGAAGAAGAAATGAACGATGATGCATTGAGCTTACACTCACAAGGAATAAAACAAAACGAACACATACACAAATTGGTAGATAAGATAATCAGTCTAAGAAAAGATGTTAAAAGGGAAGAAGAAAATTCTAATGTAAATCGCTTTTTTGACCAAAAAATATTTTCGACCATATTTAATCAGCTAGATGGTGAGTTGTATGATAATGATCATGTAGAGGATCCCAAAGAAGGAGTAAGTAAACATGACAAACGGTATGGCAATAAAGATGTCGACGGAGATGACGACGTAGCTGGAGTTGACATGGACGAAGACATTGAAGAAATGGACGAGCGGAAACTACCCAACATTCCACTACCAAACAAACTAGCCAGAAAAGAAAGAAAAAAAAAATTAAGAGAAAAATACGGAAGCAATGAAGTAAAGATGAAAAACTCCACATTTTCTATTGTAAAAACGGATGAAAATGGGCAAATTAATAATGCTAGTACATATTTTAATAATCTAATTAAAGACGAAGATGAATTAGCATTCATAAAATGTATCGGAGAAAAATTAATTCATAAAAAAAGTAGAATGGATCTGATAGATGACTCATTTAATAGACATTCATATTTGGAAGATGAAGACATGTTGCCTGAATGGTTTGTAGAAGAGGAAAAGAAATTTAGAAAACCTGTAATCCCAATTGACAAATCTATTCTAAATCAGTATAAGAGCAGCATTAACAAAATAACTAGAATGCCTATTAAAAAGGTTATAGAAGCAAAAATACGGAACAAAAAAAGAGAAATTGCGAAAATGAAAAAATTAGAGGCAAAAATCGGAAAAATTGAAAAAGATGAAGAAGATCCTTTCCTTAAGCACAAAGCCATTACAAATATACTGAAGAAGAATAAATCAGGTATGATTCCATTCAAATTCGAGATCATGACAAAATGGATGCCTTTAATGCATTTGCAAGCATGTGTATATCTTTGTATATATATTTATATAAATGCTCCTCCAATGCAAGTGTTACACGTGTACATAGGCATAAAAGTGCTTATGAGCGAACGCCCATAAGCTTACATACCATGTGCATTTGTATTTGCATTTGTGTTTGCATTTGTGTTTGCATTTACATTTACGCTTGGTTCACACCATCGCGATTAAATTTTTACGTAATTTTCATTTTTTATAAAATTTTCTTTTTTGCCTCTTTTCACGTAGAAAAAAAACGAGAAAAATCTTATGTTGTTTGCACCGGAAAGGGCTCCAAGCTCTCTAACAAGAAAAACAAAAAGGGAAGTAAAACTGTGGTTAAGTATGTAGATAAAAGGCTCAAAAAAGATAAGAAGGCTAAGAAACGAGTAGAAAAGAAGAAAAAAAACATATCAAGACGTAAATATTCTAAATCAAGGCCTTTTAAATTTAAGCAAAAAATGTAGGAAGCTTTATGCATTTTTGGTTGTCTGCAAAAATTTTCCTTCATGTACTGCAGTAGCTCTAAGTTTGTAAGTAATTTAGCGTAAAAGTATTTAATATACTTTCATCATATGTATTAACACACTTGTATGTGTTACAAAAAAAAAAAAAAAAATTCCATTGGCATGTACAATTTTATTTCATAAATTTTTTGCACAGTCATAAGTTTTAACCTTTTTTTTTTAAAACCATTTTTAGCTATTTTTGCTAAAAAAAAAAAAAAAAAAAAAAAAACTCCTAATTAAAGCATAAAATATTTTAAAAAATTATGACATGTTCATACGATAAAAATAGAATAAGGTTGGAAAAAAAGAAAAAAGCTAGCATCTCGTATTGTTTATATTTTTTGTGCAAATTCAAACAAATTCTGCGCGGCTCAGGGAGTGGTGGTTGTAATGCATACAATGTGTGGATAAAAAAAAAAGTGTGGCGCAATTTAAATTTTGCTGTTTTTTAAAAGGACAAAATAAAGGTTGCGCCCATATGAATTTAACATATGCCATATATATACACATTCACATGGACATGTACATACATGCTAAAGTGCATACATGTAAACGTAAATACATGTAAAAGTATAAGCGTGCAAAAGTACACACGCGCTAAGTGCATACTTTGCATACATTTCTGCAAACACAAAGCACGTTCTGTGCAGGAGAAATGGAGGTGTGCGAATAGTTCATATGAGAGTAGTTCATGTGAGAGTATTTCATGTGAGAGTATTTCAAGTGAGAGTAAATTCATGTGAGAGTAGTTCATGTGAGAATAGTTCAAGTGCGGGTAAATACTCACTATATACAATTATTTTTACATAAAATTTACACCAGTAGTACAATAAGTGCAGTACTGCATACTTAAAATAGAAAGAATCAACTTTGCTCAGCATACATAACAGAACACTGTTGGGTGTCATTCGTTTATATTTTTTTACCTTGTGTTAAATTTGTAAAAATATAAATTATTCATCATAATTCTACATTTTAGTGAAAAAAAGAAAAAAAAGAACAATGAAATGAAAAACGCAAGTTAATAAATATTTTTGCGCCTACATGCATATACACATCAGAGCTTTGCAACTAAGCATGAAAAAGCGCATAGATTACGTATAATTGTGAAAAAGTGCAAAAATATGTAGGTATCCATGTATGTATGCGTCCGCATTTATATGCATCCGCCTGTATATGCATCCGCCTGTATATGCATCCGCCTGTATATGCATCCGCCTGTATATGCATCCGCCTGTATATGCATCCACTTTTATATGCATCCACTTTTATATGCACCCGTATTGTACATGTATGAACCTAAACTTTTTTTCCCCCCCAACCCTCTTCCACAGAGTAAAGTATGCAGACACCCACATGCTAATATTTACATTTTTGCCAAAAAATAAGTAAAAAAAAAAAAAAAAAAAAAATTGGAGGAAAAACTAATTTGGGGCTCTATAATTACACCTAGAGGTGGGGAGAATTTCTAACGCCTTAAGGAAAGCATACACAAAATAAAAATGGATAATGGCTTTGTTCTACCAGCCATAAAGTATTATTTAGAACCTCATGGAAAATATGTATTCATAGTGAATATAGAAAATAATGTAAAAAATATTTTAAAAATTAGCTATTCTGAAGGTATCCAAATAGTAAAAGAGAAACAGGAACTTTCAAGTAAAAGTAACAATAGGGCAGAAGAAAATGATAACAAAAATAAGTTCTCGTTTTTTGGGTGCTTAGGAATAATTCAAGCAGAACGCATAAATTTCTTGGTCATAGTTTCCGATGCTGAAATTGTTTCTTATTTATTTAATAGAGCTATTTATAGAGTAAAGAAAATTTCCTTTATTCAACTGAATGATGAAATAGTAGATAATGACAATCCTAATGATAATCACTATTATCAGTATGAGATATGTCGCTTGGGGGCAAACGGGGGATTAACGTCATTAAATAATTCCAGAAAGGAAAATAAAAAGTTTTTTTGCAATAAAAGTATAAAAACACAAAATTGTTTTGATAATATATTCAAATCAAGATGTTTTCTTGTTGAAAACTGTGTCTATAACTATAACAAATTGCACAATAACAACGAAACGTATGTTCACAAATTCAAAAATAGCACACTAAAGAAAGATACATTAAAAACAATAGCCTGCTTTGTGCGCGCCTTTAACAAGGGTCCTTTCTATTTTTCCTACTACTACAATTTAACCACATCTCTTCAGAAAAACTTTATAAATGAATCTAAAAAAGCTAATGAAAATAAAAAAACGGACTACATCCTATCAACGCGTAATATAAAAGTTAATGATACACACTACACTATGGGTGTGAACTGTAGGGAAGAAATGGAAGCACCCTTTTTGCACAAATTAAAATTTAATGAAATTAATCAAGAATATACTTGGAACTGGAAATTCCTAAATCATTTTATACATATAGATGGATTTGATTTTGTTGTGTTTCTAGTACATGGATACATGAATTCAAATATTTTACATGTCTGCAATAGGAAGATAAAATTATATTTAATATCGAGAAAAAATAAAAACAGAAGCGGTGTAAGATTTTGGTGTAGAGGAGGAAATAGCCAGGGAGATGTAGCCAATTTTGTGGAAACAGAACAGATTGTTGTATGTAAAAATTCGAACGAAACACATGTTTTTAGTTATATCATTGTGAGAGGATCTATACCTGTCTTATGGAAACAACAACCAACATTAAGTATAAGACCGAAAATACAAATCTGTTCAGAAATGCATGAAAATGCGAAAATATTGAATTTACATATGGAAAAATTAAAAAATACATATGGAAAAATTTCTATTACTAATTTGATTAATAAAAGATTTGGTGAAAAATATTTAGGACAGTGCTTTGAAAATTGTTTGAAGGAATGTAATGTTGAACATAATTATACCTGGTTTGATTTTCATGGTGAATTTAAAAAATTAAATTACAATAATTTATATTCATCATTAAAAACAGTGATTGACGATTTGAACGATTTTTCCTATTTTTCTTTCTCTTTACCAAATAGTACAAACTGCAGTTTATCATATGATAATGATGATATTTCCACTATCTTCCCCTCATGGGAATCTGCAAAAGTTAATAATTTTCAGAAAGGTATATTTCGAGTAAATTGTATCGATTGCTTAGATCGTACCAATGTTTTTCAAAGTTTTCTGGCAAAATATATATTATATATACAGTTAAAAAGTATAAATATAAAATTGGAACAAGGAAATTTATTCCCTTTTTATTTTTTTAAAAGTCCACAAGACGAATTAAAATATCGTAAAATTTGGATACACAATGCTAATGCAATTAGTACCATTTACAGCGGTGCTGGCGCATTAAAAAATGACATAACACAAAATGGAAAAAGAACTATGAGAGGACTAATACAAGACCTATATCATATTGTACTTCGATATATAAATAACAACTTTTTAGATGGATATAATAATGACTGTATCCATTTAGTTACTAATGAAAATTTAAAACATTTAAATGTATTTAATATTCACAAAGGTAAATATAATCAAATGATGCAAGTCCTTTTTGAATTTATTGCAATTTTTTCAACATCTGCATGTACTAGCCCTATGCAGAAATTATTAAAAGGTTTCTATTATTTTTCGCATAATATTACATCCACCATGATTTCTCAGTGTATCAATTATGCAATTTTTATTATACGTAAAAATTTTCACTTCTTTTTATTTCCCTATAATCAAGCGAAATATTTACAGTTTATTTCGTTAATGGCAAAGACATCAGGAATTTTGTCTACATCTTTTTTAATATTTGTCTTTTTTTGTATTTATGTGTTTACTCAAAGAAGACGCGTAATTTCGTCCCCTAAATTAGGTACACCGTAGCATGAGAAAAAAAGAAAAAAAAAAAAAAAAAAAAAAAATGTAGAGAAAATTTTCAATTATATAGCTCTACACGCATGCTTAAATAAAATGTAACATGAGAAAGTAGACCTATTCTGGGATGTTTTTCATAATATGTTAAAGGCAAAAATAAAAATATAAATTATAACCCTATCTCTGCCTTCTTCACTGACCTTCATGCACAATTTGTTTTTTTTATTGTTTCCTGTTTTGTCTATTTGATTTTTTTTTTTTTTTTTTTTTTTTTTTCTAATCCTACTTAATTTGCTAAGCCTATGAAAAATGTTTGAATAGCTTCTATGATTCATGTTAAATCATAATTAAGCATTATGTGTGGAATATCACCTTTCCGTATTCACATTAATGGGACCTCATTTTTTTAACACACTGAAGAGAGGGACATTATGTGCTTGTGTTTTTCTGTTTTTATAAAGTATTTATCCTTTTTTATTTTTTTTTATTTTTATTATTTTTTTTTTTTTTTCTTCATTCGTTTTATTTATTGTGCGGGGTGCATGAGTAAGCGCTGCCTATAATGTGGTATACGTATATATTTATGCATACATAATAATACAAACATAATCTCACATGCATATTCATACATATTTTTACATGTATATGCATACATACATAAATATACATTTGTACTTAAGCATATAATGTTAGAGGCACATGTAAGAACCTTTTCTAAGGGGTCATTTTGCTAAGTGTACTTAACTGAGCAGTTGTCACAGCTTTCTTTTGGCTTTTTATTTTTTCCTCTAACTTGTCCTCAAGTAACCTTTTGCCTATATAAGCCTTGGGTTATTTTCAGTGGATATTTTTTTTTTTTTTTTTTTTTTTTTTTTTTTTTTTTTCTTTTTTTTTTTTTTTTTTTTTTTTTTTTTTTTTTTTTTTTTTTTTTTTTTTTTTTTTTTTTTTTTTTTTTTTTTTTTTTTTTCCGTTCTTTATTTATCTTTTTCACTTAATCCGAATTTTCCTCCTAATTTGATGAATTTTTCCTTAAACTTCTCCCTCTCTTTCTCTCTCTCTATCTCTCCCATTTTTAACCTTTTCGAATACTCCATAATTTTGTGTTAATTGCAAATTGTGATACAATTAAGAATGAACTTTTAAAGTGGTAACAACTGAAAAGCAAAAAAGCATGTGCAGACTAAAGTTCAGAAAAAAAAAAAGGAAAAAAAATATGAACAATTAAAAAAAAAAAAAAAAAAAAAAAGGAAAACATGAAAAAGGCAAAATTTGTAAAAATTTCGAAATTCTTAAATTGAGGAATTAAGAAAATAGCATGATGCACAAACAAGAAGTTGAACAAAGTGGCATAAGAAGAGAAAAAATGGAAATAGTATAATGCTAAAAACACTTAAGCTACACACATATCATCCCTACACGTACACAATGTCCTAAAATGAAAAATATAAATAACAGACTTTTCTGGGAAAATACTTATGTTAATAATGAGAACTATACGAATTCTGAATTTTTAAGCGTACCGCACGGGGGACCTATAAAAGAAGCGTCTACAAAAGGGAAAATATCTCAAGTGTTGAGTAAAAAACACACAAAAATTGCTAGTTCTGACATTACAACAAATTTGAGTAACACTATCTTGAGTAACCCAATTGTGAATTCCACTTTGAGCTGCAAAAAACCGAGCGGAGAAAAACTGAACGGCAAAAAACAGAAATGGAAAAAGTTTAATAGCCCAACTTTCAATTTTCACACCTTTCCAAATGTAAAAAAAAGTAAGGCCAAAAATTATACACATTTTTCTCAAAAGACAAACATCGAGAGGAAAAATTCTTTTGAAAAAAGAGAATCCCTTCTTAAGAATGAGTCAATCAGATATCACGAAAAAACAGATATAGAAAATGATGCAAACGATTTTACAAATCTGATAATTTATGATGATGATCAAACAACGTTTAATGAAAAACTTCTAACACAAGGTAAACTTGTGCATGAAACGCATAGGAATTCCCTAACGAGGGATAACCAAGAAATTTTGTTAAAAGATATCCATTTCGATATTCATGCAAAAATCGGAAATCTGGATGAACAAAGTATCCTAAAGAGGAGTAATGTCTGTATGCAAGGATTCAATGTCATAAGAAATAACAAGAGTAAGAACAATAGAAGGAATATAAACAAAAATTGTGACAATTTTGAAGATTCGAAGAATTCCTTTTATAGCACGAATTTTTACAATAATGAGGGGAAAACGAATTGCGAAAATTTGAACAAGAGAGAAAACCTGGACACAAAATTTTTATTAGAACATATAAAGAGGTTGGAGTATCAAAATAATATATTTCTTAACAATTTATTAAATATGTATTATGTTTGCATGGATTATATCAAAATGCAAGATGAAAAAATAAAAAAAAATGAAGAAATCATACTTTACCAAAAAAAAATCATACAAAATTTAAAAGAAAATCAACACTTGGATGACACTACAGGTATGAGTAATGATACCTATCATAATTGCAAAAATAATGATTCAGAATTCTGAAGTACTATACCTTTTGTTACAACGAAAACAGTAATTACAACGTAGTTTGAATGTGTTCTCTTTTTCAATTTTTTTTTTTTTTTTTTTATAACCCTCTATATGAATTTTCTATTTTGATAAGATGGAGTGTTTAAACATGTTATTTCTCCTTTTGTACATATAACAAACATTCGTGCAACTTTTTTCATATTCGGATATCCCCATGTTTCACACTTTCACATCTCGTAAGTTTTTTTTTTTTTTTTTTATTAGATCATCCCATTTGTTTATCCCCCTTTAGAATGTCCATTTGGCGCTACATTTGGTTAAGTGTGGTTTTAGTTTTTAAATTGCACTCTTTGTGTTATAGTGCTTACTCTATAGTATTCATGTTACAGTATTTATGTTACAGTATTTATGTTATAGTATTTATGTTACAGCATTTATGTTATAGTATTTATGTTATAGTATTTATGTTATAGTATTTGTGTAATATTCTTTACGTTACACTTTTCACGCTTCACTTTTTATCATTCATGGCTAAAGTTTTATTCTTAACTGTGCTATAACTGTTAATCATGGAAAGACGAAACAATTTCCATTCCCACACTCGGTCAAAATTTTGTATTTCCTCCAACTATGTATAGCAAAGCGTACATTTGCCGCCATTGGGGAAAAATCGTATTTATATGACATTTTGCAAAGTACAAAAAAAAATTATAAAAGGAATATACATCATCCCGTTTTACCTCGCTACTAATAAGAGGAGGAGAATGGGCAGTCTAGCACGTTTGCGCATACTTGTTATAATATATATGTACATACATATAATTTTCTAAATTAATTAAAAAGTTCTGTTTCACTTTTTTTATCTATTTGTTAATTAAAAATTGAGGATGTAAAACAAAACGAACGTTACCCGTAACATAAGTTCAAATGTTTCGGGGGATAAAAAAGAAAAAAAAAAAATTTGCGCATACACCACATGTATGCATATGTATATATATAAATATATGAACGCACATGTGAACGATTCCCATGTACACTTCTGTGAAACATAAAAAAATGAAAATCCTCCGACTTATTCATTCTGCGAATTCTTCTTCGTCCGTTCGTTGTCAATTATTTCAACCTGAAGAAATCAAAAGAGAAATGGTTAAAATATATCACATGGATGATATAGTTATTTCTGCTATATATCTCTGCTGTTACTCTGAGTATGTTTGTGTGTGTGCATAATTAGTGAAGTAAAAAAATAGTAACACTCATACGGCATGAACGCAAGGTACATGGCTCTACCCCTAAATATTTCAACATGGTGCATTCAATTCCTATATGTGCAGGTCGAAAAACATATATATACAAAATCATTTGTTCATTTTAAAAAAACCTTTTATCTCAATTATTTTCTCACATTCGGCGTTCAATAAAAACATGTTTACAAACTCACCATTGCATTTATTTGTTGTTCATCAATAAAGTTTAATTCTTTTTCTGTCAATAGTGCGACTTCTATATTTTTACTGCTTAATTCAACAACCTGTTGGAGATGTGGAAATGTATAGATGTAGACATGTACAGATGTAGAGAAATGATGAACGTGGTAAACACATGTTATGTTTGGTGAATGATCATTGCTGTCCTAGGCCTATGGATTAATGCATAGGAAAAATTCATTCGTGATGAGACATTCAGGAAAGAAACATGTCTTATTTGTCCAAAACAAAAATATATTCACAATCGTTTTTGTTGGTACTAACCTCAAATATTGCTTTCATGGCAAGAAGAAGACATTCATTCTGTTCCATATTTTCTTGATAATTTTTTTCTAAAAATTCCTGAACAACTTTTGCATTTTTACCGATTGCTTGAGCTTTCCATGATGCATAAATACCACTTGGCTCCGTTTGATAAATACAAATTTCTTTGTTATTTTTAAATCCTGCTATTAACGTTGCTATGCCAAATGGCCTCACACCTCCTCTATGTGTAAACTTCTGCTGAACCTTCGCGACATATTTCGCAATGTAGTCAACTGGTGCAGGTTCGTCCATGTTTAAATAATATCTTTGGCATTCCAATCGAGTCTGTATTTTTGACAAGGAGGAAGAAAGGGAGAAATATATATATATATATATATATATATATATATATATATATGTATACAAAAGCTAAACATTTTGGCTAGCTGTAGAAAAAAAAAAAAAAAAAAAAAAAAAAAAATGTGCATATTTTTTCCTATTACCTTATTGACTAAAACCCTAGCATCGGCATTTAATCCAGCAAAAGCTAAGCAATTGTGTTCGTCTAGTTTTATCAATTTTTCTGTTGTTCTTGGGTTTTGCAATTTCGGTATATTCTTCTTTTCAACTGCCAGAACAGCGAAATTAGAACTTTTTATAGCAACTGCACAACCTCCTTTTTTTACTGCTTCCAAGGCATGTTCTACTTGTAACAAATGCCCATCAGGACTAAACACTGTTATAGCTCTATCATAACTCATTTTCTTTTCTTATTTTTGTTATCTTAATGGTTATTTTTAATTCTCGTATTTGAACATCTGCAAACGGGAATGAAAAAAAAAAACAAAAAAAAAAGGGGCATCAAATTGGGCACAACATGGGATATCAAAGTGGACACAATATGGGATATCAAATTGGACACCAAATGAAGTGGCATTTGTGTGTGCAAATTTAAAGCGTGCTATAGGTATCTACGCTATGTCCAGAATGACACATGCATAGTCCACATTAATCATTTCAATATTAATCATTAAAAAGGGGGAATAAAGAAGTCCATTGAAGGAGAGTAAAATATGTACATTGGGGAATAATACATAATGGGTGAAAAAAATATTAGTCTAGAGTAAAATATATGTGCGTATACTTATGTACATACCGTGCATGCATGCACATACAAGCACACAGTTATGTAAAGGCGTGATAGACTGAAAACACTAAGGTGATACTGATCTCATGAAGTGATAAACGAAACAATACGATGTCCATCATAATTCGATACAATTATGTATATATTACTTAATAGAGACTCATGTATTGGAAGTAATTTACAAACTAGAAGCATCTGAAGTAATTTGTGCACCATCAAATCCTCGTGCTTCCTTTCTAGGTGAACATACGGGGATGTTCAATATGGATACGTATGTATATGTAGATATATATATATATATATATATATATATATATATATATATATATATATATATATATATGCACATATATGCATACATATAATAACAATAAAATATTCATAAACTTGTGTATGGCATTTGAGATGAAACGGAAAAAACACTGCTAATGTACTATCATAGGTTCAGCTATATAGATACTCATCCTTAAAATTACTCGTTTTTATAATACAAAATATGGGATACTTGTTAAGTACACACATGGTATGCACACATATGCGTGTGTTTGTGACATGTATGCCCTTTCAATCATGTACTTACGTGAAAAAGGTATGCCGTGCTTCTTCACTCGTGGGGAGGGGAGAGGAATGAGGCCTTTATTGCTACTGCGTTTATCTCCTTAGATCCTTTTTATTTACACCCTTTAAGGCCTATTTTTATAGTGAAATCAAATTTTAGAAAAATTTAATTTAGAAGTTGCCCTAATTTTTTTTTTTCTTTATGATAGAGCACATTTGTGAATCCAGTGTGGATAAGAACAAAACGTTTCAATGTGTTGCTATTTTGTGAGATCATTATTTTTATTTTTATTTTTTTTTTTTTTTGAGGGGGGAGTCACTCCTTTGCGAAAATGCTCTTTAAGGAATCACCACTTTTTAGAGATTATTATCAAATTTACTATTTTTTTTTTTTTTTTTTTTTTTTTTTTTTTTTTTTCTCTTTTTTTTTTTTTTTTTTGTTTTTTTTTTTTTTTTTTTTTTTTTTTTTTTTTTTTTTTTTTTTTTTTTTTTTTTTTTTTTTTTTTTTTTTTTTTTTTTTTTTTTTTTCCAATTTTATAAGAATTTCGTTATATTTTTTTCTTAGAAAAAGCTGCCCATGATGATGTTATATGTGCATGTGTTTAGCACATAAATGGGGTGCACATATAAATACATCCGTGGGGATACAACGAATATGAAGTGGTATAACTTCTGAGCTAGAATGGGAGTCGAGAGTCATGCCATGGATCATTATATATGGCACATTTTTCAATTGCTATATTATGCTTTATTAGAGGTATATTCCTACACTTTATTTAATTCTTAAGAAATGCGATTTTTAATCTCCCCCCTCTCTCACTCCTCTTCATTTTGAGCATTTCACAACATTTGTATACACGAGAACGTGTGAAGCTACATATATACACAAAACATTTGTTTATATCTTCCACTTTTGCTAGCATTTTTCAAGCTTTGATATCAGCAATGGGTACGCTATGTATCACATGTGTAATATGTATGATAAATAACAATATCTAGTTTTTTTTTTTTTTTTTTTTTTTTTTTTTTTTTTTTTTCCCCTTATACAACGTGCTCATCCTTTAATCGTAATTTCCAACCCTTGTATCCATCCCCCAAAAGATCATAACATAAGTGCAATGCGTACCATTTTATAACAAAAAGGAGAAAAAGAATAGGGTTGCTCATTCTTGTGTGTTGTTCAATCTTAAGCTGTATCGAAATAGATGTTAACTATTTTTTTTTTTTATTAGCCGTTTCTTGCACATGATTTTTTCCTGCACATTCATTAAGAGTCTTGCTTAAACAAATGTAGTATCGCACAAATGATTTTGTTCCTAATATAGATTTTCATAATATAAGGAAGAGAACACGATTTAAGAGGTAATCCATATCAACTTCTTTTACTACATCACAAAAGGACATTTCCTATATCCTTTGAAAACATATATTTAATCATTACAAGCTTGTGTAAGAAAATGGCTAGGAGATATGACAGCAGAACAACTACATTCTCTCCTGAGGGTAGATTATACCAAGTAGAATATGCACTAGAAGCAATAAACAATGCAAGTATAACAATAGGGATAATAACAAGTGAAGGAGTAATCCTAGGTGCTGATAAAATTTTTATATCCAAATTAATAGATAAAGCAAATAATTTTGAAAAAATTTACAAAATTGATAATCATATATTTTGTGGCGTAGCAGGATTAAATGCCGATGCAAATATTTTAATAAATCAATCCAGATTATACACACAAAGATATTTATATAATTATAATGATATTCAACCCGTATCTCAATTAGTCATTCAAATCTGTGATATAAAACAGAGTTATACACAATATGGTGGCTTAAGACCCTATGGTGTTAGTTTCTTGATTGCTGGATATGATGTAAAGGAGGGATATCAACTTTACCACACAGACCCAAGTGGAAATTATTCCGGGTGGTTTGCAACAGCTATTGGAACGAATAACTTAACTGCCAGTTCCATTCTCAAACAGGTAAAAAAAAAATTGTGTGTGTATTATTGGCATATCTGGCCCAGATTTGACCTTTTCTGTCTTCTGCATCATTCGCTCGAAATATTAAAGAGTACTTTCGTATATATCTACACAAATATGCAAAGACATTCATGCGTACATATAACTCTGTTGAGTGTAACTTATTTTTGAATTTTAATATATATTGTGTCTTTCATTCATTCTTTGTTTGTTTGTTTTTTTTTTTTTTTCGAAGGAATGGAAAAAAGACATGACCCTGCAGGATGGTTTGTTGTTAGCACTGAAAACACTGGCCAAGAGCACAGATAGCGAAGTACCCAAAAGTGAAAAAATAGAATTAGCCTATTTATCAAATAAAGATGGTGAGTTGATACAGAAATACTTAACCGAAAAGGAAATAGCAGAATTGATTAAAATTTACACACAAAAGTATGTAAAAGAATAATTATAATTTATACATGTGTTTCCATGTACCCTCCTATACATTTGGCTACATTTTTGTTGAAAAACTTGCCAAAATGTCTATAACAGTTGTTTTTAAACTGCTGAATCATATGATATTATTTTTTACGCGTCAGCTCCTGTATCTTTTTTATTTTTATTTTGTTTCCTTTTTATACCATATTTTATACTATATAGTATATGTTTTTTTTTTTCTTTTTTATACCATATGTTACTATATATTATGTGCTTCTTTTTTTTTTTTTATGGAATTCTTATTTTTCGTTCTTTGGATAATTTAAAAGGGTCCATATGCGTTTGTATCATACGCAAATGCATAGGCTTTATACACAAACATGGTGGTGTCAAATAAGTCCCTAAAATGGAATTAAATAAAAAATAAAGTAGTAAAAAGTTCTCATTTGGAGATTTACATTTTTTAAAAATTGAAAAAAAAAATAAAAATAAATAAAGTAGTAAAAAGTTCTCATTTGGAGATTTTACATTTTCAAAAAATTGAAAAAAAAAAAAAAAAAAAAAAGTAATAAAAAGTTCTCATTTCAAGGTTTACATTTTCAAAAAATTCATCTGACCAATGAATATTATTTCCCCTACACTTGGGATCACATAGTGTACGATTAGAATTCTTTTTATTAATTTCATTATGCTTCAAAATGTTGGTAACAAAAATATATCACTCGAGTTTCAACAGTTTTATGTACTTCGCATTTTCATGTTTTGATAAGAGCGGAAGGATCTTTCATTTGGGGTGTCTATAAATGTACAGGTAATATTACTCTTACATTTTGTATACATATATGCACGTACCTTTGTATGGGTATATTTTTTTTGCACACACATTTGCACTTACATTTAATCATATATATATACGTGCATAATAACACAAGTGCACACAGGAAATATTTTAACAACGAACGAGCATCCCGCACCCTAGAAAGAAACCAAAGCTTACAGCTCCACCAATCACTGAAACTGGAAAAATGAAAAGGTTTTTATGAGCAAAAGAAGCGTATAAACCTGTTAAGCTACCAAAGATACCACCAACCATTGTGCCCATTTTGACCCCCATTTTTACACTCTCCAAACATGCTCTTGTTCTATGACTTAAATTAAAATCCAATAAATTCGGTTTATCATCATAAAGGGAAGAATCGATAAAATTACTTTTTGTATATTTTGAAAAATCTTCATCATATCTACTTCCTGTAGTATCTTCCTTAAATTCAAATTTAGGAGGAGGAGTGAAACCCTTGAATTCGGTTATATTCTGCTTATCATTTTTTATAGATTTCGGTTTTTCAGGAGCAGACGCTAAGTAACTTCCAAAGGGTGGCGGTGTTACATAATCGTCATACTCTGATTTCACTTTCTTTTCTTCCGGTTCTTTTTTTCTAAACCAATTCATATTGCCTTTGCATAATATTTTATGTGTTTTTTTTTTTTTTCTTGTTTTATGGATGAGAATGTAATACAAGAAAAATCAGATGAACCCGTTGTAGAACATTTATTCTCAAAATACAAACATACACATGTGAATACTAGATATGTTTTTCTGATATGTAATAAAATGAAGCCTAATTTAATTGTGAGCTTCTCTTCCAAATTATTTATGAAAGTGACAATACATGTGGTTTACATCATATGTGTGATACTCCTATGAAGCTGCTTAGTAGTTCGTATCTCCCCGGGTGATTAAAAATCTCTGAGAAATTTTTTTGTTTTCTTTCCTATTTCCGTTTAAGAGCTAATATATTTTTTTTTAATTATTTTTAAATACATTTTTGCTAACTTGGTTGGGACGGGAAAAAAAAAAAAAAAAAAAAAAAAAACAACATCCATTTTATATATATATATATATATATATATATATATATATATATATATATATATATATATATATAGTTTGTCACACCGTCGTTTTTTTTTTTTTTTTTTTTTTTTATAAATCATTTAGAATGTAAGTGCTGTTGCAAGATAACATAAAAATTTATATTTACATGAATATTCAACTTGTGTGAGTTTCCCCACTTTGATGTGCCTTTTTAAAAGAGCTTATTTATTCTTTATTCTTATAAAAATGCTTAAAGCATTTTTTTTCTTTTTTTTTTTTTTGATAATTCAATTTTTCTACTTGTGTTGAGATGCAGTAGTAGGGAGTTAGCGAAAGTGGAATTTTCTCCTCAACCCAAGACATGAACTCATGCAAGTTGCTTATTTTATTAATATATGTATTTGTTCATATATGTTTTCTTTTCTATATATATTTAAGTATTATATGACGTAATAGTTAACGTTCCCGTTTATTTTCCTACTCCTGAAATGACATAACTATTTTTGTTTCATGCAGTATTATAATGAACAACAAAGTGTTTTTAGAAATTTCGTTTCTGCTCTCATATTCTAACATCAGCATAGCCCATTCTTACATATGAGGCGAAGAATGTATTATAGTAAAAGCGCTGTAGGTGAAAGAACTATTCTAATAATTCACAAAGTTGACATGTGAAAAATTTATAGGAATTTCACAAATGGCTTTTTGAATAGCCAAATGGTTGATTAACATAAATTAGTATGTTAACATGGGAATGTGAGGTGTGGCAACAAACTAATCACATACATCGAAAAAATCAACGACTCTATGATTTTTCTATCATTTTATGATTCGAATAGTTTCTTGCGGAATATATGTAATATGTGTTTTAATGGCAAAAATAAGAACATACTATTATTCGAACACTTGTATATAGACACTTTTTTTTGGGGAATAAGAAAAATGAAGAATATCATACGGTGGTTTTTTTTTTTTTTTTTTCTTCACGTTTCTAATGAATAGTATTTTTATGATGTTTGTTTTTGATTAACCTATTTGGAAACGTTCGATTTTTTAGGATAGAATAGCATATACTTGCCTACATATGAAGTAAATAAAAAACACCATATATAATGATATAAAAAATTCTTCCCTGCGAATATGTGGCCAAACTTAATAGCAATCAGTTGACTATGTTTTATATGTGCAACCTTGGGTTTACATATATGTCCACGGATTTTTTCCGTTATGGGAATTTTTAAAAAGGCGCATATTAACAGTGTATATTAACCGTATATATTAGAGCTGTATATATATTAAACGTATATATTTGAACTGTATTTAAATGGTATATATTAGAGCTGTACATTAACCGTTTATATTATAGGGACTATATATGTTTTTATGGATATACAAAAATAATGAGAAAGATGAAAAAAGGAGGCAGCGGAATGGGGAAAAAGTGCCCCAAATGAGAAAATACATCTAAAAAAAAATTCCACTAAAATATGAACTGTTTTCCACATACAAATTATATGTATTTTTTTTTTTTTTTTACACGTGGTTTAAAAAGAAAAAAAAAAAAAAAAGAAACTACTATAACCTCAGGAAGTACTGCTTTCTCATGTGTCCTCTTTTTTTTTCTTTTTTTTTTTTCATTAAAAATAATATATATGCAACAAAGAGTTATATGTTAAGAGATATATTCATGTACATTTTTTTATGTTCAAATATATATATATATATATATATACATAAATATGTATATTTTATTTGCAAGTCGTGGGATTATATATTATTTATATATATAATGAAAATTGTACTGCGTACAAGTAGTACTTAAAAAGAGATACAGCAGTATGTATACATGTATATATATATACTATATATAAATATACGTATATAATAATATATATACTTATCCTCAGGGGATGAAAAGCATAAGCATACGATGCGAATTATTATTAAGCTTGTTATAATATTATATATTACATATATATTTTATATCTGTATATGCAGTATTATAAGCTATTCTTTGAAAACCCTTACTTTAACAACATTGCTAACCCATCTTTAACCATATAAATTGTTTACCTTTTTTTTGCCAAATAAAATTATTTTATTTTTTATGTTTCTTAGTTTTGTTTTCTTTTTTACTTTATCTCCTTTCATTTCTTTTTTTTTTTTTTTTTTTTACTTTTTTACGTTGAATAAATAAAAAATCCTTTCCTTCTTGTTATATTCTCATAATGCGCTTGTAAAATTTTGCGTCTGCACAATTTATATGCCTCTACTGTTATCGCGCTTGTAATTTATATTTATAATTTACATTAACAATTTACATTAACAATTTATGTTTACAATTTATGTTTACAATTTAAGTTTTTAATTTACGTTAACAATTTAAGTTTTTAATTTACGTTTACAATTTACGTTCATAAATTATGTTATAAGTTACGTTTATACTCGTGCTTATAAGTTACGCTTATATTGGTGCTTATAAGTTACTTTAATAATTGCACTTATAAGTTACTTTAATAATTGCACTTATAAGTTACTTTAATAATTGCACTTATAAGTTACTTTAATAATTGCACTTATAAGTTACTTTAATAATTGCACTTATAAGTTACTTTAATAATTGCACTTATAAGTTACTTTTATAATTGCACTTATAAGTTACTTATATAATCACTCTTACAAATCACGTTTTTAATTTACATTTTAAATTTCCTTTTTAATCTCCATTTTTTAATTCACATGCCTGTTTTCGCCCCAAATCTTGAGTTATCAAAATGAAAGAGAAATCAACAAATGCGAATGTGCGTGAAACATTCTTGTAACAAAATATAAATATAAAAGCGTACACATATATGAGTAAATGTACGTATATATGTATGCATGTATGTGTACATGTATGTATATGTAAGGGCATATGTCATATACCACATAATAATACCACCCAACAGGCTGTTAGCAACCCTTTTCCTTTTCGTTTCTATCAAAAGAATGATTTAACATTTACATACCTTAATGACGCATACCTTGTCATATATTAAAATTTCACATACCCAGTATGTTCATACAGTTCCATGTTCATATAAGTATAATTAATGTGAACCAGAAATGCTCATTATTATGAATATGTAAAAGTATTTGTGAGAACATGGTGCAAAGGAAAAAAGGCCATATTCATAACACATTTTAACACTGTAGAAGAATACACACATATATATATATGTATTTGTACGTGCAAATGTACATGTATATGTATATATACACGTATGTACAAACCCTCTGGTATTAGAGTTTCCCATTTTTTTCCCTTTTTTGAAAAAAAAAAAAAAAAAAAAGGGAAATATTTTTGGCTAAGGAAAAAAAGTAATTCAATAAATAGCTAATTAATTTAACTTGATACAACAAATGCATATTTGGTGAACATAAGCTTCAAAACATATATGTGTATACATGCGTAGGCATGGCACGGGTGGGTAGAGCTAGTATATTATAATGTGCCTAATCGCCCTTAAGTGTATATATATATGTACCCCCCGTGGCTATATGAATACTTATTCCGATAGAAATATTACATGCATACGCATAGTTACACAGACGTATTAACATTTATATGCATACCTATAGGAGTCGTACCAAATCTTTTGAGTGAAGCATTTTTAATCGAAAAAAGATAAGCCAAGATTGAATAATAGCACTGTTAAAAACGACCTTCAAAGAAGTACAAGCCATCCGGCATACATTTCATCCCCCCCCACCTCCATACGAACACATTTTGAATAGTATAAATTAATGACAAAATGAATATATTCAGACTAATAGGAGATATTTTGCATCTAGTAAGTATGTATATACTTATTATGAAGTTGAAGAAATCAAAAAATTGTATAGGGATATCATGTCGTATGCAAGAGTTGTATTTAATAGTCTTTTTATGCAGGTATGGGCAAATGAACCCTTCAATTTACCCTAGATGACAGGGCATAAAAAAAAAGAAAAAAAAAGTGTTTCCAGTTGTACATATATATATATATTTATATTTATACTGCATTTTTATCTTTAGTTGTGAAAATTTCCTTACTTTTAACCCCCTTTTTTTTTTCCGTTTTTCTCCTTTTTTTGCATATATCAAAAATTATAACTTCATGCGTCACGTTTATCTCCACCTCTTTTCAATTACCTTTTCAGATATATTGATCTCTTCTTCGTATTTGTTAGTTTTTACAACACAGTTATGAAAATAACATTTATACTGACCATAGCATATACAATATATCTAATCAGATTCAAATTGCCCATCTCGCAAACGTATAATAGAAAAGTCGATAATTTTAAGAGTGAAAAGTATTTAATCCCACCATGTCTAGGTAAGGAATACATCTTCTGCTACAAGAAATAAAACGGGAAAGAAAAAAAAAAAAAAAAAAAATTATAAACCCCTATGTTACTAACTTTTTCATGCCATATCTATATGCCATTTTTTAGTGTAATTTTTTTTCTTTTTTTTTTTTTTTTTTTTATGAAAAATGTCAAAGCCCAGTGTGTTACGCTAGTTTATGCGCCTACATTATTTTGATGAATATATATATATATATATACATATTTGTATGTGTTTGTACATATATGTTCCCCTATTCGTGCAATTTCATTTTCGTTTATTCATTACATTATACGTCTATCGTTTGTGCTCTCCAAACAAATTCATGACTTGATAACTTTATGTTGTTGCGTATGAAATAACATATGTGAGAGTAAGTTATGCTCAGACGCTTGCACCTTCACTTTGCTTCATGCATACATGCCTATACACATAAAAATATATGTACACATTTATGTTTTTTTTTTTTTTTTTTTTTTTTTTACTTTCCGCATTGCAGTTTTAAGCCTTTTAACGTGCAAAACATACAACTTGTACAATATTTTGTGGTCCTTTTCCATATGGCTTGAAAGTGTTGCAATATTGCCCCAATTAGTATTATTAGAAAAACAAAGAGAAGTAGAAAATATCACCTCACATTATGTTATTACCATGGGTATGTATAGAGCCTTCTACATTTTGAACTGGATATACAGATATTTTTTCGATGAAAAACCATACATTAATGTTGTTGGATGGTTAGGAGGACTTATCCAAACCTTATTGTACATTGATTTTTTTTACTACTTTGCGCTTGCTAAATGGTATGGGAAGAAACTGGTTCTGCCTTTTAACGGAGAAGTATAAACATTTATATTATATGCTATGGATATTTGTGAAGAACAGCATTTTTTCTGAAGTTTACAATTTATATAATGCTCAATGCTTGTAGAAATATACTAGGTGTAACGATTCGATGGACCAGTAGAACAATAAATAAATGCTGGTGATGAAACTAGAGAAACTGATTTTCAATACTTTTATATATGAGACTTTATAATAAATTCAATTTATTTTATTCGATATGGACATGAGATATGTGTTTCCTACACACAAAAAAATACAATCTGAATGAATACTTTCGTGCACATTATAGAATTGACAATGAAATGCATATGTTTAACACAATTCGTGATATATTATTATTTCATACATTCTGTGCCCCTTAATTGGGCATCCACCCCAAAACCATAGCAGACTCTGTATTATGCGCTATTCCTACTTTACCTATTTCCCATTCCATGTAAGAAATTTGAAAAAAGAAAAAAAAAAAAAAAAATAAATAGATAAAAAATAATTTGTCTCATTCATTTTCACATATACATATATATATATTATATATGTATGGTGGATGCTTGTGGTGGTTAAATGCATTCGCATGTATATGTATATGTTTATTTGCACATATTTGCCCATTCGGAAAGCGTGTACATGAAGCGTACATGTACATATATATACACACATACATACATATTCATTTCACATATATATTTATGGTGATACACCCCTAACCCCAAATATGCCCCCATTTTGTAATGATTTTTTACTCATTTTTTCTCCATCATACCACAATCTTTTCACATTATATCCCAACTATTTCTGTGATAACTTTTTTTAGTTTAATATATACGTAAATGTCTACCAAGCAGATAAATTACATGTATTGTACATGCGTTCATATAATATTACATATGCGTACGTACATATATTACATTTTTTTTTATTTCATATATATATAATTTAAATATATACGTGTATCACATATGCATATGTCTTTTTTTTAAGCGTGTATACATATATGTAAGCATGGTGCACATACGTATACGTGTGCGTATACTACGAATTTTTCCCCTCCCCCATTCCTCATTTTACAACTACAATTACTAAAATATACAAATTTTTTTTTTTTTTTCACTCCCTTTTTTTCATTTCTGTTTTTAAAATAATTATAAAAAAAAATAAATGGCTATTATGTATTACACAAAGTTATAATATAACAAATGTAGAATTTTTTTTTTTTTTTTTTTTTTTTTTTTTTTTTTGTCTTAAGAAAAAGTAAACGTATTTTTATATCATACGAATTTTGTTACGAAAGTTACTCAAAGTCTTGCTGCAAATTTTTTACATTTTTTCCAAGTGAAGGGCTGTGACGCTTTTTAAGAAACAAAAAATAAGAAGAAGAAAAAAAAAAAAAAAAAAAAAAAAAAGAAGCTTTAATGTTCATATGTACAGGGTGATATAATACCATGTTCATAATCTACAGAAATTTTGGTCTAATCTAAACCAATTTTTACAAAATGGATAAGTAAAAGTGAAACGGAGGAATTACCCAGTTACTGATTATGGATAAGAAAATGTTATGTATGTAGGTATACATGTTTGTATATGTATATTTTCCTTTGAATTAATTATACTTATGAAATTAAATGATCACAAGAAACCTACATATTATTATGTGCATCACCAATTATTACAACAATTATGCTTGAATAGATAATTGTGCATTAAATAGTGGTAAAATCCAAGTCAGAAAGAGTTTTATTTCTCAGGAGTGGCTTGGTAAATCTAGTCTTGCAAACACAACAAGAAATTCTGTCCTTCTTAGTTTGCTCATCCTTTTCAGAGCAGTAAATAGCCAAACAACATGAGCATATGTAAGCAATGTCCACCTGTTTATTATGACATGAACAAACAGCAATATTTGTGTCATCATTTAAGTAAGTATTTGAGAAATATTTTCTTGAAATTTTTGATGGAAGGAACCAAAAAATAATAGTCTGAGTTAATATATCTTCAATATGATCAGTACAATTAATATTGGAAAAAATACTATTATCAATATATAATCCATTAGTAATATTACAAATCTGTTCTAATAATTGTATTTTATAATTAAGTGAAAAAACATCTATTATTATACTATTCCTTTTTGCATTATATGCTATATTCATTAATTGCGTGTATTGATTTGTGTACACATAAGTTTGATTTGATATATCTAACAAAAATATTCTACTATTCATATTTTCATACATATTACGTATTCTATGATTGTAACATAATGCCAATGCAAATGCAGAAGATAAACTACTTTCCATAACTTTCTCAGTCTTATTTTCATCTATAAATTCAATTAGCTTATTATATGCCTCATCACAGAAATTAGTCTCTGTTAAATTGTTTTTTGCATACGATATGTGGTTTTCATATAATATTTTACAGTTTTTTAAAGATGTAGCTATAATACATATTCTTTCAGAATTACTCATGAGACAATAAAATCTTACAAATTGAAATACTGATTTTAGGAAATCTGATAACTTTAATGTTTTCACATTGTTCTTATCAAATTTTATCTTCACTCCTTCACACCATATCATGAAATTTATGTCCACTACCAAAATCAGATGATTTCTCGAAAGACGTTCATCGTTCGCCGTTTGACATTTCCCACTAATATCTTCATTTTTGTGCATTCTTTCAGTGAAAATAGTTCAGGTGGTGATATATTTTTCTACTTTTTCCTCCCCCTCTTCTTAACTTATTAATTAATCTTATATTCTTAATTTGATAAATTACTTATAAGCTATTTAAATTTTAATACAACGTCCTTATATCCAACACTGAAAACAAAATTTCTTGAATGGAACGAGATTCCATGAGTTACCTTTTTACATAATCCAGAAAAATTGGAAGTATTAAGAACTTGGGATGAGGGGGAATGAGAGTTGGAGAAAAAACTACCTTTGTGTGATGTATCAAAGGGTCCTTTTACAATATAGTGCTCATCTCTGAAAGATCTACTTTTATGACATTAACAAAATGGGGTGCAAAAATGGGATAGGACATTGTACATAAAACCTGTAAAGCACAGCAAAACAACGAAAAAATAACGATAATTAATCATGCTAAACGAACAAGGAAGGCAAAGATGAAGTAAAAAAAAAAAAAAAAAAAAAAAAGAAAAATTTCACAAACTTGTTTTTTTTTTCTTTTATATATATTACTAAAAAAAAAAAAAATGTTGCTTCCTTACGCATGTATCTATCCCTATGCGTGCATGTAGTTTTTTTACCCATATACTCTGTTCGAGCTTGAGAAAATATATGCGTACCAGTAACACCTTTATGATGCTGTTGCATTACGTGCGATGGAGCGAAGCTGTGATACTTCCTCGTTTGAGAAAAAAGAGAGTAGAGAGAGGAGGGATAAATAAAGAATAAAAATTAACATGTAAAGTAAAATACAATGGGCTCAAGAATTTGGCCTTTTAAGCATTTACAGATAAAAACCTCCAAACACCCATATATTTAAAAAAGTCCAGGAATATAGGAACACGTTATTTTTAATTTAAAAACCCTGCGAAGAAAGGCGGCAGTAAAATACTTTCGTCAAAATTCTGTAAATGTCCCAAGTGCATTATTGCCGACATTCATTTTTTAGAAGCACAGAAAAGGTCTAAAGTTTAGGCCCTCTTTATTTTTTTTTTTTTTTTTCTACATTTACACTCCTTTTTATTATATCTCCCAAATGGGCTTACGAAAAGAAATTCGGCATTGTAACAAGAAACAGCATAGTGACGAATGGGTTAACAAAAAATTTAAGACAACTACATGTGAATATGAACACATTTACATATATATATATATATATATATATATATATATATATATATATATATATGTACAAGTTCATCGTGGAGAGGAGAAAAAAATATATTGAGCAATTTGGAGGGTAGAAAAATGAAAGAAAAATAATGAAATTATTTTATGAAGCATATATATGTTTTTTATATTTGTGTTTCAATATTAATCGTACAATATTGCGTACATTTAACATGACATACCCACACATCACACATCCCTTAAAGAGTCAGAGGAGGATTGGAAGCATTTTGTTGTGTGTGTAATTTTCCTCATTCCCCTTTTTTTAAAAAAAAAAAAAAAAAAAAGTTCTACAGCACATTTTCTTGGAGCAACATTTTTCCACCAAACATTTTATGTCTGAACATAATGCGGAGAATTACATGCAAGTATGGGAATTATGGGCATTAATGGGACTTGTCAAATAGTTTCAAAAAAAAAAAATAAAATAAGTAGAGAAGAAGGAAAAAAGACAAGGGAAAGAGAGTCCATTTGGTCGGAATTAAAACCTCCCCCTGATCTATCTCTCAAAGTTGATCTAACCCGCTGTCCCAATATCCATCACAAGCTGTAGGTTCCTTTTATGCAATAAAGATATATCCACATGTTTCTGCAAAAGATCCGCATTTGTAAACTTCCGCAAGCATATAAAACAAATGTTAAAATCGTTGTTAATTTTACTAGAGTACTCATTTATTCTTTCTATTTTCCCAACATCTGAATTATTATGCATCTTGTTGGATTCATTAAAACCGTTTGTATAATTATTGTAATCCTTTGAACAAGTTGTAGTAGTAGTAGTATTAGTCGTAGTAGTAGTAGTGCTGGTCCATTGTCCCAGCCTATTATGTACCTTAGAGAGACTTTGTATCAAAGAATTCTTTGACTTGTATGCTGCTTTGTGATATCTATTGGTATTTTCTGTTGTTGCGTTTCCGATTCGACTAGTTGTCTTATTTAATTGGCTACTTTTATTATACACATTATTGTGGTTCCCTTTCTTATCTAATAATGGTTCCTGGCTGGGAGGGTCGTCGTTATCCTCATCTGCTGAATCAGTAGCAAAGTGCTTTTTAATTATTTCTTTACTTTTTTTTTCTACATTACTGGAACTGTTTTCGTTCATATTCATTTGTTCAAGATTTTTTTTCGATGCCAACGCTATCATTTTAGCCTTCTCCACTAGAGTTGATATTTTGGAAAATGTGGTATTTTTTTGCGTATCTTCACCATGGTTATGAAATAAAATGGGATCCGAGTCCTTTCCATGATTTTCTCTAGAACCAATCAGATTTCCAATGTCAGAATTTTCATTTCCTCCTGCATTACCTGCCAAACTGTTTTTACTAACATCCATTCTTTCATTCATTATGTTACTTTCAAGAGTTATTTCATAGCCATTGTCTGTTACCTGGTGGGAATTTTTCTCTAGGAAACGATTCTCCTTTTTCCCTTCAAATTGCTCGTTCTGGTCCTGGTCTGCAAGGGCCAAATTTTGCTCATGATATGACTGATCCTTGGCAGGTTTCGCAATTTCATCCACTTTACCCACTTTATCCACTTCACCCACTTCAGCAACCATGTTATCGCTACTAACTTGTTCATTTTCCATGTACATCCTGACAAGACATTTTGTGTTATCATTCCATATGTAATATCCCCTTGCGAGGGACATATAAAAATTGGTATTATGATCAAAGTAAATCTGATAAACAGGATGATAATAATATTGTGTGTTGGAATCAAAAAAAAATTCAGTGAGTGATGGTTTTTCGTTTTTTAAAATAATAATTTGTGATGACCAAAGGAGGAAATATGTGTAATTCAAAATATTCATCATGTTAAGAGCAGTTTCAATGTAACTAACAAAAAAATTGAAATATGGAATACAATTTTTTGTGTCTGTGGTTGTTGCTAATGATTTATTTATATTTAATTTTGCCAATTTTATGGAATGAAAAAAATATTCTTTTCCTTTTTCATACACATAATCTAATTTAAAATAATTATTTTTGTAACTGATGTAGTAATTTCCTTCTAACTCATTCATCATTTGTTCAGCATAGATGTTATTGTGAAATTCTACAAAACAGAATCCTTTTCTTTTATTTGAATTTCTTATGTCGTTAAACAAGTACAAATAATTCACATGTCTATTTTCAAAAACTTCATTTATAAAATTTAAAATATCTTTATTTGGAATATTTCCATCTATATCTTTCAAAATCAGCATATTCGTCTTTTCACCATCTCCGCTTATTTCCTTAATGGATGTTTCAAAATTTTCTTTAGAATTTTCTTCCAAATGTTGCAAAGTGGGAAACTTATTCAGCGGGTACACCATCTCCCCTTCATTTTTTCCTGTATCATGGAGATGCATTTCTCCTTTAGAATTCATCACATTACTACCACAGGGAATATTGCTACGGGAAAGTTCATCTGTGTGGAATGTGGTAAACATTGCTGTATCCATGTTAGCAGTTCCTCCATTGAAAAGATTATTTACTCCACCATAAGAAACATTTTCGTGGGGAATTCCACTTGTCATTACGACATTTTTTATAAAAACATTAGGTGTTGCTTTGTTTTCACATTCTACCATCTTAGCATCATTGGTTTTTGTTTCTTTGCAAAAGAAGCATGCTGTTCTACGAGAAAAGTTCAAGAAGTTACAATAAGAACAATACCAATCATAGAATTTTTTTAACGGTTGCTTACTATCTTCTACCAGTTTATTACCTTTTTTCTTCAGCTTAAAAATAGGGAATATGTACGAAATGTTGTTTCCCATTTCGATACAACAATTGTTTTTCTCATAAATAGAAAATAGCTTTGCAGATGCTTCATTCGATGGAAATTCTACCATGCAACAACGATCATCATTAATTTGATTATTTAACTGTGTAGTCAATATATTTAACTGAATATTATTAAAGTATGTATTATTTTTTATAAATTCTAAACCTTCTCTTACAAATAATTCATCCTTTACAGAAAAAAAAGACAATTTATTTATATATATATTATCTGGTAAAGAAAACGCATTACTTATAGCTATATTTCTAATAATCTCATCAATCTCTTCTTCCGTTATAGTTTCGCTTAATTTGTATATAAAAATAAATCTAGACAGTTCAATGTTATTCTTCATTTCCAGTACATCATTTATGTTGGTGATTTTACGAATTGTGTGCATGTCATGGTTTTGTTCACCATAGGCGTAACCACCATGGGTGTTACTACCACGGGTGTAACTGCCATGCTTGTGACCCCCATGAGTATAGTTAAACCTTGAGAATTCTCCATACTCATCTGTTTTTTCCCCAATTTTGTATTTCTTAGTTCTGTAAGAATGGTATTTATTTTTACTATCTTCTGAACGGGATGAATACTCACTTTCGCTATTTTCTATACTACTGTTATTATAAGACCTTCTTCTTTCACTTTCTTTATGTTTCGAATATAATTTGTAATCATTTTTTCTATCACCATCTTTGCTATATTTGTAATGATTTGTCCATCCTTTTCGATTTTTTCTATCTTCATCATCTGTTCCCCTATTGTTATATTTTTCATAATGTTCTCCGTCATTTTTGTTTACATGTCCTCTTTCTGAACTACTCATTCGGTTGTTGTATCTTCTTTCTTCATACTTTTTCTTTCCCCTCTTGAAGTCATAGCGATCTTCATCATATTTTCCGTACTGATGATCGTCGTAGCTTCGTTCAGATTTTTCTCCATGCTTCGATTCATACATATCACTGTATCCACCCCCTCCTCTATCTCTGTACTTATCATAATATTTTCTGCTAAAATTATCTTGATACACATTTCTGCTCTTTTCATAATATTCCCGATTCTCATCCCTTTCATCCATTTCTCTTTGATCCCTATCCGATGATTCTCCTCCCTTTCCTCCTTTGTATGACTTTACTTTCACCTTCTCAACGCTATGGAAATATTCATCATCGATTCCGTCATCTCTGTACCTTTTGTTCTTCGATGACATTTCCTTCTGGGCCTAGTATATATATATATGTAATATATATTAAGTTGGAAATTTCTCCCCCTTGTGTTTTTTTCTTCCTCACTTAGGCTTGGACGCTGAGGTTGCCTAGTCCCCTTTGGCTCCTGTTCCCGTTACTTCTCCCGCCTTATTTTTCTGCCTTATTTTTCTGCCTTATTTTTACGCCTTATTTTTCTGCCTAATTTTTCTGCTTAATTTTTACGCCTTATTTTTCTACCTAATTTTTACGCCTTATATTTTCGGATCTACTTCTTCCACTTTAGCTGCTTCGTTTTGCACATTGGTTAATCTTAAATTGACTTTTGGCCTATGGGTGACCGTAACATCAAGCAATCGCTTAATTATTTTTATCTACATAAAAAAAATATAATAATAATGATAAGCAATAATAAGCAATAATAAGCAATAATAAAAATGAAGTTAAGCAGCCTTTTAATAGTTCCCCGCTTTATTCCATTTTATTTCTACTTTAATGGAATTATTACCCAAACTTTTACAGCCAGAACATGCACAAGTGGTAAGCAATCCTCCTCATTGGCAATGATTTAAGGGCCACTTCTGTTCACTGGTGACTTCGGAGGAAGTAGTGAAAGTAATTTATGCAGTAGAAAGAGGAGGAGAAGAAAAAAAAAAAAAAAAAAAAAAAAAAAAAAAAAAAGGAAAAAAAAAAAAACTTCATTCAGGGAGGGCATTAAATAGGGAAAAAATACATCATTTTATTTTCATTTATTTTTTTTTTTTTTTTTTTTTTCTCTTTCGTTACTTTTCCTATATGTGCTTATGAGAATATTTTTTTGCCGCATGTTTATACCAACGTTCATCATGAAGCTATGCAAACCTTATAGTCCTTTTTTTTAAATTTATTGACATATAACCTCCCCCTTGCCCCTATATATAAGTATTTATGTTCCACATTTACATTTTACGAATTGGGGCAGAAAATGAAAGATATAAAAATCAAACACATAGAGGATTATTTTCCTGTTCGTTAAACCATAGAACAAGTAAAATTTTAAAGTTTGTGATTGCACGAGTGTTCCAACCCCAATGACTCACCAATAATTTGTGTTCTCATGTATCGATTTATAGATTCATGAGTGCATGTTCATGTGCCCTTGAACGTGTGAAAGTACTCGACAATGCATACGTGCATATGTAGAGGTTGCTTGACAGAAAATGTCTCCTCCTTGAGAAAGTCTTGAATCACGACCACGCCTTAGCGAAAACACATTATAATACTAATTATAGCTGAATCATAGCTGATTCGTAGCTGATTCGTAGCTGATTCGTAGCTGATTCGTAGCTGATTCGTAGCTGATTCGTAGCTGATTCGTAGCTGATTCCCAGGTGCATCCTATGAGATTACATAGTACAAATAATGGATTTTTTTACTATCATTTTTATTTTGTTGATATTATTTTTTATATTTGATTATAATTTTTGCTCAAAGGGGTTAGTTTTTTACATAGGAAATAAATCGTTAAGAATTCTCAAAGGGTAAAGACAATAAAAAATAGCAACATAAGTGCATTTATAGCGTCTCATATTTTTTACCTATTTATTCTCTCGTTTACACATCTTATGTACCATTTTATTTGTTTGTTTTTTTTTTTTTTTTTTTTTTTTTTTGTATACTCCACTTGACGCATACGAACTCGACTTCTTTTTCATGACACTCCTTAAAAAGTTCCTTTCCGATGGGAGATGAATATGTTGAGATATTTCTCCTTGTTTATTATTGCAAATGCATTCCTAATTTCACATTTCTCTTGATTCTCTTTTCCACTGAACAGATGCAATAGCTTAGAGAGAGTCTATCGGAGCCCAATTTATCTGATGCATCCGTTGTTGCAACAATTGTTTGTCCACATATTTTTTTTTTATCTAGAAAAAAAAAAGACATTTGTAAATAATATCATAAGGGGAAAAACAGAAGAAAAAAGCAGAGAAATAAAGAAAAGTTATGATGAGAAAAAGTGGGATGGAATAATACTACATGTTCTGCAATATTTAATAACAACTACAAGGGAAATTAAAAAATATATACAAAAGAAAATATGGCATATATTTTTTTTTATTATTGAATATACGGAAATTTACCAAAATATTTGTTTAAAACCGCATATCAATACAAGAGAAGTTCTTAATAATAACAACTTTGGAGTTGTAATAGTAGACTACTACTTACCCAATTGTACTGTCAAAAAAAAAAAAAAAAAAAAAAAAAAAAAAAAAACAAATTCAGATAATTTGAAAAACGATATATGTGATATTGATTTGTACGATTTGGTAAATATTAAACAAGAAAAAAAAATTAAACTTATTTTAATTGACCAAAAATGGAAAACAGCATTAAACATAGGACCCATAGATGATGTTGCCAGCGTGCGCTCCCTGTATTTACAAGATACTGTTTTGATTCAGTATTTCCAATTCGCGTGCATATTTAAGGAGGAATTTTTGAAAAAGTCAGGCGAATCAGATGGTAAAAGGGAACCCGATGGAGGCCAAGTAAAGGAGCAGACTCAAGGAAATTCGAAAAGTGTGAACCGAAGGAATTGTGAAAAGAAGGGAGGAGAAGCTGAAGAAGCAGAAGTGGAAGAAGCGGTAGTGGAAGAAGCAGTAGTGGAAGAAGCAGTAGTGGAAAAAGCAGTAGTGGAAGAAGCAGTAGTGGAAGAAGCAGAAGTAGAAGAAGCAGTAGTGGAAGAAGCAGAAGTAGAAGAAGCAGAAGTAGAAGAAGCAGATGGAGCAGGACAATCCATCTCATCAAAGAATAACCAAGTCCAATGTGACCACTTTGGAAGATGCAAGGAAAAAAATTATGATCTGTGGAATGAAAGTTCAGAAGAGTTAATCTTGCGTAACCATGCTGACAGGAAAGATATCTTTCAAAGACAGCTCGTGGAGATACCCTCAGATAAGAAAAAGGGTGAACAAAAAGAAGCATCCCGAACGAAAGAATCATCCCTAACGAAAGAGAAACCCGATGGTACCTACAGCAACGAGGAATTTTGCAAAAGAAACAAAAGCATCGTAGAAGACAAAATAAGAACCGATATGAATAAGTGGAAATACAAAAATATAAAAGGAATAATCGTAATTGTCCCAGAAATATATTACAATTATGTAAACATAGAAGAAATGAAAAATAGTATTCCCTTGTACTATGTTTTAGCTAAAGACGTCAAGGTAGATTCTTTTACCGTTATTGCAAAATTGTTGGGATACATCTGTGTGCATGTACATATTAACATCAATTTTGGCATGTCAATTCCCTTTATTTTTAGTAATAAAAATACGAACATATTGAATATTGCCAATGTGGAAAACAGAAATTTTTTTTACGACAATATGAAGAAAGAACACATTCAAGCAAATGAACAAGATAGGTTCCATTTTCAAGCTGAAGAAAGTGCACAGAAACAGGGGGATAAGAATGGAATATATAAGAGAGGTAGTATTTCCGATCATTCCTTTAATCTAGATTATCATAATAATGTGGAGAGAGAAATTGTTCACTATGATGAGAAGCACGAACATTCCCATCAACAAACCAAAAAGGGGATCGGTGTCAAAAAGAGCCCCTTATATGAGGGAGACTCAGAAGAAAAAGTAAAAACTTGCACAAATATAAAAGCTCGGGAGAATGATTGTGGAAATGATGGAAAATGGAACAATTCCCAATTGAGTTCCCCGCTTTTCTCATGTCCATTTTCCTTTTTCAATGACAATTACAATGATTTAAATATTGCTATAACGCACTTTAAGTATATTTTCAAAAATCACAATTTTGTTTTCGTAAGCTTCAATGAAGGCACAAATATTTTGTTACAGTACTTTTTAGAAAAAATATATAAAAAAAAAAAAAAAAAAAGTACAGGAGAAAATACAAAAATTCCCCATTTCAATGTACATAATGCAAGCCCTTATAAATATCCTTTATCAAATTATAAACCAAAAGAAACGAATGATAATGATGTGAAATTGGATCCATTTAAAAATGAAAGCAAAGGAGAAAAAAAAAACAAAAAAAACTCTAACATTGTGCAGACAAATAAAAGTGAAGATGAAAGCGAAATGATAAATCAACAAAGTTACAAAAATAATATTATGAATATTTTTTTTAAAGAAAAAAAAAAAGTAGAAATTGAGGATGAAAATATTAGAGATTGCTTTAAAGAAGTGAAAAAATGGCATATTGAAAATTTGACAACTGATATGAAACCAAAAAATAGTGAAAGTTCCAATATACAAAAAAAAAAAAAACATGTACAGACAGAAGAAAAGGGGAATATAGAAAGTACAACAAATGGTGTGATCAAAAATTTGAATAATCCTAAAGGAAATGGTAATGCACATGATGAAATGGCAGATATACCAGTTATACGTGTACATGGCGTAGATGACGAAATTGGGAATGTTATAATGACACACAACAACGGTAATGTAGTGAATCAATTCGATTCAGAGGGAGTAGTGGCTAAAGACAAGGTTGATGAACAGGGAGAAACAAAAAATTATTGTTCCGATTATGTAGATTATCCGATGGAGGGAAACGAAGAAGCAGACTTCAGACACACACAAGAGCGAGGAGAAGATAAATCTAATAATGAGGCAGATATTTTAGGAAAAAAAAAAAAAAAAAAAAAACATATAGAAAAAATAAAAAATATGAAAGAAAAGTGGAAAAAGAAAAAAATAGAATCTTTTATGAATATATCAAAATTAAATTTTTTTAACAAAAGCAAAGAACACATTTGGGGGAAAAATGATTTCATAAAGGAAAGCGAATTTAATGCAGTGACACCAACAGATGAAGATAGGGAGTTGTATGGAGATATATTTAAGTACAACTTGAAAAGTATCAAAAGTGACGAAAACAGTTGTAAGGGTAGCGCTGATTGCAGTAATTATGACTGCGTCAAACGACCAAGTATATATTTGGCCAACTTCACTTCATTAGATGGAAAAAAAACGAATAGTTATGAGGCTATCACCTCTATTACCACGGCAAACAAGGATTGTGAGGGTGCTCCAAATGGTGATCTGAATGGTGATCTGAATGACGATCTGAATGACGATCTGAATGACGATCTGAATGACGATCTGAATGACGATCCGAATGACGATCTGAATGACAATGTAGATGGAGAAAATAACAGGAGGGATATCTGCAAGATGGACCGAAAGAACGAGGAGGAAAATGAAAGAGAAGGATATAAACCGAACGAAGTTCCCAATTTGGAAAAAAATTCGGTAAAAAAAAAAGAAAAAAAAATGATGAAATTAAATGTTTTAGACAAATTCAGAAATAAAGAAACAAAAATGATAAAAAAAGGACAACAAGGAGAAGATGCGTCAGGCATTTCACAAAAATTTAGGTACAGTTTTTTTCGAATAAAAAATAAAATTACGAGCAATTTTAAAACATCTGAATGTAAAAAGCATCAACAAGAGAAAAAAAGTGTGGATAGAGATAAAATGATGATTCATTCATTTATTAAAAATAAAAATGCACAAATTGCAGAAGAAAACATTGATTACTCTTCTGATGCTTCTACTTGTGATGAATATGGGAAAAAAAACACAAAAGAAATCTGCCTATTAGTCAACTTTTCATACAATAATATGTTTGATATATTTAATTACCCTGATAATTTTACGGAAACGTCACAAAAAAAATTTTCCATAATTCATAAGATATTTTATTCTTTACATATATTTTTTAATTCATTTTCCACTTTAATAAAACAAAAGTATTTCTTCTCCTCTACTTGTGAGCTAACTAAGTTTTTCAAGGTCTCTTTATTTCATCATGCCAATTTAGAAGCACGAAGTGACTTTTCCATGGATGACAACTTGAAGTGTAGTTTGCTCTTTGGCATGCGAACTGGAGAATCAGCACAGAATTTCCAGTCAGCACAAAAATGCATTAAAGGGTTAGATAGTGGAGATGGGAAAATGGTATTAGATGAATACTTCTCAAAAAGAAGAAGTAACAACCAAAGGAAAAGTGAAAATTTTTGCTTCCATAATGAACCGTGTAATACAGGTACATTATCGCTAGTAGAAAATAATAAAGAGATATCTGTTCAGAATGATCGTACTAAAAGACACAATGACGAAGACCCTCTTTTGAACAACTTACACAGTAGTGACTTCAATAAAGATTGTAACAATCTAAATACATGGTGCAATCCAAGAACCAAAAAACGCTTCCTTAGCGTAAGTAAATACACATCATACAGTAATAATAATCACATTAATCATGTTACCAATTCTTATAACAAACATAACAGTGGCAATAACACTGTTCGCAATGAAACCAGTAACAGAAATCTTGATATTGATCATACGCAGCTTACAAGTGATAAAAATTATTGCCATATATTTAACAAAGCCAATAAAAGTCTAGAAATAGCATCAAATTATAGCTTCTTAAGAGAGGGTTACTTTTTTTCACAAAATTCTTATGATGATTTTCATCATTGGGGGGAAGAAAAACTTAATAGTGCTTATGTGTTCCCTTCAAATAGTAATAACGATATTGTGAAAAAGTCAAAGAAAGTGGCAAATGCCTCAAGGATGATGCTTGATCGAGACTTTCAAAAACAATTTTTTGAAGCAAATATATCATTAGAGGGTGACGAAAGCATAAGAACAGATGGAAAAATAAGTGTCAATTCTGTAAATTATAATTCTTTTTTCCACTTGGATAATTTATCCAATTTGAAGAAAAGGTCAAAAAGGGAATCAATTTTAAAGAATATGTACAGGTGTGTTAACAAAGAGAGTACGCAAAGCAATGAAGAAGAAATGAGTAAATGCTACAGGAAAAATACTCTATGTGACGAATCGTTCGAAAACGCTTTACGAGCTTATTTTAATATAAAAAGCATGTATGGCAAGTGGAAAATATATTTTGAAGAGAATAAATTTGAAGGAAATATGCAAGAAAAGTTTTTGTTTAATTTGTCCTTCATTTATAATGTTTATAATTACTTAATATGGATATATATATGCACTTATTTTAAGGAGGAAGCATATTTCAACTTTTGTGATAGCCATAAATTTTATCAATTTATGAAAGAAATAATTACTCTTAATGATAGAAAAGAGTTTAAAAGAAATAGCAGTTTTGTGTCTACTACTGACAAGTTTTTCACCATACCAAATTTTTTCCATTATAAGGATTACAAATTGATAAAATTATTTTTTTATTTATTACAAGATTCAGCTAATCAGTTCATTTCGAAAAATATCGAACATTTTCAATTTCCCCTAATTTTTATCTTTTGTTTGGATTCCAGAAATTTTCATTTTACACATTTTGATATTATCAAAATTTCAAAAAACAACAACCTTATTTATTTGTTGTATAAAAGGGGGAATGAGGGATTATTTTTGTCTGGTTTCAGGCCGTACATATGGATACACAAGGTCCTCTTTGACTTTGTAGAATCTTTGTTTTTATCGACATTTGATAATTAGAGAGTTTGGACTGGTAAGATGTGCAAACATAGGAGAAGCGCTGTGGAGAAGAAATAAAAGATGGAAAAAAGTGAAAAAAAAGAGGAATCTTCCTTTTTTTTGTGTATCAGATCCTGGCTTGTGTCAGATAAATATCCTTATATTTTCCTACTGGAGTATACTTTTTTACACACGCTTGAATTTTATTATTTTATTTTATTTTTTTTTTGTTGCCACCATAGGGGGGGGAAACACGTCGTCCTTCACCATTGTAATGCGTATTTTTTTTTTTTTTTTTTTTTTGTAATTTTGTGAATGAAACAACTATGCTTTTCATTTTTTTTTTTTTTTTTCTTCTCTTTTTCTTCCATTCTGTAAATGAAACAATTATGCTTTTCATTTTTTTTTTTTTTTCTTTTTCTTCCATTTTGTGAATGAAACAGTTGTTCTTTTCTTTTCTTTTTTTTCTCGTTATTCTCCGATCATATGTGTAAACTTTTCCGAAACTGCACCAAATCCTACTCCTCTCTACCCCTTTATCTGGGGATGAGGGGGAACAAAACTTATTAAAGAAAGCATATTGATGTGTATTAAATAAGGGTAAATGCACTATCTCATTTTTACCGCTAGTGATAAACAGTAGACTTTTACGTACGGTCTGCAATATATTATCTGAATGGTATTAAAATTGTGTATTTGTATCTGCGCTTCGGGTAAAATTTTGAGCAAAAATTGGTAAAGTGGAAAAAAAAATATACGTATATTTATGTACATAGGGGAAAGGTATAATACATACACTCCAAAACATACGTGTGTATACACGCATGTGTGAACCCACGTGATGAACCGATTTAACAATTTATCGATACGTAGAAAATAAAATGAAAGGGGGAAAAAAAAAATCACAATGAGGTAAAGTAATTTTGTTGATCACTGTGTTCGGCAAATGATAATGGGCAGTTTGCAGCTGGAGCCGTTCTTATGCACTCTGCATTTATCTGAGGAATGACATAAAAAAGCGCATATAATGTGTACATATACATATATATGTATATGTATACACGTCTAAATGGATGAAAACTCATCAGTGTGCATAAAGGTACACATTCCTTTGAATGTATAAATGCGGGTGGGGAAAAATTAACCTCAATCAGTGATCTTTTAACAAAAAAAATAAAATAGAAAAAGAAAATGGTAGCGTAAAGAAGTAACGTAAAATAGTGGAATAAAATAATGGATTCAAATAATGGACTTAAATAATGGAATCAAACAACGAAATAGAATAATGAAATAGGATAATGAAAAATAATACATTGAAATAATACATTGAAATAAAATAATGAAATAAGATAATGAAATAAGATAATGAAATAAGATAATGAAATAAAATATTGCAATAAAATGACGAAAGTAATAAGCTCAATTTTGGGACTTCATTTCGATAAGCCTTTGGGCAAACTTCTTGTGGTTAAAATTATCAGGGTTTATCTGGACAGCCTTATTCTGATAAGAAATTGCTTCATTTAGTTTGCCTAAGTTATCATAACACGATGCAATGAGGGATAAAACTTCGGTATGATTTGGCTCTATTTTAAGTATAGCCTCAAAATATGAAAGAGCAATGTTGTTATCAATATATCTGTACAAATTTCCTAATGAAAACAAAGTTGGAATATGATTAGGTTCAGCGTTGAGGATTATTCTAAAGGTATTAATGGCCCTTTCTGTGTCATTCATTTGTTGAAATAAAACCCCCTTTTTATATATATAATCAATTTTTGATGGATTATATGAACAAGCTTTGTCATAATAAAATAGAGATTTTTCTATAAAATCATGTATACAACAAAGGTCCGCAATTTCGTTATACAAAGAAGCAATTTTGTTATTTATGGAAATAGCTTGATTATTATCATTCGGTGAAGTAGAAACATGATTTTTTTCATTTTCTTTTTCTATATAACTATTTTTTTCCCAACTAGAATTTAATGATTTGTTTTTTGCTAATTCTTGTGGTCTTATTTCAAATTCGAGAACATTTTTATATATCCTAGAATTGTTTTCTTTTATTTTTTTTAACATTTTTAATGCTTTTAAATATAAATTCATTGCTTCTTTATAATTACAATTGCGTATTCCTCTTGCTTTTTTAATTACTTCCCGTATAGCATCTTCCCTACAATAATTGTCTTCTTCATCACTTGAGTATTTATCCCTGTCAAGCAATTTCATGCTAGCATAGTTGTAATATTCTAAATTTTTGCTACCAAATCCTCCCATTGTATCTTAGAGATCTACAAATTTTTTTTTTTTTTTTTTTTTTTTTTTTGTCTTATCGCTCTATCCAATATTCACAACATAAACCCTCTATTTGTCTATCTTTCGTCTATCTTTTTTATGTTTGATATTTTTTCTTATCTGTTTGTCACACACAACAGGCGTTACGACGGTCGTATGTTCTCTCGTTACTGTTTCATATACTACCTAAGAAAAACAGGAGTCAACCCCCCTTTTCATACGAAACATGTGCATACGTATGTACGTGTGCGTAAAGGCATATGAATACATATACACGTATTGTGATTTGATTTCTTCCCCTAGGGTTATAAGTTTTCACTATCTCAATTTTGACAATTCGGAAACGTTGCTAGTTTTATCTTTTCTCAAATCATTCTGTAAAAAATAAAAAATTGGAAAAAAAAAATAAAAAAAATCGAGAATGTAAGTAGAACGGCTTATTTTGCCTTTTGCTTATTTTTTTAAAATTAATCAATCATGGATTTAATGTGGAAAATATTTTTATGCAGTGGTGAGGAGACAAGGAATGTATTTGAAAATTCATCCTCTTAAAGTTTTGCTTATATTCTGTGTTTTCATATGTATACTTTTGTCATATTACGCGCGATAGCAAAAATGGGCAAATAACTTTTTGGAAATTTTGTGGGACGAAATAAAAATAAAAGATAAATAACTAAATAAACAGTTAAACAGTTAAACAATTAACTAAATAAAAAGTTAAATAATTAACTAAATAAAAAGTTAAACAAATAACCAAATATACAGTTATATAAATAACCAAATAAACAGTTAAATAAATAACCAAATAAACAGTTAAATAAATCATTAAATAAATAAACCGTTATTCGTTTCACACAAAATCTGGAGTTCATATCATTTACGCACTTTTATGCAATTTTTGTGCATACTTTGCACAACATTTCATAATTTTCCTCGTAGGCGTAAAACACCTCATTGCAGCGCGGTTAAGATTAAGTATGTATGCAAATAATACGCAAACTTATCAAAAGTGAAATAAGACAAATGAAAGCAGAAAACGTGCATACGGGAGTGAGTATTTACATATTTAAAGGAGTTTTTTTTTTTTTTTTTTTTTTTTAAATGTGCGAGAAGTGCATCACGTGAACAAATACGATTAAATATGAGTAACTGCAGGTAGCATGAATTTACACAAAAGGAAAAATATCAGAGATAAACATTCTTGTAGCATATATATAATGCACAAACATTTCCCAATCCAACCATGAGGAAAAATAACATGAGATACCCCAATTTATTTCATTTTTTCGAGTTTTTCAACTTTTTTTTTTTTTTTTTTATGCCATTTTTCCTATAAGAATGTCGTAGAATGCTCATTTCAGTAATCCTCTTTACGCTTGTGATAATTAGAATGCAGAATAATTCCCCTTTGTCTTTTTTCCATAAACATCACTATGCGAGTGTTAACTGTCTGGGCATATCGTTCATTATTTATTGTATATTAATAAAACATAGGGGAATATATGATATTGTGTCGACGAGAGTTTTTCTTTTTTTTTTTTTTTTTTTTTTTTTTCCACCTTCCCACAACTTTTTCACATGTACGTCTGTGTATACATTCACTAATTTACTTAAATCCCCTAATTTTTATAGTTTACATGGACTTTATCCTTTTAATATAATGACGTAAAATTAATGTCTGTGTGTAGGTTTTCTCCATTTGCAATTTTTATAAATTTTTTTTTTTATTTTTTTTTTTACTTCCCTAGAGTGAAGAAAGTATAATGTACTAACACGGATCATGTCAAAACAGATGTAAGTGTGCCTTTTAGGAATATATATATGCTTGCAACCATTAAAAATGAGAAATATGCATATATATTCCCCACTTTTATTTCAATATGTCAAAAAGAAAAATACATATATATGATAATACTTATCCAAATAAGTTTTTAAAAAGGGAAAGAAGGTTAGTAAAAATTTCCTGTTTTTTCTTTTTTTTTTTCATAATCTTATCATAGTCCCTTAAATAAGTTAAAAGACAAATTTATGTCTAATAGGTGTTTTATGAACAAATCATAATTTCTGCTTTATGAGCTATTTGGAACTTTCTTCACATTGTCAAAAAAAAATAACCTTGATCCACAAAAGAATGACATTTTATTTTATTTTATTTTTTTCCACTTTAATATAAAAAAGACTTGAAAGAGAAAAGTAAAAATTTGTTTTTTGATAGTAATGCCCCTTAATAATGAAGACGATTTTTTCAAAAATTAGTTTTCCTTTAGTCATATTGAAATTATTTCTTTCATAAATGTTCCCAACATATTAAGCATATTAAAATTGAAAATACCACTGAATTTTATATGATCTTTTTTTTCTTTTTTGATTCATCACATACGATGCACTAAATGCAAATCCGAGAATATTCCTTACAAGTTTGATTCTGAAAAGGCTGTGCTTAAATATAGACTGCAATCTGCAAAAAGGCCATAAAAAAAAATTTTCACTTTATATTATCTTTTTTTTTTCTTTTTTTTTTTTTTTTTTTTATTTTCCACTTTTTACCTCTTCTCGATTGTAACATTTCTCCCATTTTATAAATTCTCATTTTTGATAATTATTCAGTAACCTTATTTTCCCTCTCAACCGTTTTTATCATAATTCTTGTAGCATTAAAAATATTTTTTAAATAAGGAAAAAAACAAATTCGAGTTGAAAACACAATATCTATATACACTTTTTGCAATTTTTTTAGGAAAACCTTTTAAAGTTATCTTTTTATCAATATTTCCCATTGTTTTAATTTTTTCTCCTTCTGTTATTTAGGGTATCTATTTTTTTCCCTTTTTTCTTATCTTAATCCTTGTAAACATCAAATGACGCAAATCCGCAATAACCATTAGTTTTTACAAAAAATGAACAACCTCCCTTTTTTTCGTAAACATATATAATTCATTTGAATAAATTTTTTTAAAAAAAATGTAACCTTTTGGAAAGTAAAAAAAAAAAAAAAAAAAAAAAAGGAAGGAAGGAAGGAAAGAAAGAAAGAAAGAAGGAAAGAAAAAAAAAGGCGTAATCATTAAGATAGATAGTTACACCTTTTTTCAGCCAAAATTGCTACTTTGGCTTATTTCATTTTACCTATATAGATGCTAACGCATATTTATGCGTGCACCTGAACGGTCCTTCAAGTTTATTTACATATATAACAACACGAAGTAGTGTCAAGGGGAGAAACACAGTTTCGACAGTTCGAACATATCGGCCCTACCCCATATAACCATTACTAAAAGTGAAGAAAATAATGGATAAGGAAAAAACAAAAATGGAGGAATGTGACCACACGGATAAGGATGATGAATCTGTTAGTGACGATAACAATAAGAAGGACGAATCTGAAAAAGGGGTAACACTAAATACAATGGAAAAGAAAAGAGGTGAAAAAAGAAAATTGAACATTATTGAGGACAAAAATTTAAGTGGTAACGAAATAGGAGACGAAATAACTTGTATGAATAACTTAGAACATATGGGCAGTGCCAATAGAGAGTCTGAAGAATGCCAAAGCAATGAAAATGAATGTAAATCGGGAAGTTCGAAAAAGAACTCGGATAATTGTTATGAAAAGGAAAATGCCGATGCAGATACAAATCCAGACCCAAGCACAAATTCAGATGAGAAGCTTAATGCTGCATCAAATGATATCTCCAATGAGAAAAGCAAAACTACAGAGAACAACGCACCCACACTTGATATTGAAAAAAAAGAAACATTTTACAGTCAAACAAAATTCGAAGAACTAAACATATGTGAATCATTAAAAAAAGGATTAAAGGAGCTAAATTTTGTAACCCTAACAGAAATTCAAGCCAAATGTATTCCACATTTTTTAAACGGAAAAGATATACTAGGAGCAGCCAAAACTGGGTCAGGAAAAACCTTAGCATTTCTTGTACCATCCATAAACATTTTATATAATATTAAATTTTTACCAAAAAATGGAACAGGAGTATTAATAATATCTCCAACAAGAGAACTATGTCTTCAAATATATCAAGTATGTAAAGATTTATGCAAATATATTCCCCAAACAAATGGGATAATTATCGGTGGAACAAGTAGGAATGAAGAAAAAAAAAAATTTATTCATGGCATAAATATATTGATTGCAACACCCGGTAGATTACTAGATCATATGCAAAATACAAAAGAATTTATTTATAAAAATTTAATATCCCTAATTATAGATGAAGCCGATAGATTGCTTCAAATTGGTTTTGAAGAAGAAATTAATTTAATTATAAAAAGACTACCGAAAAAAAGACAAACTGCCTTATTTTCAGCTACTCAAACAACCAAAGTCGAAAATTTAATAAGGCTTTCTCTTCAGAAACCTGTATTTATAGAAGTAACAACTAAAATTGCCACTGTTGAAAGATTACAACAAGGATATGCTTTAGTTGATGAGGATAAAAGATTTCTTTTGTTATTTACATTTTTAAAAAGAAATCTTTCGAAAAAAATTATGGTCTTCTTTAACAATTGTATGTCTGTTCAATTTTATAACGATTTGTTAAATTATATTGATATACCTACCTTTTGTATTCATGGAAAAAAAAAACAAAATAAACGTCTTAAAAGTTTTAACGAATTTTCCTCAGCGCAAAGTGCTATTTTATTATGTACAAATGTTGCTGCTAGAGGATTGGATATTCCTAATGTTAATTATATTATTCAGTATGACCCCCCAGATGATTCCAAAGAGTATATACATAGAGTAGGTAGGACATGTAGAGGAAAAGATTCAAGTGGTTCTGCTATCATATTTCTTATGAAACATGAATTAAAATTTTTAAACTATTTAAAATTTTATAACATCCCAATTAATCAATTTTCGTATGACCCAAGTAAGCTCATAAATGTGCAATCGCACATACAGTCCATTGTTACTAAAAATTTCCACTTGCATAAGATGGCACGGGATGCCTTTAAATCATATTTAAATGTAAGTTCGTGCACAATGTGTCGCACAAAAAAAAGAAAAATAAAATAGAATGTCCCATTGTTATGTGTACATTTTTTTTTTTTTTTTTTTTACATACAGTTGCTTTTAAAAGAATTACTATTCTGTTTGTTACAAAATTTTCGATCTGTCGTGTTTACATGTGTATGTGTGCATACGTAAGATCCATTATACATCAAGATACACATATACACATGCATAGATAATAATTCGGCATAATATGTCTATTACTTTGTTTCTTTCTTTAGGGTTACATTACCTATGCACTGAAGGATGTTTTCGACGTGAACAATTTGAATTTGCTCTTGACTTCGAAGAATTTTGGGTTGGAAGTTCCACCAAAAGTTGATTTAAATTTAAAATTAAATGTCAAAAAAAGGAAGTTTAAGTAGGAAAAAAAAAAAAAAAAAAAGGCGGGGAAAGTCTGCATTTTGGCATACACATATGTATAGGTGGATGTATATATACATGTGCACGTATACGTGAACGTGTATTCATGTATACACTTTGAATTTGTCCTCTGTGCATTATTCTTGTGAAGAAAATGAATGTGTATGGTATTTTTATCATTCCCACTTGTTCATGTTGTTTGTGCATGTGAAACACTTGAAACATTTGAAGCATTTGAAATATTTGATATACTTGATACACTTGATATATTTACCCCTTTTGTTCGTCTTTTATAATTTTATTTGTTTTTTTTGCTTTTTTTTTCTTCATGCTAGCATTGGCAAGTGTTATTATTGAGTCGTTATTCCCTTTGAGGAGGGGGTGAATCACCATGTATCTAATTTCCTTTAAATTCCTTTCATTATTTTTCATTTTTTTTTTATTTTTTGTTTATTTGTTTTTTTTTTTAAATTAACGAGTTTGGTTAAATTCTCATAATAATCTATTTTCTTCAATTTCTCTTTTTCTATGTTTTCTAATTTTTCCTTTTCCTGAACCAAATGTATGGTGTTATGTTGCATGTACCTCCGCGCTTACAAAGGTGTATAATATTTATGAATAATTTCATGTTTTCATATTTGTATATATGTGCATGTAAACACACTCAGATTCCTTATTTATTTTTTTTTTTTTAAATTAGTACATATAGTTGGTGTATTTTTTTCGAATTCTCTGCCTCTATTTGGCCTTCCCTTATTAGCTCTATTTTTTTCTTCTTTTTCAATTCCTGTAAAAACATGAAGCATAGCATAGTAAGACATTGCACTTGAAAGGAAAGTATAACACTACTAATGGAGCTGTAAAGATATTCCTACATATGTGGCACTTTTTCTAAACCCAACGCATGTCTCTAACCATTGCAACTAGTCTAGATTTTTTTAATTCCTCTATTTTCTTTTTTTTTTCTTCTTCCTCCAAAAGTCTTTTTTCTTCTTCCTTCCGCTTGGCTTCCTTTTGCCACCTGTAAGTGGTAAAATTTTCAAAAGACACAAATGATTTTACACAATAAAAAGAAAGACATAATTTCTCTATTATAATGTATCGTTTGCTATGAAAATATAAATCAATACTTAATAGCTTGTATTTCGTCAAAATGAGCTTGTAATTCCACATTTTTTTTCTGTTTCATTCGTATTTCATGAATTTCTTTTTCTTTTTCTTCTTTTTCTCGTTTCATTTTTTCATCGTGTTCCTTTTCTCTCTTTGCCTTTTCCACCTGGTATTTTATATATCTACATTTTTTTTTTTAAAGAAAAAAAAAGTTGAGTAAGATATGTCCTTGCAGATCAAATTCTTCATAATTTAAAAATAAAAAAATGTGTTCAAATATTTCTCCATTATTTATTTTATTACTCCGCGTCTTTTATCTTTTCTTCTGTTTTTCGCGCATTCACAGCTGCTCAAAAGGAAAAAGAGGTGTAATATAATACGCATAAGTATCTATTTGTAGTATGCACAAATGTGACGACCTGCATGCACACGTGCATGGAATTACATATATTTCTTTTTGAAGCATATAAATATGGGTAATCCTCGTCATAATAAATGCAACTGATTTGTGCCCTTGCAAATGTCGGTGTCCACATTTTTTCAAATATAATTTGCAGAAGCGGTCTGTACATCTAATTCTCCATTTTATATTCATTAACTTGTGTAAATGTGCAACTGATCTTACAGAACTATACTCCTTTATACTGTATCCTTTTTCCATTACCTTCAATGTGTTCCTTATTTTTTTCAAGAATATAGCTGTACAGAATTTGCTGCTCTTCTACCTTTTCTTTTTTCTTCTCCAATTCTTCAATTTTATTCTTCTCAAACTGTTTTTGCATTAGTTTTCCCTCAATTATTTTCATTCTCTCTTCTTCTTGTTTCCTCAACTATTCAAGTAAAAAAAAAAAAAAGATAAAATACAGAGACAGAGACAGAGACAGAGGCAGAGGCAGAGGCAGAGGCAGAGAGAAAAAAAATACATTGTAAAAAAGTTGCTACATATATAGTCAACTACATGTCAACCAATCTACAATCTATGACTATTTTTTTATACAAAATTTTCCTGAATTTGATTCTTTATTATTAGTGCGCTTTCTTTATTCTTCAAAATAATATTTTTTTCTTCCTCCTTTTGCTTTTTTTCAATTTCTGTGAAATACAAAGTTTCGATTTCTTCTCTCTTCACGTTTTCCCTATTTAGTTTTTCCATTTGTAGCCTAAAGAAATGTCAAAAAGAGAATTAACATTATAGACAGCTCCATGGAAACGTATACCTCTTGTTACAACTATGTACTAGACACTCCTAGGAATGAATATTAATATAATGCTGATTTTTAATTATTTGACGAATTTTTTATTTCTCTAACTTTTTTTCATCAATCTGTTTTTGTAAATCTTTTAACAGATCTTTATCATTTTTTATAATATTTGTTTTCTTCTTTTTTTCACTTTTCTGCGATTAAAAATGAGGAGAAAAAAAATAATGTTCTAGTTTTCTCTCTTTTTCGGAAGCGTCTTTTCCTGTGTATTGTATAATTATTCCATTTTTTAAATGCTATTTTATTTTTATTTTTTTTTGGGGGAAGGAGTGAATGCCTTCTTTCGTTTCAGTACTTCACTTTCGTCAGAGGACGTTGTTTTTATATTTTTAAATTCATTTTGCTTTTGTATAATCTCTAAAATTTCCTTTCAAAGGAAGAAAAAAAAAAAAAAAAAAAAAGCGAAAATGTACACAAACAAAAAGGCAAATGTTTAAACATATACAACTCTTCCTTTTTTTGAGGGAATGTAAAAAAAAAAAAAAAAATTTATTTTTAGTACTTCTCTCTTGGATGTTGTTGCAGATTTTTCATTTATATCGTTATCTGTTTTGATCCATTTCTGTGTTTAAAAGGTGAAATATAAATTGAGATGGTCAAAAGAGTATGATAAATTAAGAAGACGAAAAAACAACTCAATGAACCTGATAACATAACAAGGAATTTATAAAAAAAAAAAAAAAAAAATAGCACGATATACCTCCTCAATTTTATTTAATTCTTCATTTAGCAACTCATTGTCCTTTTTTTTCTTTTTTTTTAATTTAGACAAAATATTACTACTTTGGTTCATTTCTTTTTCTTTTTTACAATAATGTGTAAACGCTTATAGAAAGATTAGATTTATGTTTGTTGCATACAAAAATATACACATTATGATGTATCAGGACAATGCATTCAATAAATAATATTAATAAGGTAATAACCAGTCGCACACTGTTTCATAGCACTTTATACATACTTTCATGTGCGAAAAAAAAAAAAAAAAAGTGAAAGGACGAGCGGTAGGGCAGGACATTTCACTTGGAGAGTGATGTATGTAAAAAAAAAAAAAAGAAAAAAAAAAAACTACCTTTAAAGACATAACAAATTATGCACTATTAAAAATACAAAAAATATTACTATTGAGGCTGAAAAAAATAAACATTTTCAAAATAGAAATATACTTTTAATAGAAGTATTAAAATAAGAGAAATACGAATAAATTACATTTATTTATTTATTTATTTATTTATTTTTTTTGTCTAGAGAAAGCTATGTCTTCGTGCTTATTTTACTTCACTATTTTAGAACCCTTAACAAAGATGCCACGGAGATATGGAAAAAAAAAAAAAAAAAAAAAAATTAAACGAACTTGTTTAAGTGCATAGTGCTTCTATCTTTTACACACATAAGGACTAATTAGCATTACGACTAAGTATAACAACCTATTCTCCAGTGTAGCATAATTTTAATCGATTTGATATGTATTTACATGTGCAACCTTCATGAGAGATGTGATGTCTTTCTTAATAACATTTTGTTTCTTTTTCTCATCACGCATTTGTCTTATAACTGTTTATTCAAAACTTACATTTCCCTATGCTGTGAACTGATTTCGTACATGTTCATATATATTTGCATATTTTTCAAATTTAATTGTGTATATATATATATATATATATAGAAGATACTTCCATTTTTAAACACACTCAAAGGATTTCTTCTTTATCTATTTCTAAAACGTTTAAATTTATGACTCACGAATACATGCTAATTTATGAACATTGTGTGTTATATTCACAAGAGCTAGTGTTACCTCCTTTTTATTGAAAACAAAAATAAATAAGAAGAGTTGTATATATTAAAAAAAAAAAAAAAAAAAAAAAAAAAAAAAAAAAAAAATAAAAAAAAAAAAAATACATGCTAATTTATGAACATTGTGTGTTATATTCACAAGAGCTAGTGTTACCTCCTTTTTATTGAAAAAAAAAAAAAAAAAAAAGAGTTGTATATATTAAAAAAAAAAAAAAAAAAAAAAAAAAAGCTAAAAGAATGAATATACCTCACATTAATCTATACACTCCTGAGGGGGATAGTTTCACAGTACTAGGAATTAATTTTTACTTAACCTTCTTTAGATATGGAAATTTTTTTCCCCAAAGCGTGCCAAATAAAAACATTTTATTATAAACTCTTAATTTTCTATACAAGATATAAACACTACATCAATGCAGTAGTTAAAAGTTGACACTAATTCAATTGGTTTGGTAAAAATTTGCTTTTCCATTACAATTATCTACATGGAAATGTTTACTAAAACAAGAAGGATGTGTCCTTTAATCCTTAGGTTATAGATGACGTAAAAAGATAGACAAATACACACACACAAATATATATAATATAAATAAATAATAAAAAAGGAAGAAATTGTAAATCAGTTGGTAGATTGCAAATGTGGGTACTTGTGTGATGCCACGTTAACGACTTGGAAAAAAAAAAAAAAAAAAAAAAAAAAAAGAGGAGTAAAAGATGCTACACAAAAGGAGTAATAAATTTTACAGGATTTACCAACAGAAAGGAGAATATATGGGTAGATAGAACATTATCTGGGCCATGTCGATACTCCTACACGGAAATCTTAATTAAAATACAAATTATAAAAGAATACCGATGTGGTGATGAGACCTAATCCACCAGGGACACTGGAAATAAGTGCACATCTTTTTTTGCAGTTTACATCTGCGTCACCAACAATTTCGTAATTCTGTAGATACTTCGCTAAACGATTGGAAAATTTAATTTTGGATTTGCCGCTTTTTAAAATAGTAACATTACTGTATTTATTCTTTTTCCCCTTAGCCCATTTCCAGTAGTATTGTGGAATATTATCATCCTTAAAGTAATGTAAATGAGTACTGTTACATCCTTCTTTTTTGACTGAGATAACTTTCGTTCTTAAGATACTTCTACTCCTAACACTTCTTGCAGGGACAGGAATTAACCATGTGGGCTTTGTTATATTTATAGCATTCTCCACAATTTGGAAACGTTTAATGTTCTTGGTTTTTCGATATGCTGTGCATTTCCTTATACATCCCACTTGTTTCTTGTACAAATACTTCATTTTCACCAATTCATTGTGATCATTTATTATTTCCACATTTTTATACTGGATATCTATGCCCCAAGTGGGCATGGTACATGTCTGCATACAACTATTTCGAGGTTGTGTCAAATTTATTCCCAAGTCCAAAACAATTGCGCTTTTTTTGATATGATTTTTTTTCAAAATGTTAAAGGAACCAATTCCAATTATTATAATATCCGAATTCCTTACTACCCTTTTGTTCATATTTTTTTGCATTGATAATATATCTTTGTGGGAAAATTTTTTGTACATATTTTTGGTAGACAAGTAAGCGTTATAAAATATCTTGAATTTTATTTTAAAATCTTTCTCGTTTTTGATGTGTAATTTCCTTTCATTCATATTGAAGTACCAGCCTTTTCCCCCATTTGGATTTCCATTATTGGCCCCACTTTGGTAACTACACAGAATTTTCCCAATCAATGGATCATAAACAGTTGTAGAAATATCATATTTCAAAAAAAAGACAAACAAAGATAGGAAAATGCTTACGTTTCTATTAACAATTAACACATTTTTCCCTTTCAGACTGATGTTGTAATATTTTATAAATACAAGGATGGCATGTACACAACATGGGAGATTATATTTTACACTGCTCCTGAAATAATTGTATACTGCTGAGTTTCGGTCGATTATCTGTCCTATTTCCTTGCAGCTGTTATTGGCTCTGCTGCAGTGGCTTGTTAGTTTGGTGCCACTAGTTTTGTGGATTTCCTCCTCGTTGTTGTCCAATAATACTTGCCGTAAGCCTGGGTATTTCCCCTCTCCTGCATTTCTATCGTTTTTCTTCTTTATCTCCTTCCATGTGCGAAAATTGGAAAGAACATCCATCCAAATATCTTCTCCTTTTTTCATCTTGCAAAAGTAGCAAACCGCAAAAAGCAACTGCAGGAAAACGTTGCGATATTCTATGTAGAAATATGATGCCCCCACATTTGGAAGGGGTAGAGGCGGGGGTAAATTTATGCACCTGTCATCACATCCATTGATGCTATTACAAGTCTCAACACATGTTCCGCTGCAATCCACGCTGTAATCATCATCACTGTTTAGCAACTTCCAAATTGTGGCACAATTAGAACAATCTACATCTTTCTCTTCACGTATGAAACTGGATATGTAGCACTTATTTATGTGAGGAGATAAAGGGGATAAAATTATGACCCAAGTATTTTTTCCTTTTCTATTTATTTTTTCTATCAAATTTATTAATCTTTTTTGGTTACATCTGTTATGTACTCTGATGAGTATAAAATTAACATGAGCCTTTAAGTATAAACTTTTTTTCAAAAGAATGTGTAGATATGAATATGTAACTAAGTTTTTCGAATATATAATGAAAAGATTTTTTTCTTCTGGCAACTTTTTTCTTCTTAATAATTCTTTCTTTTCGTACGCTATTTTTCGAATCACTAACTCGTCAATTTGGCTAGCCAACTGATGCCCGTATAGAGTAACACAACTCATTGTGTATATATACACCTATGGGCGCAGAAAAGCAGAAGAAGGTGTAAAATACATAAAAGGGGGAGAAATAACCTGAAACAAAAAAAAAAAAAAAAAAAAAAATTACTACATCATCCGGGTACCCCCCTCTGACTATTTATTTCTACTCATCCTTTTTCCCTACATATAGTTATAGCTTCTCCTAAAGCAATTTCGTTTCATTAATTTTTTGGGAACAAGGAATTTGAGGAAAGAAATGGAACAAAAAAATGGAGCAAAAAAATGGAACAAAAAAATGGAGTAAAAAAATGGAGCAAAAAGATGGAGTAAAAAAATGGAGCATAGAAATAGAGTAGAGAATTTTATTACTGCCTTGCTACTGGTTTATACCGATGCATCATTAAATGAATCTTTTTTAAGACCTAATAATAGGTCAAACGTTTTCCGGTGTTCAAACGTAGAGCCAGAAAATCGTGTATGCACTAACCAGGTGTGCTTTTTTTTTTTTTTTTTTTTTTTTTTGGAGATTTGTTTATGCTCAAATGTTTGTATTCACACCAAGACTTAATCGATGCAACGCAATTACTTTCACCTATTTTTTGCAAGTCATTTTTCCCTTCATCACCTTTTCTCAATATCAATTCCCTATAGGTTTCTTTCCCCCCCACCCCCTTCACGTACAACCCATGCGTAACAACAGATTGAAATTCCCATTTAGTGAAAATTTCACGTGAAAACACGCGAAATGGACATGCTTTTTGATTTGTAATAATTTTGTTGCCTTCATGAATTGATCTTACTGGTAGAAATCTCAAACAAAGTAGGATGATGAAATTGAATAGGGTGGTTAAACCTAGTGCAACACTCATATTACAGGAAAAAAAAAAATCGCTAAATCGCAAAATGGCAAAAGTTGAATTATGTAGAAATTGGTAAATTAACTAAACAAGTAAAGCTCAAGTGTTTTGAATACTATTACTTTTTTTTTTTTTTTTTTTTTTTTTTTTTCTTTCGTGTAATCCAACCATTATATATATCACTTCTCATATGAATTGTTATCAATGTCACTGACACAAATTAAAAGAATTTATACGAACTATTCGATTTGGTTTATTTTACATAAATCATTTATTCATCATATCTTCCTTCTCTTGAAGATTCATTCAGCAGACATAATGAACTTCTCAAATTATTTTTACATAAAAATTTTTACGCACCTGCGGAGATGACGTATAAATCTCACGTAAATGTTAGAAGAAACCTGCAAGGTATAATAACAACACACATTGGAAATTGATGTAAAAAAAAAAAAAAAAAAAGAAGTAATAAATAAAAATATTTTTTTTTTTAAAAAGGGAAAAAAAAGAAAAGCATTTATTTTAAAAAAAAGAATAAAAGAAAAAAAATGTTTGATAAGTTCTTTACTCCACCAATTTGTTCCCATAAAACAAGACTATCTTTCATTACATGTGATCATCATACCCCGCTCACACTTTGATCTAGTTTTTTTTTTTGGATAAATTATAAGTTTCACATTAAAACCATTTTGTGGAATTGTTACATATTAAAACTAGATTGTACCTTTTCTTAGTCTCGCCCAATATGAACCATATGCTTTTTGAATAGCACTGGAACTGATATGTACACCGATTTCCCCATTACCTTTGTCATTGCATTACAGTATTTTTCCACATAAATGAATGCCTTAAAAGGTGCATGCATGTATACATAGACATAGATACACATGCATACACATATATGCACATATATGTGCGTGTAACGTCACACAACAAAACGTTCTTATTTTTTATCCCCTCAGTATGATGGGGAAAAAGAAAAAGAACTTTTTTATATGTTTAAAAGGGATATTCCTTTATATGAGTCGAGTTCGCGTTATAAGTTTTATTAATGGCAAAAACGAAAAATGTCTATTATAAAAATTTCTTTTGTAAGTGTAAAAATCAGTAAATTGGTGCGCTGTCCATGGGGTATGGCAGATCGGGAGCAAGGAATGCACGTATAATGGTACATGTTTGTGCATACGTTTTGTGTGCAAATACGTGTGGATGTGGCTTTTACATGAAGGGACACATTTGCACGGGTATCTGAGAATAAGCATAACAGGCTCTTTTCATGAATTAAAAACTGCAAAGTAGATAAACTGATAACTTCATATTTGCATTTTTTTTTTTTTTTTTTTTTTTGGACACTTGTGTATGAAGTGTTCATAAAAGGCGCAAATGTGTAGAAGCGAGGAACGTAAAAAAAAAAAAATAAAATAAAAATAACAATAAAAATGGTAACAATAAAAATGGTAACAATAAAAATGGTAACAATAAAAATGGTAATAATAAAAACAGTAACAATAAAAATGGTAACAATAAAAATGGTAATAATAAAAACAGTAACAATAAAAATAGTAACAATAAAAACAGTAACAATAAAAACAGTAACAATAAAAACAGTAACAATAAAAACAGTAACAATAAAAATAGTAACAATAAAAATAGTGAGAAAAAGAATAAAAAAAAATAATATGCATAGAAAAGGGGAGGGGAAAAATAAAAAAGTTCGAATCGTCTCTTCATTCAAAAAGGCGATTTATAACTCTAAAAATTGTAAAATGGAGCGGAATTAAAAAAATGCTCATATGAAATTATGTTTACAAATCGTTTTTCCGATTGTATAATTACGTTTTTATACTCATCTTCTTCCAATATAACAAAGATAATTATCCAAGAGGGGGAAAGTCAGTTTAGATACACACACACACTCCCACTTCTCCAACATTATCGACACAGTGACTCACGTTTTACATGGAAAAGAGAATGCCTCCTCTATGTGGGGAGGAGAGGTATGTGCGGTTTGGTGCTTTTTCTTGTGCATCTTTCATCACATCGCTTTACTTTCATCGCACCCTTTTCACTTTTTAATAATTTTCTAAAATTGGGAGAAAATAATATATCGTCAAGAGTGGCGATAGAAATTATAATGGTTGTGGATGAGGTGAAAAAAAAAGGGGGAAAGGATATGAGCACTTGGGGTTAGAGTAGCTAACAAGCGTACTTATGCTTGGTAGGTCTTTTGATATTGTTCAAAATTTCGACCGTATTGTTTGGCCAGCGTGTGTTGAAAAATTTCAAGTGGCTATCATTTGAAACATCATAGTCAACTTCTTTTAAAAGAAAATAATTAATAGATTTCTCCGGAGCCTCTTGAGCATCGTATAGATAAAAATATTTTTCTTTCGGTGGGTCCGAGTTTTTAAGTTGGTTAATGTCATTTTGTTTCAGCTGCAAATAAAAGGATTTAAATTCTGAGTATAGGAGAATATCAAGATCATTAACAAAACCATCAAACATATTTTTATATTCCTCTTTTAAATTCAAATCTTGTATGAATTCAGGAATAAAATGTGACAAAATGTATTTATTATTCTCTTTATCATATTTATTCCATATTTTATTTAATTTTGATAAAAATAATTCTTCACTTGTGCACTTGGAGTTGTTAATATTTAGGGAAAACAAAACAGTGTAATGATTTGAGCTACTAATAACCCATATTGGGTAAATGGGGTATTTATAAAAACTGCCCACTTCACAATATTTAAATGCTTCGAAATCTGTTAGTAAACCGATTAATGGTCTTTTATTAATTCCTTTGAGTATAATGTTATTTTTGTTTAACCCAGATAGCGAGGGGTTAGACACACTTCCACCATTGCCATTCGCGTTCCAGCTCTTCGTGTGATATTTTGAATCACCTATAGGATTTATAACTGGCGAATTATTAGTACTACCACAGAAGCTGTTCATATTTCCCAAAATTCCAGTATTGCTACCACTGTTATTGCTGCCCCTTCTACTTACTCCTCCCCCCCCTTCGAACATAATAGTTCCACTCATATCAGCGTCGTTATGTGGAAAGGAATGTATAACGCTGGTATTGTCAAACACATTTGAACATGCTCTTCCTGTCAAAAGTAGATTAACTAGCTCCTGCGAGCAGTGCCCATAAATTCCAATTAATGGATGATTTATATCATCCATATCATTTTTAATGTTATCTATACCCCTTGTTAATATAACAGAATATAGAAATGAAATTGCACCTGTTGAGCTAGAAAATATAATAAAATGCTCCAAATAAAATTTTATTACATCTTTTATACTACTAAATTCTTTGTAATATATATTTATTTTTTTTAAATCTCTTATCATACTGTCATCTGAATTCCTTCTATTCATGTAATATGAATAGTCATAACATTCTGGTAACAAAAATGCTATAATGTAATATGATTTGTCTGTACATTGGTACAGTATATATGCCATAGATTCTACTAATGAGTAATATTTTAAATCTTTTATATTGTCTCTTACTAGTTGTATAAATTCGCTATCATAATCGTCATTATCACAATTGTCATCATTGCCAGCAGCATTATGGGAATTATCATTACCATCGTTATCTTTATTATTTACCTTTTCTCTATTTGATTTTCCCTTTTCCTGGATCTCTTTACATCTTTCTTCCTTCTCCAAATCTATACCACCAGCATTGTCATTTTTTTTATTATTATCGCTACTTGTGCTATCCATGCTTCCACTTCCCCTATCTGTGTTCTTGCATATTTTCCAACATCCCTTTGCATTTTCTTCTTCATTTTTGTCACTCCTCACGGAATTTTTTTGATACTCTAAAGGACAATGATTCTCTTGGATGGAGCAGTTTTTTCTGTCTTCTTCATCTTCCATTATCATTTGGGATTCAGTGGGCGCTGTATATTCAGTTTTTTCGACACCCCCTTCATGGAATTGTATGGAAAGGTTTCTCTGGTAACACTCAGAAATTTTCTCCTCGCGATTATCACTGTTTGATATATGTGAATCATAATGAGATTGTGTCGTACTTCCTACTTTTGCCTTGTCATGTTCGCCAGTGGAATCCTTATTTTGTAATCCTGCTTGGTTCAATCCACTGATAGAAGAATATTTATCAATGGTATGGCTTGAATTCGTGAAGTTCAAAAAATCTTCATTTGTCTTCAAAATATTGAAGTAGTTGTTATCCCATAAAAAATGATACTTATAATTAAATAGTAAAATAATTATTATATATCCCTGTATACTTGAAATGAGTCCACAGGGTCCACTTAAAAATTGACGAAGTCCAAAATTTATATGTTTACTTTCATAAAATGTAATACTATGATTAAACCATTTTTTTATATCCTGTTTGTTGGAGTATTTGTAATTATTTACACCAAACACTAAGTTGTGTATGCTATTTCTATCATCAAGTAATTTCATTTCTTTTAATAAATAACTCACATATACATGATCGTTTAAGCATTTGCTTCTATTTCCTTTTCTTAGCCACTTACAATAATCTTTAGTTGTGTAGTTTATGTTTTTATAATTTTTTTTTATTTGCTCCAATGAGCAACACGAAAGGGAAGATGAGTTATTACTACAATCACTTGAATAATCACTATCATAATATTCCCTACTAGATGTGGAATCACTTGATTCTTCATTCATTTTTTCATTTCTTTTATTTAAACTTATCATATAATCTCTTATAATAATATATATATTTTTATAATTTTTATAAATATCTTTCCAAAAGAGTTTATTATCGATTATATCATTTTGATTTTTTGTTGACTCATGACTGTTACATAAATAGTATGTAATTTTATCAAAATTCTTTTTTACAATATCACGATACGAATCATTCGTATCTATATTTTTCTCCTCCTTGCTTTTCTTACATCCTATGATAGACAATCGTATGGCTTCCTGCAACATTTCATCATTTTCATCTTCTGCTAAAAATTCATCCTGAAAAATGGGCAAAAAAAAAAAAAAATGGTGCATCATCAAAACACTGTTATATACTCTGTCCTTCTCTATCTGTAAACACCATTTTACAAATTTATGTCATTCGTTTTCAGTGTACTCAAGGGACACAGTGTTTCTCAGAATAAACCAATTTTCTATGAAGAAATACAAAATTATAAGGGCTGTACACGTGCGTAAAGAAATATGCGTTTGTCTTATCTTTTTTTTTTTTTTTTTTTTTTTTTTTTTTTTTTTTTTTTAAAAAAATTATGTTTTTTTTTTTTTTTTTTTTTTTTTTTTTTTTTTTTTTTTTTTTTTTTGTACGGTGTGAATCGATGCAAATGGGACAGGGAAAATTGGTTATTTAAATAAATTAAACAACATTCCTCTTTAACAGAAATAGAGTAAATACAACAAATAATTTTTACGTCCACAGTTTATTTTGTAAAAATATGCGTCATGGCACATGTCATAACATTCACACAATTTAAACGTTTTAAAAACAGTTTTCATGCATTCAATGTGTGTATTCGTGTTCGTAACATGCATGTCCAACGCAGATATATCTCGCGCACAGCTTTACGAAGTTTTTCCAAGTGCGGAAAAAATTGAAAAAATTGAAAATTTGAGAAATTCACATCTCTACACATTTATTCTCCCTGTCGCGTTTGTCCCTCTCTGTCTCTCTCCATATATATATATATATATATATAATTGCATATCTCCTTTTTCTCCCAAACTTACCTGCTCGTTCTTTTTGTTTTGTGAAGCATGGTACTCCTCTAGGGACAGGGCAATTGTTTTGGATATATCTTCTTCCTCTTTTCGTAACAGTTCCTCATTTGTTTTCATCTTTTAACGCGTTATAAAAAAAAAAAAAAAAAAAAAAAAAATTAATATATAATTCTGTGCACAAAACTGTGAATTAACAAGTGTCAAAATGCGTATTTATATTTGTGGTGTAAATGTTCTTTTGGTTCTGTGTGGTCATCCTTCCGATGAACATTTTTCTTTTAAATGTTTCAACATTTAATTCATATATCGCATTATTTAAAGTAGCACTCTTTATTCCTATGTTTCTGTTTCGATTGAGATTGCTTCTTGGACGTTGCTATGGTGTGGTGATATATGTATATGGGGTATTATTATCTTACGGTTTACATGTGAAATTTTGAGATATATGGATCTGGTATGTTTTGAGATTTGACATGGTATATTTTAATATGATAAGGATATGTGTGATGTATATTACGACTTCTTATGATGTGTCATTATTTGTTATGATGTGTCATTATTTGTTATGATTTATCATGATTTGTTATGAACTGTTATTTTTTTTTTTTTTTTTTATCTTTCATCATTTTCTGAATTCCTTCATTCATCCTATTTGAATCTTTATTTTATTTTTTTTTTTCTCAAGTACGTTTCCAATTTTTGTCAATTAATTTTACATCACAAAAATGTAATAACAAATATTTATAAATTGGTACCTTCGTAAATATTCTTTATGTTTTTTTTTTTTTTTTTTTTTTTTTTTATTATTTATTTATATATGCAATAATATGTGTGTGCATCCCAAAGTTTTCTTTTGTCCTTTGCCACTAAAAAGTGTATGCATTTGTTCAATTTTCTAATTTGAAGCACTATTACATTTTGGTAACGTGTTATAGAAGGAAAAGCAAAAAAGAGGCAAGGGGGCAGGAAAAAAAAAGCGAAAGAAAAATAAATGAATGATGAAAAAACCAAATGGGACAAAGCATGAAAGGAAAAAAAAAAAAAAAAAAAAAAAAAAAAAAAAAAAAAAAAAAAAAAAAAAAAAAAAAAAAAAAAAAAAAAAAAAAAAAAAAAAGCTAAAAAATAAAACAAACAGAAAATTAGGAAAAAAAAAAAAAAAAAGGTAACACAATAATTTATTTACCATTTCATGATACAGGTGAAATTAATATGCAGCACATATTACTTTTGTATATCCCCTATATTCCTACTGCTGCGTTATACATTATATACTATCGCAGAGTGTACAATGGTATTACGCTTCAGTTCAAAAGGAGTATTTAACATTAACCAAGTGAGATTCCTTTATTCCCATAAATTGTAAAAAGGTATATATATCCCCTACTTTAGTGATGAACATTTCATTTTCCTACTTTTTATGCAACAGCAGAAATGTCTCAATGAAAGTTATTCTATTGAAAAGGTTATGGCTCTTTAACGTTGAATAATATGTTACTGATATGTGCTTGTCCTACATGTATACCGAGAGGAATTTTTCCACTCATTGTCATTTGTTACCCGTGCTACAGGGTAGAAGGGCAGTATAGGAAGAAGTAAACTTTATTAAGTTACCCAAAAAGGATAGCTTGGTTGTGGATACAGGCAGTATGTATATATCCTCGTCACACATGGGACATAGGTATACACCACATATATATATACTTTTGCTTATGCATGCGAGAAAATTAAAATGGACAAAGAGTGAATTACACTAACAAAACTTTTATATGCACACTTTTTGAAATGTTCCCCTTTCTCTGTCACCCCATTTAATAAGCCAGAATTTATGGGCATGTGAATTGTACCCGCATTGCACGTATTTCTAAGAAGGTTTTGCTTATATTTCATATGTACGTCTATATATATGTGGTTTCTGTGCAACACAATATTAGGAAAACATTCGAGTTTTTTTTTTCCGTGTCTTGTGAAAACATCCCTAGGAAAATATCGTGCTCATAAATATTTTACATACAACAAATTCGAATAAATTATTGAAAAAAAAGAACAAAGAAAAAAACCCATCATTCCTTTTAATTTTTAAGGAAACATCATTACGTAAAAAAAAGTCTGCATGGATTTCCTTTGATGCTATTTAAGAGTTCAAATGTATGTATGCATGTATATATATCTATATATATACATAGCATATTCGAACGTGAACAGATAACAATCCCCGTTTCTCTTTGCCTATTCAATGTACGCTCGAGCACACAAGCAAAAAGTATCCCCCTGGACATAATTTTACCCAAAGATTAACAAAACGAAAAGAAAAGGCAACAAAAGGGAACATAAAAGTTCATCCCATTTTGTTATTATTATACATATTAATTAAAGAAAAATATATACTGGTCTCCCCCATACTGCAGTATGTCAAAAATGTTTTACTCTAAATGTTATTCTTTATCTTTCAAAAAAAAGAAAAAAAAATCCTCTCTGCCTTCAAAAATTCGATCTTCGAAGTTTTGATATTTAACGAAAGGGTAAATAATAACAAAAAAAAAAAAAAAAATTGAAAAAAAAATGAAAACAAATAGAAAAAAAATTGAAAAAAAAAAAAAAAAAAACTTCCCCTATACTCTTGGAAAGAAATAGAAGACGGCTGCACCAGTTAATTACAACATTCTATTCAACTATACATGAAACCCCATATATTAAATTTTATGAGTAGCACAACATTTTAAAGACTATTTAGAGGAACATATAAAAAACATATATTTTTCTATAAAAACTCGCATATCTTGATGTCATAAATAGGGAAATTTTGAAAAAGACAAAAATTTGAGGGGAAATGATTGGGTTAAATAAATGCATAACGATATTTATGATAAGAAAAATGAACGTACATCCAAGCATGGCACATTCGTAACTGCATACTATAAGTTGAAAAAAAGGAAGAAATTCTGTTCACAAAAAACTAATGGTTAAAAAATTAGCACACACCTTCTCTTCGTCTATTAGATGTTTTTTTATATGAACAATATATTATAGGTTTATCCGTAAATTGTGTAGGCGTAAACAAGTGTTATTTTGAGACAGGTATTAAAGAAATGTATACACGCACACATACATACTTCTTTTACACTTTGGAAGAATAATTCATGTGATAATTAATGTAAAACAGCGGATATATATTCTCATATATATGTCGACATATTTGCACATATTCGTAATTGCATATCTCGACATCTATATATATCCCCCCCCCTGAAGGAGAGATACAAACGCGTATAAAGCCAGGGAGTGTGATACATCCCACTACGAACACACAAATATATTATCATGCTTTGAAAATTAAAAATTATGTATTGTCAAATTTTGTTCGTTCGCATTTATGACAGAATTATGATCTTCCTTGTAAAACCACGTACTTGAAAGAACTTTCGACTTGTCTTCACTCTCAATTGTATATACAGGTAATTTGTTTAGTCTTATATCGTATATATTTGTGTATCCATCATGCGATGATGATAAAAAATGAATTTCATTTTTGTTCCCTGCAAGGGATGTTATTATTTTGTCATGGAAATAATACTTATGCTCGTTTAGAGATATAGCTGGCTTTTCCTTTAAACATCTTACATCAAATAATTTAATAACAGATTGTTCATCTGCTGTTATAAATATATTATCATTCAAAATGTTACTACATATGATTGCTTTGTTATATGGAAAAGATGAAAATATATCTCCTGTATTTGCATCATAAATTTTTATATTTTTTTCTAAGCCTGTACATAAAAAACGGCTATCATCAAAAAAGGTCAAGTCTGTTATAACTCCTTCTTCTTTATGTACACACTTTTTTGGCGTTACTATATTTTTCATTTTTCTTTTATTTGTATTATTTTCACATTTATATTCTTTTAATTTTTCTATAATTTCATAATTATCATACAGGTTTATTTTATTATCTGCTCCTCCACTTATAATTAATGATCCGTTTTTATTGAATGCTATAGATTTAACCATATTGTCATGATTACCTAAATACAATTCACCCTTTGTTATTATTTTTTGATTTATCTCTTCATTTAAAAATGCCTTTAGAGTACCATTGGACTGTCCAATAATAGATTCATTGTAATTTGCATCATCATTAATTAATTTCTCATTTTTACATATATTAAATGAAAATATGGACATATCAGATACTCTCTTTTCATCTATTTTATAAAAATTAGACAAGTCATAACACAATAAGTTTCCTTCGAAGGTACTACAATATAGTTTATTTTCAATTATAATTAATTTAGAAATCCATTCGGAAATTTTGTCAATGTGTGCGCTTTCTTTTTTCGTTATAGAAAGAGTATATTCTATCTGTATGACGTCTTCAGATAGGATATTGTTAATTCGTAAAAATTCTTCTATAGATGATCTTAAAATTTTTTTATTTATTAAAAATTCAAAGGAGACATTTTCTTTTATATCCAATAACTGTTTTATCATTCTTGACAAGTCAATTCTTTTAAAACTAATTGGAACTGTGTAAATAGTGTCTTCCATTTTGTACTTTTCATTGGGCATGTTTGACACGAAATATACCTGTATCTGTTTATCGGCTAGACTAATCTCTTCATTTTCTGATAAATTATTAACATAGCTCTCTGACACTTTATCACTCTCAGAGTCGCTATCTTTCACTCCATCACTGGCAGAGTCGCTATCTTCCACTTCATCACTGGCAGAGTCGCTATCTTTCACTTCATCACTGGCAGAGTCGCTATCTTTCACTTCATCACTGGCAGAGTCGCTATCTTTCACTTCATCACTGGCAGAGTCGCTATCTTTCACTCCATCACTGGCAGAGTCGCTATCTTTCACTTCATCACTGGCAGAGTCGCTATCTTTCACTTCATCATCTTCAGAAACGTGGTTTTTCATTTTCCCCAGTTTGTTACTGCCATCTCCCCTTTTTTTATTCCCAGATCTTTTCATTATTAGTAATTTATTTTATAATTTTCCTATCAACGCATGGAGTTTCTTTTTTTCCTATTGTAGTAGTGATAAGGGGAATACAGGTGGGAATAACAGAAAAAAAAAAAAAAAAAAAAAAAAAAAAGAGATTTATTTTTTTCTGCATATGATACGACATGCTACCTTTCTTTCCTTAAACATAATAGCAGCGCTGTAAATTTTTGGAAAATGTAAATGTTACAAACTTTATTCTTCACCACAATAGCATGCATACCTTTTTAACAAAATATTATTTATATGTATAATTACATTTTTCCTATTTTCGGCTTGCAAAAAAAAAAATTAGTTCCAAAATTCTATTGCATTTTTCATTATTTTATTTTATTTATTTTTTTTCCCCCTTATTTTTTATGAAAACTGCAGCAACACCTTTTTGCTTTACTATATACACATATCTCTTCATTTTTTTTTTTTTTTAACCATTTTGCCCCCTCTTGTCCTTTTATAATATACATAAAATAACACCGTAGTGCAAGCAACGCGGGTAATAATATAGGATGTCATTTTATTTTAAAAAGAAATAAAAAATTATCATTTGTGATTGAATACGGAATAAAAAAAAAGTTAATACTACTAATGTTACAGTGTTTTGAATTAATTCTTTATTATAGTATCATAAATACCAAATTTGTTTTTATATTTTATTTTACTTTGGCTTTTTCCCATATTTTTTATTCATGTGCCATAAAACGTGAGCATAACTAAGATAGTGTTCAGCAACTGTACGCAAACGATATACTTACATTCTTATGATAAATAAATTGTAGTTATAAACCCATCTATATATCAACAGGAAAAAGCTAGCTTCATTCAGCGGCAAGGTCAACTTGCAGATATGGCATTACATGTGTTATTTGGTTTTTTACAAATAGTTCCAAATTTAAAATATTTTTCTATGAATAATATATACCCACTGTGATGACGGGGATTCAAGGCCTGGGATGCTCAAACATAGACTCAATGTGGTGTCAGTTCTTGTAATTACGTGTTGCACACATATATATGTATACATAATTACGAACTTGTATAGCATGTACTCGCATATTCATACGGTAGTGTATATATTTTTGCATATTTAATGTTGAAATGTTAGTGTCATATAAAGGAGATTAATGACACGTTCATTATTGCAAATAGGAAAGCCATAAAAAGTGGAAAAACAAAATGGCAACTATTTAGGTAACTCGGAACTACTATTATTTTGTAGCTATCTATTTTGCAATTTAAAATCCCACACATATATTGTTTTAAAAAAGAAAACGCATATGAAACAATCCATGTGGCCATGTGTAACAGACATAAGATTTTATTCCACATATAACAATTTATATCAATGTTTACCATAATTTTCACTAATCATGCTAACATGGGATGTGACACGTTTTAAGGGTTTACAAGTCATCTCAATTATGAAAGCTAACAAATATACAAAATATATGAACACAGATAAAAAAACAAATAAAAACGCAAGTACAAGCTCCATGTACCACAAATAATAAGCCCCTTTGCGTGCATCTCATCTTCCTTTTTTCATTTTGCTTAAAATGACATTTGAGTACTCATAAAACAACACAACATTTGCTCATCAAATTATACGTATTTATATTTCCCCCTTGATGGCTGAAAAAAATATTTTGGGTTTCCATTCATGAACAAATTGTCACACTTTTTCTGTGTAGCAAAAAGAAGAAAAAAAAAGTAACGAATAAAATATTTCATTTATTTTACTTTTTTTTTTTTTTTCCCCTTAGCACATGGTCTATATTTTTCTGAATTTCAACCTTTTTTTGTGCAAATATCAGTAATGTTTATGTGTTATAATTATAATAGGTGGAATGAAAAAAGACTGCGCAAATAGATATATATTTTTTCCCTGTGTCCAAAAAAATATGAAGGGGCACAATAAATATTTTTTTTTTTTTTTCATTCTTATTTCCCTTTTATGCTTGCCCCTATAACTTCAAATTACACATCAGTACTCAAGGGAAAATAATGGAAATTACAGAAGGAAAAGGTATTATATGATGAGAATGGTTTACCTGTCCATTTTGTACAAAAAAGGAAATAAAATTTATTTTCATTCGAATTTTATTTGCACGCGTTTTCTTTTCGAATCCATTTTTTCTTTACTGGTTCAATGAAAAAAATAATTTCATTCTCAAACAGGAGGTGATGACTAATCTTTCGACAATTTCGCTACATGCCCACGCTTAGCATACATTGAATTTTACATTACATGTTTACTCGCCCGTTAAAGAAAATTAACATTACATTCGTAGCACATTCATATTAATATGAATATCAACATGAATTAATGCCTATATAAATGTTAATCCTTTCTTCTTTTTTTTTTTTCCTTTTTCAAATTAATTATCTTTCCAATTAACTATACACATTTCCAGCTCTTTCCACACACACACACATATGCGCACACAATACTTACACCCCTATATGTAAATTTACATGAACATGTATAATATGTGCGACAAACAATAAACACAATTTGCAGTTTTCAAGAGATGCTTCACGTCCAAGTAATTCATATAATACATTCTACTTTTGCACCAAATCATATATTGCCTGTGAAACATGACCTGTTAATTAATATTTCTTTCAAAATATCAACCAATGTATTTTTTTGGAGCTGAATTTTTTTTTTTTTTTTTTTTTTTTAACAAGGCATCTCTGTGGTATTTGTCACTTTTTTTTTTTAATTTTACTATTGCGCATAGATATGTACCCATACAAGTGCTCATATACGTATATGTACACATAGACATACAAGTGTACGCTAACAAGTGTATACACGCACACGTGTGCACGAGGATTCTTATTTACTACAGCCCTAGTTGCCAATATTTGCGAGTCCAGGTTCCTTACGACCACTCACCAATAGAAGAAAAATAATAAATAGACACCCCAAGTGTGAGAAATGAAAAAAATAACTAAAATATGTTTTTCTCCTGTTATGTATACTCTACTATTGCTATATCGGAAGCCAGTAAAGAGCTCATATGTTGATATAACTCTATTAAGCGATAACATGTTTGATAACATGCTGAAAACAGAACTGTCATATATGAGCAACCATTTAACATTTAATGAGAATAATAAATCAAATAAAAGAAGGAAAAGAAATGATTCAACAGTAGATGATATTGTTTTGCTAACAAGTATGTTATCTCAAATTATCCCATCCAATTTTTCAATTTATCCATTAGACATTCCAAACGAAACAGTAAGTAATAATAGCAATGATGTTAATAACTTCTTAGATTTGATAAATATATATGATGCTGACATTGATAATACGGTTACGAATCACCTAAGTCAAACACAAGCAATAAAAGGTTGTGAAGATGACATAAAAAATAACAACTGTGATAGGGATGTGTTAACATGTATAACTTTAAAAAAAAATAAATTATCAGATAGTTGTAAAAAATCATTAAGCAATTCATTATTATATTCTTGTGTTGATGATTTTCTGCTATATTGTATGGACTACTCAAAATTTTCAAAAGTGTACAAATGCTTGAAAAAGAACTTTTATCATTTAAGTAACAAGTGTTTAAATATTTTAAGTTACTACGAAAATATAATGCAAAAATTGCACAAAATAAAGAATAAACCATACAACAACCAGGATCATTTATTTTTAGAAAAGGATAAGGGAAGCAATGCAGCTGGTAATTCAAGCAGCTTTAGTGTCTCCACCAGCAATAATAATCACGATGGTACTGCTCACAACAAATACAACTTAAAGGCAACAGATATAGAAAATGAGAAGGACGACAAATACAACCTTTTTAAGGATAATTCTGAAAACCAGAAACCCACAATGGCCGATAATTTAAGAAAAGGATATGGCCATTACATTTTTCCATCCACTGATTACAATTACTTGATAGATTTTAAATTAATAAATTATGAATATAAATACTTTTTATTCTTTTTTGTTTCCCTACTGATTTCGTTCCTACTGTATATCTTAGTAATATGTGTTAAGAAATATTACCTTACCGATTCGAGTAATTATTTTGTGAAATCAGAGAAAGTTAAGTTAGCAAAGTTGTGATGTTCTTATTTATGACATGGTGTGAGCTTATTCCTTACTTGTTAATGTTGTAATAGCGGAAATCGTGAGCAACTCGTGTTTCTATCCATATATATATGCAAGTGCAAATGTGCAGATAGATATACCTATGCATGCTCGTCCGTGCTTCCTCAAAAATTTTATGAATTACAATGAAAGCGACGGAAATTTTTATCCCTTATATGGATCTTAAATATGCAATGAACCCCACAGAATTAAAAAAAATAAGTAAACGTCATAAGCGATAGTATACCTTATTTTTTTTAGTGCCCCGCGTCTACCGCGTCTTGTTTATGTAAAGAAGTTTTTGCTATCAATTTGTAATTTTTTGCTATCAATTTGTAATTTTTTGCCATCAATTCGTAATTTTTTGCCATCTGTTCATAGCTTTTTTACTATTTGATCAAAATTGTTTCTCCCTTTGTAACTTTTTGCCTACTCATTATTTTATTTTATTTTTCCTATTAGCAATATAGAGATGAAACAAAACATAAGAAAAGATTAGTATTATTACCAGCATATTTGATGAAAAGCGTTTTTATTATTTTCCCACACATGTTTCTTTTTTTTTTTTTTTCCATGCCGTCTTCTAGATCGTAATATTCTGCTTTGTTATAGTTTATTATTATTTTTCTTCTCCTTCCTCGTATTATTATTATTATCATTATTATTTTTTCAGTTTTATGTATTCACTACTTCATTTTCTTTAGAATAAACTTTACAATTTGTTGTGAGTATGTTTTTTACTCCAACTCATACCGCTTTTGATTTTTTCTTACATTGGATTTTTTTATGTGATTGCGCATTTGCCACATTTTCCTTGCCTCGGTTTAACATGTTTTGTGTATTATAAACTTGTAATTATTTTTTTAGTTTTATTTGTATCATGCTTTTGGCATGTCTCATTTCACCACAAGATATTTATAACTTTTTATAAATATGTAAACCTTTGTTTTTTATTTTTTGCCTATTTAAATAATTTTCCTTTTTTGAACACACACCTTGGACAATTCAACATGCTTTGCTTTATTTAAAAAAACAAAATAAATAAATAAAATAAAATAAAAATAAATAATGCAAGTTTCACTCTAATGTAAGGTATATCAAAATGGAAAAGAAAAGAACAAATGTCCCTCGATCATTTGTTCGCAAAAGAGATATGTTCCATATCAGTATAACCATTCTCTATTGAGTGTGTATATACATTGGGTCAGTATCTATTTTGCATTCGTCATTACTCCTATAAGTAAAACCATTTCAGAATAAAAGAAAAGTAAAAATTAAAAAATGGATGAAAATTTTACTTCGCTAATTTAAATTAGCTCCTATGACAACTCAACCTACTTTTCATTTTTTTTCATCCTTCGTAATATGTAACTTGCAGAGATGTCTCATTTTAATGCGTATTAACGGTATGTTCTGAAAAAGATAGGCATGTACGAAATTTTATACATAATTATGTACGCTGTTATGAAACTATTTGTTTGCTTTTTTATGTATTAAAAGGATGCTCAAATTAAATTTTAATTGCACTATATATGTAGCAATAATTAGCACCTATTCGGAAAACCCTTTCTCGATGTGTTGAAAGAAGTGTATTTTCGTAAATATACTTACGTAAAAAAAAAAAAAAATTTTGTGAAAAAGAGAAACTTTAAAGTTTTTAGTTACAGGAATAATTGGTAAAGATTTGTCATACTTCTTCCTTTTTGAAATGAGAGGAGAAAAAAAAATGGAAAAAGCACATTCTTTTTTTCTTTTTTCATACATCAAGTGTAAAATTTTGGAAATAAATGCAAAAGGCTTAGTAATAAAATGGTAATAAAAATGTGTTAAGAAGAATGAATTCATTTTTCACACTTTTATAACACTATTGCTGAAAACATGTAAATGAAACTTCTTAAGCTCATGTATTACCATTAACCTAACTGGAATCCTTCTTATATATGAGATATAAATGAATTCTTGTTTTTTAAATGAATACTATGCTCAAAGAAAAAAAAAAAAAAAAAATGCTTTGAATCAAAAGAGAATAAAATACTTGTAATTTTTATTTTTTTTACAGTGCACATATTTTGCTTTTTCAATTTATAAAAATAAGTAGGCAAAATATTTCACAGTAAACACATGTATTTATACCTTTTAGAAGATACCCTAATTTATCCACATCATTATTTATGTATGAACAGAGTTGTACTTTTCTTCACCCTATTTATAAATACGTTCTTTTAGAGAAGGAATACATATAAAAGCGCCGTGTCTTTTTGTTTTCGATTTTGCACACCCTATCCACATTTCGCATTTTATCCCCCTTGTATTTCCTTTTTTTTTTTTTTTTCCCATAAATTTTTTTTGAAAATAAACATGTCATTTTAAAGGACGTCGTTTTCTAAAATTTAGGAATTGTTTTTTTTTTTTTTTTTTTTTTTTTTTGTTTTGGAATAATAATGAAAAAGTAAGGAAAAAAAGGGAATAAAATATTTTATCGACATATATATTTACTTTTTCCCCCACTTTGTTAAACTAAAACCTTAGTTCTTTACATATTAGACACATTACATTTTTTGGAAGTTTTATGAAAACCAAAATTGTTCACCTCATTGCACCTTGCAATATTTATACCATTAATAAAACGGATTAAAACGAAGCAAAACATCTAAAAAAAGGAGGGTTTTATTCGCACACGTGTATATAGGGCTACATTCCTATATAGCTTACATATTTTTACACGCAAGAATAATATAATATTTGTATACATATTATCCATGTAAAAACAGAAAATTTTTTCATTTTTCCTTTTATTTCAATATTGTAGAGAAGCATGGCGTGCGTTTAGAGATATTACTTTATCATTACGTCATTGCTATTCTTTCTCATATTTTTCACGCATCTCGTACGCAATTCTCACTAATTTTTCGTGCATTTTTCACATAATAACAATTTCTCCCCACTTATACATCTTTTCCAGTGCTGCATAAATTTGTACATCCATCTAATCCTTCAGTACCCCCTAATTATAAGTTCATTCGAAAAATATGTTTGTTTTTATTCGTACTTTGCGCAATTGTGAATCAAAAACGAGCCAACATTTTATTAGCATCCCTAATTTTATGTAGTAAATATAATAGCATTTTTGTTTATCTTTTTGTTTGTTTCTTTTTCGTATCCGCATATCGTTTTTTTAGTCCATTTCCCCATTTCTCTTTAACGTTGCTTAATCCATTTGGGTACGTGTCCAAACATTCCAAATGACGACACAAGCTAGGACTAAGGGATGGGAAAAAGACTCCAAAATAAATGCAGACTACGAATATGAGAGATTGATCAAACTAGAAAATAAATTTAACATAAAACCATGGCTAAGTAAGGGGAAAAAGGAGGGATATCTATACAACATTGTACCTACAACGTTGAATGTGGTTGTGAATAGCTCTAACAAATTCCAGAAAAAAACAGGTAATTAAAATGCACGTAGTTTTTTTTTCTCCACACTTAGACACCAACATCCATATCTTACGATGTATGCAAGACCTGCATCTATATAAATGTATTCATTGCACCTTATCTATGGTTCTACACTTATAGGCGTTCATATGTATTTTGTATCCGATAATAACAAAACGTGGAGATTAACCCTATTTTATAGACCTTACTTTTATATGAAAACGAAGAACATACACAACTATGAAGCAGTTGCGAAGTATTTAAAAAAGGAATTAGACAAAAATAATGTCGAAATTGATTATGTAAAAAAGGAGGATCTAAGTTTGTATGACCATTTGAACAAGAAAAGAAGTTATCTAAGTAACATATTTTTTAAATTATCATTTGATACAATAGAAAATTTAATGAACGCTAGAGACTTTTTGTCGAAAATAATAGAAAAAAATAAAAAGAATAAAAAACATAATAATTCTTCAAATAATGACAAGCACATATTTAATGAATGCGAATATGAATTATCACAAAGTAAATTAGAATTTTCATACAAGCATGATTTTTCATATACCAAATATGATGAGCAGGAAGATAGTGGGTGGGCCAAGAAAAGCCATGATGCTGTCTCTTCTTCACCTTCTGGACATAGGGTAGACAAAGAGAAACAAAATGACCAAAAAAAAGGAAATATTGTTACTAATAGTGCAGATAAAGAAAGGGATAGTAAAAAGAATGATGCTCATGCAACGATGAGCAATCAAAAGTTAAACATGAACGAAATTGTCGTAAATACAAAGAGGCAAATTTTAAGTAAGGAAGAAATAATGGATGAAATAGTAGAAATATACGAATACGATGTAAAATATATAACACGAATATGTATTGATAAAAATATCAGATGTGGTGTGTGGTATAAAGTAACTAGAGATGAAGAAGAATTGTACACCGAATCAATTCATTTCGAAATATTAAATAAGAAAGTTCTGGCACCTCTAAATGTGTTGGCGTGGGATATTGAATGTTACAAAGATGAACTAAAATTTCCAGATAAAGAAAAGGATGAAATAATTTTAATATCATATATGTATAATGCACAAGGGTATTTAATTGTTAATAGAAATGTGATGAGTAAAAACATTACAGAATTTTTATACAAGCCAAATGAAGAATATTCAGGAGCTGGTACATTTAAAATTTTTAATGAACAAAACGAATATTTTTTATTAAAAAGATTTTTAGAACATATAAAAATTTTGAAAATACACATATTCGTGACATATAATGGGGACTTCTTTGATATTCCTTATCTATGCAGAAGATGCGAAATTAACAATTTAAGTGTTCCAAAAGAAATTGGATTTATTATGAATAATAATAAACAAGAATGTTCGTGTAACTTTATATTAAATATAGATGCATACAAATGGGTTGAACGAGATTCTTATTTACCAAATGGATCCAGAACATTAAAAAGTGTGTGCAAAATTAAATTAAAATATAATCCAACAGAAGTAGACCCAGAACAGATGGTTCCTATTGCAAGAAAAAATCCACAACATTTAGCTGTGTATAGTGTATCGGATGCTGTTGCTACATTTTACCTGTATGATAAATTTATTCATAATTTTCTATTCGCCTTATGTTCAATTATTCCTATGAATCCAGATAATGTACTAAGACAAGGTAGTGGTACATTATGTGAGCAATTGCTAATGGCAGAAGCGTATAAAAAAAATATTTTATTTCCAAATAAATCGAAACCGGTTTATAATCAATACTTTACCGATTTCGAAAATAAAAAAAAATATTTTATTTATGATGATTCCTTTGTTGGAGGAACTGTACAAAGTCTAAAATGTGGAATTTACAGAGATGATCTTAAAGAATACTTTAATCTAGATGTAGATGCATATAAACATATGCTGAACAATATTGATAGTATTATCGATTTCTGGATTCATAAAGATTTGAATAAAAACAACAGTGTGAATGATAATAAATATATCAACAAAAATCAAATAATTAATTTGAAAAAAATTAAAAGTGATATTATTAACAAACTAAACTTTTTCATCCAAAATCCAAAAATTAACACATGTCCCAATATCTACCACTTAGATGTTGCTGCTATGTATCCAAATATTATCTTATCTCATCGTTTACAGCCGAATGCAATAATAACACCAGATCATTGTTTCAACTGTTCGTTTTATAAACAACGCCATTTGTGCCAGAAGCAGATGGTATGGAAAAGGAAACTCGAAATATCCCCCATTGATTATGGTCATGTCTTATCTCTTAAACAAGACCTCAAAACGAGACTTTTCTATCCTCAAAAAAGTTACTTCAAGACGAACAATAATGAGGATTCTGATAAAAGTACGAACGATAATTTACTAGATGTTCCCATCAGCAAAAAGAAATCGTAAGTTCCAGCAAATAAGACAAAGAAAATAAAACCGATGAAAAATCTACACTCGATCATGCATATATATGTGTACATGTATGTATGTGCTGTAATGGGCACCCATATTTTATCCCGTTTCATCTGTCCTAAATAATCCCATCCCACATTTTATGAGTTCGTAGTTTTGTCTCCTAATAAAGTATTCGTCAACTCTACTGAATAGTTCAATTAAATAGCTCCACTTCATAACTCCACTTCGTAACTTCACTGCATAACTCCATTTCATAACTTCACTGCACCCCTCTCAGATGGAACGAACTGACCGAAAAGCAACAACACGAAGAATTAATGAAAGTTATAAAGGATTGCTCACAGAAGGTATTCAAAAAAACAAAAGTAGCAAAGGAAGTGGATGCCGCGAGTTTGGTGTGCCAAAGGGAAAATCCTTTTTATGTAGACACTGTAAGAACATTTCGTGACAGAAGATATGTATACAAAAAAGCATTGAAAGAATGCGAACATGAAAAAAAAGAGTTGTTGAAAGCGAAAAAAATTGATTATATAAAGATTCAAGAGTTAGATGATAAAATATTGCTAAACGATTCTTTACAGTTAGCACATAAATGTATATTGAATAGTTTCTATGGATATGTAAAAAGAAAAAGTAGTCGGTGGTATTCCGATCAAATGGGAGCTATTGTTACTTATACAGGGTCCCAAATAATAAACGGAGCTTTTAATTTAATTAACAAAATTGGAATACCAATGGAATTAGACACAGATGGAATATGGTGTATGCTGCCAAAACAATTCCCAGAGATATATGAGGTACTGATACTAGAAAAAAATGAATTAAACAGATTAAAAGAGTATGAAAACAAATCAGAAGAAGAATTAAAAAATGATTCCAATGTAAGAAAGGTAGAATTTGAATTTCCTACAAATATTTTAAACTTCCAAGTGCATAAAAAGTGGACAAACGATCAATATCTAGTATATAATGAAAATACAGATGATTATGAATGCATTAGCAAGAATGAAATTTTTTTTGAATTAGATGGTCCTTGGCATGGCATGTTTTTACCGGCATCTGAAAAGTCAGATGATTTATTAAAAAAAAGATATGTTGTCTTTAATGATAAATATAAAATTAGTGAATTAAAAGGATTTGAAATTAAGAGAAGAGGAGAATTAAGAATCATTCAAAAATTCCAAAGCGAAATTTTTAATCATTTTCTAAAAGGAAAAACCAAAGAAGAATCGTATTATTATGCATCTTTAACTGCAAACAAGTGGAAAAATCTAATAGACACCAAAGCAGTAGATATAGATAATGATGATGAATTATTTGATTTAATTTTATCAAAGAAAGTGTTAAATAAATCAGTAAAGGAACAACCCAATGCTAAAAGTTTTGGTATTACAACTGCTAAACGGTTAAGTGAATTATTGAGCAATTCAAGTTACGTCGAAGATAACAATGTATCTACTCAGTTTATTGTTGCATCTAAACCTATAGGCTCAGATATTACATTTAGAGCTATACCAATTCAAATATTTAAAACTAATGTAGAAACACAAATCCATTATTTGGGAAAATGGTTAGGTGTTAAGCTTCCCCCAAATGTTCCTGTAAATGTCCGAGATATTATTGACTGGGATTATTATAAACAAAAATTAGAAGTGCAAATTCTAAAACTAGTTATCATTCCAGCAATTAAGCAAAATATTAACAACCCAATCACATCTATTTCTGTCCCCGAGTGGTTGAAGAAGCAGATTAATATTTCAGAGGGAAAACAAAAAAAAATTACTGCCTTCTTTGTTAAAAAAAATCTAAAAAAGGAATGCGTCTCTAATGAAAATGATTCAAGCATTACTCCTACAAAGGAAATACTCAATACAGATCTGCACCCCAAGGCAGAAACAGCAACCGAAGAAGAAGATATAACATGGAAAAAAGATGATCCAAGTAAGCGTTCTTTGGAAAAAAAAAGTCCCTTCCAGGTGAAGGAGGATGAGACATGTACTGCACCAAGTTCCTTATCTAACGCGACCAACCCGAAGAAGCGTTCCATAGAACAAGTGTTGCTGGAAAACCTTATTTCTAAGAGGAAAAAACTGGGACAACTAAACAAAAGCAACCTGGATCACAGTAACTCAGGTTCCATGGTTTACAAAAAGGTGAATTCGCTAGATGCGTACCTAGAGAAGAACAACAACATTATTATTATCAACCATGAAAAGATCAATATCAACAATTTGAAGTACACAGAGCTCTTAGAAATGTTTGAAACGGATTTTAAAAAATGGATACAAATTAACAACGCTATATGGAAAAATAATCGAAGTCAAATTAAAAAAATAAGAAATGAAGGCAAGTTTAAGAGGAAGAAATATTCATTGCAGGACGAAAGAAACGAAAAGGAAAAGAAAAATAACGGTGCTACTTCCGGTGCGAATGTAGGTGCTCACTTTGGTGCTTATATTGGTGATGATGATGAAAAGACTAATTCCCAAAAAATGTCCAACTTGGAACCCAAATATTTACACGTAATTCAGAATGATATGGATATTGTTTATCTATACAAAAAAGTTAAGAAGAAAAAAACAACATCCCATTTTAAAAAGGGAAAAAATATTGGTACTAATGCGTCCTTTACTTCGGGGGGTATGAACTCCTATTCCCCTATGAATAATAATTCAAAAAGTGATAAGCATACTTTGCTGAAACCGTACCTGAAGTACTTTAAACATGAAACCGATTCAGATTCGTCTAACGATGAAAATGACATTTTTAACGACACTAATAATGTACTTGACGAGAATGATGATGATGGTATATATTATGCAATTGTATCACTAAAAAATATGAACAAATTTTACAAAATAAAAATACAAGTATACAGACATATATATATCAATAATTATGATCCCTTGGATATAAAAAGCAACAGCAAGATTACCATAAATTTAGTTTCGTCATCTGGGTTATCAGGTTCATCGAATAATGAAAATTTCATATTTCACTCTAACGCATTTGCTAATTGTTTTTTACCCAGAAATGTAAAAATATTCAATTTGTATGAATTTATTATGTCAGAAAAGTATTTCAACAGATACGTAGTAAATACATTAAATGCTAATTATCACGAAAGTATTGTGTCTGTTTATGAAACGAAGATTCCCTTGTACTTTGATTTTTTAAGTAGATATGGAAATTCAGTTGAAATCGACTCGACTAATTATAACTCCATTTTTGATGAAAATAAATGTTTCAAATCACACTGCTTTTCTAAGGTCGAAAAGAACAAAATTAAAAATGTGTCTCAAGATTACTTAGATGATATACATATTATACACATTCACATTTTCCATACACTAATAGATACTGTGTGCAATCGTATTTTCATCAGTGTGTATGACCAATTCGAGGAAAACTCTGATGATCTCTCGATTGGAAATAAAATTATGTTTAGTGGAATTCCAAGTGACAAGAACTTTGATCCGTACGAAACTTTTATTAAATTTTTACAACTACAAGAACACTATGCTCATTTCAAGGATAACATTACCTTCGATACCAACGCGAATGGTATATTCACGAATAATACAACTTCAGGAAACTTTTTTACAAAAAATAAGGACATCCATAATGACCAATCTAAACTTTTCTATACCGATCAAATTGAAGAAACAAATAAAAAACAAATATTAGACCATCTATTTGATAAAAATTTTTTCATAAAAAATGTACAAAGAGATTTATTATTTTTATACCATTACAGAAAATTTGATACTTATTATGAAAGCAATTCGAATGTGTACAAAGTGTTGGAATATCTAGATTTATATCTAAATAAATATCGTAATAACATGCTATCTGGAAAAAAAAAATATATTTTCTATGTATCATCAACTATTGATAAGAAAAAATTAGGTTGGTGGAGCACAGGTAAATATTTTCCTTGTTATTTTAAGAAATTTGAAAATTCAGGTAAATATCAAAATATTAGCAGAGTTAGTTACAAACAGGATGCATTTAATTTGTCATTGCAACTTTTTTTTGAAAATTATCATAAAGTAGAAGAAGATTTAAATTTTTCAAGAATATCAAATATCCCTTTATTCAATTTATTAAATGTTAACAAAAAAAATCAAAAACATAAATTTATTTATGATATTCTATATGCATCCTTTTTAAAAAAATACAAAGGAATTTTATGGCTATCTTATTTTGGAAATTACGATTTGGGAATTCCTTGTCTAAATATAAATAATTTTTGTGACTATGATTTAGTAAAAAAAAATAGTGACATAATAAATCAAGGAATATACAGAGGTTATATTGTCCACTTATTTTTTAATGAGTCTCTTATTTTTAACAGCGTTAGACTTTTCACCAAATATGCAAATGCTAACTCATCTAAAGAGTATTATAACCCAACGATATCTGGAAAAAATTCACATATGAAGAAAAATTATCACAAGAGGGTTCAAAATGGTGATATGGTAAAAAATCGCCATCCTATGAAGCATACCAAAAACTCTGTAAGGAAAAATGTAGAGGAAGATTTGGACGCAGATGACATGTCCACAACAGACGATAACAATAGCAAAATAGGGACATATGGGAATCGTAAAGGAAGAGAAGGAAGTGTTTCAGAAAATTTAGATCGTGGTACAAAGAAAAATGATTTCTACGATGACAATGAGATGCAGGAAAATAATGGTCTATCAGATTTTAGTGAAAAGAAGAATTTAATAAAAAATAAATATGACATAAATTCCATTGTGGAACAGAATTCACATGTCTCCCAATTTAGCAACTTTGCATTCAAATTGTTAGGTCAGTCATTAGAATATCTCATATCGAAAATATCTTCTCTTTCTATGCTAATAACAAATAAAACATTCGAAAGCATATCAGACATTTTCACATCCTTCTATTTTTGGGTTTCGAGCAATTCAAGTCTACTTTATGATGTAGCATTATATAACAAAGTACTAGAATGCTCAGAAATTTATCAAAATAATTTAATAAATATTATGAAGAAAAAATTTAATGCAAATATAATTTTTGCAGACTTAAGAAATTTGGTCATATCTTTTAACGAGTTTTCAGTTATATCTGGTAGAAATATTTTAAAAAACTTAATAAAATATTTCTCTCACAGTGATTCTATATATGCAAATGTACCATTTTATATTAAACAAGAATACATAGCAGCTTGTCAATTTGACAAATATAATTTTATAAGGTATAAAGAATATTCCAATCCAAACGAAGAAAACACTGATGAAAATTTAAAAATTATTGAGTATTTACCCCCCATCTGCGAATCCTTTCTAAGATATGTCTTAGATGTAATAACGTTGAACCCGTTGCAAGATATAGTTGCGCTTTACGAAAAGTGGAATCATCATAACAATAAACAATCCGAAGCAGAAAATAAGCTGACACTATCCAGTGAACCCGCAAAAATGGATGAGCAAAATAATAATGAAGCCAGTAAACCTAACCAAACAAACATGAAGGATGAAAAAAACTACTTTAATATTATTCTTAAAACAGATAAATTAACCGATAAAATAAACTTAGCACAAAGGGCTCAATTGAAATATATTTATGATAACTCCTTTGACGATTTAGGAGAAGTATGTGAAAGTTTTGCACTCATTAATGAAAATGTAGATGTACTGTCATACAAAATAGAAGAAAAATTAAAAGATTTGTGGTTTATGCCAGGAATTATATATAAAAAAATTAAAAAATCGATCAAATATAAAAAATATTTAGTAGAAAATTATTGGCCATATGATGACGATGATGATGAAATAGATGAAAATAATATGAGCATGGTACCATTTTTATTTCCAAAAACATTAGGAAATCTAGCTAAAAGAGAAAGTAACTGGAAATTAGAAATTGTCAAATTCTGTATATTCCTAATGGAAAATGATAAACTACTCAATCTAGAAAATGAAAATTGTAATGAAGCTTTTCATGAAAAAAGACATGAACTATTTGAGATTATAGGAGATTGTGAATACAATAGAAAAAATTCCCACTGGAAAAGTCCATGTCAGGAACTGATTTTAAAAGATATTTTCTGTGAAAATTGTTCATCCGTGTATCACATGAACGTCGTTACAAGTTTGGTAGAAGCAGAGATAAATGGAAAAGCGTCTTTCATTTGGTTATGTAAAAATTGCAATTCGAAATATGATAACGAGTTTATTGAGTTGAAAATTTTATCTCTTCTTCAAGAGACGTTTGATGCGTATAATGTAAGTTTTTTTTTTTTTTTTTTTTTTTTTTTTTTTTTTACCATGCACACAAGCACCTTACACTAGTCAATGTAAAAACCATATTTATGGATGAGTAACTCGTGCTAAAACATTGCTTTCATTGCTGCATATCGTGATCCCCACCTCACGCCATTTTTTAAATTTCTGTGCAGGCTCAAGATCTCGTGTGCAAGAACTGCAATTCTATAAAGTCATTCTACAGAAGGGCAATTTGCAAATGTGGTCAAACATTTATGCCCCGCTTAGATATAGCTAACTGGACTAGAACTCTGGAAATTATGGAAAATTTAGCTACTATGCTGAATATGCCTATATTATTAGATGCTTTGAAGTCCATGAAAACATATCTTGTATAAACTTACAATTTTCTTACTTTTGATTTAACACATTAGCGATTTTGTTTCATTATGCAATATGAATATGCCATTTTATCGCTCTGTTCTGGAGCACCATTTTGTCTCCTTCAATTAGTTGGTCAAAAGAACTAACTCGTTTGTGAATAATTATTTATACTTGTGATGAAAAGCAAACATAACACACTTAAGCGTGTAGAATTACTTGTTGTATAATATTAAAATAATTACAAAAAAAATAAAGAACAAAAAAAAAAAAAAAAAAAAAAACTTTTAAATTTACTACAAAATTTGCAAAAAAAATATATGCACATTTTACAAAAAATAACCAACCATAAAGTTATATTTTCATTTTTAATTCTTCCATTTTTATACATTCCAATTTCGTTTACACTACCGTCTTTGACACTTAGAGTCCCAGTAATTTGGGGGAAGTTGTAGTTACTATTTTCCCCTCAAGCATATACATATATATATAAGTGTGTATGTATACGTATGTTTTCATTATTAGAGTATTCACGTGTTCACTTTGCCAATTCTTATAATGCGCATATAGGAAAAATGCCATCATTCTTGATTCTTTAAGTACGAGTGGACATCTGCAAAGGATAACGGAACAGAGATGTATTACTCGTGTATAGACATTCTCGTGTATATATGCGTAATACAGGGATACATTCATTTTTCGTATAGTCGCGAAATTATTAGAATCGTTGTAATACGCATATTTGTAATCAAATGAATAATCAACACATTTTCTTATATTTCAAAGATGACATTTTGGGAACTATGCATTGTCCTGTTTTTGAAAGTTATATGACAAATAGCCCATTTAATGAAAATTTATTGTAGAAATAAACAATTTAGCAAAAATAAAAATGATTCTTTTGTCATTTTTTGTTTTCGTCGCTCCTCATTTTTTTTTTATTTTTTTTATTTTCTGTTCTATAATTTTCCTATAATTTAACCTTTCATAATCAGATACTGCAGGGGGTTCGGTAAAAATGTGTGAAGTGGTTCAAAGGCCGTAGCAACAATATCCCTGTTCGAATGAGGAAATTATCGGATTTTTGCAGATAATCAGGGAGCGTAGAAGAGTAACCGGTTTGAATGATTTTATGTTATTACTAGCATTTATCAAGTACTCATGTACATGGGAACATGCTTTTACTTGTGTATATACATGTTCCCATTAGTACACCTATGAAAAAGTATACTTACTGAATTCTTTTTTTATGAACTTTAAGCATTCTCTGCTTGTCGTTCATAAACTCTTCTTCATCGACTTTTCTCTGAATTTCCTCCACCCTCATCAGGGAGTCTAAAGATTCCAACACCTCTTGTGTATCCTCCACTGGTGCCTTCAATTAGAGGAAATTGAATAATTGATTGGGAAAAAAAAAAAAAAAAATGCAAACATTTTCTTTTTCGTACATTATTCCTTCTACAGAATTTTTTTTTTTCTCCTTACATGTATATTTATTTTAAAATCCTCATCACGTTCCATCATTTTTTTTAATTTTGAACGGTTTGCCTGTGTTAACGGGAAACCAAATATAATAAAAATGTTTTTTCTATTTTTTTATGAACTTTTTTGAAGTTATTTTCAAATGAATTATTCTAAAAAATTAAGTTTTTCAATTTTTCTTCATGTTATTCTTTTTTTTTTTTTTTCTGTATTTTCACATACAGGACCTATAGGAATAATTTTTTCATTGAGAACAAAATTATTCTGAACAATGCTCCAAAATAAAAAACAAATGGATACAACAAAATAATTCATTATAGCTAGTTTTCTTGTGAATTTTATTTTAGAATAAGGGGAGGTAAAAATGTCTTTCTACTTATATTGGATTTATTTAAGCACATACAAATTATTTTCATATTTTGTACAACAGTAATGACATAACACTTCTCTCATAACGTACTTTGCTAAAAAAATGAACTTCTTAATCCAAGTGACAATTCTACATTTTCCATTACACCACACAAATATGGTTCATTTTTGCGAAAGGAAAAAAAATAAAATAAAATAAAGAAAATAAAAAAAGAAAAGAAAGAAATAAAATAAAATAAAAAAGGAATGTAAATACATCTTTTTAACTAGCTACTTTTTTTTTTTTTTTTTTTTTTTTTTTTTTTTTTTTTTTTTTTTTTTTTTTTTTTTTTTTTTTTTTTTCGTTAGCGTTATTTCACCAATTAAGTGAAATAAATTGCATATGAGATCACTGTCATTTTATGAAGAACCTCCCGGGTGTTACATCCACAGGTTTTAAAATTTTACCTAAATAAAACATTTGTGAATAACTGAAATGAGGAACATGACTTCCCAAGTACTAAATGAAGATCATAAATCGATTTTTAATTCATATAGAGGGGATAACTATGCGAAATTGTACCTTTAAAAAATTTTTTGTACGCGTGTAGAAAGGCAGGAACAAAAAAAAAAAAAAAAAAAAAAAAAAAAAAAAAAATCAATTAACCATATAACTAATTAACGAAGTGAAAAATATCTTATTCGCTTTTTCCCGTTTTGATTTAACTTTCTCTACTATAAATTTTTCCATCACAGGACTCACCCAATTCAATTGTTCCATTTGTTTTTTTTATAACTTCATCATAAATAATATACACCACTGTGTTTTGAATAAGCACCTGGCACATACCTCATTTAAACGTTTTAAGCATTTTCACACTAATTGTTTCTACAGCTTTCAAATAAATCTTGTTAACTCTTTTAAATATAGAAATGAATTTTTATTTTTTTTATTCTGTTCCCCCTTCAATGTGCGCTTTTTTAAAAACATCCCAAATACACGTGTGAACGCGTACAAATTACACACATATATATGAAAACATACAAAAACGCAAACATTTATGCGCCACGAAGAAGAATTAAAATTGCTCACAGAAATGGAAATCCAAAATGTTCTTCAAAGAAACACATTTAGCAAATTATAAAAATAAGAAAAACGGACTGAGGGAAGTCACTCAAAAATGCCTCAATATAATCGACTTCAATTATCACAATATAACATCGCTGATAAGTAAGAACAACAGTGGTGATCTTTTAATAAGCTACCAATTTAGTGATGATGAAATAAAATTTGATTCAAACGAAAATTTATGCAGTAATGACATATACTTCCCAGAAAGTTCGTATACAAATAATGACTTTAAAAATTTGTTAGGATGGGTACCAAGGAATTTGGAACTCTCAGAACCAACAGGCACCGATTCTATTCCTTGTGCATTCTTTTTTTCAGAAAACCAAAATAAAGGATCAACAAATAATAAAATAATTTTATATTTACACAAGTTTAATGAAGATTTGGGTACCATTATTCCAACAATAAATGCACTACATAACAAATTAAAAATGAATATTATAGCAATGGAATATTCAGGATATGGTGCAAGCTTTGACACGTATGAACAGAAACTTATATCTATTGTAAATGATTCATTTACTATTTTAAAATTTATTGTTAATTTTTTAAAAATTCCTTATAGCAATATATATATATTATGCTATGATTTTTTGGCAAGCTCCGCTATAGAGGTTGTAAATCGATATGAACACGTGTATGGAAAAAATGAAGCCCTAGGTGGACTAGTTCTTATCAAACCTCAACTGCTGCAAATTGTGAGCCAGTATACAGTCCCACCATCTTGCAAAGAAAAGGATGATATTGTATTAATAAACAATGATCTGAACAACGTTACAAGGAGAAAGGAAGCTATGGAAGAATACACAAATATCATTTTTGATGAAACTACTACAGAAGTTCGTAGAGGAGCTTCCCCAGAAAAGGATATCCAAATTTGTAGTGAGGGAGCAAAATACGAAAGTAACTATTCATACGCAAAGGAATCAAATGAAAAAAATCCCACAATAATGGCCACAAAAAAATGGTATCAATATCTTGGATTTCAAAAAGGCAAAGAAATACTACACCATATAACGAGAAATAGCATGAAGAAAAATAGTTTGATAAAAAAAGGAGGAATTACAAATAGTAGAGACGTGGATAATAAAACTTGCAATGACACAATTGTAAGAAGTAAATCTTATAAATCTAGTAATGGCATAATGACTTGTGATATGTCTTTATTTTATAGTGATAACAGTAAATATATTAAGAGAGGAGAAGATAATGAAATACCGAACTCGTTAATGAAAAGAATTCTAAAAGATACATTTGATATGAATCATTCTATAAATTCAATAAAATCAATCTCATGTTCTATTTTAATTTTTCATCCTGAAAATTATTCATATAAAAATTCAAGCTCATATATATTGCTAAGTAATGCGAAAGAATGTAAAAAAAAAGCAGCTTTTCTATATGATTTTATGAATGAAGACTTTATTACAGCTTTTAAATGGTTCTTTTCCGATACTTCCGATTCTCATAAGAAAGACAAATTATTTAAAAATCTATTGTATTTATATATACATCCTTCGCATAATAGAAAAGACAATAGTTCAAGTGCAGAGATGAAGAAAGAATCAAATCGAATTATGAATAATGAGTACGAAGATAATATATGTACAGATTTAGATGAAATATGTAATAGTAGTTTTGATTTAAATTTTCCTGTAAATGTTGATGGAAACTTTAATGAACCCCATAACAATAGTGTCAAAAATAGCTTCACCCATGGAAGCAATTTAAATGATGACATAACAAGTGACTGTGATAATTCTCCTAATTTTTATATGAACAAATATACCCATTTCAACAACAAAAATTCCATTCACATTCCTAACGAAATTTTTATATGTCCAGAAATAATTCAGGAAGAAAAGTAACTTCAAGAATGGTTGAAGGCATGGAGAGAATTACACATTCCTCTCTTTGGCACATTTTTACGATTATGTATATAATGTGCTTTTTGAATTTTGATTTTACGCTGCACACATAGGGTTATAAGGCATAAAAATTGACATTTATTTTATTATTTTTCACTTCCTAGCTTTTTACCTTAATACTATTCCACACATAGAACACACCGATTCGTATCTCACATGTTCATATGAGCAATCGAGCAAATTTGAAATGCGGGTGGGGGTGGGCCTTATTGTGACCCATTCGGATCTAATCAATGAGCATACATTACATTGTTATTCCACTCATTCATAGTTGTGGTCATTTGATTTAGACATGTATATAATATACATGTGTACATATAAACAACAAATAGTAACTTTTTCTTTTTTTTTTCATGTCTATTTTTCTGTGCCACACTCCAGTTTGTTCATTTTTTGGCTTTTGAATAAACATCATTATTTTTTACTTTAATATTTATTTCTATTATGTTTATCATTAAATTTTTGAATTTCATGCCTTGATGGATAATGTAATTTAGATTTATTTTTAATTATTGTATACGTATTTGTATTTTGTTCTAATAAGTTATTTTCCCCTTTCCTCCCCTTTGTGTTATTATATAATTAAATAATCGATTAAATAATTATCAAAAGTAAAAAGTTTTTTTATTTATTTATTTTTTTTTTTTTTTATTTTTTTTTTTTGTATCTCCTCAATGCTATAAAAAGCATTTCCTATCTAACCTTCTTCACATCGAAGCTTTTAAGTCATTTTTTTTTTTTTATTCATTTTTATTAGTCCCACTTCTCCATATGTATTTACTTGTCTAAATGTTATATTTTTTTTTTTTTTTTGAGAAAATGTTGTGAAAAGGTTATGAACATATTTTTTCAACGGAAAAAAGAATTCGTTGGCTGCAAATATTAAAGTCCACTTTGCTGTATATACAGATGTATACAAATAAACTTTCTTTTCTTTTCTTTTTTTTTTTTTTTTTCCTTTTTTTCTTTTCGTTAAATATAATAATCTATTGAAATATAAACAAAACATGAATATAAATTATTGCAAGAATAGAATCATTTGTATAAGTGTCAAATTATATGATTAATTTTTCAAATTAATGTAACACTACTTTTACAATCAACGATAGTTGTCTTATCACATTTTCGATACCCGGGCTTTTTTTTTTTTTTTGTTGTTGTTCTTGTTCTTTTAAGCCTTTTTTTCACTTTTTTTCCCCCATTTCTACGTAGCTCTGATAAAATACATATATATACACATACATGTATGTATTCTTTTGCCTCTAAAAATGAAAGGTGCATCCATACTTGTCTTTTCCTTTCTTTTCCTTGTTATTTCGTTTGGCATTTGTAATTGCTACAAAAATCCTCGTTTCAGTTCGCTCGAGAATAAGTCGCAAAAGGAATTATCGGAGTAATAAAAAAAAAAAAAAATGCATTTTTCACTTCGTACAAAGACACATAAATTATTTACTTTTCTACATTTCCAATTCCATTTTTATGTGCACATAACTGTTAAGGAACATGTTAATTCCCCCTATTTTAGAGACTTGAATGAATTGAACAAAATAAATGAAGAATTAATTTCAAATGAAAGAGAAGGTGAGGATGATGATGATGATTATGAAGAGGAAAATCTAGAAAGTTCAAATTTCGATGACATAGCTAGGGAGAGCCTTCAAATTGTATGTTCATACTTTTATGCATGCCCTTTCAACTCTTCCATTCTATGAGATCGAATTTGAAAAATTCATGGAATTAAATAAACATTTTACGTCTGCACACATGGGGTGCATGGGTGTACACACATACACACTTGTATGCAAACATATGAATGTCCAATTTCATCATTCCTTTTTAAAGGCTGAAGAGAAAGCAGCAGTTGATCTTGAAAATATAGAAATGGAAAAACTTTTGGATGAAGGTTTTTTTTTTTTTTTTTTTTTTTTTTTTTTTTTTAATGCTCCAATAAGACTTTATTTTTACACATGTTTCCTAATTCTATTTCAACATTTTAAGAAATATTCAGAATAATTCAAGAAAGACTGAAAAAATTATGGTTCGACAGAAATGAACCAAATGCTAAGTAATTTTTCTATGTCATACATTACCATATTATACACTTCTACACCTGACATTTTTGCCTTTTTCTTTTAACCCTATTTAGGTACATTGGAAAGTGCAGGAGAGACTATTCTAATATGTGTCCTTTAGGTTCTCGAAATGGAAAAGAGGGATAAAAAAAAAAAAAAAAAAAGAAGAGGAGGAGAAGGAGAGAAGGAGAGCATTATTTAAAAAAATATAAAATGAACACTTGAACACCTTAAAATGAGAAAAAAAAAAAATTCCTTTTGCTTATTATCATTTACAAGAGTGAAAAAAGAATAGATCAGCTGTTACCTACTTATGCAAGATATTCAGAAATGGTAGTACCTCTTTAGGTAATAACTCACATTTAAGCATCAACTATATTTATTGTGTATCCCTTTTTTTTTTCATTTTTTTTTTTATTTAGGATGGAAAGCATCCTCTTATGATAAAAGTCTGTGTATCCCTCCTGAGACGTACGAAGGACCGTTAGTTCCACCACCAAAAAAAAAAAAAAAAAAATTACATTGTATCCATTCTAGTGAACTTAACACTGTGCATGTTTGTACCTTTGCATTTTGTGTACTTGGACATAATTTATTTCTTCCTAACATATGTCTTTTTGTTTGCACAGATGTAGATCAATGGATTTTTCAAACAGCACAAATATTGACAAGGAACTTTTCGCTTGGAAATGTGAAGTGGAGTGGGCCTGTATCAACTGTAAGTGCATAAATTATATGTTAAGAATAAACGAGGATAATGTCTCATTTTATTTGTATTTATTAGTCTCATGAAACCATACAATTCTTTCTATTTATGAATGGAGGAATAATTATTACTGTAAATGTTTTTCTTTTTTAAGACCCAAAATTAAATGTCATGGATATTTGCCCCTCTAGATGGATACCTGTAGGGAAGAATCTGTGCATAGCACCAGAAGTAAATATTAATATATAGAACATCTTTCTCATTTCAGGGAGAAAAAAAACAACAAAAAGACAACTGAATATTAGAGTTCATACCGTCGCAAGAATGTTTCTATTTTATGTGTAAATTTGATTCCTATGCTGAGGAATAAAATCTACAATATTACATATATTTTCGTATATATAAATATATATATATATATATATATATATATATATATATATATGCCTAATTCTTAAATATTCGAATAGGAAAACTCTTAAAATAAAGTCTGTTCCCTACAATTTATTGTTTTTTTTTTTTTTTTTTTTTTTTTTTTTTTGAAGGATTACATTGGGAAATGTTCCCCTGCAATGGACTTCACAAATTATGATTTCGAGACACGAATTAGATGGGCCAATGAATGTAAAATAAAAAATGAGAAAAAGATGACGAAAATAAAACAATTCTAGTGATAACACAAATAAAGGATATTTATTTTCATTATAACTTTTTTATCTACTTTTTTCATTCCACTAATAACTTCTTACAATATTTTTAAATTTTTTTACATGTCTTCGGAATCATTAGGTAATGTCCAGTGGTCCCCTATAGAACATCCTAAAATTATGAAATCAAAGGACACAACTTTAAGGTCTTCTTCTGTTGGTGGGCCTGTTGAAGAAAGTGGAAAAATTCTAAAAATTATCTCTAAAAAGTAGAAGAAATTTTTGTGTCCTTTTTTTCTTTAAATATGCTTATTTGTTTTTAAAATTGGTAAATTATTTGAACCACCACTTTGTTTTTAAAAATACAAAGGTTTATTAAAAAAAAAATAATAATTTTATAAGGTTGTGTGCATTAATTAAAAAAAAAATTAGAAACAAAAAACCTGTTAAAAGTAAACAACTGAGAGTGAACTAGCGTAAACATAAAGGTTTAAACAAGAAGGGGGATGGGTCGTAAGTAAGCCCCTAAATGTTAGGAAATAAATGTGCGACGAAAAGCATGAGAAAAGTAACATATTATCAAATGCAAATACGGAATATGGTTATATAAGAACGCAAATATTTATTCTCAAATGGTAAAAAAAAAAAATTTTTTTTGAATTATATTAAAGATTTTCCAAATTATATTTTGTTAATTTATAGAACTATTGATTATTTAATTTTAATAGATTATTGTTAATTTCTCTCTTTATTTCTTCTGGGTTTATATTTAACGGATCTTCCAACTCATTTTGGAATCCTGGAATACAACCATTTTTACATTTACAATTGCCGCCTAGGTAGGACGGAATATTCTAGGAAAAAAAAAAAAAAAAAAAAGGGGGGGGAGAGGCATAGGGAAAGAAATGTCAAAAAGAGTTGATAGAAGACATCTGTAATGTGATGGATATGCATTCATATAAGAATAAGGAGTTTTATGAATGGGTGAAAATATATGTATACGCCTATGTATATAGAATAAATACAATCATGCGTACGTATACTTATACAAGAATGAATTATCACACTTGGTATTCCTTCATTTATATATTCTCTAGGAAATACAATAAGTCTGGTGGGTATGTGGGCATTCCCCTAATTTCTTTTATCTTGTTACGTACATTTTTATCCACTAGTAATGAGAACCATTCGCAATCTGCTGGCTCCTGGTTTGAAATGACTTTGGGGATTTCTAATTTATTTAGTGTCCTTCGACTTATACCAAAAGTTTTAAGAGTTTGTATGGTTATTCTTATATATGATGGCGCATTTATTAGGTACTGAAAAGGGGGGTGAAAAAATGCAAACAATGTTAATAAGTATATATATATACATATTCACAGAATAAGGTGTTACATGTGTAAAAATTGTCAAATATGTTTTATATAAATAGAGTTACATATATAACAATAGAATCAATGATTTGGATAACCACTTGTGCACATGAATTCATTGTATAGCAGCTGCACGGTGGCATTGCCGGGTAAGAAAATGAAAAAACCTACTGTTTTTCCAACTAACTGTGGATGAAGAAATTCTGATAATTTTGATGTGTTGGCAAAAACCTTCAAAAATCTTCTATCAAATTTTTTCAACATAAATCCTTTTAAATCGATGAAACGAAAAGTTCGACAAATAAAATTATATTTTTTTGTGTGTTCATTACACACTACAAATTCATGTTCGTTCGAGTATACAATATAATCAATTAAGATACTTTCAGGAACATGATCCAGAAGCAAAGTAAAATTACATAACTTTAGTCTCCCGATAACTATTGGTTGTTTATCTATGGTTGATTTGTGCTCACATGCCGCTAATGATTTTTTTATAAGTGAATAATATGGTTTTATTCTAATTGGTAACATAACATTTTCGTCAGTTTTAAAACTTATTTTTTTATTTTTTAATAATGGTTGAATATTTGCCTTTCTCCACAGAATCGCCTTTTCAATTGAGTTTGCTGCTTCATCTAATTTTTCTCCATAAGAAAGAATGTATCTTACTAAAATAGAATCTTCCGTTTTTTCTTTTATATTTTTTGTGTTCAATATTGATTTTATTTTCTTTATTTGTTCTTCATATTTCTTTAGTAATGCATCTAAATTAGATGGCAACCTCCCCGCGTCCAAATTCATATTTTCCTTTTCGTGGGCACTAGCGGGCGATTGTTGTGAGGCGGAGAAATGGCCTTTATGGATACCTTCTTACTTGTGCTCGGATTGTATATATATGTGTGTATAATGTGTACGGGCGCTTGTATCTAGGGTATAATGTGCTTTTGTATTATGGTTTGTTCTTTTTTTTTAACTGTGTTTGCGTATGTTCATATATATTGTTTTCACTATGAATATTTTTTCTCTCTTTCTTGATATTTTTTGTAAATAAGCATAAAAAACACATTATAAGGAAGTTAAAATTTCAGCATAGTGACATATGTTAACAAATTTCAAACATAACTTGCTGGCATTTTTAAAAAAATAAAAAAAACAACGTAGTCACTAATAAAATAGAGACGATATAACAAAATTTATATAGATTAAAATGGATAGACACAATTTTTCACATAATTTGAGTGAACGCTGTGCATTTTAAACAAAATATATTTAATATATCATAATTTTACTCTATGTACAAAAACATGAATATAATCATAAATTATAAGCAAGAACCAAAAAAAAAAAAAATACAGCAATGTATTATAGTATCTATATGACTAAAATAGAATGCACTTATATAAGAATTAACAATTTCAGATGCAAGCAGGGAAATTAGACAAATAAAATTAAAATATATCCATGTGTTAATGAAAGGTATGTTTTTTTCAACTTAATAAAGCAAATTCGTGTAAAACATAAAAAACATTTTTCCTTTTGTGTACTTAAAAAAAAAAATAAAAAACATAATATGCATATTGAAAAATGTGTATATATATGTATGTGCATGACTTTAAAATGTGCACGTATTGGCACATTCGCTTTATTGATCTTGTTGTGTTATTGCGCTCCTATCAGAGTTAACTGACATGGTTAAAATAGATAAGTGTGGTATTAAAGCAGTATTAGAGAAATATTAAGCAGTGGGCAATCAAACTAACAACAAAGTCTATTTTGTAGACGCCTAAAAAATCAATGTTTTTTTTTTCTTTCTTGTAATGCATTAATTTTGTATTGCGGAAAAACGGGCAATATGATATTGGGTAGGGGGAATCAGGGGGGCTCCAAAGTCACTAAAATGTTATAAAAAATTGATAGACACCCCTAGGTGGTATTTTAATACGTTAGAATCTAATAAAATGGGCCCAAATTATAACAACGTGACAAAATGTAGCAATAATGTGTCAAAATGTGACAAAACCCGCACGAATGGGGGGAAAATGATATACACTTTATTTATGCATAGTTAAAAACATCTACTTGTATCGTTTTTAAATAAACAAAAATAAATTAAAATAAAATTAAAAGCATATAATTAATCATATCTCCACACTTTGTGTAATTATTTACTGCTCTCAGGTATGTATATATGAAAATTATTAAATTGGATGTATAATTATTTATGTATTTCGAAAAATGCCTTCAATGAAAAATTTGTTTATCCATGTCACGCGATTATGTGTGTTTGTACACGTAAATATATACGTATACATAAATATATATATATATATATATATATATATATATATATATATATATATATAAATGCGTATCAGTGTCAAGTTGGCTTTTTCAGAAAAAAATGATTAAAAGTATGTGTGGTAACATATTACAAGTGTAAACAAACATAACTAAAAATATTCGCAATGTCTGAACATTTTTTTTTTTTTTTTTTTTTTTTTAATTTGAATGTTTATAATCTTAAGGAAAAAATTCGTTAAAAAATAAAATCACTCATAAGATGTGTATGTGTACACGATGGAAAATGCATTGAGACATGCATATATGTAATATTATATACGTGCTCGTACATGTACACTAAAATATGTTCATATATTCATCCCAAGCAATGGAAGCATTTTCACAAGTGTTATACGCAACATAATTTACACGGCATCTCCAAACTAACATACAGGAAATTTTGTTTAGGATGAAGCACAGGAAAAATGTTTATTTTTTACCTTATTTGTTCGTATCATTTTTTTTTTTTTTTCATTCTATTTTAAGATTGGCCAACCAAAACCAAGTTGCGTTTAAAAAAAAAAAAAAAAAAAAATGAAAGCAATTAAGTAAATTCCATTGGATTTGCTGACATTTTTACGATATTTACTTAAGTAATAGTAAACAAATTTTCCTTCTGAACATTGGTAAAATACATGCAAAAAATCATGGTAACATTCTGCTTGTGTTTTGTAATGCTTTGTAACGCCTTGTATTGCGTTACATAAGAAAATGTATCTGGGGAGTTGGAAAAATTGTGAATAGGATATATAACAGGCACAAAGACTTTATTTGCGCGAATTAATGGGAAGCAAACACAGTTGTATGAGTTAGTCGTGGCAAATGAATTCCAAATTTATAAATCTTTAGATGCATATATAAGTAACTAAAGAATCCTTATACGATCACAGCTAAAGCAGGATGCACATTTTTCAAATTCTATTACTCTTTTTATTTTATTTTTTTTGGGACACATTGAAAATTTCCTCCCCCCCCCATGTTTTAATTTCGACGAAGTGTTCACATAATGTAGCATTTATAGATATATATATCTATATAAACGTTCTTACAGGGAGAATTACTTATTTATACACAGTACTACATTTATCATTTTTTTTTTTTTTTATTACTTTTTTTTCTACAAATAAATCTTGTCACATATTTCCTTCATTCTTTTGTTCTTTCTTCTCCTCTCTTTTTTTTATTCTTTTTTTTTTTTTTTTTTTTTTTTACCCTCCTACCACTTACGTGTGCCTACGTTGACTATTTTGCGTGAATTCATAATTATGGCTAAATAACTCTAAATGTATTGAATAATTTTGTAACCATTCCTCTTAATTTAAAAGAAAAGCATAAAAAATGGACCCAAGCTCTTATAAAAATTTTCCCGTGTTCTATTTGAAAAAAGAAGGTATACATAGAAAGAAAAATGAAAACAGCACCGAAGGAGAGGCAACGAAAAAAAAGGCCTATAATCCTCGTGTCAAAGAAAACAGCAAAAAAAGCAAAGTAAAAAAAAACATTTCTCTGCCACCTTTACACATCATTTGTACCAAAAAAGTGTAATCACAGGAAGCCTACACTGCGTCCTTCACGTTGTGAATATTCCCACATGTACATTTGAATACTTACACACATATCAAATATTCGACGAGTCTGTGATATGCCTTCAATCCGTCTACACCGTTTTTATTTATTTATTTTTTACTTCTTCCCCTCTTTCGCATGTGTCTTAAAGATCCAAAAAATGTGGAGAATAACAATTTCACTCCAAACTTAAATGAACTGGAAGAATACATTAATAGTTGTTTCAATTTCTTACCATACGAAGAACTAATAGTTGACAATAAGAGGAAATTCACAGTCGAAGGACTTTGTCATTTTTTTGTTTTTTACAATTGTGATAAATTAATATGCTCAATAATAGAAAAACAATGTAAAATTAAAACATTACTTTTTTTCAACCACTTGGACGTCAAAATAGAAAATAAATGTTTTAAAAATGGGGAACATTTTCTAAAACATTTTGTACAAATATGGAATAACTTTTCCATAGTTATAGTACATTTAGAAGATTTATTGAAATCATTCAAGATGTATAATAAAATTACACTCTCCAATTTTGAATGCCCCTCTTATATATTTAATACATTGTGGAAAAAATATATAAATACTTTTACCTATGTAAAAATTATACTCATTCGTAGTGCTTGTGATTATTTGAAATATGACAAAATATTTTGCGAATCGAAGTTTTATGAGTATATATGTCTTAATATTAATGAGGAAGATTCCGAATGTAAAGAAGTTGAGTATGAACGAGGAGTTCCATTTTCTACCCCTAAGGAGGAAGAAAAAGATAAATCAAATGGAAACCTTAACAGCACTGGATTGAATGACTTTCAATATGCTCATACTATTGTCAGTATGGATAATCCATTCAAAATCGAGAAAAATATGAACAACGACTATACCAACACTAATAGCTATGATAATTTAAAGAGATACTCCGTTTCCTTCAAGATGGAAGAAGACGAAAGAGGAAATTTCTGTGAAAACACAAGTGAGCAAAAAAAAGTTAGAGATGGTACCCAGAAAGGAGACATCAATGAAGGCTATTGTGTTAGCTCCCCCTTTTTGATGAATATCGATAATGGAATAGAAAACGGAAAGAATGATAGTGAGCACAGCAATATTATAAGCAACGTTTTGAACAATGGAAATGATATGAGAAAAGACAAAACAGATAATATAAAAAATATAGATGACAAACTTGTTACCGCAGGCCTGAAAATTATAAACATGCTGGACATTTATGACGAGTTTGAGGAAAGTTACAAAAAAGACACGTATTATTATTATCATGAGAAAATAAAGACACTTGTAATGAATGGAGGCAGTACCTCACGGAAAGATATATGTCCAGATTTTGAAATGAATATTCATAACCTGCCCACGGAAATTGAAAATTGTCTGTGTCATGAACAAATACGATGTCGTAAATTTTTTAAAGAAGAAACAGAAATATCTATTTTGAAAAAGTTAAAAGAAATATTAATCGTAAGATATAAAGATATACTATTTAAAGATACACATATAAAGCATTATATTATGAATGAAAAATATGATTGCTTGAGGGTGTTATATTTATTTTCTCTTCATTTAAACACAACAGAACATTTTTGCAATATATTTTTCAACACAGCCGAAGAAATAGGTGTTGATATAATAAAAGATGTAATTAAAAGTAGGAACACTTTGAACATGTTGTATGATTCACTTATACGATTAGTAAATTACAAATTAAATATTGATAGAATTATTATCATATCATTTCGATATTCTTCCTATTTTACCAAAAAATGGAAAGAAGTGTTTGAGCACTTTTTAAACAAGGGAACACATGCAGAAAGTTACATGCCAGTGATACTTAGTATTTACTTGAACAACTTGATGGTGATGTATAATGCAGGTTTGAAAAAACTTAGAAAATATTATATTATAAATAAGCAATTTAAAAAGGGAAGGAATAAAAAAAATTGCGCACTTTTTGAAAAAAATTGGAAGAGTTTTTGCAACGAATCACTAATTGAAGGAATGGAACTGGAGAGCACAATTTCAACCGACAGTGATACTGTATTGTTGATGAAAAAATATTTGAAAAAAAAAAAAAAAAAAAAAAAATTTACCCATAGTGATGAGTTATTACATATGCGTCGTATGACACAAAGTGATGAAGGTACACATCGTAAATATTACGATGAAACTTTTTTTGAAAAAAATGATAAACAGGATTATATCCGAAACAGTGATGGTGAAAGTAGCTGTAGCTCTGTCGATAAAAATATACTTGTACATTCGAAAAAAATTGAAAATCTATTTAAAAAATATCACGACATAGGGAAATATATTATGAATATTATAACAATTATACTGAGCCTTTTTAAATACTTAAGTGACAAAGAAAAATTTGAAAAATATTATCGAATTTTTATGTGTAAAAGATTAATAAATGATAAGAATTTTAATATAGTTCTGGACATAAAAATATTTAAAACACTTAAAAAAGAATGTGGTCCACAATTTACCAAAAAAATTGAAACTATATTGAAAGATATGAAAATTTCAAGTAAAGGTATGCATGAATTTTACAAGGAATATCCACACAACGGTATAAGATTACTGAAAAAGAAACAGTATTCAGTTAACGTCATATTTAATGATGCATGGGACTATAACAAAATAGATAATGATAACATTATATATCCCCAAATCATAAAATTATGCAACGATTATTTTTGTAAATATTATGCACATGCTAATAAAGCTAGAAATATTAAGTTTCTTCCATTATATGGGCTATGCACTTTGAAAGTGAATTTTGAAAGAATAAAAAAAAAAAAATACTCAAATTCGGACAACAACCCATTAGCCAGCCAGGATCCGTGTGAAGACATTCTCCAATCTGCAACAGGCTCGACACTGGAGAAGAATGGTGAGCTCATCGAAAATTTAAATTGTAACGCGCCCTCTTTGGATAAAGATGACCATAACTATAATGATAATTATAACAACAAGAAGAGGAAGTTCCACTTTACGGTTACCACACTGCAGGCCACTGTTTTGCTACTGTTTAATGAAAAATATGAGTATAGCACATACGAACTAGCTAATTTGACAAATTTCCCAAAAAATAATTTAATAGAGCATTTACAAGCCATATACAATGGTGAAGATACGAACATTTTGATTTATGATAAAGTAAATGAAATATTCAAATTAAATTTATGCTTCAAGGCAAACAATAAATATTTAATAGTCAATTATTTAGACCAGACATATATGGATAACACTGCTATACCTGCATTAACACAGGAGGATGATGAATTTGAGGACAGAAGTTTACACATTGATGCAGCTATTGTGAAACTTTTAAAATCATGTGGAAAATCATCCGAGAGGGAAATATATTCATACGTACACCAAAAAGTTAACAGCATTTCAAATGAACAAATTAAAAACAGATTGACATCCCTGCTAAATAGGGAGTATATATCCTTCCAAAATAATAGTTATTTTTACGAGTTGTAAAAAAAGTTATGCAATTTGTGTTTTGTTTTCTGTATCTCTGGGTATATATAATACCTTTTGGTTTACATGCATGCACTTGTTTCATAATATTTTGCACCTGTTTTTTTTTTTTTTTTTAATTCAATTGATTTATTAAAAATTCACACCTGTCCGTTTTGCAACGGACCTTTTTGCCCCACATATGTAATTGTTCATGTCATATTGACAGATGAGCACACTTTTCTACTTGATGCTTTGAGTAATATTTGTTTTACATGATGTTTGAGAAAATTTCGTTTCTTTTTTTAGAAGAACTTCCTTTTTATTATTATAATTGAATACGCAAATATGCGTGTCACACATAAAAGTGAGCTAGCATATATACATATTTACACATATAAGCAAGTGAGCAAACATGCGAAACATTAAAATGGACATCAACGTATAATTGTTAGAAATGCATGCTTCTTATCATATTATACAATTATGATGAAAACCGAAAATTGGAAAGAAAACATATTTAATCGTCCCGTATCCAACAACAAATATAAATATTTATCATAATTTAATTAAAATTTCTCAAAAAAAAAGTGTTCAATGTTATAATGAACAATTTTTAAACTACATAGAAAAAAAATTGTTAAAGCATTTGTGAAAACAAATGAACTAATATATTTTTATCATTGTATTTTAAATCAAAAGGGGATATAATACATACATATATATTATGTATGAATATATCTGCACATGCATGTGCTTGTACATACATGTGTGTACATATTGACAAAATGAGAATTCAAAAAGAAAATAATAACATTACAGCATGACTTGACAAAAATGGTAACACATGATAAATCATACGATATAATGTGTATAGGAAAAAAGCTAAAAAATTACCATAAAATGAAAAATTAAAAAAAAATTATAGTATAAAGATGAAAAGGTAAAAAAGTATAAAGGTGAAAAGGTAAAAAAGTATAAAGGTGAAGAGGTAAAAAAGTATAAAGGTGAAGAGGTAAAAAAGTAAAAAGGTAAAAAAGTATAAAGGTGAAGAGGTAAAAAAGTAAAAAGGTAAAAAAGTATAAAGGTGAAGAGGTAAAAAAGAATAAAGGTGAAAAAGTAAAAAAACACATGTCTGCATATGTATGAATACGCATTAGTAGACATGTAAGGACAAAACAAAAAAATTGGAAAGATTAAAACATTTTTTTCACAAAAAAAAACCAAAATTTGTATCGACTGTATTTTAGTTCATTCTTCCTAAGCATGTACTGGAGCCGCATAAACACATGAGTTTTTTTCCTTCGGATTCAACACCAAACTGAAAAAATGTGAGAAAAAGGTTTTGTCATTATTAAGCAAGGGGGGGAAATAAGAAGGTTACGTCGTGAGGGATAAACAAGCATAGTTGCGATCCCAATTTAGTTTCGTTTTGCTATTATATTATTATTTATTATTATTATTTTTTTTTTCTTCCCTACTTGGTAGTCGTATGTTATTTCTTCATGCGCTACAATGTCTCTCTTTGCAAAAATTACAATGTGTTTCAAGTTTTGGTCACATATTACTATTTTACAGAAACAATTTGGCTGTAAAAATGGAGGGATAGGAGAAAGGAGGGGCGAACAAATGAGCACAAGATTGATGCATATATGTATGCATACATTCAAGCATTTGGCTGCCGATATATGCGTCATGCAGCAGGCACCATTTTGTGGATTCTGAACAAATCATGAGTCACTATTGGTGTCTGAATTGTATGTCCCTTTGGTATTACCTCGCAGCTGTGGTTGATAAATCGACTAACGTTTCCCCACTTTGTGGCATCGATGATTATATTTTCGTTCAACCTAAACATATAGCAGCTACTTTCAATTTTGTCATAATGTTTTTCTCTCTTGTCACTTATTATGTTTCTAATGTATTCACCAATGTATTCGATGACCGGCTAAATGAGAAGCAGAGAGGGAAAAGAGAAAGGATATAAATGCAAACGGTGCAAAATGGGACGCTAGTATGAAGTTCGTGCATCAGTACAATATAATGAAGCCGTGTACAGAAAACAATATACTGAGATTAAGGTACGATGTGTAAGAGGCACGGACACACGTGAAACATGTATATATATATATGGAGGAATGCTTTCCTTACTTCTCCTTCATTAATAAATTCACAAGTGTACAGTCCATATCCATGTATACTGCTTTTTTTTACGTATAATCGAGAATTTGACGAAATATTCATTAAGTAGCGATAAGACATTGCGCTGTTAATGTTATACTTGTACTTCACGGTCTTCCTTGTGTTTTTTTCCTATAAGAAATGTGGTAATCATAGATGGCATAATAACTGTGTTTTCATACAGGGGGCACACGAAAATACTGGTATTCACAAATCAGCATAAGTTCTTATATGTACATTAACACATTCACATACAATCACACTATAATAGCAAAGTTCTACCTTTTCCTTCTCATTTTCCTTAAAAATACAACTGTCAATATTAGAATATTTGCAGAACAAATTATCATTATATATGACTTCCCTTGTGCAGTTCCTTACCCTCTTTTTAATTTCCTCCCTACGAAAATGACAAAAAAAAAAAAAATAAAATAAAATATAACAAACTCAAAAAAAAAAAACAAACTAACATAATATGTAAGATCATATATGTAAATATACAAATAAGTTATACACACATGCATATATATATGCATTTGGGAAAAAAGAGAACGATATAATGGAAAAATTTATGCATAAGTGGACGCCAAAATTGGGGCCTCGCATTTTCCTAACACCAATTCCTCACCTTTCATTTGACCTCCTGATGTAATTTTTAATCCTATTATTTAAAATTTTCCACATATATTTAAAGAGTTTGTATTTCAATTGATATATAACACATGGTGATGTCAAACCGAAGAAGTCATGTGGATCAACTGATTTGATGTTATGTTCAACGGATTTGTATATATAAGTCTGTAAATGCTCAAGCAAATGCATATATTTGTCGATGCATTTTTTATATTCCTCTGTTATGCACGTATTATTATCATCATTTGGTTTAAAATGTAACAAAAATTTTTCATATGCCTCTTGTATATCATGGCTTTCTGCTAATACAAAATTCTGTGCATCTACTTCTGAAAAATGGTTAATACTTATTAAGGGAAATAAGATAATAGAAAAAAAAAAGTTTCCATTCTTTAGTGTAATAGAAAATATATATGTAGCACGTATTTGTAAAAATATTTTCTGCAAAATTTTCTTTTTTTCATCTGAATTTCCAATATTTGCATGTTTATAAATATGGAATAAGCGCGAGGATGGTAAATTAAAAAATATTTTCATATTTAAGAAACCACATGGATATATTCTTTTCTCTCCATTATATTTTACAATTTCACCCATATGTAAAATGTTGTGACTTTCAATTTTTATAATTTTACATTTTGAGAAATTCCTATTATTTCTAGTATTATATTTATAGTTAGAGAATAATCTTTCATTTATTCTTTTGATGTATACATCATTTTTATCGTTCATGATCATATTTAAAAAATATTCTTTTTTATCAGTCACATTGTTATTTTCACTTGTTGGCTGTTCTACATTCCCCTTCTTTCTAGATCCACCCATGTTAGAACTAATTGTTGTAGTTGTAATGCTCGCGACAGTAGCAGAGTTGGATATTCCATTTCCTTTTGTCATATTTTTTTTTGTCTCACTATTTTGGTTCATATTAAGATATGCTAGATTATTCTCTTTAAATTCGTTAAAAGTACTAATCTTCTGCAATCTCGTTATATTTACCTTTTTATTAATATCTGTTAATTCGAAATAAAGGTTTATGCCTTTAGATTGTTTCTCTTTCCTTTCTTTATCATAATAATTAGTTATATCCACTTCTTCCATTTCATTTTCACTATTACTGCTAATGTAAATTTCAGAATTTTCGTTATCTAGCTCTGATTCATCATCGATGAAAGTTGTGTAAAGTATATGTTTACAAGGCTCTTGTTGTTCCTTATTAGTTCCACTCGGCTCATGCAATACAATATTTTCCTTTATGGGATTGATACAAGAATGAATTGGTAAGTTTCCTTTATGGTTCTTTTCCTTAAAATGTATCGCCGTCTCTTTTCTTGAAGCAGAGGAAAAATTTCCCATGGAACATGAGGAACTGCTATGTAACACGTTCGACAAACGTAAGTCGTATTTTTTCTCATTATTCTCATGTACATATCCCGCAAATAAATTTTTCTTTTTTTTTAAAAAAAAATATTCTTCATTCTTTAGCGTTATCTCACTGCCTATATATAAGAAATATTTTAATATAAAATAGCACTTGAATATATTTTCTATATTTTTATTATCAATGATGTCCTGTATGTCTATGTCATTCATATATGTCATATTGTTTTGGTCCATGTCACCACAAGTGCTTAGTGCAAACTTTTTATTCATTCCTTGTTTATTAGGAGTTTCATTGCTATGCCCATTTCTGTGATATATTAATTGGGATCTATAATCAACGAAACTTTTATCACCACTCTTGTTTGTACATTCATTTATGATATTTTCTAATTGTTTCATTTTATTTTCTATCTTGCTTTCTTTACTTAAAATATTATGTACAAAATCAAGGGACTTGTTTTTATATTTTATTCTTACACATTCATTTATGTTGTATAAAATTTTGTCCATGACATAGTACGATTCGTTTTCAAAATAAAAATGAATAAAATGTTTAATAATATTCTTAAAACTTCCTATAACATCAATTTTTTTTTTATGTGATGTTTTTTTTTTGTCTGTCTCAGCGCAAATTGTTTCATGTTCTCGTTCTTGTTGTACTTTCTCTCCTCCACCATCATTTTCGTCCTTCTCCTTTTCCTTTTCCATATCCTCTTGATTTAACCCAATTGTTGTGTCATTCTCCTTTGTTTTATTACATTGATTAAATATATTTCCTTTTCTTAGTTCTTCCTCATCCTTAAGAATAACATTTACGCATTTTTTTTTGGACTTTTCCGTATTTATACATTGTTCTTTTCTACTAGAGCATTGCATATTTTTCTTCATTATATAGAATGAGTTATATATTTTTTTCGAATTCCAGCATTTATTACACCAAACTTTTTTCATTTTATATATAATATGAACTGGGAAAATATCCTTATAAAGTGTATGAACTAATTCCTTATCTTTTGCATTATTATACGAACGACACAATTTATAAAAAATAGTATCCTTGTTAAACTTAATTAAATTAAAGCATTTTAAATAATGGAAAAAAATATTTTTATCATAATTTCTTACAACTGTTGAGTAAAATGCACAATTTAAGTGAAATTTTACATTACAATTTTCATTACTACAATATACACTGGCATTTTTGTAACCACAAAGATAACATGTCGAGTTAATGCAATCATAAATTATTTCCTTCACATCATCTTCATCTATTTCTATTATATGTTCATAATTATGAAAGAAATTTATATTCTCTGTCCATTCGAAGTTATTCATTAATATTATGTTTTTTATATTCTTTTTTACATTTACAATTCGATCTGGGTTCATTTTTACTTTCAGTACATTGTCTTCAATAGGGATGTCCTGATAAGCTTGATTTTCCCTGTTCTGTTCTTCTCTCTTAACGCGTGTTTCCCCTGCAACGTTCATATCATCCACTTTATTGGTATAGCTATCAAAGGTAGTACTCGGACATGAACCATTAACATGAGGAACATTAACAATGGCATTTTTAACCTGCACACCACAACCCTGATTACTTCTTTCGACATTGTCTTTATTCCCCTCTAATATCTCACCTTTAGTTGAAAAAACACCATTTCCTGCAGATTTCTTTTTGTTTCTTTTCGTAGATAAACTTTTAGTCTCTTTTTTATTGTTCGATGGATTATTTTTAACGTTCATCTGACATTCCAACACCCTTTTGGTCATTCTATTGCGACATTCACAGCTATTACTATTGAGTTTGTAGTACTGTATGCAATTTAGACTCCACTTCAAACATTCGCTATGAATAAAAATATCGTAAAATGGAATTAACCTTCCCTTGAATAAATAATTACCATAATGGCACAAGAGGCATGTTTTCGTCCTCGTCCTAGTCCTCCTCTTTTTGATTCGTTTGCTATCTATGTTTTTGTATTTTATCATATTCAAACTTTCTTGCGTATACAGATTTAGCATAATTTTCACATATAAATTTAATTTATTTCTTATTGTATATTTTATTTTTTTTATATATTGTTTTATTTTCTTTTGGTACTCCATGCTGTAAAAAATGTTGCTTCCAATTATATCATTCTTATTTTGAATACTATCTTGGTATTCAATATACGCTTTCTCATATAATAAAAGTGATGATACTCCTTTGGAATTTCTTTTATTAAACAATTTTTGTTCTCTTCCATTTGATCGCTTATTTTTAAACACTTTAGCATTATTACAACCGCTGTTGTTCATTGAATTTGGTATATTTTCCTTATGCAAGAAAAAAAATTTCGATTCCTTTTGGTTAAATGTATTTGATAGATTTGCAAAGGTTTTCGTATTTTTTATTTTAAATAATAAATTCTGATTAACTTTTCTCCTTTTTTTTCTGGATGATGCTGCAATTTTCTGAATGGTTGTTGTAGTGCTGCTTTTTTCGACTTCCCCTGCTAATTTGTTTACTCCATTATAGGTTCGTTTTTTCCTTAGCCCATTATTGTGTATTTTATACAGATAATACAAATGTAAAAAATAAATGGAATTATTGACAATTTGTTCAAAATAACTCTTACCATTTTTATGATAATAAAATAATAATTTTCTTCCTAAATGATATATATCAGGAGTGTATTTGGAACTGTTCCCTTTTCTGTTCCTTCTATTAGAACAAGTATATATTCTCACATAAAAGAGATTTAGCAAATATTTCATAACATGGTCATATGTCAAACCTAAATGTGTAACCGAGTAATAATTATGGGTAAATAAGGTCCTCAATTTTATATCTCTTTTGATTTTACGATAAAAAAGAAGGAAAAATTCATCATATTTAAAAAATACGTTGGAATAGTATAATAAGTGTAATAATCTAGCACTCGATTTATTTCTTCTAAATATTTCATCTAAGATGATACAAAATTCTTTGAAAAAATTCTTTTTATAATACATATATGTATAGCTCATTTTTATTATAAAATAAACAAGTTCATATAATTTCCTTTTATCATTTCTCTCTTTATTCATTTTTGATAAATTATTATTTTTATTACTATTATTTTCATTATGTGTTGTCGTATACTTATGTACGGACGCATATTGTAAACTACATGCATTACACACAAAGATGCAATTAAAATTGTCCCTTTCTTCTCCTCTTTTATCATCATTTCCCCCAGTTTTATATTCATATATCATACAGCATATGGAGCATTTATAAATGTTTTGCTTGCTTTCAAAAAAATGCCTTAAATCTATGGCTTCTTTTTTTTCCCTTAAGTATGCACGATTGAAAAACTCGTTATTGTGAGCAGATATTTTGTTCATCCAGTAATTCCATTCTGGGTCCTTTTTTCCATAACTCTCACTATTTAAGCTGAAGTAACTATTTTTCTCATTAGTGTTTTCTCTTGCCGGTGGGTTATAACTCTTTTCACTATGTGCATTAATAGCATTAATTGCATAATTTCCATTGTCTCCACTATTTCCACTACCGTTGTCTACACCTCTCACATCATATATATTATCAGCACGGATATTTATCCCTTCATTACTCAAGAAAGCACCAACTGCCTTTTTGTCATTTTTCGGAACATCGTTAATGACTGTAACATCTAAATTCGTTGTAGCTTTTAATTTCTCGCCATCCCTTTCTTCATTATGATTTGCATGGGAAATCTCACGTTCATCATAAAAAGCACACGAACCAGTTGGTTTTTTCTCACTTCCAACACCATTCACATTCGTCTCGTATGAAATGTTATTAATTGTGACGAGGGAATTTTCCTTATCCTTGCCTTCAATTGCATTATTGTTATTTGTGATATTTAGGGAATTTTTTTCCGGACAAACTTCTTTCTCTTCATTTGTCTCCTTTTTAGTATGAAAAATACTTGTTTCGCTATTTACAGTTGTCTCATTGTTTTTCTCACGTATTTGGGTTTCAAGGTTTCTTATTTCTTCGTTAAAAGAATTAAAAGAAAAATCATTTTTGTATAACACAACACAATTTTGGCACAAGTAGGAGTTGGGAGTCACCCTCTTAAACTTAGATTTTAACATGAATTTATTCTTCTTTAAGAATGTGCTTAATTTATTTATTCTATTTCTCTTTCTCACATTTCCTGCGAGTCCTGTATTCAAGGCAGAGTTATCAGATTCGCGAGTGTCTGAATATAGGCACAAATCTTCATCGATACTTCTTCTGTAATTTTTGCCCATTTTAAATCTGCCTCCTAAGTTTCCATTTTTAAGAACACGGTTTAGAATATTGGTGCTATCACAAATGAATTTGTTATTAGCAGAGATCTTCATAGAGTTGTACTCTTTCAATAGATGCTTTTTGTCATCTAAACCATTAGTAATCTCCATTTCTGTTCTTTTTTCGTCCACTTCTTTTTTTATCTTCATTTTTGTTCTCCTCTTTTCATTGTTTTTTTTGTTTTTATCTTTTTCCTGTAAACTGTCATTCTTTTTTGTTACAATTTTGTTTTCTTCAATTTTATCTTTTCCCTTAACATTTTTTTTTCCCTTTTTTTCCTTTACTTCTTTTTTCCTCTCTTGTTTTTCTTCCTCTTTTTTCACCTTGGTTCTTTTTTTCTCACTTTCTCCCTTGGTAGTTTTTTCCACATTCACTTCTTTCCTGTCCTTCTCAGTTTTATCCCCTTTCCTTTTTTGTTCTTTTCCTTTACTCTTATTTTGTTCCTTTTCCTTCTCAGCATTTTTTATATCTTTTGCAGGATTCGTCTCTTCCGTTAATTTATTTTCTTCCTCCTTAAGGTCACTTGTTTTATCAGATTTTTTTTCAATCTTCTTTCCTGATTTCTTGTCAGCCTTTTCTGATCCCTTCCTTTCGGACTTTTTCTTATCCCCCTTTTCAATACATTGACTTAGCTCATTTTCCCCTTTTCTTTTTTTCTTTTTAAAATCATTACTAATATTTCCATTTTCAAATGTGTTATTGTCTGTTTTTTTTCTTTCCTTCTTGCATTCCTTTTCAATGGATGAGGAATTGCTATCCTTTTTTTTCTTCTTTGTCATTTGTTCACATATATTCCTATTTTCCTTTACTTGGATGTTCGTATTAGCTGTTTCATCAGGGTTGTTGTTAGAATCTGGTTCAATGGCATTTATTCTATCCATTTCATTCACATATATACCGTCATTTTCTTTCTTTATTAATACATTACAAGGGAAAAACTTCAATTTTCTTTTCTTACTGTTTAGCACTTCTTCTCCCTCTGACATTTCACCATTTCCATAAAAGTAGCAGGTTTGTAAATTATTCTTTACTTCATTACATAAGTCTACAGCTGTCTGTTTTATATCATTATAAGCAACATGTTTTTTGCTATCATCTAATGGGGTGCTGTATATTTGTATATCCTTTATTTGATGTTCTGAGTTGTTAGAAATATTCTTTTCAACTCTTGTTTTCAACACATTTTTGTCATTTAATTTCTTTACAGGATAATTTGTGTTCATATTTTCTGCACTCTGATATGGTGATAAGGAAATTCCCCTTTCGTTTACATTCGCTACAAATGATTCATTTTCGTTAAATTTGTATGCACTTGGATCACAGCTGCTATTATTATGATTATAGCTATAGTTGTAATTACTGCTATAGTTACAAATGTAGTTGTAATTACTGTTGCAAATGTTGCTATTGTTGTTGTTTCCTCCAATCGTCAATCTGTCATTCGTATTAAAAGATTTCTTATTCTTGCTATTATTTATAATTTTTTCCAAATTGGAAATATTCGATTTTAACAAAGTTTTCGCCTGCACATGGTCCTTCTTGTTAATGCTCTTATTATAAACATTGTGCATATCGTTAAATTTATTTGGACTTATCATATCAGACATATCTGATGTGTTACCAAATCTTATATTATTCTGAAAAAAGGAGATATAACTTCCATCCTTGTTCATGTTTTGTATATCTTTATTATAAAGAATAAAATTGTTGCTGTCATTCGAAAAAATGGGTTCATTATTTGTATTCACATTATGTATTAATTTTCTATTTATTTCAAAATATTCGTTATTTGTTCTACTGTCAAAAGGTGCAGTATGCATTTCTCCTTTGAAAGAAATGCTACTGTTTCTTAGAGTATTATAATCTAACGGCATATTCACGTTATTTGTCACATTATTGGTTGCCGTTGGGGAATTGTTGCGAGTTCCCATATTGTTATAAAAATAATAATTACTTTTATGCAAATTTATATCATTATTGTATATATCAGATCTGTATATGTTCTTTTCTAGAGACATTTCATTTACCGTATAATCCATTTCATTGCTATTATAAAAACCTTGAGGATTTTGAAAAAATGTCTCATTCATATATACATTAGACGACGTGTTATTTGAAAAGGAACCATTTATGTTGTTCATATTGTGAAAGTTTTTGGTATACTTCATATTAATCACATCAGTATAACTTCTTCCATGGTTCATTTTGTCCACATGACTTAAAGGGTTCACATTAGTATTGCACTTTTTCAATTCATTGAAATGGAATACGTTTTCTTCATTTTCATTGTAATCTGATTTATTGAAAATACTGTTCCCATTGTTCATACTGTTAGTATAGGAAGTAGGATTTTCGTTGAAAATGCTATCCCCACAGTTCATACTATTAATGCTGTTGACAACACCTGTGCTCATCGCCCTGCTCATGCTACCAATTCTGTTAATTCCTCCTACATTCATCATGTTATTCATGTTACTCATGGTACTGATACTTCCAATATTACCTAAATTGCTAAAGTTCATAAAGGGATCATTTTTTCCATCCATATTGTTCACATTAATTGTCACATTATTATTATTCAATATGCTCATATTCTGTACAATATTTATATCATTCATGTTAGAAGAATTTACCCTAAAATCATTAATATTTACAGTGCTCGATGTGTTCATATTATTGTTCGTACTAATTAAATTATACATATTATTTCCACTATCTACATTTGTGTTTTGCATACTGAAACTACTGTTGTTGCACATATTTTCCCCATTATAATTTTTTATATTATTTGTATTATTCACAATAGGGACATTACTGTAATTATTTATGTTTCCATGCGGAGTGCTAGAGATTCGACTGTTCATATAACTCATGTCAATTATATTGGAATTGCAATCAGAGTATGTACCACCCATATTATTCACGTTCATTTTTATATTATTAGTCTTATCCAAATTTATTATTTTCTTGATTGGACTATAACCCATGTTGGGTGAAGAATAAGAGGAATTGATATTACCTGAAAAATTAAATTTCTTCAGATTTTTTTCATTAAAATTACGGAGTATTTTGTATAAACTTTTGTTCATATAAGAGCCATTTTTATTCTTTTTATTCATGGCATTATTAATGGGACTTGCATTTAAGTGTTCATTTGTATCTCCATGGGGGGTTACAACACTGGCACTGCATACATTTCCTACACCATTTGTGGGATGTACGCTCATATGATTAACGTTATTCATGTCGTTATTATATCCTAAACTCTTCACATTATTCATAAAATCAAAACTGTTAACAGGGTTTGAACTGGTATACTGTTTCATTTCGCATTGATCTAAGGTATCAATGTCAAGTGCGAAATTTTTATTATATTCAGTGCAACGTACAGCGAAAGGAGAAGATGTAAATGAATTTTCGTCATTCTTTTTAAATAATGTGTCATTCATGAAATTAGTATTATTCTTATCATTCATATCACTTGAATTATTGCATATTAGATTATCACTTCTACTGCTACTACTTTTTTTTTCATTTGGATTAATAGTACTATCATGATTTTTACAATTTGTGTTATTCTTTTTATTCGTTCTTTTACTATATGATGCCTTTCTGTTTAATGGAATTGATGAAGTTTCCGATATTAGTGTATATATTTTTGCTATAATTTCTGAAATTTTTTTTTCTTCATTATCATTCAAAATGAGGTTTCTTTTATCAAACAAATAATGTTTTTCTTCCTTTGCTGTTTTTTTTACACGTTCTGTCGTGGTCATCGTATTATTTATATACTTATTCAATCTGTAGTAATTTAACTTATCATTCAGATAGGTATTTAAACCATTCAAAATTTCGCAAAGTAGATAATTAACGAGAGTTTCATCAATATTAGCTGAAAATAAGTGTAAAAAATGCTTTATTTTTACATTTTTTTTATTCTTTATCACTTCGTAAACCTCATTTATCAAGTGCTTATTAAACTTTTTCCCATTTATAACTACAGTTTCATTGCTCATTTCTCCGCTTCTAATCCCTTTTAACGATTTGTTAATAAATTCATCATTCGGAACGATCCCATTTTCCCACAGATCATTGGTAATAAAATCATATTTACTTGTGTTACCTTCATTAGATATATTCATCGTTAGCTCATTACTCGTTATAATACTCTTAACCTTGCTGTTAATACCATTTTCTGCAGCACTTATAACACTAGCAGACTGGATAACATAACCATCTCTTCTGTTCTTACTTAAAGAGGATTTTGCACTTGCTTTATTTTCGTAACTATAAAAAAGGCTGCTGCTAAAATGGGTATCTGTGCCACCTTTCTTTGGTGTGTTAGCTTTAAGTGGGGAAATCATCCTAACCAACGTTCTGTTATTTTGTTTAGAAAAAGGTGTTGTAATAGCATTATTCTTTTCTTCTTCCTTTATTTTTAAGTCATCATTATGTGTCTCATTACATTGTAAATAATCAGTTTCTTTTATTTTATCTCCCATTTCTCTATTTCCCCTCGGAGATGCATTTTTACTAACTATGGATATGGTTTCATTGAAAGAATTATCCAAAACATTATCTTTCAAAAGTTCCCTCGAAATGTTATCATGGTTAAGCATCATATCATCGAATGAATTGGTGGAACATAATTCCTTTTCTAATTTGACTAATGGCTTTTCATTTTTAAATGTAGGAACTTTTTTGTTATAATTCTTTTTCACATAATGTCTTTTGGACACATGCTTAACAGTTCTTTTATGTGCGTCCTGATCATTTTTATGAGCACAAAAATCTGCGATTCTATCTATTCGATAAAAGCATTCACTATGTGATGATTTTCCACAACAGAAACATTTCATTATCTTTTGCGATTCGTCATGTATGCTCAAAATATTTACAATGCTGTTGGTAATGTTTTGTTCCATATTTTCATTTTCTTCACTTTTTTTATTATTATTTGTTTTCTTGTGTTGTGACATTTTTTTTTTTTTTTGTGTTAATTCGACTTCCATATTTTTTGATACTGTTTCACTTTCATTTTTTACATATGCACTGGTATATGTTCCCAGTAAATCTTTTCTAGAATCTTCCTTATGAGTATCAGTGTCAATGGCATTTTGTTTCTTTCTTTTTTTGGAACACGTAGTTAAGTTATTATTAATTTCACTATCTTTCCTCTGATCCTGGTAGTTATCATTACTCATACTTTCGCATTGTGCTTTATCAACATATTTATGGTGATTAGGTGATATATCTGTTACTTCCATTTTTATAAGTGGGCTCGGTTGTGTAATCCTTTCTTCATCTTTTATATTATTCTCAATGTTATTACTATAATTACCATTATAATCATTGTTATTATTTTTGTTAGTATTATTATTCGATTCGTTAATTACTCCTACTTCCACCTTTTCAATTTCAGTGTGTAACCTCATATTATTTAGGTTTTTTCTTGTTTGAACATTTTTATCTTTTTTAATGTTAACTACTTCCGCCTTCAAATTGTAGAAATAATCAATTGATGTTTTTTTCGCTAAATTGTCACCATTACATGTATCTATATTAGTTATGTTTGAATAAAAGTTATCCCTATCAGCATCACTAAACTGAACGTCGCATTTAGCACACTTGATGCAATTATTACATTTGAAATTTCTCGTTATAATGTTATAAATCTGGTTTATCTCCTTCCTGTGTTCATCATAATCAGTTAAATTAAACAAAAACGGATTCGATATATTAGCACAGGAATAATGAATTGATACTCCACAAGCACTACAGTACACAAAAGGGTTTTTATATTTTATGCATCCGCAAATATAACAATGCTCTTTTAATATATCATTGTTGAAGAGTTTTATTTTCTTTTCTTGCATTTTCTTCTTCCTAATTTGTTGGCATAAAAATGACTCATAACTAGGGTTATTACTACAATTCGAACCTTGATAATTTTTTGTTGAGCCATATTTTCTTTTCCTACGGTCGATATGCATAATAATATCATCCAAAGATGTGTATATTTTATTTCCTGTGCTCCTGTCATCATATTCCATCGAAACGTCATCCATACTTTCTTCCTCAGTAGAATTATCACAATTCATGGAATTAGTCAAATGACTCATATTTACAGCATATGAATACCACTCCTTCCCTTCAATATCATCATTTTGATCCTCACCAAAAAATATAATTTGAACACATTTGAGAAATTTATATGAATTATTTACGGGGTTTAAAACCTTTGTTTTCTCCTTAATCACATGATTCATTTTAATTTTTTCCTTAATTATTTCAATCATGAATATATTTTGGTTTACAAACACGTTCGAATTGTCATTATTATAACGTATTTTGCTATCCTTTATTTGTTTATAGTTAACCTCAAAATATTTTCCATCTTTTGATGTCACTTTATCATCATGCTTTACAACACCACTTATTATCTTAGTCTCCACACAATTATCATTCAATAAATTTTCTTTTTCATTAGAACTGTAATTATTCCATTGCAGCTGACCTTTGTCGCACCCTTTGATAGTGGTTGTACTATGAAATGCCGCTGAATTATTGCACTTTTTCATAAGATGCACCTTTCCTATTTTACAAACATCAAATTCATCAAACTTGTCATAGGATCGATTAAAATATATTTTACCTTTTGTATTAATATGAAGAATATTGTAACTGATTTTATCTGTACTTAAAGAAATAAACATCTCCTTATTCTTGTGAATAAAAACCGAGTCACTTTTAAAATCGAGCAGTTCATACAATTCATACTGAGTAATATCTTTTTCTAAATTTTCTAATTTTCGTTTTCTAGCCATGTTATTATTCAAATGATTCTTATTCAGGTTGCTACTGTTACAATTATAGTGCATCATATCATCCTTACAGGATAGTCTATCTAAGGGATTATTATCATATGTTCCAAATGCGCTTTTTTCCATTTGCGAAAAATCATTCAAGAAATCGAACACTTTCTTAGATGCTTGTAAATTGGTTCCATTCTCTTGAAGTGATTTGTCAAAAGCACCATTAGCATTTTCATGTATATGAGATTGATATGCTATATTGTTCATGTTATTATCATATGGAGGATTGAGACACCCTTCCAGTGTTCTAGAATCATTAATAGCTGCATTGTTGTCAAAGTATTTTGTAGATGCATCTCGATAATTATTAATCCTCGAATATATGTTACCACTATTATCTTGACCGTTATGTAAATCCGATTTCGTATATTCATTCATGTTAGTTGTCTCTTTCATAATTCCAGAATCAGTAAAATATTTCATATTTTCAAACTTATTTGTATGGGAAGTGATATTCTTCTTATCAGAAAAAGTATCAATATTTTTACCAAAAATATCGTCTCTACTGGTGTTAGGTGCACCTGTGGTTATTTTATGCCCATCGGATAAAAACAACCCATCATAATTCTTATTTTCTTCCTCATTTTTATTATTATTATCATTGGTTGCTTCTTCCTTTGATATTTTTTTGTAATTTTCTAAGCATTCATCAAAGCATTTGTTCAGTTCCTCATTATTCATATTAAACATATTTTTAACAATAACTCTTCCTTTTTTTTCAAAAAAGCATGCATTTTTATAAATAGGGGTATTTGGCATATGAACCGTTTTCGCATTATGTATAATCAGAATAAAATCATATAGAAATTCAGATATGTTGTTGTATTTTTTCTCCCATATTTTTTTTTTCATAATATATAAATTCATAGGAATTTTGACAATTCTCCAGTAGATATAAAAATTAATGGGTACATGGAATGTAAAATTTTTATATTTATCTAATAAAAAAAATAGATATAATATTCTTTCAATTTTATCATAAAAAGAACCAGATCTGCATGTTGGGCATTTATAATTAATACTTTTAATCGACAATGTTTCTATATTTCTACTTTCATTTTTATCACAACTTAAATGAATCCAAAATTTGCAAACATCACATTGTACCCATTTGTTGCTGTCATCTATTTCATATTTCTCATTGCACATAATACAAAAATTTTTCTTCTCATATTCTTTATAACAGTTTATGCAACAGTCTAAATGCAATTCCCATTCGTTGTAATTAATAAAGCACAAATTCGAATAATCACATTTGTTACATTTTAAGCAATCATCACATTTCCAATTAAATAGGTAAATATCAGGAACATTTGGAAAACAACAAGATCCATGGGCTACCATATTGCACGATTTACATATCACATAATTAGCTATATTTGGTGTTTGTTTGTAATTATATATACTTTCACAACAGTATATACAACGATAACAATCTTTACAAACGTATTTTTTGTAGCTCACATCATTATATTTAACGGAGGGTACATAATTTATACATTTTCTCGATTTTTTATTTTTCGATTTTGCACAATTATTTGTTTCTACATCAGTATATTCTTCATCATTTATGTCATCACTTTTATTTTTATCCTCTTTATCATCGCTCTTATATTCAATTTCACTGTCATTTTTGCCACATTCATTTTGGCTTGTCGATACATTGTTTCCTTTCTTCTTGTTCTTATTAAACTTTTCATTCATGTTTTCAATTTCTTCCTTTGCTGAAACGTTTGATACATCCTCTGTGCGTCTGCTAGATCCATTTTTTCCATTTCCAACGATTCTCTTCCTATTGAAGCATTTTTTTGATTTTATTATCGACTTGGGATCATCTCCAGATTTCGAATCATTAATATTTTTCTTTACCTTCTTTGATCTTTCTTCTTTCTTACTGGCATTTCTTGAACCTTTATTTTTATCATTCTTGAAGCATTTTTTATCCCTCTTTAAACTGTTCTTATAAATATATTTCTTATACTCTTTCATAAGCACATTTTTGTCATACCCCTTGGTAATTATAACCTCGTCGTCTAAACAATTGGCATGAAATTTTTTAGAACAGATAAAACATTTAATACCCCAGTAAACATTTATCATATTACTTTCATCAATTTCTTTTTTTTCTATTTCGCTACTTAAATCATATATGATGGTGGAGAGGCTATTGGTGTAATGATCATGGCCCTTAATGAAAAGTATATTACTCTTACATATGGAGCATTCATCTTTTTTATTTAAAATATTGAAATCAACTTGTTCCTTTCTTTTATCATTTTTATCTAAAATATCAAATCTTTCAAATTCTTTGTACGTTTTCAATACCTTTATATTATAAAAGTGGGGAGAATACCATCCCTTAATATCTGAAAAGGTGAAATCACATTTTTTCTTTTCATTCTCTTCGTCAAGTCTTCGTTCATAATTTAAATACATCAATTCTTCTCTGTTTCTTCCAATATAAGTGTTATTATCATTATCAACATCTTCAGTTAATCCCACATTATGGTTATTACTCATGTTTTTACTTACCTCATTATCCATACAATCGAATTGTGGATTTTCCGAATGAACTAACAAATTATATTCTTTGGACTCCTTAAATAGTGAAGCAATAGTGTTACTTCTGCTGCCACTTTTTGTATATCCTGTATCTCTGTTAGTACTCTTTGGAGAATCCGCTACAGAGGAGTTAGATTTGATATTTTCTATATGATGAATAAAAAATTGCTTATATTTCGGAGAATAATATTTTATAATACCAGTTTTGAAATGGCTTTTTTTTTTATTATCCTTTTTTAATTCAAAACTGACACGATAACCTATATATTTAAATCCCTTTTCTTCATCTTTTAATTCAATGTATTTATTAGATGCATCAGTATCTGTTTTATTGGCTTTTTTCTTTTTTAATCGATCTAATTTATTGTCAAAAGTTTTTAAATTTCCGTTTTCTGTTTCGTATAGTACACTAAAATTATCAAAACATTCTTCAATAATACAATTAAAAAATTTTGGTCTCTTAAAAAGTACTTCCTCATCATCTATGACGAGATTTTCCAAAAATAAGGTTTTCTCCACTTTTTTAAACAATTTTAATTTTTTTTTAATATTGTTATTATTTGTATCTATATAAAACCTAGTTTTCTCTTCCGATCCTTTAACAATATTAATAATATCACTTAATTTTTGAATATTAAAATAAAACTTTATTTTGTCATTGTATATAATACCCGTGTAACTGTGTTCTTCCTGTTCCTTATTACATGCTTCATTTTCACTCTTTAACCTAAAATTGCTTTTTTTCTTACATTTCTTCACATCCATATTTTTGATTAATTCGTCTGTCCTTTTCGTCGTACCGGTGAATTTTTTACTATTTTTCCTTTTCATCATATCAATATTTCTTTTTCTGTCCTTAGTACTACCTTTGATAAGGATTTGATCATTAGACAAAATATCTTCCTTCATTTCATTGGATTTTTTCTCCATCTTGTTTGTCCCCTTGAGTGTCTTTCCTTTATCATTAATTTTTTCATCTTTCTTCAATTTTGCATTTCCATTAATATTATATCTATCACTTTCATCATTTAAATTGATTGTGGGATTATTTTCCAAGTTTTTGCTCTCACCATATTTATTACCGCTTCCAGAAATACTATCTACTTGTTTCTTATTACTAACATTGTTGCTGTATTCTCTGCTATGCTGCTGTGAATAGGTATTTTCTGATGCACAAACATTTTCCTTAATACCTTCTTCACTCGGTTCACATGTTTGATTCATTTCCGAGACTTCCAAATTATTTTCATTTATCTCATCTAATGATTCCGTAATCTCCTTTTTACTTAAATCATCATCTTTTATATTTTCATTTTCCATAATATTGAAAGTAGATTTTGTTTCATCTGCAGTTTGCGATTGGGCTGATTCACAATTTTCTTTATTCACATTTTGAAATTCCTCTTCCATATCGGAAAAAATTATTTCACTTGTTTTTCTTAACTTTTTTAAATATTTTAAGCTGAAAACTTTTAAAAATTTTACAGCATACATTTTGTTATTATTTCTTACGTAAAATGCATCGCTCAAAATTTTGACATTTTTATCATACAAAATAACATCCTGAATAGCTATAACTTGAAGAATATTTTTTTCTAATTTTTCTTTGTTTAAAATTAAAATACGAAAATAAAAATCTTTTATAATTTTGTACGTTAGGAAATATTTCTTACTTTTATTTGTGACAATCTTTCCAAATTTTAAATATGTATCATTATATAAATTCTCAAACAATTCTTCATCATATTTTATAAAATTTTTTCCTGTTATCCTTAGTTCTTTATATGGCCCCTCTTGAACTGCACATTTGTCCTTTCCTATTACACAAGCATTTTTTACCTTGTTCATATGGTTATTCATCTCATTACACACATCTTGCATGATTGGTTCGTTTTCTAACTTTTCCTCTTTTGACACGTCTTCAGATTTTTTTATTAAATCAACTTTTGATTGAAGCATGCTTTCCTCTGCTTCAATATGCGTCTGCTGATTTGTCTCATAGTTAATTGGTACTTCTATATTCATTTCAATCAATTCGCCATTGTCATCATTAGCTTCTTTGATTGAACTTACAGTAGATTTATAAGCAGTTTCACCTTGTAGGATAATTGGTTGTGCTTTTGTTTCTTCTTCCTTCGGGATATAATCCATATAATTTCGCATTAGTTCACCTTCTTCAGATTTTTCATTTGAAACAGTTGGTACATTTTCTTCCTTTTGACAGACATCAATCTTTTCGTTAATCACTTTATTGGCCTCCTCTCTTAAATCGTATGCACCTATTTGTTCGCACTTATTTTTTTTCCTATACCTTTTCTTCTTTACAAAGCATTTTTTATTTTTTCTAAAATATGAATAAATTTTTTTCCTTTTTTTAATACTTCTTATGGTTAAATTATAATTTTCGTACGGAATAAAATTTATCTTTTTTCTTAAACGTAATTCTTTGTATTTACTAAATTTATCTTGTATTCTTTTTTTATAAACATTGAGAAATAATTCATAACACTTGGAAGAATATTTAAGTGTTACATTTTCTTCTGTATTTTTATACATATATTCCTTAAAACTTTCATTATAAAAATGAATATTCAATTTTTTTTTTTTTTTCCTCTTTTTTTTTTTTTGAGGGGAATATATTACATATGTGTCCGAATAAGCGTTCCTTTCATTACTGTGATCACATCTGCATGAACAACTGTAAATCCTATTATCACTATAATTCGTAAAACATTTATTTTTAACTTTATTTTTAAATTCAAAATGCTTAATAATGTCTTTCGATGATAAAATGGGGTGATGGTTACCATTTTTTAATTTATTACAATTTAAATTTTGTAAAGATTTGCAACTAAAAAAACTACTAGTTTTTGAGTTATTATTAAAATTTAAATTGCAATTTTTATCATCATTAAATAAATTTTTGAATAATACTTTTTTATTACATTTTTCTATATTAAAGTGATCATATGAAAAACTGTTAATATATTTCTTCTTCATTTCTAGTGTCTTCGTAGTGAAGATTTTATTAGTTCTCTTGTTATTTAGAAATTCCTTGCATTTCAAAATTTTTCTTTGTGTTTTCCTCCTTTTTTCCATAAGGAATTTTTTATAAATGTGATGAAGATCAAAAGGACATTTCCTCTGTTTCCTATAACAGATGTCTTCCATGTTTGATCTTGTGCATTCTTCATTTTCGGTTCTGTGTCTGAAGATTTTTTGGTTCTCCGGCGTGCTAAATTTTTTATCATCGCTTATGACTCTCTTACTTGCATTCCCATTACTATCCTTACTGTTTGTTCTACTTTTTCCATTATCGTTACTGCTACTTTTATGTCTGGAAGATGGTAAATTCATATTCACTGCACCCATACTTTCTAATTTTAAATAATCCATATTACTACCACTATAAAAATTCTTTATATCCCTTTGAAAATCTTCACATGTATTATTATGACATGTTTTATAATCATGGTTACTGTCTTCCTTTATGATACAAGAATTTTTATTACTTGTCAATATTGATATATTACTATCCATATTAACAGTTTCATCTTTTGAATATTTCCATTTCCCACATTGGCCGTCTGAATTTTTTATTGCATTAATAGTTTTGTTACTTGTGTTACTATTTTCGTTTTCTTGTATATTTTCCAGTTCATCATCATATTGTTGTCTTTCCCTTTTCATTTTATCTTTTTCATTTATTAATTCATTCATATTTTTCTTTTCTTTTTTTTTTTTGAGGGAGGAGAGGGGAGAGAAATTTTTTGAAAATTTATCCTTTTCTTTATTTGGAAGATTTTTATATTACATCTTGAAAACTTCCTTTTTCAAATATGTATTTATAAATGTTGCTATACATAAAAGTAAAGCCTTATAAATTGCATTCACATAATATATGCATGTAAGCATTTCATATACATAGAAGACATGTAAACACGTCATATATATGCAGTATATAACACATATATATGAATGTGCGCAACTATGTATACATTAGTGCCTAGAGAGTGGCAAAATCATATGTATATATATAAAATGTATACATATTGAGTATTATATATACATTTGCATACAATTTGAAACCCATGGATTTCCTTAAATGTTCAACATTTGTTAAGCATTTAAAAATAAATAGCAACACAAAATGTTTTTCATTCCACCCATTTCCCTTAAAATAAGTGGCGCAAAAATGCTTAAAATTTTGTCAAATAGTTTTCAAATGGGAGTAAAAACCATACTATATTTTTTGTATACATGTATCACGTATATGTATATATTACATATATATATGAAAAAAAAAAAAGGAAAAAGAAAGAAAAAAAAAAGAAAAAAAAAGAGCTTAAAATATGAAAAATTCTTTAAGCTTTTTAAATATGTTTCTTTAACAAAAAAAAAATTATATTTAAAAAATTATTAGTTGTATAATTTTTTAATATCATTTCTTAAATTTTGTTTAAGAATTTTGAAAAAAAAAAAATTCTGAGATCGAGGAAAAAGCTGAAGCAGTGAAAAAAATTGTCATAAGTATGTTATGTATAAGTAGTTATGCATATGTATTATATATATATAAAATACATATGAAATATGTGTCATATGTCATGTCGAGCGTGCATAAAATTTAATACATTCATATATACATAGTAATACATATTGTAACGCGCGTCCAAATGTATCAAAAAATGTATACATCCATGCATTTAATGAAAGAAGTATGCTAGAAGTCATGTTTTTATACAAGAATGAGCATACTTCACATGATGACCGAAGCTTTATTGGTATTCAAGCATAAAAAAATTGAGCAGAATACATAGCATAAATTTTTTTAGGTTTCACTTTAAAGAATGAAAAATCATAACCATTAATATAAAAACAGGAAAACAGGCATTTATATATATACATACTAGAACAATAAGAAGAAAATATTTTGTGCCTTATCTGTAAAATCTAGATTTATGCATTTAAGCGGGTTATATAAAATTGTAAATATTTCTTTTCCTTGTTACAAAGAAAAAAGAAAATCGTCTTAATGCCAAATTTTTAAAGCTTTTATTTTTTTCTTTTAAAAAAAGGATACATTTAATATATAGCAATTTAAGGTTTTTTTTATTTTTTCTATTTTATAACTTAGCAACTTATTGGTACGGGGGAGGAAAAGAACAAAAATAAATTAAGATATGATATTCGCGTATATTTGCGATAGTTGGTGTATTGCATATACAAGATAATAACGGTTGTACCATTTTGTTGTTTTTTATTTTAAAGTTGTTCACGTTTTGAAATTTTCTTAAATATATCATTCAGCTTTTTTAAAAGGTATCCCTAAATTTATTCTGCTGGTGGAATGGCAAATGTATTTTATTTGAAAGTTCATTAGATCGAAAATTATAATAATACTATTTTTTAACGTTTAAAAGTTTTTTCTTTTTTTTTTCTGGGTTTAGTAAGCATTGCGTTTCCATCCTAGAAAAGAAAATAACTATAGGCATAAATGTGAACAGTAATTAAAACATGACACATACACATATGCACAATCTCACATAAAACCGTGCGCACAGAATACACAAGATGTTTTTACAATCATATAATATCCAAAAACACACAACTCTTATAAGATTATCTCTGAAGGTTTAGTATGTTGCATTTGTGTACAGTTCATTTGATTAATACATGTTACGTACGGGGACTGTTCACGCCTTTGGCGATTAGAAAAATTAGAAAAACTATAAAAGTATATTTTTAACTATATTCTAATATAACTTTCATAAGCCTTAAAAAATTTGTTAACATGTGTACATATTTCATTTTGAAATTTTTTTAAAATTGCAACTTCGTGCAATATGTACATGTGTACATTTATACATTTATGCACACAGTTCAGACAAAAAACACAGCGATATCTATTTTTAATTTTTTTGGTAAAAATGGGAATTTTCCTACATGCTATCTTCAGTGAGAATAATCTAATGTAACTTTTTTAATAATTATAAACAAAATTTTAAAAGTTTTAAAAACAAAAAAAATAAAATTTTTGGTAAACATTCTATGACATGATCCTACCATTGAAAAAAAAAAGAAGAAAAACAAATTAGACAAAATAAGCTTAGGGGCAAATACACTTTTGTGTGCAAATGGTTTTTAAAATGAGGTACATTTTTCACTATATGGAATATTATCTAAAATGTAGTCCGTTTTTTTTTTTTTTTTTTTTTTTTTTTTTCTTCTCCCTTTGTGATTAATTAAATTCAGTTTTACAATAGACATAATCCTGATGAGAACATTTGTTGCAGATGCTTTGACATATTTTTGCCAATGGAATGTTTTTATTTTATTTTTTTTACCCTTATTTCTGTTTATGTGTCTTCATACTGCTTCCAAGGAGTCATTTCATTTTCACATTTGAATTAAACTTTTATGTATATATATCATGATACATGAATTCGTTTATATCACTTTGGTTGTACGTTCCGCATTTTCTAACTTAGAATTTCCTATGTTTATTTTTCTTTTTCCCCATAAATTCACTGGTACTTCTTATATTGTCTTTCTTTTTAAAAAGATAAAAGTTCTCATGAATTTTCGTTTTCCTTTCCTTCTTTAAATATGTGAATCTATCATTTGAGGTAGAAAAAACAGAATTCATAAATTCTGGTTTGTCTTCTACCCTTTGAACGACAGTAAATCCATCTTCGTCTATTAAATCTAATTTTTTTCTTCCCTTATTATTATTTTTGTTTAAGTTTAAAATTTCATTAATAATTATCTTTCTCTCATTATATAGGTCATAATAATTTTCATAGTACTTTTTTATATAGTATGCAAATTTTTTTTTTTCCAAATTTATATAGTATGGTGGTTGTATATTGCTTTTAAAGTAATTATTCAAATGAATACTGTATGTTAAAATGATTTCAATTACATTTTTTTCTCGGTATGTTATATATGCACAGTAGGCAAATTTTTTAAAATTTTTCGATAAATGTTTTTTATCAATAATATTAAAAGAACTTATTGTTCCAAAATTTGAGAAAAAGCTTTTTAAATCTTCTTCTCTAACTATATTATCCAGTGCCGCTGCACACAGAGTTTCGTTCTCATAATTATAAATATCTGAAATGTCTTTACAATTAGCTACAAACAACTGAAGTAAATTTTTAAAAATGTGTGCACTTAAGCACTATCTGTACTTGTAAAGAAGACGATGGCGGTGTGCATAAGCAACCACGCCTTATTATATAAAAACGGACAAGACATATAGATATGGATGATTTTTCACATACAAACAGAGGGAATTTTGCTCATATATATCATATCGCATTTATATACAAAAAAGGGGATTATCCATCATGAACAATTAGTGTGCACATTTTATTCTACTACATTTATACATATATATATATATGTATTGTAAGATATTCTGAATTATCATTTTATGCGACATTATTTCCTCAAGTATAAATGCATATGGATTTTTTGTTTTCTAATATATTTACGATTTTACATTTATGGTTGTAAGGGGATTGTCTTCAACGGATATGTTCAAAATGCGGAAATGGCTCAAAATGCACTTCATTTTTGCAAATAAGAACAAAGTTTTTAAAAAAAATGAGAAAAATAACTTCGGAAAAAAAAAAAAATTAAGCATACATATGTATATGCAATATGACAAAACAACTGCTATCTATAAAAACTTCCTTTTTTCCCTATGTTCTGTAAATATGCAAATGAATAAATTGTAAATTCCAGCAAAAATGAGTCAACTTCCATTTTATCTTTTTTCTATCCCTCAGTTTTTTCACGCACGGGGAAAATGTCAAAGTGGATTTAAAAATATAGAGGCCATATTTTCTTACAAATTATCTAAACTGTTGGCTTGAAAAACGCAACAAAATAAAAATAAACGTAATTTGCACGAAAATCAACCCATAGGATAAGAGGAAAAAATTATTCTCTTTAACGCAAAATATATGTTACAGTAAAACTGTGTTTTTTGGGTCACAATCATAGCACATATGTTATACTTGCATAAAAAATTTGTTTTGCTTTTAAAACATACGAAAAATAAAATAAAATAGCATACATAGATTTTTACAACATAATGTCAAGTGTAGCTTATACGTTACTTGAGCGAAATTTTATTGTGGTGCATCCTGGATATATATATTTTTTTCTTTCGTTCCTAGAAATACATGCTTTTATGACAAAAAGGAATATTGTGTTGCCCTACGAAAAAAGATTGCTCCATTATATCCACGATGATGTATCATAGAGTTTTTCCTTTGCTTTCTTTTTTAGTTTGTTATGCAAATAAAAATAATTATAAAATATATCGAATAGCACAGAGGCAACAATGAATATGATTTTTCTTCTTAATTTTTCTCTTTACAACGTTTTAAATGAATCTGATTTTTTCTTTTTTCATTTTTGTCATCTTCATTAAAAAAAATTACGGTAATATTACATAAGTATTCATACACATACCCCTCCTATATTTTGTTAAAAAAGCCTCTGTTATAACATGTTATTTATGTTTACATATTTTCTTCCCTCATTTGTACTTTGCCTTCTTTATAGCAATTAAACATTACTAACAACATTTGTTTCATCTTATTCCCATCGCTTATGATAACGCCAATTGTTAATTTTAAATCCTTATTTTATATATATTTATATTTTTTTAGCGCTGAGTTAAACCATAATACGAATTTCTTATTCATATTACATCCTGCACCTTTTTTCCACTTTGCATTAAATTTAATTTCCTTTATGATTACCAGATGAATAGTTCTTAATTAACACAAGATTTTTTTTTTACTTAATATATTATTCTATTCTATTTTTGTTCATGCATTTTAAGTACCTTGAAATCGCGTCATAAGTTTAAACCTTGTTTATACAACATATACTAAAATTATATCCTAGATAGGATTAGTTACCAATTTCTGAATATTTATTAATTTATCTTTTTTTCTGTTTTTCGTTACCACATTAACAAGTGTGAACACTTCCAAGAAAGTGCAAGGTAATTCCTTTAAATGTGCATGCGTGTCACATTTCGTCGAAATAATAGGAGAAAAAGACAAAAATTAGAACAGTAAATACTGTTCAAGTGTGAGATTTACGAATTAAGCGTGAAACACAACTGAAGTTAGACTTCCAAGTACTCCTGTGTTGCATATGTCCATCTGTACATTTATATATATATATATATATATAGGCACGTATAAATATTTATTTTTTTATGGTCGTACACCAAGGTAGGTATTTCTCCGACGCGTCCTAACTGGGCAAGCCCGTTTTAAATTTTTTGGAACATTTTTAAAATCCTCATCTCATTCCCTTTGCTGTTTTTCAAACTGTGCAAAATGAATGAAAATGGAATAGGGGAGAACAATCACAGTTTTGAAAAAGAAAACAAAAAGAGATCAAAGAAATCAAACTCCAGAAAGGAAAAAAAGCGTAAAGATGGTGACAAAAATTCAGAATCTGTACATGTCCAAGGTGGAAAAATGAATAACGGAACTTTAGGTGAAGACAAAAATGGAAATAACACACACACACCAAGCAAAAACACGATAAGTGACATGTTTTCATCAAATATGAAAAATAACAACAAAAAAAAGTACCATAAAAATATAGGAGAAAATAATACAGATATTCTTAGGAACAATCTGAAAACAAGTCCATATATTAATTTAAGGGATTATGATGAGGAGGGTGATGATTATGTCCAGTGTAACGATAATTGTTCAAAAAATACTGAGACAAATTATCAAGAAAATGATAAAAATGAAAAATATAATAATGAAAATAATACCATTGTTTATGTTGGAGAAGATGAACAAAATCAACAAGATGAAGAAGAAAGAAAAAGAAAAAGAAATTGGAAAGGAAGAACATTTAGTCGTTTTACGCCTGGGGGTGTACGATCAAGCACTGTCTTATTTATATGCACAGCCATAGGTGTAGGTTTTTTGTCAATACCTTACGTTTTTTCGAAATTAGGAATAGTATTAAGTATTCTCTTGATATTACTAAATTCCGTTGAATCTTATGTTACTACCAACATATTATGTCTATCATCACTGAAGCATAATACATTTGTATATGGACATTTATTGGAAAAAATAGGGCATAAATATCATAAAACCATAATTGATTTTGGACAAGCATTTGGTTTTCTCTCAAGTTATATACTGATATTAATATTAATACGTAATTTTTTAAGTAGTATATTGTATGTTTTTAATTTTCCGACCTTTTTTTATAATCATATATTTTTAATTATAGTAGTATGTCTATTAATATTACCAATCACTTTTCGAGAACAAGTTGGATCTCTAAATTATTTTCTGATATTTTCCTTATTTTCCTTATCAATAACCATAATAACTATAGGATGGCAAACACGAGATTACTATAATTTATTAATTAATAAAGAAATAGTATTGTTTAATTTTGATAAGCATTTTTTCAAATGCTTCAATATTTTGTTATTTTCTTTTTCTCAGCAACCAAATGCATGTTTCATAACTGGACAATTTAATCATCCAACACACAAAAGATTAACCAAATCAGCATATAGAAGTGTTTTATTACAAGTTATTTTTTACACGCTCTTTGGATTTTTAGGATATTTATCTTTTTTAAATACTTCAAAAGATAATATTATATTAAATTATGAAGACACAAATGTATCAATACTGTTATGTAAATTTCTTTTATCAATAACCTTTTTTTTTTCTGTACCTTTAAATTTTATGGGATCCTATTCAAGCATATTATCATTATACCTATCTGCTCGTAATAGGTTTCTTAAATTCTACGCATTTGTTTCCAGAAGTAGATATATGGAAAATTTTTCTACGCTTTTGCACGATGACACAACAAACCCCTTTGAAGAAAATACACATGATAATGTGACAGAAAATTCTATCACAACAGAATCTCAAAAAGGAGATAAAAAACAACGAATGATTATTTCTATTTCCGTTACCATTTTATGCGCCCTTATAGCGTTTAATGTCAAAAAGTTATCAAATGTTATTGGCATAGGGGGAGGAATAACTTCAACCCTAATATCTTGGTAAGGAGCAGGAAAAAAAAGCTTAAAGCAGAAAAAAAAAAAAAAAATTTCGTTTCTTTTTTTTCCTATATACTTGAATATAAATACTCACCTATGTACTTTACTGCACAATGCTCGTTACAAACCACAGTTCTTTTGAGAACACATCATGTATATGTTCATCTGTCCATTTTATGTTTCCAAAAATTCAATAATCATCCATTCATCTTTTCATACAATATTCCCTTTTCGTAGTCTTTTACCCAATTTGATCTATTTTAAAAATAGGCATAATGTGAAGAACAAGCTGGAACGATATTCAACCTTATGTATCTTATGTTTTTTCTCTTTCATGGGTTTTTTTTCTGTAATTATTACTGCATTAACTTTGATTTTATAATTAAAAGGAAAAGACGAAAAGTTTCAACTTTGATTTTTTTGCGACCTAATGGATTTTTTTTCAATCTATTCGATATACTTTTCATTCCTTGGATTTATTTCCCATCTATTTCAATTTACTCATGTTCCTGCGTTACATTTTTTGGAACATATCCCACTTTTCATTATATACATATTATTTCATACATATATATATAATTTTTTTTTTTTGTAAACAAAGGAGTTTTTAAGGTATACGTGTTTCCTGATATTGAAATAACTTACAATACAGTGGAAGTGAAGTAAATAAAGAAAATAAAATAAATGAACCTTTCTATATAATGGCAGTTATTATATTAATATATATATATTTGTATGTGTGGGTGTATGAACGGGCTTTATGAACTGTTGAACAAATATGCGTGAGGAAATTGACACGTGTATGAAGCGGATATGTACGAATCGACGTCTAACTGAGCACATGCATGTTCACAGGCTATATAAAAGACGCCATAAAATGTAGAGTAATTAAATTAACAAAAGAAATATAAAACTATGCTATAAACAATATAGCTACTATAGTAGGTTAAAAAAAAAAAATAACAATGGGGTAACATGAAAAGTTTTGTGATTTTGTATGCATTCATTTTTAAACCTTCTTAAAATCATTTTCAGGTAATAAAATGCGTATGAAAAATCCATTGTTATAAAAGAGCAAAAGAAATAAACTTAATGGGCGTAAAAAAAAGTTAAAAATTAAACAAAATTATAAAAACAAATGAAATCAATGGGATGTTGTTACATTCGGTGTATTCATACATGTGAAGAGTAAATATTGTTCATATGCATGAATATTAAAGATAGTTTGCGCTTGTAGCACGATAACATATTTGCTAATTACAAAAAAGGGCTCATGTATACATATATATATGTATACCTCGGATGGTAATCTTTTTGGTTGTTTTAAAGAATATATATATATATTCATATATACAGATTTATGCATATACTTTTGCACATACGTAATATGTGCTAACATTACTATTCCAGTAATATTCTGTCTTGAATCGACTCCTATCTCTTGCTTTTTTTATTTTTAAAACACTACTTTACATTTTAATTTGTGGCAAATAACAATGTGTCGAGCTCATACTTGTATTATTTGTAAAAAGCTGGACATTTTTAGTTTAAAAGATGGTTAAAAAATATAAATATTTTTTATATATTATACAATAAAAATACATCCATGCATGATTCGTAAAAGATACAACGGGTTGTACAAGATTCACTGTGCATTTAATGCACTTATCTATGTACGCATGCATATATATGCAGCTCTATAGACGGTTCAAGAACATCCTGCTTCATGTTTTTTTTTTTTTTTTTTTTTTTGTCACACATGTATGGAATTATATGCAATTTCATTTATGTATCCTTGGTTCTTGACCCCATAGAGTTTGCTATGCTCGTGAACCATTATTTTTTAAGTTAGCTGCATAATTGATCTTCTTTTCCTGGGCATATGTTCTAACAATTATTAATAAATGCTACAGGCACATGTGGTGCACGCGTACAAGAGCCCATACATATAGACAAAGTTACTCATCGTGTATAGATGGGGACAAAAACATTCCGTCGAAATATGCCCTTAAATATTTTGCAACTTGAAAATACTTGCGGATTAAACTGCTTGCAATGCAAATGCTTACATGTAAAACTTCTACATATTGAATTACTAGACCCCGGGATTTTTATTATACCAGAAAATGTATGCCCTGCTACGCACTTCATTAAACTTCTTAACATCTGTTATAGGGCTCCACCATAATTATATTCATAAATATCCTTACTTGCTACTATCATCGTTGATATCGTTCTTGTAAACACTACCGTTATTATCCATAGTGTCGTTATTATGAATACTATGTTCATTATCAATAGTTTCGTTGTTATCCATACTTCCACTGTTCGTGCTATTGTTGGTATTACTGTGATTTCGATTATTGTTTTTCTCTTTGCTATTGCTGTTTTTGTTATGCTCATCTCCACCATAGTAATAATTATTACCGCTGCTCATATCATTCGTGTGGAAATTGCTCATGTTACCATTATAATTAACTTCACCATTTGTATGACAATTATTATTATTAATCATGGTAAATCCATTGTTATTATATTCATTGTTCAAACAAGGGACGTTATAAAAATTTAATCCATATGAATGGTTAATATTGTTTATATTTTCCTCAATCATTTCGTTTTTCTGCTTCATATGATTTATCACCTTGGATTCAGTTGACAAGTCTACATTTTTTACATTATTATTAGCTTCTTTCTTATCATGTGTCATGTTTTTTCTACTGTCATTTATATAATAGTTGTTAATATCACATGGGTAATTTATGTTACTCATTCTGTAATTCATAAGGTTCTGATCATCCTCCTTTCCGGGAGTAAGGTTAAAATTATTTAAACAATTAATTTCTGCGTTGTAATTATTCACTTGTTCATTGCTCCTGGAGAAGCTGTTAATAGGATTCCCATCATTCCCATAATTATGCATCTGTACCATTTGTGCCATTTGGCCCGTGTAGTAATTCATTTCATTGCCGTAATTATTAGAATTATATGGCATATTAGTTGTACCACGGTTAGCTGTGCTGTTATACATAGGAAATGCAGTAATGTTTGAATTCAAATGATCATAATAGTTTACCTTATATGGGTTATTCAATTCATTATTTACGCTGTTATAGTAGAGGTGATAATTTTTAATCGAATCTCCTACTACTCCTGCGCTGTTTTTACCTTCTTCTTTATCGGCATGCTTGCTAGTTATTTTATTATTACTGCTGTTATTAATATTGTCATTGTTGCTCTTACCACTGTTGTTATCATTGCTGTTGTCATTTTCGTTTGTACTGTCATTGTTGTTATTATTGCTGTTATCATTATTGTTGTTAATACTTGCGTTATAATTTGCTTGGTCATAGTTGGCTTGGCTGCAATTTCCCTGAGGGTAAGATCCCCCCTGAGCATAATTGCCGACGTATGTTCCCATGTTGTAATTACTCATGTCCATGTTAATGTTCATTCCCATGTTCATAACCTTCAAGTTGTTAAGGTGCATTTGATAGTTACCATTTTTGTAGTAGTAGTTATTGGGATCTCCAGTCCCTTTGTTAATTTTTGCCCCATTGGACGTGCTGACTTTAATTTTACAACCCTTAAAATCATAGCCATCCATTTCAGCTAAAGCCCTAATACACTCATCGTGGTTAAAAAAATGAATAAAGCAATATATTCTATTTTGATTTTTCTGCATATTTTTAATCATCTTTACAAAACATATACTCGTATAAAAACGTGAAAATAAAGTTTCAATTTCTTCTTTTGTAGTTCCTTTGGGTAATCCTCCAACATATATGGAATATGTGCCTTTATCATCTAATTCAACATCTAAACTCTTTTCACTAGTATTAGTATTTACATTTTCGCTCACATTATACTTTGCCCAATTCAGCTTAAATTTATGCATTCTTCCTGGTATCCACTTCCCGTTTAAATTATCAAAACAATATTTTGCAATGTCAAAGCTTGTGAATTCAATGAACGCATATGATGTTTTTTGAGATGTTCTCTCTTTACATAATTTTACTTTTATTATGTCCTCTGCAAATTCGTAAAACATGCAATATAAAATATAGTTCTCATCTACTACTTCATCTTTTATTTTGTCTAAGTCCCCTACCCACAATGTTTTTGTAGTGTTAGAGTTGTTCATGCCCTTATTCTCCTGCGTTAATTCTGTCTTATTTGTGTTGCTCATTTTGTGTTCGAAGAAAAAAGTTTTATATTACCTTCGTCTCTCTTGTGTCCTTATCTTTGTGCTTAATTTTGTAATTATGTGGATTTGTGTGTAAGCCTAAATAACTTTTATATTATTTTAAACTGTTTTTAAAATGAAGAAAGAAATAGGGAGCAAAAACTATACAATCGATTAAAATAGGCCACAAAAAATGGCTTCTCCTCCTACCTTTTTATTTATTATTTCTGTGTATAATCTTATTATTTTTTTATTTTACTGCTTCTTTATTCGATCTTCTTTTCTCGTTTTCTCTGCAAATTCTTCGTCCCCTTATGTAATTATCTACTTTTTACGTACTTCAAAGCAAAATTCATATATGTTTTATTTTCAGTAGAATAATAAGGGAACTCATCAAATTCTCTTAAATAATTACTTTTTAAAAAAGCAAATACACAAGTGTTTGTATATGCCTGCATGTGCATATAATAAACGTGTGCTTCACATAGGCATGCATAAGCACTCATATATATTCACATAGCATGGCATAACACGGAGGAGGGTAATCATAGTTGGGCATAATAATGATTAAGTACGCACAGTATGGTATATAGGAACGTTTAAACGCACAGGGTTCGCGTAACTAGTGCTGCGCGTCTTCTTTAACGCCTTCAGTGTTATACTAATCCCTCTCTCTTTCTATTTTTAAATCACACAAGAGAAAATGAAAGGTGACTAAAAATTAAAACATTCCTTTTGGTAGATTTACCATTTTAGTTAGTGTACGAGGTATGTAATTTTATCTTAATTAGTGCTCACCTTTACTGCAAAATGCTTAAAAAAATACTATTCCGCTTATTTCGTTATATATATATATATATATATATATACATACATGTATATATACATAAATTTTTTTCTTTTTTTTTTTTTCTTTTTTTTGTTATTTCATTTTTTAGCTATGTGTTATTAATTTATTTCTACTTCACCCCGAAAACCAGTGCTTCATATCAAGGTATAATTACGTGATTTTAATTTTTGTTTCAGCTTCAGATTTTTATATTTTTTTAGCATTTTTACTTTAATGTATTTTTCACAAAGGTGTTCTGTCGTATAACACTTGTTTTGCTACTTTTTCTTTCTTTTCTTTTTTTAAAAGGCATGTTAGGTTTCCTTTGACATTTATTGTTTCGTTTTGCATATTCGCTTTGCTTTGTTATTAATATGTATATACCTTTTTACGCAGTGGTTATATCGCTTCTCTTAGTTTTTTTTTTTCCTTGTTTTTTTTTTTTTTTTTTTTTTTTTTTTTTTCTTCTTCTGTTTTAATTTTGTTCAGTTGTTTTATATTTTGGCTTTTTTTTCATTTTTTTCATTTTTTTCATTTTTTTTTTTTTTTTTTTTTGTTTCGTTTTGTTTTTCATATGCCACATATTATGTAGTGTATATATAAATTTGCTTAATTATGCATATATGCAAAGAAAAGAAGAGGGTGGGAGGTGAATGAGGAGGCACCGAGAGTAGTGCATATTTTGTAAAAATGTCGGCATATTTTTTCTTGTCACTATATTAACGTTACTTTATACTTATGTAGATAATATTTTGTCACTGCTGTTGATCGGTTTCACGTGCTTGGTAAATTTATTTGAGAAGGGTAGAAACTTTAACTTTTATATGAGTAAGATATTTATTGTATCTAATCCCACATCCCTTAGTATTTAACTTTTTTCTTTTTTCTCTTTTTTTCTACGGGTACTAGTAATAATAAAAACAAAAGGTTTTTATCAGTATATATATGAGAACAAAGAAATATGTAAATATATACTCCTCGCAAACCTATTAATGGTTTAGAGTGAAGGGATTCCCTATATATTTTCAACAACTTCGTGTATAAGCGTTCTGATTATTTTATCACGCGTATTATACCTATAGCACCGATTAAGTATATGGGAATATACATTTTTTTGTACATTCTTATTTTTTTAATTTTCACTTGTGTACGCAACTTTTTGACACCCTTAAACTTTTTTTAAAACAAATAATAATTAAATAAAATTCCCATTTTCATATATATCCACGCGGGTCTAAAAATTAACAAAAAGTTATATTTTCCAAAAACTATATATAAAAATAGCAACACCTCTCCCTTTTTGTAATCAATATAGCAATGTGTTTGGAAGAAATTCATCAATGCTCTTATAGGGAGCAGGCATAAGAAGGGGCTTTTCAGTTGCGGGCTTATCCAACAACTACTTAATTGTTTTAAAAATGATACTTGGCTTATTGCCACTTTTTTTACCCGTTATAATATCAGAATTCCTGGCATCATAAACAATTAAAAGTTTCATTTTTACTTTTCAATGCAACGCACATATATATATATATATACATATTCACATATGTTTGTACATTTGTTTCCTTTAAAAGAAGTGAATGAGAAGCTCATACAATTAAAAAGAATGTTAACAAGTAGGGGGGGAATGGTGTAATTATACTTTTTTTAAATATTTTCAGTAGGAAAAATGCAATCGTTTTTTTACTAACAGGGAGAGGAAAAGTTCTTTTAAAGTGAGTAAATATGTGCACACATTTGTAAATATCTTTAATTATGTACCCATGGACATGTATGTTTTTACGTGTACAAGTGAATGTATATTTACATATATATATCTTTACTATGTGCTTACAAATAAAAGGAGAGAGAGAAAAACATAGCCTGAATAGAAGACACTCCGTATTTATAAAATATAATTGAAATATATTATTAAATGGCAATTAGTTTATTAAGTGGTTTAATTTTGTGTATACCAGATATATTGGAAATGTGCACAATAATGCTTCATATGTTTAATATGATTGTATTATATGCACAAATAGAAAAGGTATTCAAATTTTAGGTTAAAAAACTAAGTTTAATATTACGGATTCAAATAAAAACGTACAAAAAATATATAGTGGATTACAAATTGTAAAGTATTGTTCAAAAAAAAATCCAGGTGTTGATATGGTGAAATGTCGGCAAAATGGGATATTGACATAATGATTAATAAGTCAAATAGTGATCAACAAACAAGCAAAATAAGGAAGCACATACACAAAAAAAAAACTAATAAATAAAATAATATAAACGTAAAAACAGTGCTTTCTCATCTACTCGATTCTATCATTTAACAAATTAATTACATTCAAAAGGAAGATTAAAAAATACACAAAAAAAAATAAAAAAATCAAATAGAAAATCAAATGAAATTAAGTCAAACAACTGACTGTTATAATAAAAAAAATTTTTTTTATTAACAATTATATATTCTACACACAAATATGTATAAAATTTTTTTATTTCGTTATGTCGTTGTTAAATCATTCTGCTGCTATAAACTCGGAAGTTTCAATAGATAACTTCTCATTGTCTTCAGGCAGTTGTAACACATTATACACATACTTAACAACCTCTGCATTATGCAATATTCCAATGTGAGTATAATTTTCAAAGTACTTTATTTCTTTTGCGTTGTAAAAATTGCTACAGGCTGCTAAACTTTCGAGAGGAACTGTACCGTCTCCATTCCCATGATAAATAATTGGTTCTTTTAAATCTTCTTTTTGAAAAAACAACATATAGTCTGTATTCTTTTTATTAAGTGAACTATATACACAATATATAGGCACACCATGATCCACAGAAAAATCTATTTCTCTGTGTGGCTTATGATTATTATATTTTTCCATCAAGTCATCGTTTAATAATTCATGCCAATCTGATAAGGTGTACACCTTTAACTTCACGTCGGATCTATTTAGATAGCATTCTCTATTATATATTCCACAACTCATAACCACTTGTTGCATATAATTTTCATCAATCGGAGTGGTATCTGTATTAATTAAAATTACTACCTGGTCATGTTCATAATATTCCTTATATGGAATGAGATCAAATAATGAACCCATGGAATTTCCAATAGCTTTCATCATAGTATCTGATATGGAAATTCTAATAAGACTGGTTATTTTAAAAGATACAGAATCCCTATTTCCATGAAGTAAAGCTCTAATAGTTTTAACAGTACCTTTAAATGGGGAGCTCATATACAATATAGCGTTTAAATATTTTGTTTTCCATTCTTTATCAACTAAATGGGTTAGGAAATAATTTATAAATAAGCCTCCTAAACTATGGCCCATTAAGTTTACTTTCATTCCGTTTCTTTTTTCATATGCTGTTTCTATACTTTCCTTAAAAAGTTTATAATCTTGTTGATATAAAGGGTATCGCCAGTCATAAGGTGCACCAATAATACTTTCCCCATCAACATACCCATTACTTACAAAATGTGATGATACATCATTGTAGTATCCTGTTACTCCTATACCTACATTGTTAATATAATCTAAATATTCAACACCCTTGAGATATCCATAATTTTCTACAGTAACTTTGACTCCTGTTTGATTCTGGTATATTTTTTTCTCACTATTGTAAGTTAATCTTAAGGTGTCAAATAAGCAATACACATTTGATGTTAATGAAAATAGTCTTGGCAAACTAACCCACATTCTAAAAGGTTTGGAATTTAGTACATCATTACTACAACTAGGAATTAATGCATTTTCATATTGTATAATTAATGTACTTCCTCCAACACCCGGTAATAAAAAGGTCGTAGGCAATTTATTAATATCTTTCTTTTTTGTAATATCATTTGATTTTTCCTTTTTCATTTTTTTTCTTCCACCATGATTTGAATACATTTTCGAGAAAAAATTATGCTTTTTTTTTTCCAGGGCCTTTCTTACATTACGAAGAGTTCCCTCCGGTTCTTTTTCTTCTGTTTTCTTTTTCATGAGTTTTTCTTCCCCACTATCTGATTCCTTCATCGTAGTTTCTTTTTCAACAGTATTTGCATCTTTCATCGTAGTTTCTTTTTCAACAGTATTTGCATCCTTCATCGTAGTTTCTTTTTCACCAGTATTTGCATCTTTCATCGTAGTCTCTTTTTCATTAGTATTTGCATCTTTCATCAAAGTTTCTTTCTCTTGATATATCGTGTCCCTGTCAACTAATACATTCCCTGTTTCAGCCGATTGCCCTTTCATTTCTTCTTCCGATTTTGGTTGCGCAAAAGTTACAGTCCCTTCTTCCTTTTCGGCACTTGAAACTAACTTTTCAAATCCTTCCTTATCATCATAAAGTGAGCTATCGACTTCACCCGTTCTTTGTGAATTCGTAAATATTATATTATATGGAGTGGTTAAGAAGGCACTGTATACGTCCCTTAAGGATGGAGTAAAACCCCAAACTGATGTTGGAACGAACAAGTGCCACAATGCTATTAGAAGAAATAAAAGAGACATTATTATAAACTTAAAAAAAACAGGCACAAAAATTAGTGGCTTTATGGCAAGTAATAATTGCTCAAATTTTTTAAATGTTACAAACAAGATGATAACAAATAAAAATGTAAAGATTGTTGCCTGATAGTGACGAAAAAAACAACAAAAAAAAAAAGAAAAATTTTAAGCATTCAAAAAATTGTTATTTTTTAGGAACTCATAATTTGCAATCTATTTTTTCTAAAAATTTGACATATGCATAGGGAGTATAAATGTATATTTAGTTTTTTCCGCGTTTTACAAATTTGTAAGTATTAGTATATGTACTTTTGAAATGCGCATAAACTTTTGTAACATAAGATATATTTTAAATACATGTAATTTTTATATCCATGTGTATATGGGCTTAAATACTTACAAACGGACGTAAAAACAAATTTAAAAAAAAAAAACATAAAAATTTTATGGGCTAGAATTTCTCTAGAGGTGCTAATATAATAAGAAAATTTTTTTTTCAAACAATTTTTATTTCTCAAATTACAAGGTACATTCTTATAAAGCATACATATATGTATAAATATTATTTTAAGTACATTCGAACCACAAGATTACATAAACTAAACGATTATTAAAAGATTACACGAGCATTTATCGTTTTTGCCTTTTTCGTATATGTAAAGACAAGGCCTGCACATACCTATCATATATAAAAAACATGTACGCTTGTATTTACTCTTTACTTTCATATATATACGCATATTAAGGCATGTCGTGTGCATGCATATGCACATGATAGCAACTTTTTTGTTTCTGCTTTTTCAAAATTAAAAATTTAACATAGAGTGTTATTTTTGTTTAATTCTAACGAAATTATTTAAGAATATGAAGAGTTGTTCCAAATAGTTAATTTTTTCTCCCTAATTTATCCATTTTTTTTTTTTTTACTTTTCTTTAGTTTTTTTCTTCACTTGGCTTTTTTTTATATTATTACTTTCTTTTCCCTTTTTTCCGTTTTTCCTTTTTTTTTTTTTTTTTTTTAATTTCATATATTATTTTATTTTTTTTAAAATGAGAAAATATGAATATTAAAGAATTAGCATGCATAAAAAATTATGTTAAACTGCATATATATAATAATGTTGTAATTTTATTTAAGCCCTATTATAAACAATACTGTTTTTCAAATAACAGCATCCCTTTTAATTCACACACTTTAAATGAGTACAATAGCTCATAGAAAAAACAGTTTGTAACATGTGCTCTAAAAGCTTCTCTTCATATATATGTTATTTCATCCCAAGGACAACTTTATCTCCATTAATTCAGTGTTTTCAAGTGTTGTAAAAGCACATTATGCATGCATGTATGAGTTTTTAAGATTTATCGTTTTAAAAAAAAAAAAATTGAATAAAAATTATGTATTCAATTATACTTGCATTAAAATTAGTTTGTCATGCTATGTTTGGTTCTCTTTGTTTCATTTTTGTTTTTTTTTGCATTTGCAATTTTGTAAATGCTATATAAAATTTTTCAAGTGGCTAAACAGGTGTTTCCCATCTATGTACGAAGGTATACATGCATAAGCTCTACATATTTACATGATGTACAAGTGCCACATGCGCATATATAACATTTTGTAATGAACTTGCATTCAAGTTACAAATATCTGTACACAGATAGTTCATTTGTTTGTCTTTCAAATTGCTTTAGTCTACTAAAGCTGTAAAACCCTTTTTCAGTTTTTACATGCACAATGGGAAATGCAAATGAGAACAGAGAAAAAAGGAACAAGTAAACATTAAAAAGTAAGAAAAACATTGGATTAAAAGAATTAGCATGCAACACTGTTTTCTCAAATAAGATGTTTAAGTACTGCATGCTACTTTTTTATTTCCCCCCAACTTTTCCTTGTTTTAAATGTCTTAAATTACAACTCAAAAAAAAAGAAAAAGCGAACATAATAGCAGAAACAAAAAAATAAAATAAACATATAAAATAAAATAAAAATCTGAATCAAATAGATGAAACCAAATTACTAAGGATAAACATTTTTACAATTTCTGCTCCCTCGACAAAAGTAGTATTTATAAGAAGCAGAACATAAACACATGAGAAATTGTATTTATGATATAGCTCGTGAATGAAAAAACAAAAAAAAAAAAAAAGAAAAAATGATGATGAGAATGATAATGATAAAGTAAAATGCGCAAAGCTTGCAAAATTGGAAAAATAAAAGACTAAAATGAAGTTATAAGACAAAATCCCCTAAAGGTTATATATATTTTATCCATCATTATTTTGATGCATAATGAAAAAGAAGCAAATATGAATATGCATAATTTAAGAAAAAAAGACACCACATAAACACGAAAAAAAGGAAAGAAAAAAAAAAAAAAAAAAAAATTTCTATTGTATATAATCCAGTGTTTAAGTGTTCTTTTAATAAAATAAGCAAATCAATAAGTTGTGCCCTTTTTAAGGTGTGTAATATTATCTCCTTAGATGTGCTTTAAGAACTTCATCTTATCCTCTTATTTTTTCGATTAAGTTAAAAAAAAAAAAAAAAAAGGAAAAACTTTTCTCCACCTATTTTTAATTCAACAAGTTTTCCCATTCTGTAACATGAAAATGTTATTTTTTGTGTGTTTCGGAGTAAATATATGAAATAATTTTTTGGGGGGATGGACGTGGTGATGGGGGATAACCAATTTTACTATTTTCCCTACTTTATGCTTTGTTCTAGTTTTCTCCATTATCTTAATGCTTCCATAAGTTGGAACCATGTTGTTGGGAAAATTAAGAAAGATCAACCCCTGTTTTGTTACATTTTGTTTCGCGTTTCCGCAAATATGGTTAAATAGTGTTTAATGTGGGCATAAAAATAAAAGAAGCAATAAAATCCTTCATATAAAGCTTTATGCAAAATTCTGTAGAATCCTAAACAAACAGCAAAATAATCGCATTTTCTTCTCTTGCGGTACTTTTACATTCCTCATAAAAATTAATATCCCAAATGCCTTAAACTTTTCAACCGTATATCTCTCAGAGCAACCAATGTACAAGCTGTTCTTTTTCAGTTCATTTTTTTTCCTATTATAAAAAAATTTCTTTTCATATTTGATTAGCTCTTTTTCTCTTTTTTTTTTTTTATGACATTCACTTAATTTTCCCCTCACTGTACTGTTGAAGTTTCTCACTTTGTCATATACATACGATGCATAAGCGTGTATAAATAAATGTAGATGGCGGCGTTTGGTTTTCTCTAACTACCTAGGGGTACATAAAATGTTTCAACGCCTAATCGAAATGAAAAATGTATATATATTTGAAAAAAAAATATATATATACGTGTTTATAAATGTGCATACTTCATTCGTCGAATTCTATGAAAATCATTTGTCCCAGCTTCTTGCAGTTTCCCTCTTTTAATATTTTCAATTGGGGCATTTTTCACTTCAAGATTGTTTCAGCTTATTTGTTATGTTAACATAAATAAAAAAATTAATCATACAATTTATATTATTAATTATCCAAATTTGCAATTTTTCCTTTAAATCTCTAAATAAATAAGAAGATATGGAAACACATTTTTTTTTTTTTTTTTTTATCTCATTGCACAAATTTGTATACATAAAACATTCCATTTACCCTTATATATTATTATATATTTAATTATTTTGTTCATGGATATGTTATTTATTTATTTTTTTTTTTTTTTTCTTAAAAAAATTATAAATAAAAAATTTGACTGTTTAAAGTGTATTTAATCACTTCCATAAGAATTAAGCATTTTGAGCTCATTAATTGCCATAATAATTTTTTTCTTAGAAAAAATATACAAAGATTAAAAATTATTCTAGCAATAATTTATAAATGAATAATTAAATGAAAATAAAATAATCATGGAAAATTATATTGACTAGTGTATACATTTTTGAGAAAAAAAGTTACAGCAAAAAAAAATAAAAAAAATAAAAAAAGCATCAGGAATTTATTGTTTTAACTAACAGGGATTTTTAGGTAAACCCATCTGTATTATTTAGTAATATACACGATAAAAGAAATTTATTCAAACAAAGGCAACGCAGAAAAAAATAAAAAAAATAAAAAAAAAATCTCATAGGCTCCTAAATAATATCGACCAAGGGAGTAGCATTTATTTATAAATTTGAAATAACAACTTTTAACGGTTCAGTTGACATATTGTAATGATATTGCATCTTTGCAGAAATTGAGGGATACTGATGTATGAAACTGAAGAAAAGGTCATTAATACATATGAATATTTATACATACAACGGTAGAATCTTATATATACACATTCAATGCAGTAACTAGTTATACTACGGAAATACGGATATTCAGGTATACATATCTGAATAGGCACTTACTATATTTTGAAGAGTACATGTAATTGCTTTCACGTTTTCAAGTTACATCACCCACATTCGTCGCTAAGTCAATTCCAGGGAACACACAGAAGAAAACATGATTAGGAGAAAAATCTACTACTCGTTCATATTTTTAGCTATTTTAAAAAGTTTCAAAATAAACGAAAGATGGAGTGTCTTAATTAATGCTTGGTATACACATGAAGAAGTGGACAGTGACTACAATCACAGCAAATTGTATGACGTATTAGGAGTTCATAAATATGCAAGTACCGAAGAGATTAAAAAGGCGTATAGAAAATTATCCAAAAAGTACCACCCAGATAAGGTAAAAGATAAAAATTCGAATAACCGTTTTAACGAAATTGCAGAGGCATATGAAATATTAGGGGATGAAGAAAAACGAAAAATATATGACAATCATGGACTACAAGCAGCCAAAAACGTAGATACAAATAAAATGGATGAGGACCCAACGGATCATTTTAATATTTATGAAAGTTTTTTTGGTGGAGCAGGAGGATTTAGAAGAGAAGAAATGAAAAAAGCTGAGAGTTTAATGTTAAATGTTGAAATGAGTCTAGAGCAATTATATAATGGTGAATTCTTTACAGTTATATATACCAGAGATGTAAACTGCTTAAGAAGTGATGATTGTATTATAAAAAAGAAAGAATGTAGTGGCAAAGGATATAAAACGGTTACACAACAAGTTGCTCCAGGTTTTATTATGCAAAACAAAATGAGAGATGAAAATTGTATTGATAGGGGTAAAGCATGGAACCAGAAATGTTCTTACTGCCCAAATGGCATGAAAGAAGAAAAAACAGTTGAATTAACATTAGAAATTGAAAAAGGAATGAAAAATAATGATAAAATTGTTTTTGAAAAAAAAGGAAAACAAGAAATTGGCTATGAGCATGGTGATGTTATTTTTGTTATTCAAACCAAGAAACATAAAATATATGAACGAAAAAATAATGATTTACATCAATTTTATGAAATTTCTTTGAAAGATGCCTTAATCGGATTTTCCAAAGACATAGATCATATTAGTGGTGCCCCTATTCATATAAAGAAGCAAACAGTTACATTTCATAATGAAATTCTTAAGGTGAAAAATAAAGGCATGCCTATTAAAGATTCAAACAAATTTGGAGATTTATATATCAAATTTTTAGTACAATTTCCGAATAATTTGACAGAAGAGCAGAAGAAGGTTATTTCACAGGTATTCTAACATGCAGTTCTTGATGTTTTATCTTTTTCCCTTTTCTGAAGAACTTGGTGGAAGTCTTGTCATATGTATTTTGTACTTCAGTTCATATTATCTTCGCCCAATTGATTTTTTTTTTTTTTTTTTTTTTTTTGTTCCCTGCATACAAGTGGACACGTTCAAGTGACTTTACTAAACCTGTTCATTTATACATACGCTTGCTTAGAAGCATAGATATATATTCCACTCTCTAGAATTTTATTCAAAGAAATGAAGAAAACCATTTTATGGGATCAAAATTTTATTCGAAATTATTCCATTTCAGATATAAAAAAAAAAAAAAATGCATAGATGTCTAGGAAGTCTGAATAAACGTGATAAGAAGGTATAAAATCATGCTACTAATTTGTGCTATTAGTAATTTTTTAATGTTATAAATAATGTACCTAACATAGAGTACTGTTATTTGCACATATGTACACTTATGTGTATATGGAATTATTTATTTATTATATTATTATTTTTTTTCAATATTTACTTTATATAAGCATGTAGATACACATAGATGTGTGTCTTTCTCCTTTGTTTTATTTTATTTTATTTTATTTGCTTGTCACTTTTTTTTTATTTTTATAATGAGAATATTCTCCCTTTTACTGTTCTTAGAATATACATTATTTTCACCATCCCGCGTAAAATTTTTTTTGATCTTGATTCATTTTCTCAATAAGCTTAAGTGTACACACATACATGCACCCAGTACATGCATTCATAACCATCCAGTTTTATATATTCATATTCGTACATATCGGCTTATTTATGAACAACTTGCATGTTCCCATCCATTCCCTCTTTACTGCCTTTTATTTTATTTTTTTTTTTTTTACATTTCCTTTTTGCTGTAGTATTTTATCATTTAACTTTAATATAATTTACCTTTAACCCACAAAATTGCAAGTGATGAAACTCCTGACACTTGAAGAGATAGCCATCATTGCAGTTGTAAAATGTTTACTAATAAATAACAAATGTTTTTCTTATTTGAAAGCAGGATAGGAAGTTAACTTTTCATACAGCTAAACCCTTCTAGGTATTCTAAACGGTGCAACTTTTTTCTACCTCTTTTCTACTTATATAAAATTTGAAAGGAATATAAGAGGGTTAGGTATTTGTGTGGTGTGTAGGCTTGATAACTATGTAGTTTATATAAAGAGAAAAAAAAAAAAAAAATTGAAATATAAAAACCATGCACATATGTTATACATCTTCGCATAAGCAATGTTTATACTTTTTATTTTCGTGCACTAAAAGGACGAAATATTTTCACCCACATACCAATCTAAAACGTCATTTTCTATTTTCATATGAAAAAAACGCATCATTTGATAAATCTTGAACTTCCCTACACTAGTGCACATGAAAGTATTTATACAGACAATAAACAGAGAATCGCGAAAAACACAATATATACACATTTGCTAGGATTAAGTAATAACCTTTTCAATCTTTTATTCCTATATAAAAGTTTAACAGTTAATTAGAATACTCATTGTAGATAAAATCGTTTTAGTTTTGTTTACCTTCATTTGGAATTTTTTTTTTTTTTTTACTAAAAAAAGTTCAGAGTTATATTACGTATACCTTCTAGTGTGTCGTAAAAAAGAAAAAAAAAAAAAAAAGGAAAAAAAAAACTACATAAATATTCAACATCTTTTAATTTTTGTACTTCGATTACATGACAAAATTGTGATTTTCTATATACTAGGTTATTACAATTTTAGCTTACAAAACGGAAACATTTGATAGTTTTTACATTATAGGTATAAGCAAGCATGCATATATAAAAGAACAAGTGGAACTGAGCTAATCTTCAATTTTACATATCTTTTGATTTAATAATAACATACAATAAATTAAAGAATGAAAAACGTATAAACATAAAGAAAAAAAAAAATAAATAACAACCTAAATTTTAAAATTTTCATTTTTTCAACCCTCGTAGATTTTTCACACGTTGATAAGTTCCTCCATTTACCTTCTTCCTTTACTTTCATACGGAATAACAACTATTTTTTTATATGTAATTTAACCTTTGTTTTCTACACCTATACATAAAAGACCATAGTGAAAAAATATATTACTACTATTGAAGCCAAAATGTGTAATGAACATTTTAGCAATAAGGACGGAATTTCCGTTGCTAATCAACAACCCAACCTTAACAGAAAAGCGGATGGGACTATTCCAAATAATTATGGATTAGAGGGATGTTCAAATTCAAGTATAATGGACAACATAAGGGTTGATAAAAACAATAATTCACTGTATATATATGATGTCCGTATTACTGAAGATGATTTAAGACAACTTTTAACTTTAAAAAAAAAAGAAGTGGACGATAATGTAACAAAGGGTATCTCCTTGGATGTATCGGGAAAAGTGCAAAGTATAGAGATTCAGAAACGAAAAAAGGAATTTTCTAACTTATCTGCAAATGGAGCATGTTCTAATGAATTACATTATGAACAAGGAGGAATTTGTCCGGCTGAAAATCTTAAAATGGTTTCATTAGTGAATTGTACAAAATATATAATAGAAAATAGAATTAACAAAGATATAGATATACCACATAGTAATACGGTAAATGCGCTGTTTATGGATTACTACCATTTAGTAATGGCTTATACATTTTTCAGACAAAAAAAGCATGAAAATGAATCCACTTTTGAGATTTATTTTAGAAATTGTCCATTTAATGGGAGGTTTGCAATTTTAGGGGGAGTTTATGAAGCTATAAAATACATTAATTCATTTCGATTTACAGAAGCACAATTAGAATTTATTAAAAAAAAAATGTCACACTATCAAGATATCGATTTATTCATAAATTACTTGAAAGGTTTAAGTGGAAAAAATATATCTATTTACTCTATGGAGGAAGGAGATGTAGTATTTCCACATGAACCCTTAATGGTAGTACAAGGTCCATTGTTGATGTGCCAAATATTAGAAAGTGCTTTACTTAACTTGTTAAATTATCCCACATTAATAGCTACAAATAGTATGCTGTATAAAATTTCTATAAATTATAAAACGTTAGCTGAATTTGGCTGTCGAAGGGCTCAAGGTCCAGATGGTGCACTAAGTGGAACAAGATATTCTGCAGTTGGATGTGATTTTACATCGAATGTGTACGCTTCCTTTCTTTATGATATTCCCATAATAGGAACCATGTCACATTCTTTTATCTCTTCATATAAGCATGGCGAATCTGTATATAGCAAATACCTAGACAATTATGATTTCCTAAGCATTGTGAATAAAAACAAAGAGATAATTCATAAATTATATAATTGCGAATTTGCAAATGATAGTGAATTAACTGCTTTCGTTGCATTTGCACAAATTAATCCGAAAATTTTTATTTGCTTAATAGATACATATGATTCCTTAAAATCAGGAATTTACAACTTCTTAATTGTTGCCTTATCATTACTTGAAATAAATTACAAGCCAATTGGAATTAGAATCGATTCAGGTGATTTACTTTATCTAACTAATGAATGCAAAAAAATATTTAATGATGTATCAGAAAAATTAAATGTCCCTTTTAAGGATTTAAAAATATGTATTAGCAATGATATTAATGAACAAGTAATAAAAAAACTACATGAACAAGAACATCACATAGACATTTTTGCCATTGGAACAAATTTAATTACCTGTCAATCACAACCGTCTTTAGGACTTGTTTACAAACTAGTGGAAATTAACAATCACCCATGTTTTAAGTTAACAAATGAAAATAAAAAATCAAATTTACCTTACCGGAAAAGGGTATATAGATTATATACAGATCATAATTTCGCACTTCATGATTATATACAATATTTTGATGAAACACCACCTACTGAGAATCAAAAAATTACATGTGTCAATGTCCTAGATGGCAATAAGGAATCGTCCGTTATCCCAAAAAAGGTAGAAGAGAAGTTACATCTTATATGGGATCACGGAAAATTATTAACTCAGTTAAAAACAGTATCTGAATTGAAGCAGTACACATACGATGAGATAACTAAATTTAAAAAGGAACATTTTTCAACCACTCATCCTACTTCATATGACGTTCTCTTTTCAAGCAACTATCACGAATTGTATAAAAATTTGCTAGTTAAAAATTCCTTTTATTCTACTCCCTTGTAAATGATGTTAAAAACGTCAGTTATGTGTTCAAAATGGAATGAAAGAAGCTACAGAATGTGGGTATATATGGGTAAATAGGATGTTATCCAATGTAGGGGGTTAACACATAATAACCGAACCTTGGTGCTCACAAAATCATATAACCATATCAACTTTTTAAAATGAGACAATTCCCCAAATTGTTACCCCTTTTTTAATGAAACTCTCCGAATTGATTTTACATATTTTTATTCATAAACCGCGTAATGACATTTCGGATGAAAATTCTTTTTTTTTTAAAGAACTTGATTTGAAGCTTTCTTCATTATGCAACTGTAAGAGGTATCGTCTTGCTTCCTCTGTAAATTAAATGTCATTTCACATTGTTTATTCGTACTGGTGTGTATATAATAGTAAGTCTTGATGTTTTATGCATTTTACAGTTTAATCTGTATTTACGAGTTCCTTTTTTTTTTTTTTTTTTTTCCCCCTTATTTTAAATCTATGTGTTTATTTAAAACTCCCTGTAATTTTAAATTTCCATTTTGAAGCAAAAGAGTGAATAAATTACGACACATATAACACCACCGGCTTAACTGTCCCAACAGTGTGTAGATTTTTTTTTTTTTTTGAATTAAATTTGTTTTTAAAATTTAAAGTCATATATGAGTCAAATGCATTTTCGATGAGTACAACGAAATTAAAGGAATAAATAACACATGAAGCTTAAAGCTGTTTTTCCAAAAAAATAATATAAAAGTATGTGTTTATATGTTCGTATATATGTTTGTATATATGTTTGCATACATGTGTGTATATATGTTTGCATATATGTGCATATATATGTACATATTCATGTTCGCTGGTGTTAAGGGGAATACTCAATTGGCACGTCCCTGTGTTCTTATGCGGTGCTGAATAGGAACAGGGAAAAAAAGTTGGGAAATGATGAACAAAAAATATTCACATTAATATAGCACGTGTAAAATGTACATTTTTGTTGTCGCAATGTAAAATTTGTCGCATTTGCACAATTTGGATCAAAAGGGTGTAAAAAGTTGCAAAAGTTTTCCTCTGATGTGAGGCTGCCTAATGCTCTACTCCACATGTTAACTGTGTTTTCCCAATTAAGAATTCAACGTAGGCTTATGAAAAAGAATTATTGTTATGAAGCTTTTGTAAATTTGAAATTATTATAATACGCATGTACAATGAGCGTTCCTTTTTTTTTATTTTTCATCTGCAGAAGAAAGTGTTTTACACAAAGATTTGACGAAATGTTCCTCTTAGCTTATTCTTTTTTATACCATAGACAAATTTTAACCTCTCTCGTTGAAGTGTAAATATATATATATATATATATATATATATATATATATATATATTTTTATTTCAAATGCTTTAGCCACATGTGTCAGTTATATTTAAAATGGAAAACTGTAAAAAAAAAAACATTCCTGTAATAAATGATCATGAGTACTTCAAGAACTCTTATATTGATGTGTTAAATAAAAAAAGAGTATTATATAAATATGTATTCCTTTTTAACAATTACAAGTTTAAATTTAAAATAATATCAACGTACTATGAATACCTAACTGTTTGCAATAATCTACTACGAGATGTTACAACTTGCAATTTATTTTTTGGGCCCTTAATTTTTTTTGAAATGTTAGGGAAATCCTTTTATTATCCTTACGTTCTATATATATATGATAAGGACAGTACATACAGTGACAAATGTCCTCATCTGAGATCCCTTAAATTTGAAAAATCGTCTATTTTGAGCATAGAACATATAATAAAAAAGGGAAAGGAGAAAAATGATAAATATTTCAGAGGTAAAATAAATTATAATGAGAAAATAATATTAGATGCAAATGATATTCCTGAGGAACTAAAAAATTATAATTTAGACGGAAAGTATATAGTTGGGTACACAGAAATGTATTTGCTTTTTCATATGGGTAGATCCTTTGATTCACGAATTGAAAGACTTGTAGTCGATAAATATTATCGAAACAAAGGTTTTGGTTTGCTAATCATGTATATAAGTATATACGTGCTTAAATACTTATACCAGTGTAATAGATGTGATTTGAATGTAGAAAATGATATAGCTTTACGAATTTACAAAAAATTAAATTTCTTTAAAGTTGAAACACAAGTGTATCGGTTGAACTTACACTGCAATTATGATTATCTACCAAATGATATTTCAATACAAAATGATACCCATAATATACAATCCTTTATGGATAATATTACAGCAAAGAAGTAGGAAAATTGGGGGGGCATATAAGCGTAAATCACAGAAAGGGAAAAAAAAAAAAAAAAGAGGATAGAATAGGATAGGGAAAGGAAAGGAGAGTTACATTATATCGAAATTTTTACATACAATAAGGGGAAAAACATCCCAGGAGGTATTAATATTGATAATGCTACTACAATATGAAAACTGCTATTTCATAATATCAATATCTTATCATTTTCAAATTTTTATTTTGTTTTTTTTTTATTGTTTATTTTTTTTTTTGTTTTTACTAGATGTGTCCATTATAAACGCTTCAACCGTTTAACTTTCGCTAAAGTGTATTTTATTTGAATAAAAAATTTTGCGCTACCACCAACATTGCTTTAAAATTGAGGTATCATATATCTTCTTCATATGTTACATTTACTCAAATTACAAACAAATATAATTGATACCATTGCTTTTATACTTGTAACTTTTTCTTCAAATATTCTTGCTTTGCATCAACACTTTTTAGATCATTCCATTCTAGATAAGAGACCAAAATTAATCTATACTTTTTGCTCAACAAGTAATATTTTATCAGATTTAAGGAATCTATTTTTTCGTATGATCTTTTCAAATTGTTATCGAAATAGTAGTGATTATTTCCGTTAATTTCTATGCACACCTAAGGGATGGGTAGAATTGAGAAAAATAAATATTTGTGTCTTTCTAAAATGGGTGTTTAGAGCATACACAATTACATTCAGACCATATGCATGTGTTTATATTACCGATTTGTTAATGACAATGTCAACGGTGTATATTCCGTCTAGAAATGGAACCTTTAAGATGAAGAAAAGAGTTTGGGAAAATGTTACATATAGTTTATGTAAAGCAGAAAAGCATCTTGTGTAAACATATTCGAAATCGATTTTCTCGCTTTATTCATATGTAATTATTATTAATATGCCATGCACATTTTATTTCATTACTTCGCACTCCACATTTTTTGCGCCCAAGGAAAACAGTATAGACAAGACCTCTCTATGAAAGCTGGAAGACTGAACACTCGAGTTGTCCCTTTTGATATGAACATGACATTTTTTTACGTTATTAATTAACTGTTCATTTGATGGTTCCTTTTCCTTACAACTTCTCACAAAGTGTATATGAAGATTATACTCATCATATCTCTTGTTTTTATAAAATCTGTTTATATACTTAACAAAAAAAGTGACATTGTTTAAGATGTGTATGCTACGTTCGCTTAATATATTAGAAGTTGGTGTTCTTTTTATTTCCTGATTATCTTTTAAAAATAAATTTGGATTGTGTAGAAAATTTGATAAGTTGTTTGAGATATTGGATTTGTCAATTTGTCTCAGGTCATTTGATGTCTTCCCATTTGGTAATTCACTTTTTTCCATTTCTCTATCTTTATAAGATTCATATAAATATTCCACATATGCACTGAAGTAGACATTAAAAATGTATATTTGATACAAGCTCTGAATTGGTAGATACAACTTTCTATTCGCATCCTTTCTCGTTATGATTATGTTATTTTTTTCACTAAAATACCAGTGATGTTTTTTTCTTAGTGGGTTATTCATACAAGTCAAAATTTCATGGCAATAGTTTCGGTTTGCAAAATCCCTAGCTTTTCCGTTATTCATGTTTGGTTTTGTGTTATGGATTGTAACACTACTATTGGTGCTTTCCTGTTTGAAGTAATCAAATACATAATCGTGAAAACATTCCAATAATTTGTTCACATTCTTAAGATCAATTTTATCAAAACCCAAAATTACGTAACTGCTCAAAATGTTTGGTATTATATTAGCTAATTGATAACTTGGAACAGGTACAAATCTACTTACACTTTCGTTTATTTTTTTCAAAACTGTGTTTAAATTGCAAATAATTTTTACTTCTTCCTCCCGTTTTACACTATTATCGTTGTACTCATTTAAGAATATTCTATTTCTGTGTTCTCGATAAGTACTGGAGCTGCGATAATTATCTTTTAGTAAAAATACTCTATCGTATATATGCAGGTTAACACCGAATATGTTAAGCTTGGATAATGAGATGAGTATATTTGTGTATTCATAAAAATGTAATCCCTCTGCATGTTCGTTAATTTTTTGTAAACATGTACCAATGAGATTCAAATTTCTATATTTAAGTTTCGCAAAAGAGTTCAATAAATTTACATAAATTGTGTAAGGTAAACTTTTACTTTCTATTTGGCACTTATGCAATATTTTCAGTAATATATAAATTACATTTTTGCTTTGTCCCCTTTTGCTATACATGTTGAGAAGTAATATGTACACATCAACTTCTCTGTTGTATTCTTCGTTTAGAGAATAACACTTCGTATCTTTCTTTTCTTTTATACCGATATGCTTTCTATTGAATGGGTTTGTAGAACTGGGTTCAAATTGATGATTCTCATTTTCGTAATAATTCTGGATTCTGCTGTTATCAAGCACTTCTTTCTCTTTCTCCTTCTCCTTCTCGTTTAAGCATGTCTCTTTTTCGATCATTCCGTATGACATGTTTACCCGACTAGAATTCATATCGCACACTTTTTTAGTTTTTTTGCTCTCTCTTTTTTTAATGTCATTTATGTGGTGATATGTTGGGCCTATTTCATCCAGAAATAATTTTAACTTTGTAATTACAATATTGTCTACATGATCTTGAACCTTTTTTAGGTATTGTTCTTCATACGTTTGGTTTTTAAAAATGTTGCTTATTTGGTATAAAAAATAAAGAAGGATACTTAGATCTTTTAAATTGCACATAGCATACAATCGACTTAAGGATATGGTGCTAATTATTTTAATGATCATACTTGTTAGGTTATTTAAATTGTTCCTTATAACATTAGCACATCTTTCATTCAGGTGTACATTGAAATAATTTTTATTTGATTCATTTTGCATATGATATACAAAAATAAAACTTTTCAATACATTTAATACTGCATCTATGTTAAAAAATTCTACGTGTTTTTTTAAATATATGTAAAATAATGAATCTACATCTTCAAATGAATAGATGCAAATTTTGATTAATTCAGTTAAACTTTGTAGCTCATTCGATTTGGCACTACGAAAGAGGAGAATTTCATTTGGTTCCTTTTTCATTATGAATTTTCTGTTCGGCAATAATTGATTGTTATTGGGTTCATCTTTTTCAAATTCTTCATCATAATATTTGCAGCTTAACAAGTGCAAAACTTTTTCGTATATAAGATCGATAAAGTTCCTACTCCTTACACTGCTATATTCATGAACATATTGCAGAATAGATTTCAGATATTCCTTCTTCTCATTAGATATAAAATATATTCCTTCTATTATGTTAACTATGTCTTCAATTTGTGAGCACCCCAAATTCCTATTTTTGAAACAGTTGGCATGTACATCTGATTGAACCTTTATCTCTCGAGCATTTGTGTTATTACGCATATTGTTAAGATCCCCTTTTTCCATTTCCCCATAGTATACCGTTACTAGTATTAACACTAAGTCATGCACACTTTTCATATCTCCTTGTCTTGATAAAAAGAATTTCATAATGTTTGACAAATGAATGTCCGATATTTCATAAAAAAAATGGAACAATAAGGTGATATGCTTATAGTCATTTTCAGTTGCATTATCTACATTTATACAGTTAAAATAATACAAAAACTTGAGTTTATTTATGAAATCTTTGTTTGTGTATTTCAAATTTTTCATAGTATTTAGTATAAGGTATATCTCGTTGAAGTTTATATTTCTAACAAAGACATCTTCCTTTCTTTTAAATAGTGTGTCTTTGTAAACATATTTATCTGCTTTATTTAAAATGTGATTTATTTCGTCATTCTTTTTATAAGTCGAATTTATCGAAGAGGCAATGGGTATCCTACCCCTCACAGCAGGGTTACCTAACTTGTCGAATAGATCATTCTTGTTGAAAATTGGAAAGGAATAATAATTATGAAAAATGATATAGTTTATCTTAATATTTAAAATGTTTATTAATATTTCCACAGCTTTCGAATTTGCGTAATTGAAGTAATAAAATCCATGCAGAATGTATGATATCCGTACAATGTATACATTTTCAAAAGGATCTATTTCTGCCCTTTTTTCTTCGCATAATATATGTAGATCATAAACATCATTTTCTAGTTTATTCATCAATGCAGTATCGTGCAAGTTGTATTTGACAAGGGTTTTTAAAATAAAATATATTTTGTTTAAGTTCCATTGCACATTTAGTAGTTTTATTTTATGTAGGTAATTTTTAATAATATCTTCATTCACATTACATTCAGTTACATACTTTAAATTTTCAATTAAGTTAATGGGATCTAAATGATTAATAACATTTTTATTGCATATATTTTTTAAGAAATTTGTATTCTTGTTATTGTTTATTATATCTTTTTTCTTGTCCTTCCTGTTGTATACACTAAAATTACATTTCCCCCCTCTTCCATTTCTTTTCAAATGGGCTAAACACGTTGTGATCACCTTATGGATTTTTAATATATTCATTAATAAAATCGGTAGAGTTCCAGTGATTATTTTTCCACATCATCCCCTTGTTTTTAGGAATTACATTCAAAGAAACTGTTCATAAAACATTTCTATGTTTTGTGACCCCTTTTCGTTCTGCATTTTTTTTTTTTTTTTTTTGAGGGGGTGGGAGTTACCTGTGAACTTAACTTCCTCTCCAAAGTAGATTTTTGTCACTTGTTCAAAAGTGGCTAGTTGGCATGAAAGAGGATACAAAAATAGGAACACATAAACAGAGAATAGGCAAATACATAATGTTGTAATTGAAGCATGTTTAAAAGCTTATTTTCTCCCTAATAATTCTGTAGTAGCCGCAGAGTGGAACTCATATAATAAAGCCACAAATGTTTTGGGAGGAAAATTTCTATGAGTGAAGAATTGATCATCTCAATTGTGATGGAAATATAGATGTGGAAATAGCACAACCACTAAATATATATCATATGATTCTATGTCCGTATGTGTTATATGCACCAAGCTAACATAAAAAGATGTCGTGCCTATTGACTTCACCAATATAGAGAAACACAAATGTAAACAAAAATACACTATCCTATTTGAGGAAAAATAGCCGTAATAATTTTATAAAAGAAAAAAAAAAAAAAAAAAATGCAACAATTGTACGCTAATATACTCAGGATGCACGCAAATATTAGGGGAAAAGCTTGAGGAAACAAATGCACATGTATGCAAATCGTACTCATAACATTGATGCTAACATTTTTTATCCCCCTTTTAGCCTTCACTGTAAAATCAATATGCCTTTCACAAGCAGAAAAAAAAATAAATAAAAATAAAAAATGAGTGAAAAAAATAGCCCATATTTACATAAATGCATGTGATATATATAACACATACAACAAAAATATATAATGACCAGTTATGGCTTTTTCCCTAGTCTTCTCATTTTCATTTCGATCAACATAATTACGTGTTATAAAATAAACAAGTTAAACTTTACTAAGGACCTATTCTTCTTTAACAAAGGGGAAAAGAAAAGTTATAGAGAAATAAGAAACAAAGTTTATAATAACCGAATAAATGGAAGCGACACTATAAAGGAAAATGTCGAAATTGAGAGGAACATAAAATGTAAAATTGGGCTAGAGGTACACGTACAGTTAAGCACCAAACATAAGGCCTTCTGTAATTGCTTCAATGTAGCTTCTTTGTATAACGAAAAAACGTACGAAAAAAATTACATCGATTTGTACAATTATTTAAAGGACAATGTTTTAAAGACTCAAAGTAAAGCAGCAGATATCAATTGTCTAGAAGAAAGGGGGTATAAAAAAGAAGGGATACATTCTTATGGTACATCAAGGGAGGTACCACAGGGAAATATATCAAAATGTAATAGTAATGGCGAACAGAATTACACTGTTAATAGTCCAAATAAACACATTTGCAACAGGTGTGTAGGCGAAGTAGGGGCACTAAATTTGCTGAACAGCACAGCTGTTTTATTCACATACCTAATTAGCATCATATTTAATTGCAAATTAAGTAATTCTGTATCATTTGACAGAAAAATTTATAATTATTATGATTTACCAAAAGGTTATCAGATTACACAAAAAGAAATACCAATTGGTTCTAATGGTTACATTTCTCTAGGGGGAAAAGCTTTTCGCATAAAAAGTATTCACCTAGAGGAAGATACAAGCAAATGTTTTCTACATAACCGAATGGATGATATGTTTGATGGTGATGATATAACAGATGCAAGTAGTTACACCAAAAAAGGAAATGTAGATGAGCGCGGCAGTAAAATTACAAATGTTAACAATATTAGCTACGAAAAGAAAGAAAATGAAAACGTAGACTACGAAAATTTGTCATCAAATTGTAATGAAAAAGAAGATAATATAATTAAATATTCAAATGAAATAAGTAACTTGAACAAGAAAATATTGTTAGATTACAACAGATGTGGCATCCCATTAGTCGAAATTGTTGTACAAAAAGATTATATGAATGCTGATGAATGTATTAATTTGCTGAAGGAGATAAAAAATAAAGTGTGTTTACTTGGTGTGTGTGTAGGGAATAAGGAAAATGTACGATCAGATATTAACATATCTTTCGAATATAATAATGTAAAATATAACAGAGTTGAAATCAAAAATATTAATAGTTTTAAAAAAATTAGGAATTGTATAGATCAAGAAAAAAAGAATTTTGTCAATAAAATTTTAACAAATGATATAAAACAAGGAAAGTACAACAAGCCAAATGATATATACACAAAAAGCTACATAGATAATACACATTACATTTTAAGAAAAAAGGAAGTATATAATTATGTACACGAAAGGAATATACCTGAATATAAACTTAATAATAAGGTTATAAAATTATTAAAATTTTACGTTAATTATAAAATAAAAATATATGAGGATGAACAAAAATATAATTGGTCGAAGCATTATTTTCATGTATTTTTCAATGACCCATTTTTATATAATTATTTCAATGAGTGCTTAAAATTTGAGGAACAAAAACATGTCTCCAATTTTATAGTTAATATACTTTTAGATGTGTTGAAAAAGAAGAATGTCTTATCTAAAAATATCTTAATAAAACCACAAAATTTTTGCTTTCTTATTAAGTATGCAATGGAAAATAATTTAGATAACACATCTCTTAAGGCGTTCCTCTTCAATTATGTTGACGTGGGATTTGAAAATGAATTTCTCATACAAAATTTTAAAAATATAACTACCAGAGAGGTGGAAAATGTGCTGAAGAAATTAATAGACGATAATATAAAGCATTTAAAAATAGACATTGGCAAGAACGTCCACAACAAACAGAATTTTAAGAACAGAATTATAGGTCTCTTGAAGAAACAAATGATTCTGCATAACACGCAGCTGCACGTGAACTACAAAACTGTGAGTACATTCATTGATAATTATATAAAGAAATTGGCATAAAGGAGTGCTAGCTTGCCCTTGTTATTTCGCGTTTATCAAGTTGTACTTATCACTTCATTTTTATGACATGGCGTTTCACATTCCTATCCTACCGAGTATTATTTTTTTTTTTTTGTAATTAAAAGGTTCTCCATTTGATACCCATTTTGTAATTGGCAAAAGGGTAAAAATGAGGAGGGATAAACCTGAAAGTTTGTGTCAGCTTTTATGTACAGATATGCATAGGAGAAGTCATACCCATGGGGTACTCTTACTTGTCCATCTGCGTATATACATAAAAATGTATATATATGAATATATATGTATATATATTTATTTATCCGTTCATCCACCAATATATACACTTATTCATTTTGTGTAAGTTTTTTTTTTGTTTTTCGCTATAAGCGACAGTTATGTATCAAAAAAGAAATTTTTATAAATTGGCTAATGTGTTTGCAAGCATGAATACCACATGGAGACAAAAAAGAAAAATAAAATAAAAAAAAAATAAAAATAAAATAAAATAATATATATTTTCCACTCTTTCAACATAGTACCCCCACCCCACACACACACATACAACCAACTGATACGAAAAATTCTACAACAATAAGGGACACAAAATGGTGCATCTTTTCATCATCTTTTCCTGATTTGTACATTTCAGAAAACGAAATTAAGGACATTCTTTTCAGGACGATAAACAATTCTTTTTATAATTTTTGAATTTTCACTGTTTTTGCGACTTATGGGGGGATAAAAACAAAAGGTAGGATTTATATGAGGTCGTATGCATAAATTTTCCCGTTCATTGAAATTCAAAAAATAAAATAGTAGAACATAATTTAGATCAAAATGTAGGTTATCACTATTTAGGATTATATTTTCATTGTTCAGGTATATGAAATTCTTTCTTTGAAAAAAAACTATATTATTAAAATAAATATCTCTAAAGTGGGATATGCTGGTCAAGTCGTATTTGATGCTATCCAGATAAAACAGGTTATTCAGATAGAAATTTTTTTTATTTATGTTGTAGGTTAAGACCAATGGTAATGCAAAGGAAAATTTCCCATTCAAAAATATGTTTACCACCTTAATATTTATATCGTCACTTTGCAAATGCGTTGATGCATTTTTTTTTAAGCTATTTTTATTGTCTGCTTCATCTTGGCTAGTTCCATAACATGGAACTGGGCTATTCTCATCACGAGAATATTTACACTGTACACGTTGCTCATGAGTGATAGAATATACCCCAATTTTCGACAAATGTCTTATGTTTTCTTTGCTGAGCTTCTTATATCCCTTTTGATTCAAATCTTCACATAAATGCAGAAACTTATGGAGGTGATATTTATAGTAATATTTTACATAAAAAGGATTGAGTTGTATACAATTTTTTTTAATTTTGAAATAGGACTTGTTATTCGATATTAGGTTTACCACAGCCACGTCTTTTACCAGTTTCCTATTTAAGTGCACATACATAACATTTCGGAATAAGTAATAATCTCCTTTTATTTTCTTATAAAATGATAAAATATGAAAATTTTTCTTATTTACAAAAAATTTAAATAAAAACGATTTATCGCGCACATTGTTTTCATAGCATTTCGCCTTTATCTCTAGATTAAGCTTATGTATAATTTTTTTCAAAATGTATGCTATTGTGTATTTTTGTTTCCTCCGCTCGTATGTGGAACGCACTTCCACTCTATCTCTCATAAAATATTCGGTAGAAATGTCGCTACTGCGAGTTTTATCATAATTTGTTGTATTATCGATTTTCTTTGCTTGGGGGACAAATTCAAGATTTCCAAACAGATTTAAAAGTCTGTCTTCGTCATATTTATTTCTTGCTAAATACTTTTTAAAAAATGGTATGTAAGCACGAATTGTCCTTTTATAATAGTTACTTTTTTTGTTCACTTCTTTTATCTTAAGCGATATGTTGTTATTATATTTGTTTAGAATTATTTTCTTTAATTGCAACAAGAGCTTAAAAATGGTTAGTATATCTTCCAAATTGAAATTTAATAAATTCTGAAAAAGTATTTTTTTGTCTGCATCTACATTAAATTCGCATAGTACACGTGGTGTCTTATTATTTAGTGACAAACTCTCTTTATTTTTTACTAAAAAACAATTTGTTTGTTTTTTTTTTTCTCCAAATTTTCGTTGTTTAATGTCAAATGTGCAACTAATGTAATTGCTAGTCATATGGCTGTTGTTACATTTGCCTATTACGCTTAGAATAAAGGTGCTTTTTTTTTTTTCACAGAAAACGAGATACTTTTTTATAGAAATCATCAAAAAGATGATTAATGAAATTGTCAGCAACATCCCATGATGTTATTTCATTACATTCGATATATTTCATCTTGCTATCTTTCAATTATTTGAAGGTGTTTTTTGTTCTTCATCTTTTTCTGTTTTTCACTTATTCCAACATACACGTTTGTAAGATGGTTTTATTTATTTATGTGCATATATATGTGCTTTCTCTCTTTTCTTCTGTAGCACTTTTCAAAAATTTCTCACATACCATTTTTTTTTTTCCTTTTTGTTTTTATTTTATTTTATTTTTGCACCTAATTATAAAAGATGAATTTTCAAAAAAAAGATAGCTATTTTACTACCCATGCAGTTACATATTATGAAAAGCACATAACACAAGCATATATCTTATCTAAAAATATATGAAAATATTTAAGTATATACTTTTCCCCTTTTTTGCTATCGAACTTATGTTGTATTATTAGCCTGTGATGGAAACATTTTCACCTGAAAAAATACAAACAAGAAGTGTTCATCAATCCATAGTTTCGCGGATTTTTGTAGTATTTTTAAATATTGAAACTTGGTATTATTGAATATCTAATTTTTTTTTCCGCTTAAATGGGCTAATTTACCATGCATTTATATGTATATATATATATATGTATTTTTTTTTTTCTTTTTTTTTTTTTTGCTCCTGCTAATTCAACAGCAGGTGTAATCAATACGAGCATTTTAGCAAATAAATTGAAGTTACATGAGATATTCTTCTGTTATACATGGTACATAACCCATGTAGCTCTTATGCTTTTATATGCATTTGCTTACACTAATATATGTAATTATGCATTTGTGATTTATTTCCTGATTATATAGGAGAAAAAAAAAAATTCTTGTGAAAAAAGTACAGATTGATTGTAGAATTAAAAATTACAGTGGGTAGATATGTGGACAATCGTGTAACTCTACAATGCAAGCAGATTATATTTCATGTGTTCATCTTACATTTATAATGACTTAGAACCATTTAGATTGCTATTTTTTATGACATTTTGCCATATTTCTTTGCTCATTTATACTTTGCAATTATGCTTTTTTTCTCTTTCTTTTTCATTTCTATTTAATAGAAGCTTGTATAAGATTCCTAATTAGTTGCTTATTCACGTTTCCTTATTAATTAACATCAGTGTATTCTCGTTTGGTTTGGACATTTTTTTTTTTTTTTTTTTTTTTTTGTTAATGCAATGATCACTTATCTTTATTGATTCTACGTAGAAAATTAACATTTCATATTGTCCACTTCTCACTGCTTTTTACATTTCTCGCAAATATCTTCTTATCTTTTCAATAAATATCATGGTCGAAAAATGAGTAACATATATGATATGCTAGGTATCAGCATTGATAAAATAAAGAATAAAAAGAAGCAGAAAGAAAAAAACAGCAGAAAAGAATTAGACTTTCTAAAAGAAAATGACAATCTATTTTCTCTCCCGACATCATCAAAAACTATAAATGTAAATAGCATACATAGATCTATATCTACATATGTAATTATACGCTTCACACATTTATGATAACGTAAAGATAGATACGAATCTATTCACACAATATTAGCAAATGCAATAATGTAACACCATTTCGTAAAAAAAAAAAAAAAAAAAAAAAAAAAAAAAAAATTACAAGCGCCACACACAAATAATAATTAATAACAAACTTCTAACTATTTTCCTTTCTCAGTTTAGCAACAAAAGTGTTAGCATATGGAGACTAGTGAGTTTCAGGAACAAATGCAGACAAGACGATTTGATACTAAAAAAATGGAAAAAAATTGGATATAAAAATGATAAAAATGTGTTTAATGAAAATAATATAGAGGATGATTATTCATTTGAAAAATTTAATAAAAAAATAAATATTATAAAATATAATGATGAATTTTACGACAAAGAAATACAACATATGAACACAAAATGGACTAAGGAAGAAACGGATTATTTATTTAAATTATGTGAAAAATATGAATGTCATTTTATTATTATATACGATGTATATGATGCAGAATATAAAAGAACCATCGAAGAAATAAAAGATAGATTTTATAGTGTATCTAAGAAAGTAATTGAAGATGTCTTTGATCAAAAAATTAAATTAGAAGAATCGAAAAAAATTAAAAATAATGGGGATATTCTAAAATTAAAAGAAGGAAAAGCTAAACATCCCCTCATAAAGTTTACGTATAATATGGAGGCGGATATCGAAAGAAAAAATTTAATTCACAAAACTTACAACGTATCTAAAAAGGATGTCCTATTAGAAGAAATGACAATGGAAAACATCAAAAAGTTTGAGAATAAAATTAAGCAGGAGCTGAAGAAGGCCTCTGATATGAAAAAATTAAAAAAGAAATTTGAGTTAACAAATGAAGAAATAGTGCCGGTACTGTGGGAAAAAAAAAAAAAAAAAAAAGCCTTGCAGTGATTAAAAAATAATCAAGTGATAGGGCCATTTTTCTATGCCCCTCTTCCATCATATATTTACCCACACATCCATATATATTTGCATTTTTGTTATTCCTTTACCTATATTCATAACAACTTTCTCCCTTGACAGATAAACAAGTTGCCTGAGGAAGACAAGGAAGAAAAATATGTATATAGTGCTAGATACTTTTTTCAAAAACTTAAAATAGATATCTCTTATTTTGACAAATTAGACACTTATTTAAAGGAGAACAACATTGATAAACCAACGATTTATACCGAAAATATTTGCTTTTTATATGGGTACAATTACATTACCATATTAGATTTATAGGAATCCTTTTACTTATTTTAACAAGTTTACACCTTAATTTTGTATATTTTATTCTCCTTTTTTAAATATAGGGTTTTAAGAACCGATGTCGCTATATTGCTAAATTTGAGAAAGAAAATTGAAAAACTAAAACAGGTAAAGAATATCGCAGAAAAAATATAAAATATATTATACTTAACTGAAGCCGTCAATTGGTTTATCTTCTTCGCATGCACTTTTTTTAATGTTCAACATATATTGCCCATTTGAGGCATTAACAACAACAGCTCTCAAACATTTACATAATAATTTTTTCCACAAACAGGAACGAGAATTTTGGAAGGGTCAGTTAATTACCTTGGAAGAAGAATACTTAAAGAAAAAAAACAAATCATCATCTGTCTAAGAATTTTAACAGCAAATAATGCAAGGAAGCTTAATCTGCAAGAGGATTTTTTTTTTTTTTATGTGGATATTTTTACGTGTAAAATGATGCAAAAATAAAAGAAAAAAAGAAAAACGCTAATTTTTTGTTCTCAATATATGAAAACCATAAGCCTATAAAGGAATTCTATATACACGCGATTATTGTAAGAGATCGTGGATATACAGAATGTGTTTGCGCGTGTGCATGCATGGAGGATATATACATATGTGATTATTTAACATTGCTTCATTTCAATTTTCTACCACAAGAGCAATTAATAACCATCTATTAAAAAAAAAAAAAAAAAATTAATAACAACGTTGATTAATAAACATATAACTTTTTGTGGATATCGCAGGAAGGCACAAATAGAAAAAAGAAAGCCTAAAAAAAAAAAAAAAAAAAAAAAGCCAATAAATAAAATAGAAGAAAAAATGTGACAACTAAGTAGAGAATATTAAAGAAGGAAACGTGGGCCATAAATAAACGCACCCACAGGAATTTTGCAGCACTGCAACATTGCATAAGCGTACGTAAAAAAAAGAAAAGTATCCATGTGAAAAAATCCTGATGAAAAGAAGATTGAGAACAAAAATACCAACAAGAACATTATATAAGAATAGGGTTGCATGCGAACTATATGCAACGATAAAACAAATATGGATTGTATCTTTTTATATCATTAAACACATGATTGAATATATATATGTTAGGCAATTGAGAAAAAAAAAAGATAACATGAGAATAGAAGAAATCTGAATATAACGAACTTCCCCAATATTCACAGCAATATTATGAATAATTAAAAAATAATTGCAAAAGAAGAATAAATATTAAATAGGAAGAAATAAGGATCATCTTTTTTTTTTTTTTTTTTTTTTGTGTATGTGTGTGTGTGTCCCAGTTTATTCCTTTTTTTCCTCATTCTCCTGTTTGCATACGGTTTGCATACTGTTTGCATACTGTTTACCTCCTCTTTTTTTTTCTCGTTTTCCTATAATGAAATTACATGCAGAGTTCAAGCAGGATAGCCTAGAGTATTTTTCCTACATTTTGAAAGGACTGAAAGAATTTTCGTCCTTTGCTACTGAGAGCTCATTTTTATGCTTCAAATTTTCGGAGAAATACTTATACATATTTGGAAATGAAAAGAAACATGTGGAAATATTTATAAAAATCAGCATGAATGATTTGTTTTATGAAAATTTTATTTTAAAAAGTAATTCAAACAATGAAATAATTATATTAGTATATATTTTCCAGATATATGACATTTTTAAGAATATATCAAAAAATACCAAAATAACTATTGATTTATTTGAAAAGAATGGAATATGCATATTACTATTCAAGCATCAGTGTAGTGTGACAGACGCTTTAAAGAAATATGAATGTGGAGTAGAAATCATTAATCCTTCGTTAACATCATTTCCGAACATAAAAATGAATAAATATGCCCTTTATATTAATTGTAAGTTAAAAAAATGCTGCAAAATTTTAAATACCTATTCGAAATTTCATTCCGACAAGATAGAATTAAACTTTGAAGTTACAAACAAAAAATGTGACATTATTTTTCTCATGGATTCATTAACTACGAAGAACATAACCACATTAAAAAATAATTATGTACTAAAAAATGTAATAGACAAGAAGACAAAAAATGATAATGATAATAATAATGAAAAATATAATTTAAGAAAAGTAATATATATTAAAACTTTTACAAAAGCTTTAAGTATTCTAAATGAATGTAGGAATAACAAAGATGACGCTGGTATATTTAAAATTGTTGTACCTTATAATAAATGTTGGTTTGCTTTAAAACTGGGTCAATTCGAATATTCGGGAAATTGGAAAGTACTTATTGTGATTACGGATCTTAGCCTGGATATGTAAAATTGTGTGCACATGTTGTGGATAGTAAAATATTTTTTTTTTCATCCTATACCCATCCATATCAGTGCTCATCCATCTGTTTATTTATTTACCCCACTTTTCCATTTATATTTTTTAAATGACAAGACAGGATGTTTTCCTTCCATTTAATTTTTCTTTGCATATGCATGCAAATAAATATATGCATACCCAACATAGCCCATTTGTAACTCCCTTAAAAAGGTCATTCATAAACACGTTATGAATGTTGTAACTATAACTTGTTTATTCACATACTATATTTGTTACATACGTTTATATTTTTTTTTTTTTTTTTTTTTTTTTTTGCTTTTGCACTGATTTTTCGCGCAAAATTGATAATAATAATATGAAACTTTTTTTTTACATGATTTTACTTCACCTTGGAAAATTCTTTTTTTTTTATGCAAATATTTAATTCCCCTTCGCAAACACTTGTAAGCGTGCTTAACATGTTCGACTAAACATTTTTTTTTCTTTTTTTTTTTCTGTTTTAACTGAGTTATTTGTTATGACAAATAGAAAAAATAAAAAATATATAGCAATTATAAATATCACATTTTCATAATTGACAATGAAGTCTTTTTATTAAAAAGAAATAAATAAACATTCTCAAAGAATTAGGTGTTGCTACTCTATTAATTATAAGGTAAAAAATAAAATAATAATAAAAATAAATTTTTGAGAAAAGGAAATGTCATAAATATTCTTGACTGCAGCATGCACCTTTGTAGATATGCACTTACACATTCAATTGCATATCTTCATATGCGTGTTCCTTGTACATGGTGTGTTTTACTATAACGGAAAAGATCAAAAGCATGCAGAAAAAGCAGCACGTAAACGAAAGGGTCAAAAAAAAAACTTGGTACTTATGTATATTCAATGTGCTGAAGTATATGGAATAGTCGTATACTGCGTGAAAGAGGGCAGGTAAAAATAGGTGCCTCAAGAAGATCAACAATTTTGCTAAGTAACCTGTAAATATATAATCATAAAAATAAAAGTAAAAAAAAAATGTTAAAAATAGAGACTCAATTAGAATTTTTCGTTTTTATGAATATGTGAATGTTATACACACGAAACATTTTCTTGTAGGTGTAATATGTGTCCTATTCTAAAATATCATTCACACGTCTCAAATTGTTCTACCCTTTCTGCTTTTATGGAAAACGCTGATGGCTATGTAATAAGAAGTTACCCCTGAACAACACATGTGAAACAACACACAGATCATATTTCTGCATAAAAAAAAGAAAAAGAAAAAGAAATAAAAAAGAATTCTAATTAGATGAATAAACCACGTGCATATTGTTTCGTACCTTAGTACTATTACTGATAAGAAGTTCTGCTTTGTCGTCTGGGTAGCGTAAAGCAAGTTTTCGGTGCTTGAAAATCTGTTAAATGGGGGAATAATTGTGAAAAAGAAGGAATCAAACAGAGTAGTTAGTAAAACATATATGTACTAACATGGGCAAGCGCGTAAATTTCCTGTTTCTAATTAAGGCGAAAGAATAACCCGGCAGATGAGCATAAGGAAAAAAATATATATTCTAATATGTCACTTGCATAAATATATTTAAATTTATCCATAATGTGGTCTTTTTTCCTAAAATCATCATCATCATCTTCTTTATGTACATTTTTATCTAAAAAGCACTTGTTATCAACGAGGGATAATTCTATATATTCGCTTTTATTTTTGTCTTCATTTATTTGAACAAAAATCATAGGAAGGATTTTTGAAAATTCTTCTACATACGCCACTACCAGGAAGAAGTCTGCAAATAGAGCATGCATGTATGCATGTGCGCGTGAGCGTATATAATGGTACGTATGAAAATCTAGACAAATAATTACATTTATATGTATATTAATTTGTGTCTAACACATAAGACGGTTTCTGGAGCAATAAGTATAGAATATCTTCTTTTGTGAACCCACATGAATGAAAAAAAGCATCAAGGTTGTGCAGAATAATAATCTTTTTTCTTATGCTATTTAAATTCATATGCTTAATTTTTTTTTATCCTTACAAAAAAATACCACTATTGAACACAAAAGTAAAAGAGATCCCCCTATTTCTTTCACAAAACAAATATAACAGAAATGAAAAAAAAATAATGAACAGAAATATTCTAACGTGCCGGCCAAAACAATAGATGGTACAGCTCCATACAATATCATTTCGACAGCATGCAAAAATTTTATTCTTCTATTGATTTTTATTCTAAACCTGTGGTGCAAAAAAAAAAAAAAATAAATAAATAAAATAACAGCATACACACACATATATGCACGTTTTAGGTGCCAGAAAGTGCAATAGAAGATAATAGCAATCCAAATATCAAAGAAGTAAAATGTGATATTTTTTTTTAACAAGTATAGGTAAACACAACTAGGGAAAAAGGAGAAAATTAAATAGATAATTCCTTCATTTCCTATGGTGACACATGAAAAACCTATAAAAAAAACAAAGTAATATCATCGTGTCTTCAAGTTCAACCACAGAGAATTCCCCAGTGCGCGCTATTTACATTCCCATACAGGTACAACACTAGATCATTAATTTATTTGACAGAGAAAGGATTGAAGCATACCAATTAGAAATACTACGCAGGAAAAGCAGTACAACAGACGTATATATGTGGCAAAAGAAATATTTTCTACATTTTTTGATTCTTCTTCGCAATAGTCATTTGTCTACAATATATAAAAGGGTTTACATGCTAAGGATATTAGTAGTTATGGAAATGAATAAGTCAATGTGTGTACGTATGCAAATACTTAGTAGAAAATGCTCATCAATCTATTTTATCCATATATATGCAAAATATATAATTCTCAAATGCTCAACACATTAAATAAGTAACAAATCGAATAAAAAAAAAAATAAATAAATAGTATATATGGCTATCATTTTACAATTGTACGATGGTTTATCATGAGAATTGTTTATTCTCTTTTCTTTTATAAATTAATTTTCTAAGATTTTTAGAAGTGTTCAAATTATGTATGATCAATGTAGAGCTGTTAAAAATAAACATAACTAGCAATTTGAGAAATTGCAAATGAACTTTCTCTTACTCCCACTCGCAAGCCACATACATATGGCATGCTTATATCTGCATAACTGTGTATGTTTACATACCAATTCCTTATAATGCATTTTAAAACAGTTCGTACATGTAGACCTCTATTCGGAAATGATTTTATGTTTATTATACAAATGAAAATAAAGTAATGAGAAAAGGATGTAAAAAAAAGAAGAAATAAATGTTATTCCATTTTTGTAATTACTTCATCAAAATGGAGAATGAAAAAAAAAAAAAATTATAAAACAAACAATGGTAACATAAAAATGATAATATATGTCTTTATATGCTTATGAATAGTGCGAGTTAAACTCGTTGTACCTAGTGAGATTTTCCTTGAATTGCTAATATTTTTTTTTTAATTTTTTTTCACGTCTTGCACAAGTTAAGGAGCTACTCCTTCTTCCCTTTATTATAATGCACGTGCATACACACACGCACAATAAAAAAAAAAAAAAAAAAGAGATAGAGGACGGATTTTAAGAATATCTCATATTTTGTAAGTTTCTTCAAATAAATTAACCTCTTTTTTTATACATTATTATTTTATTTTTTTTTTTACCTTTAAGAACAAAAGTGTACACCTATGAAAACGTTAATGCATGCTCTTACAGCTTCGAAATGTTTACAGAACAACATGAAACTGAAGCTGGTTAACGACATTTTATGTTTTTAGAATTTTATAATACCTTAGGTGAAATTATTTACAAGTTTAAATGTTAGAACAGCAAGATATAAAACACATACTTTAATATGCATGTTTTCCAATGCCTTCCATATTTAATAGCAGAGTAATGGGCTCACACACAGCTCTACAATGTGTTTTTATGAACCACGTGAGTGGATATTTTAAATGACCACTAAAGGCAAAAATAGATAAGGTAACATGAGAAGAAAACGGAAATGTATACCAAATATTTAGCTTAGCTAATGGCTTACAATTCTTTACCACCAAATCATGAAAAACGAACTGAGATTTCTGTGCTTGTCATACCATATAATGTATCTTAACAATTTCTCATTTTCCTAAATATATAGGTGGAAAAAACTTCCATTTAAATGTAAAACCTGTTTGATTATACATTTCACTTTTTAAACCAAAAGGGGGCGAAATAAAAAAAAGAAAAAAAAAAAAACACCAAAATGTACTAACATTTGCGCATGTACGTGCACGCTATAAAAATCCCTAGAACAATTATCTTGCTTGCAATTCAAAATGACATTGTGACAAATCGCTTTTGTTTCACCTTTTACATTGCAATTCAGCTCATTGTGTATATGCACATGGCTTACCAGGGTACACTGTGCAAGTATGTGTATAATGAGCGTTGTCCTCTCTTCTTCATTTTGCGAAAATATATATTTTTAAAAAGGTCAAACAAAAAAAAAAAAAAAAAAAAAAAGGATAGGAAGAAACACAAATGTAAAATACAAATGTGTAGTGAAACTAAATATATGGAACATAATGATATTTGAAATATTTGCCATAATTGGCATTCAATAAAAAAAGTGTGTTAACTATTAGTAATTAGGAAAAAATTGTTTTAAGAAATAAAGTGTCCTTAATATATTCTGGCCATTTAAAAAAAACAAATTTGTGCTATTTTTTTATTTACACGTCGAAAATTTTTTTTTTTTTTTTTTTTTTTAGGTATTTGAATATAAAAGTATTTTTGGTGCATATATATATATGCACAAAAGTGTATACATTATGTTATATATATAAGCATATATTAAAAGTATTCGTAATATAACGAATATATACCATGGGCTTTTTATGCCTATTTTTGTTTTTTTCCGTTCAAAAATTGCTTCCCTTTTATGCATATTACTTATAATTATTATATACAATTTGCAATTTTTTTCTTGTTCGTAATTGTTATACCTTTTTCCTATTTTAATAAGCATTTTTGCTATTGAGGAAAAAAATTTTTCAGGTCGAATATTTAAAAAAACACATAAACTAAAGTGTTTCAACAAAATGATTAGGAAAATATTATAAGGAAAAAAAAAAAATATACTTTTAAAAAAATCCTAAGCAGTGCATTCTTTTAAAGCGCTTCCATGATTTATGGAAAAATGAGAAAGTTAAATGTAAATCTATTCAAGTGACATATTGCAGCATATTTCATTTTTTAATTTTTGTGTATATTAATAATTAAGCGTGCATATATATTTAAGTAATCTGTGCTCGTGTTCACCAAAATGGGGATTTTTTTAAAATTAAATAAAAGCGTTTACGCGAACTGTAAATCATATGTATACAAGAGTGGTGGACATTCACTACTGGATAACATATTTGACGCCTACTGGAACCTTTGTGTAAAATTGGTTCCAAAAGTAATAACATCCATACCATTCAATTTTCACATTTACTACTGAATTATTTGATTGCATCTGCTTATTCACTGTTATAGTTACGATTGTGTTGTTAACCTGTTATTAAGCAATATCACTCGATGTTAATGAACACAAAATGTGGCATTTTTATTACACGATTTTCCCTGCGTTATCACCCCCTTTTTTTTTTCAGTCAATGACAGCTAATTTCTTGACACTATTAGGGTTCTTATGCTCTACAGTGGCATTTTTTCTTATGTATCTTTTTGATCTGTTCAACAAGAAAAATGATTACATATTCATATACATAGGATTGTTTTTGTTTCTATATCAAGTAAGTTTTTAATAAAAATTGCCTCTCCACAATTAAGCTCATTCTTTCATTCACAACCGTTATTTCCATATATCTCTAAATTTATCCCCACTTTTCATTTTTACACCCAAGACATTTGATGCACTGGACGGAAAACAAGCACGAAGAACAAACACGAGTTCACCTCTAGGGCAGCTGTTTGACCACGGATGCGACTCCATAACATCAGTATGTGAACTTTCCTAATTGCGAATCTGTTATAATTGTATATTATTATTATTGTTGTTGCATAATTCATTTCTTCTTTTCTTCCTTTTTTTTTTTTCAGTCATTGTTTATTTTTATTGTTGGAAGAGTGACATGCATTCCTAAGGGACTAGTTTTTTTTTGCGTAATGCTTAATCCGGATAAAATATATATAAGAAGATAAAAATAATAAATAAAAAAAGAAACGAAAATGACAAGCACAAATATGTGTCTTATATATTAATTTTCATGTTTCATGTTTGTAGTTATTATCGGCGGTTCATCTTCAAACATTCATGTTTTCATGGATAGAGCATTATACGAAGGTTTACAACACATCCCTTGGTTCAATAGGAATCACAGAATCGCATGTTTTGGTAAAATGAAAACAAAGTAACAAAAGACTAGAAAAGAATTTTACATTTATTCTCAAGTTTTCTATACTTACACATATTTGTTTTGTTGCTAATTTTTTTTCTTTTTTTGAAGGTCATATCATTGTGTATTATTCGAGGAATAAAAGGATCGGGATTATTTGAGAAGACATCATTGAAAAATATCTTGCCAGCAAACCTTCGGTTTGGACATATAAAATAAACAAATTCACTTTTGTTTTTTACTTAAAATAAAAACCATTATATTATTCCAAATACTTTTTATATTCTCGCTTTTCATAATATTTTTCCATTCAGCACACATATGGGAAAAGCTACCCTAAACATATCATTGACGTACATTATTTTAATCCCAGTATTCTTTTTGTAAGGAAAAAAATAAAAAATGTGAAATAATAAAATGACATTATATTTTATCATCTGAAGTTATGAACTTACGTACAAATATCTGTATATATATTTACAAAAAAATTAATATCAAAGGAAGAATGTTATGCATTTGTGATAATTTGTTCGTAATTTACTAATTATGTACTTTCCTTTTTTTTCCCTCATAAGTCTTATACTTTCGATTTCAAGAAGCACATATATGGGATTGCAGACGGCAAAGAAAAAGAAGAAAGAAGCAGCAAGTAAGTTATAATCAATTAATTGCACACATATATGTTATTTTAGTAATGTTTTTATTGTGATTTTACAAATTTTACAATTTCCTACTCCCCTCCCGCCTTCCCCCAATACACACTACGCACTCACGTTCTTTTTTTTTTTCCTCAGTTCAATTGGTATTTTTCTACGTTTTTATGTTATTGCAGTACTACTTTTATCATTCAAGTAAGCTAAAATATTGGGAAAAAAAAAAAGAAAAAAATTTATCACGAAAAAGAACAAAAGTGTTAAACATATTTTTTTTACAAAATTATTACCATTTTGTGTTACAACATGTATGTACATATTATATGTACACCTTTTTTTTTTTTCTTCTTTTAGCTCTAACGAACAAAAATGAACTTATTTGCTATACAGTAATAGCACTGCATTCAGCCTTTTACACATTACACATGAATTTGTCCACCGTTCTAAAGGTAATTTTTTACTTTATTGAAAATCAATGAGTTTATATGTATATATGTGTCCATAGTACTACAAAATGTTTTTGTATTATATACTATTAAAAAAAAAAAATAGTAATAATAATTCAGATGTGTAAATGGAACAAAATATAAAAAAATTATGTTTCATAATAGCTATCTTTTACGTGCCACATGATTAACTTCTTTTTATTTTTTTTTTTTTTTCGCCTTGATATTTTTCAGACAAAAATGGATTTCTTGCCCTTACCTATAATATTTTACTATTTTTGCATTGCTTTATTATTTATTAAGCGCAGAATAAATCATCACATTTTGAAGCACGCTGTTTTTAATGAAACTTATATATTATACTACATGATGGTATTCGGCTTAATTTATTTATTTGATTATGCACACACTATAATAGGAAACATTTGCAAAGAGCTCAACATTACTTTCTTGTTTAACAAGAAGAAAAAGAAATAAAAATAAAAGATATGCACACTCTACATATATGTAATCTACGTATATATATATATGTTGTCATGTTAACTTTTTTTACCTTTGGCTTTTTTAATTTTTATCACGAATATGTATACTTGTGTATATATGCGCGCGCAATATATATATTTTTAATCCATACCATTTTAAATCTCCATTTTTTTTTTTTTTTTTTTATTTTATGTGATTTTTTTTGAAATTGGCAGAAAAGGAAATTTTTACAGTTAGCAAAATGTGTACATTTAGTATTTATAAGTGTATATGCATATGCTTGGGCATATGAGCTTTGTATCTTTATGAAATAATTGAAAAGGATTTATAACAACACTAGCTTTCATTTCTTAATTTCATACATCTCATTTGTTGTCTTGTGAATAGTTATTGGATATATATGTGCGATGTCATATCAAAATAATCTCATATGTATATGCAAAATTTTATTTCTCCTTTATTAACGTTCCCTTGAAATGGGAGGATAACGTCGTGAGTAAGTGTTTCTTATGTTTACTAAACAATATGAAATAACCTGTTGAATAATCAACAATCGATGTTATGTAATATTTTATAAAGGATTTTAAACCAAACTGAGCTTCGTGAAACGATATCAAGGTTTTAACATGTCATGCTTCTAAAAGTGACAATATGTTTTCAAATTTCTTATTTTTGCTAAGGCTACAAGTATATACCAGGTTCGCATACTTGAACGATTTCTTCTATGCGATAGAATCTGAAACATCAGAAATATGAGTTTGTGGTAATTTTCTTACTCAAAAAAAAAAAAAAAAAAATTTTATATATGAAATGTGTAATGAATATTTCAAAGTACCGCACTGCATATTCGGAAAACGAAAGTGCTGCACATTGTTGCTACTGCAAAAAGAGGTTTAGATTGTCTACGCATAAGCACACATATTCACAGTACACGTATAAATAACCACGTTGAACGAATAAACAGAGAATTTTTTAATAAACATTTTGAGTTGTGCTTCTCTTCGCACAACTGGAAAATTTTAATTAATTAGGCACATACAACATATTGCATTAGCTTGCTTTTCTTTGTTCTACTTTGCTTTCTTTTTTTTTTTTTTTTAAATATAGTCTAAATTTTTTAATGGTATAAAAAATTAATAATAATAATAACGTGCGGCATACACGTAAAATGACATTACTAGAGGTAGGGAAAAATAAAATTTCGTTACAACAATGAATAAATTACACAACGTTATGTCTTAATTGCAAGAGTGGAGAAAATTTAAATAGGAAGAAATGAAATCCAAACATATATCGACCGATCTCTCTGATAAATGGGGGAATTTTCAGGAGAGTAGTCATTCAAATAATAAAAACGAGATATTCAATATTGCATGTATAAGCACGCAATTACATGTGTATTTAGCATTATATATGTACACATATACATATATTTATAATATGTAAATCATAACAAGGCATCACAATTTAATAGTGTATGATTTAATTAAAAAGATATATGGTTGGATGTAAAAATACGGGTAAAAAGAAGAGCGGCTCAAAACAAAGGGGAAAAAATTAAATAATGTAAAATAAAATAATAAAGCAAAAAGAAATAATAAAGTAAAAAAAAATAATTAAGTAAAAAAAAATAATTAAGTAAAAAAAAATAATTAAGTAAAAAAAAATAATTAAGTAAAAAAAAATAATTAAGTAAAAAAAAATAATAAAGTAAAAAAAAAAAATAATAAAGTAAAAAAAAAGTAATAATGTGCAAAAAATAGACATAACAATTCAAAAAATTATTAAAAAAAAAAAAAAAAGGCTTGATAAAAATTTAATTATCTTATTCAAAGTTGGTTCCATTTACAAACCTTTCCTTATTATTCCCAATGGATGTGTCATTACGATTGTCCGCATTTTTATTAGAATAACACTTATCATCAAGATTACTATTAACTGCATGACCTTTATCTTTTTTTTTACTAACAATACCATTGCTATTAGTTTTAATCTCATTCAAATTGTTGTCATTATCATATCCATCAACATTGATCGGATTCGCTCTTACGACAGACGGGTAATAGTTAACATCATCATCGTTAATGTCATTAAAACTAAACGCGAAATCTGATAAATGGGGATCCAAGAGCACCTTTATTTTACTATATAGATCTGCCGCCGACGGTCTATCTGCTGGATTTGGTTTAGACATTTGTAGCATCAAAATATACCATGGATTTAAATGAATTTTAACATAATCTGGAACTGCATAATAATTCCTAAAGTCATTTAATCTTTTATATCTTTCCATTATGGTATTAAACCTAGGACACAATAGCTCTAACAATATTAATGCAGCACTGTATATGTCTGCTTTTTCATCACATAGAGCACCCCCCTCTGGAGCTGTATATCCTGGAGTTCCTATGATTTGCCCTTTTAGTGAAATTTGACTAGTTATAGTATTCTGGTTAATATCAGTGTAAATATTATCTTTAAAAGCATCTATAGTATTTAAATCCTTTTCTCTTTTTTTTTCTTCAATAAATCGCACTAATCCTAGATCTCCAATTTTTAATGTGTACGTATCTGGATCCACAAAAATATTTTCTGGTTTTAAATCTCTGTGAATAAAACACGTGGAATGAATATCCTTCAAACCTTTAATTAGCTGTTTAAATAAATCGAACTCTAATGGATGGTTCATATTTTTATCTCGATAGGTAAAATGCAAAGGCTTATCGCTTCTTGTTGATCTGTCTAACCATTTGCGAAGTGTATAACCCTTACATAACTCCATTTGAAGTAGTAACACAATGGAAAATTCGGGAGCCATATTTTTTTTCTTATAAGTTCTTATTCTGTCAACATTTTCCTTAAAACCCAATTCTTCTACATTTTTTATTTTCTCCTTATTTTTGTAATTAATTTCTTCTTTTTCTTCCCTCTTGGAATCCACTGATTGTTTTTCATCCATGCTTTGGGAACCTTCTTCCTTCCAATTTTTCATTTTCTTCTGGGATCTTTCGTCTTCTCTAATTATTTTCTTATTATCCATCAGCCCTTCGTGTTGTTTATTCGAATTCGTTATATGTGCTTTCTTTTCCCCTGCCTCAACCCCCTCAGAAACCCTTTTGATTGATGTATCATCGTTAACATTGCTACATTGTATATTGGTCTCAATATGTGAAATTGGCATCAAGTGAGATTGTTCTTTTTTTTCTTTATTTTCAGCATCGTTTCTATCTCTGCCTATATCGTCTCCATATGTGACATTTTCATTGCCTTTCCAATTCGATGTAGTATCCGTTTGGCACTTATTGGACTGTATATCATTATCATTCTTCAAGTTATTAGTGGCAGAATATGTCTCACTATTGTTATCCTGGGTTTTCTTCTTCCTATCATCATTTTCCATTCGGATCTGCTGTTCATTACATATGTTCGGCTCATCGTTGTCAGCAAAAACAATCAAGTCTCTATCTTCCTCACTTAGGTAACCACAATCAAATGGATCATATTCTTGGAAACTTGAATTAATAGAAGAAGGATTAATCTTATCATTTGGGATAAGGTAATTCTGATTTCGAGTTTTTCGATTAACATTTTGTTTTTCTTTATATATAATTTTTTTTTTCTTTTTTTTTTTCTTTATTTTATTTTTAGTATTTGCGTTAGTATAAATGTTATCAGAAAAGTTTTTGTCACTTAAAAATCTTTTTTTTTTCGTGTTATCATTTTTTCTCGAATTTAATCCATCATTATCACTATAAAATGTTAAACTGCGTTCATTTTTTTTCTTAATAACTTTTTTAAAGTTTTTTAAATCACGATTATTATTTTCCCAAGATGATAATTTTTCATAATCTATGGGGCCATCATTTTTTTTGCTTTTATTATACATTTTTTTAAAAGAATCTTTATTCTTTTTAACTAAATTTTGAATTTCCTTAGGCATCACATGCATAGGCAGGAATTGTGGTTCTTCACACCACCATGTATAATAGCGGACAACATGCTTACTGTAGATATCTCTATTTGCTGCAATTTCACGAAAATATCTTCTGGAGCTTACGTTATCTAATGAACTTACTTTTAAATAAATAAACTTAACAGCATATGTTGGAGAACCTGGCTCCAGTCTATGCGATACTTTGTATACGGAGCCAAATCCACCTTGTCCTATCAAAGAGATATTTTCAAATGTTCTCATAAATCTTCCATTTTCTAAAAAATCAGCCAATGGAGCATCATATGGAATATGAGATCTTTGAATTATAGATAAATTTCGTGCACTTGCATTCTTGTTATTAATTTTTTCATTATTATTACCATTGTTATCTAATTTGTTCTTAATTGGATTATTCTGTTTAAGTGTATTGACGACATAACCATTGTTATTTTCCACATATTTAGAATATTTGTTTTTGTTTTTTTTCTCTTCGATTATTTTATTTTCTTCATTGTGATACTTCCTCATTGCATGTTTTTTCCCTGAATCCTTCACATTTTCACCTTCGTTCTTTTCATTTTTATTTAAATTTTCTGAATGACTTAGGTAATCCTTATCACTGTTACTATTTTCTGGGTTACTATACTTACTTGTGTCTACCTCTGTTTTACTCATTTTTAGTAGGTGATCCACTAGAGAATTTTTTTTCATAAATTTTTTATTAAAGTTGGTGAGGAAATTAATAAAATCGCTTTTATCGAAATCTTTTTCAGTAATGTGTTTGTCCTTTAAATGGTTTTGTTTTTTGTCCTTTTCATTATCAGTATAATTCTTCTTGTAATACCTATTTCCTAGTTTGTAACTACTTCGAATTCGATTTTTTACAATAAAGGATTTCTTCTTAATTACATCTTGTGAAGCAGCTCTTCTTCTATACATATAAAACATATTCGTACCAATGGTATCTGCTTGGCTGGCCTCACCTGATTTTGTTCTGCTCAAGTTCGTAATGGACATGTTTGGTAAGCTATATTTTGAAGATCCATCCCAATAATTTGGGGAATTTAAATTATATTTTCCTTCGTTGATATCATAAAATTTGCTATCACTATCTGAATCTCTCGCATGTTTAGCTAAAATATCAATTAGTGTTGGCTGTTGCTTTAGTTCTTTCAATTTTTTCAATATTTCTCTTTTGATGTTCATATCTAGTTCAATTTGAGACAAATCCACATAGTCTTTTTCCACTATCAAATTCTTCAATTTTACGTGATCATCACGTAGCAGGCGATTTTTTATATTCAGAAAATCCTGATCATTTCTGTATTCATCATCATAATCTTTTAATTTTTTGTTTTTCATAATGGCCTTACTGCTGTTGTTATCATTGCTTTTTTTTTTTCTAAACATTCTATAGACAAATACAAAAGGAACAACAAATATTAGCATCATGGCATAAAAAATGTTCCAGTACCATCCTTTCTTATATTTCAATGTGGAAACTTCTTTTAGATCTTGACCTGTAGAGTAACCAAATGCTTTTTTTCTCCTTTTAATTAAAAAATTTGCATTGTCTGATAACATGTATTCTCCATCATTTAGATGATTAAAATCTCTGTTGTTAAAAGCAAATGCATTTTGTACAACTCTATACAAATTTGATAATAATAAGCAATCATCTTGACTAACATAATTATTGAATATTTTGTCCCATATATTTAGCATAGAACAATAATCAAAGCATATTTCATTTTCTTCAAAATACATATCTATGAATTTATTTATATATTCACAAATATGTATGGGACCCCCATAACCCCAGCCAGCTCCATTTTTTCCACTATAATTCCCACCATAATTACCATTATATCCACCAATGTATCTTCCCCCCCCATATATCTGTTTTCCATAAGTATCATTGTAATAGGAATAGCTTAAATGCTTCCTATTATTTACCCCTGGTAAATAAAATAAAAATTGTTCCTTTGTCTTTTGATATTTTCGTATAAGACTTTTCATTTTATAAATATAATTTATGGGTATCTTTTTATTTCTATCAAAAATAAAAATTATATTTGAGAGAAGATGTCGTATATCCTTCTCAATGGATGTTATACTTACGGATATGTTATTTATTCTGTGCAATAATTTTTTCCCATAATTTATATTTTCATCAAAATTACATGATGTTTTTTCATCGCTATGTTTCACAAATTCGCTAGATGAAAAGGGTAAAAGTAGAGCATTATCTTTCTTAAAGTTTAGGGAATTATAATTGAAACCTTGCACATTCTCATAATCTGGAAACATTTTGCTATTCTGTTTCATTATCAAGTCTAGCGTAAAAATGTTGGAAGTGTGTTTATACCTCAGGGCGAAAACAGATGATACAACTTCTGAGAAAATAAAAATTTTGGACTTTACATTTGAGCTTTCTTGATTCAATGGCTTTTTTGCACTGTTTCCCACTATTTTTCTCTTATCATTTCTCAAGTCCCTACCCAAATTGCTTCTTTCATCACTCCCCACACCCTCGTCATAATTCTTCTGCATGAAGTCTATTTCCTCTTCTGGTTCGGTATTTATGTTTTTCGTAATGTTGTACAACTTTCCCATTTTATCTATTTCAAGAGGGCGCAGAATCAATTTGTTCCCTACAAGTTCGATAAGTGAATTAATGAACGAAACATCTTGCTTGTGACTATCCGTTATAAAAATAGATCCAACATCAACCCAGGTTGTAATCCATTTTTTTTTTAATGAATTTTCATCTACAGCTTTTATAATCCATTTAATTATACTTATTTGTAATTGTTTTTTTTCTGTTCTTTTCTTCCACTTTTTTTTTTTTCTTTTTTTTTGGGGATCTATTCTCCTCATTCTTGTTATATCTAAAATGTTACTGTTCTCCGAACGTTTGTTTAGTGAATTCATTCTATTCAAACTCGTAAAGAGTTTTTTGAATAAAACATTTTTTCTTTCCCTTACGTTTTTTTGTAAAACGTTTAAATTATATTTTCTTTTTTCATTATTTGTTTTCTCATTATAATTGCTAACAAGCGTGTACTTATTTTTAGGGGTATATTTGTAATACTCATTCTGCACAAGGTAATCATTTAATACATGACCCGAATCGGCTAATGTTCTGATTTCTTCATCACTCCAAAAGGGTTTATTTCTTCTTCTCTCATGCTTAATATTAATTATACTATTATTATTCTGTTCTTTTTCAATTATTTCCTCATGTTTTATGATGTTATCTTCATGCTCACCTGGAAGACCATCGTTTTCATTTGTGCTATGTTCGTCTAATATGAATCCCCGCTTAATGGCATGGTTATTAGTACTGCTGTTGTAATGGTCTCCATTATCGTCATTATAAACATTATTGCCATTATCGCCACTGTCGACATTATCGTCATTATTATGTCCATACTTGCCACTGTTATCATCATCGCTATAAATACGTTCATCCTCATCCTGCGAGTCTTGGTCCTCATTTTCTCCCTTCTGATTGGTGGATATGTCCGCATCACTCCACTCACCTACAAATTCGTTTTCTAAGAGAAATTCATCCCTCTTTCTTGTGGAGGCATTTTTTAAAAATTTTATGTTCTTGTGGGGTATTGTTTTTTTCTCTTTTTTTAGGAGTAAGTCTTCTAGACTTTCATCATATTTTTTTATGAGATCTCCTGTGTCATAATCCAAGTTAATGATGCTTGAATGCCTGGATCCCATAAAGACAATATTTGGGAATAATGGCGATTTAAAAGGTGAATTATTAACAACATCTTTGATATTAATATTTAACGCCATGGCTTTATTGTTTTCATTAATGTAAAATAAATCCCCACTATAGCTTGCTAGCAATCTTTTCGTCCCTTTATTATTTTTTTCCAGTTTTTCATTATCATCAAGATCATTATATGCATGCTTTTTTCCCCTACCCATGGTGCAATTTTTAATCATTTTTTCATTATTATTTAATTCAACATTTTTTGAGGAATTTATTTTGTTTAGATCAAAAATATTACTTGGGTATAACTTCTTCATTGCTTTTAATTTTAATTTATCATTTTTGTTGCATTCATTTTTTGCTAAAATGTCTTTAAATGAGGGATCAAGTCTCGGTTCATTCTTAATTGATTTGTAATATTCTTTCCTTTTTTTACTCTCCCCAAAACTTACATAATCTTGTATATTATTAACAACCTTATATTTCCAATAATATGTTCCATCGGTCGAAACTTTGTATATATACCCAGATATGTCCAATACTATGAGATCGTAAATAAATATAGATTCATCATATTTGTACTGACCATGGAAATATTTATCTCTGTAATATCTCGCTAAGTTAATATCGTTCATGTTTATACTCTTATTAGGTTCATATTGGAATAGTAAATTCTTATTTCCTAAATTGTTACTATCCTGAAACATATTCCTAGGGCTGTTTAATTCTTCATCTTTTACAACAATTATATCATTTTCCGTTCGTACATTTTCTTCACTATTTATTAAATTCATTTGATTGTTCAATAGGGTATTTTCCTCATCCTTTTTGCATATAACAGAATTCTCTTTTTTTTCACTTTCAGATGAGTGCTTCATTTCAAATAAATCAAAAATTTGAAATTTACCATGGATTCCGGTACCGTGGGATAAATCTATGTTATCTTGCTTACTTATAATTATATCCTCATAAGAATCTTTCTTTTCACCATCTGAGACATTCTGTTTAAATGCATCCCTACCATTTTCTTCTTTCAGAATCCTTTTAAAAATAGTCCTATATTTAAGAGAGGTTGAATTGCCATGTATAGGGGAATATGGCAAACAATCCGTGTATTCACTTTTTATTTCTTCCCAATTTTCAATTTTATCATCCCAATGGTGAGTCTCTCTATTGGAACCTTTTAAACTTATCTGATCGTATGCACTACTAAAATAACAAAGGTTATCATCACTTCCATGTAAATTATAATTACATGAGTTACTGTTGTATGCATTGTTCTTCGGATAATACTCACTGTCACTGCTAGCTCTATAGTAATTATCTGAAGACAGTTCATATACAGATTTGAACATATCATTATTCAGTTTATTGTTGTATAGACTGATATCCATTCTGTTTGAAGATATAGGGATACATAATTTGACCTCACTACGTGAACGATTTTTTTTGCTCAAGTGAATGGTTCTACTAGATCTACTTTTCAAATTTACATGATCGAATTTTTTAGTATTATTTTTCATATTTATATAATTCCCCATATTTGTCAGTTGTTCTATGCTTGACATTTTTTCAAAGATATTTTTCAAGTTGGATAAAATCACTTCATTCATTTCATTTTTAAACGCATAGTTTTGCACATTTCTTCCTCTAAATTTGTTTCTCCTCTTTCCCTCAATTGTTAAACTTCTATTTTTTCTTATCCGCTTCGTGTTAACATCATGAAGATCATTCAGGGTATTTCTATTTCCATGTTTGCAAATCTCACAAGGATAAGCAAATTTTTTATAATTCTCACTTTGTGCCATTTCTACATTATCATATTTATCATCATTATTCAAGTCAATTTTTTTTTTTAAATAATTGTAATAACTCATTCTAATGCGTTCAATGTCATATTTCTCATTAAGTATATATATTTTTATAATACCATATATATTATCTCCGTATACCCTTTAATAAAATAATATATGATACTAAGATGAATATTCCTTAAGGCATCATTATTTTCTTACATATAAAAGTAATCATATATATTATTTTTAAAAAAAACAAAAAAATATATGCAAAAAAAAAAAAGTGGGGGAAACTTATATTTTTTAATTTATTCAAAATTCATTTAAAATATTTATATAATAAAATGAAGGGGAAAAATTCTTATGCATTCAAAACTATTTAAGTAGATCTTTCTTATTATATCTTCCTTCTTTATATGTTTTTTCTTGATTTTATAAATCTTGCGCATCCTTCATTCTAAAAAATATTTTTTTTATTTTCTCTAATATATTTAACGTGATCATTAAAAAGTAAATGTATACAATTCAATGAGACACTTACAACTTATAGTATTTGTAAATATTCCTTAATTAGTATATCTAAAAGGCATATACATTAATTACTTTTGTATTAAAAGGCTAATGTCTTTTTTGCTATATATATTTATTACACACATTCGTGTGATACTCCTTATGACGACTATGTCTGTCCAGTTATCCCTGGTAAATAGGTGTTAATATAAATTATTTGGACCCTTACACGAATACTTTATTTTTAATTTTTTAAAATAAATATCTTCAATATAAGGTTTTGATGTATTTAACAATTGTACTACACGTTTATACTATTCCCCTGAAAATGTATTCAACAAGGCGTGAAGCAATTATTTTACTTCGTTGTAATTATTATTTTTCGACAATGCAGAACTGCAAGTAATGTAAAAAGTTGAAAAACGATGACTATTACCTTTTTTAAGAACAGAAATAACGGATATATAATTATGGACAATTATATTGAACTTTATGTGTTTCACGACATATTATACATTTTGCGTATTGTGATATACATTTCATTATATTTTAACATGATTTCTTTTCCATCTTTAGGGAAATACGGTTTTCTTCCTCTCTGTCTTTTATTATTTTTCTGCGTGTACAAACCCTGAACTATTTTTTAATATAAGTAAAAACCCTTTTCTCTTCTAACTTGTAATTATTTTATTTTTCCCCCTTAAAATAATGAATTTCTTTAATATCAAAAGAAAATTTGGAATAGTAATGTTCAAAATGAATTTGTGCTGGTGAACCTCTGGCGAGGTTTTGAACATTTTTTTGTTTTTTTGTTTTTTTTTTGATTATTGATATATGATTCTTGTGTTATCTTTCTTCTACTAATACAGTAATGTAATCATCTATGCTCGCCTATGTATAATTTTTGGTAAATACAACTCTTGTTATTTTTGATTTGCCCATTATTATCACACTGATGTACTTTGCTAAAAAGGATTTTATCTTTCCATTTATTATTATATAGTTACCACCATTATGCATATTACAATTTCTTATGAAATATTCTATATATATGTTTTCTATCACAATATGTTTAAAGGTGGAAAGAAGATCAAAAAAGAAAATAATTTTTTTTTTATGTCACTTCAATTAATCGTGCTATTTAATATACCTCTAATCTACATTGGTTTTTAACGACTACCTTAATTTATATATGTAAAAACGTGAGTATTGTGCATCAAAAATATATATATGTATGTATATATATATAATATATATATGCATAAGGAGGGGGCCATATGTTCACTTATATGATGAGCAAGGGGAAAATAAAATGTGAAAAAGCTAATGTTGAGTAATTTCCTTTTGAAAAACGTCAATGTGTTTTTTTGCACGTAATACATACTTCCAAAATATGCAAAAAATAATAAAAAATAATACTTAATCTGCAAAATGTAAATGACCCAATTTTGTTACATGTTAACAAAAAAAGCTTAATGCCCTCTTTAAGGCCTTTCCTTTATGTTATATATTCAAACTTCTTTCATTGTTTATCTTTTCAATTTTTTTTTTTTTTTTTTTTATTTCGTACAAGAGTAGCCTATTCCTCTTACTTTCAATAATTTGCTTAATCTTAAGCACAAATTTTAAGAAAAAATAATATTTATCACTAAATTCTCTCTGTGCGTTAAATATAACAATACTGAGACAAAAAGGTAGCTGCACGTAAAGAAAAAAAAAAAAAAAAAAATAGCGATTCCATGTGAGCATGAACGGCACATACTTGTTATACAAAAACAATGGGGGTATATACATTTTCGCACATTTCTATTAAACAACATAAACACAAAAAGAAAAAAGTTTAACTACAATAAACACAAGGTAAAAATAAAAGTAGAGCAAGAAAATAATAATAATATATACGAAAATATTATGAAAAAGTGAAATAACGTGTAGTAAAAATAAAGAAAAAAAAGTAACACATGCCCATATTTAATCCATGCCAGAACATGCCATTTTAAAGAAACCATTACAATTATTACAAATATATGTATGCTCTTATGACACATATATAACATTTACATACTGCAACTGCTATGCATAGTGTATGATACATAAAATAAAAAAGTTTACCATAGGGACAAATGAAAACAACGATAAAGATAAAATAAACAAAAGATGTTACATGTGTATTATTTAAGGTGATTTGGAAATTTTTTTAATTTTTAATTACAAATGTCATGCTAATAAAGGTATATGTACATTCACATAGCATTATTAAAAATCCTAGCAAAGGCTATTTATGTGTATATTTTTTTTTCTTGTAATATTTGTGATCTTTTTTTAAAATATATTTTCAACGCCATATATCTACAACTTTTTTTTTATGGTGAATATAATTGTTCACCGATGAACTTTACACTTTCATGTAATGTGTGTGTTACATGTAGCATTTAAGTTTGCTATAAAATTGCAGAACATAAGAATAAACACCAAATCTTTGAATGCTTCAAATGAGTATTTTTTTCGTTGTGTCTAATAATGCTTAATACCATATAAAAAGCATATAAAATCCTTTAAGGGTATATTTTTTATAAGGTCTCTATGAGCTAAATAAAGAATGAAATTGTTGCGACAGAATTCGCATATATTGAATACCTTTTTTAAAAAATTACGTATAAATTTTATTTCTTCTTATTACACTTTGAAGAAATAATTATTCACTGCATATTTTTTATATTTGGATTATCGGAAATTTTCATTTCAAAGAATTTTTATTTTCAATTTTTTATAAAAAACTATATATATTACGTTTTTCGAACATACTTTAATCTCTAACATAATCATCTTAGTGGAGTATTTTTATATTCATAAGACACTATCTGTTCATTGTTTAGTGCCCAAGATAAAATGCGCTTTTTAAAAGTCTTATGCTATAATTAAGCAGAATATAATACATAATGTTCTAATTTTGTTCAGAATAAGAATGTACAGGCATTGCATATAAAAAAAATTAACACAAAAGCATGTTTTCACAACATATCATTCTGTAATATAATACCCCACCGTTTTATCAGATTTATGTTTCCTTTGTATTAGCTATAGTATTAATAATTTTACTTTCACCTTCTTAAAAACCAAAAAAATTTTGTTACACCAAGAAATAGATTTGAATGAACTAGGATTGTATAATTTACGTTGTTGTACAAGTGCAATCATATATTCATACGCATATGTTTCTCCACCTATTGTTTACGTTTAAATAGGAAAAGGTTGTGTCTAACTATCTCAGAGGTATAAAACTGTATACACGAAACTTTAAAATATGGGAAGTAATTATTAATTAACGCTTCATGTGACATTTCTATTCCTTTTTTAAATTGATAAAATCGACTCCTTTTTACAGTAAAGTCATTATCATTTATAGTTTTGCTTTTATGAAGAACAATGTGATCATAAATAATAATTGTTCCACTACTAAATTTTGTGTAACGTTAGAATATAACATATTATCTGTTAGCATTTTTAGTTTTGGAATATATCTCATGCGTCAATTATTTTTTGCAGAAGTTGCACCTTCTGCTAGTATCACAATCTATTTATATTTTTTTTTTTTTTTAGTTTATTTTAAACAGTATTATTTTTTCATATTGATGTAAATAAATAAACAAAATATTAACTTTATTCGGACCACTTTTTTTTTTTTTTTTTTTTTAGGACAGAAATGTTAATGGAGTGTCATAGTTAAATAAAAGAAATGAAATATAAGCAACATAATTGTAAATATTTAGAGATTTCTGTGATATATGATGAACTAAATTAATGATCAGTGTTAGATAATTTCAAAAAATTATTTGATGTTGTAATGTCATTATATTTTACTTGTGCTTTCCTTGATAATATCAGAAAGGTGTTTTTTTCCTAAGACGTGTGTACAGAATAATTCACCAAGTAACTTACCACTATTTTTAATATTACTGCGACAATAATAACGAAAATGCATGATTTATAATTTTTTGATATGTCATAATTTTTTAGACTTTTTTATACATACAAAACGCACATACATTAAAGACTCTATTTTAAAAATAATTTTTTTAATGTAAAATACATTTTTGAGGTGTGTCCCTTAAATCACTGCTTCTCCGTATAAGATGGTGTATAATAATTAAGTAAATTATTTAATGTAGGGCTTAAAAAACATATTGTTCTTGGAAAAGAACATCAGTATGTTTTAAAAAATTAAAGGAGCATTGTCGTCCTCCGGGGAAAGCGTTAGGATTGGTATTAACCTTTTTTTTTTCTTTTTCTTTTTTTTTGATCAGTGGAAGTCTATATTTTTTTATACAATAAGTGTTTACAGAAAATAGCTCGATTTGGTTTTTATTAGTAATTAGAAATTTCTGTAAAAACATTCATGCAAAAATATATAAGCAATTTTAAGAAATAAAATAAATGTTGAAAAAAAAAAAATTATCATCAAATTAAGTAGATATTCAAATTGTGCTTAAAACTTTAAAATAGTTATAAACTTGTGGTTATTTCTGAAAACAAGTAATTTTAAATGGCTTACAAACAAGGTGTATTTGCATGTATTAAAACAGAAAATATTAGAACCCTGTGTTGCTTTTTTTTTTTTTTTTTTTCCAATTTGTACATTTTGCTGATTTTTTTAGTCTTTTTCATTCTTTTTTTTTTTTTTTTTTTTTTTTTCCCTATTACTTTTTGGATTTTTGCATCAAGTAATAGTTTTTATTTTTTTACAAAAAAAAAAAAAAAAAAAAAAAAATCAGCATATTCTTGCTGTTCATATTTTATCTCTCGTGTTAAGCGTAAGCCATTTCCCAATACTTAAAGATTTGTGAAACAAAAAGAAATTAACATTTAATTGTTCTACATGTATAGAATTTCAAACTATGCAATATTCATTGAGGTAACATATCATCAATAGCAAATTACATAACTTGTACAATTTTTTAAAAGCTAGACACGCATATCCCTCAGCTTTTTTTTTCTGTTACATATGTTTTAAATCACACACATATATAATATGCACATGTCTGTTCCTTTTTTCCAAGAGGTTGCATGAATTAAATGCACAGCTTAAAAATAATTTCCATTGGGAAGAAAAAAAAAAAAGTGTAATTAAGTGCAATATTATTAATGGATGATAAAAAAAAAAAAAATATATATTTTAACCCACACTTCATAAATAATACAAAAAAAGTATTTATTGATAAAAACCTCATAGCGTTTCTACAAATTTTAGCATATAAATGAACGTATTTGTGTTACATAAATTATATACACTTGTGTATATATTTTTTTTTTTTTTGTCGTTTTTTGTTTTTACATGATTTTTGTTTTTACATGATTTTTGTTTTTACGTCATTTTTGTTTTTACGTCATTTTTGTTTTTACGTCATTTTTGTTTTTACGTCATTTTTGATTTTACGTCATTTTTGTTTTTACGTTATTTTTGTTTTTCTTCCATTTAAGTATTAAAAATTTGCGCTTGTGGCGAAATTGAAATTCATAAATTTTATGAACAGCAAATGATGAGAAAGTATTTTGACCACATTTTTTGAAGTGAAAAAAAAAAAAAAAAAAAAAAAAAAAAAACAGCAGTTCAATTCTATTTTTTTTTTTTTTTTTTTTTTTTTTTTTCCTTTTTTTTTTTTTTTTTTTTTTTTTTAATTTTTTTTTTTTTTTTTTTTTTTTTTTTTTTTTTTTTTCTTTTTTTTTTTTTTTTTTTTTTTTTTTTGTTTTTACATGATTTTTGTTTTTACGTCATTTTTGTTTTTACGTCATTTTTGTTTTTACGTCATTTTTGTTTTTACGTCATTTTTGATTTTACGTCATTTTTGTTTTTACGTTATTTTTGTTTTTCTTCCATTTAAGTATTAAAAATTTGCGCTTGTGGCGAAATTGAAATTCATAAATTTTATGAACAGCAAATGATGAGAAAGTATTTTGACCACATTTTTTGAAGTGAAAAAAAAAAAAAAAAAAAAAAAAAAAAAACAGCAGTTCAATTCTATTTTTTTTTTTTTTTTTTTTTGTTGTTCCCCCGCATTTTGCTGAGCATAAAATGTCTAAAAGATATCTTCATTATTTTTGACAACTGCATTTTATAGGACATAATTACTCACTTTAATTCTGATTTGTGATTTTTAAATAATTTTCTTTTTATTTTTCCTAATTTTTACTTTACATTTTTTTTTTTTTTTGTTAAAAATTAGATGAAAAAAGTATGTGTATGTTAGAATAATAAATATACATTGTTCCTATGGTGCACTGAATTAACAGGTTGCACACTTGTTTGTACACACACATAATATTAAAGATGAACACATAAAATTAATATTTTTAATAAATCAACAATAAGTAACTATTTCTTTAATATTCATAACATATTTCTCAAAAATTGAACGCAAAGAACGTCGTGCAACATTCATGATGAAAATTATATGCAATGATATTGTTTTCTGTTGCACAATTTTGTCATTAAAGTATGTGTATATTTTATACGTCTACATATGTTTACACGTATACACATATATGCGTAATATGCATCTCGCCGATATAAAAGCCTTTTGCATTGAGAAATATATGTGCATACTTATATGAATATATTTTACGCTCTTTTCATGTGTTGCACACTAAAAACTAGAAAAACAAAAGAAATTGTAAATATATTTTCCCTATGATTTAAGAACGAATTATTATGTAAATTTTGGTTATTTTTTGTGATTTTTTGTTTGTGTTGTTTGTTTTTTCATAGATAGTTGTGTATTATATTTAATATTTCTCTTTATATATACATACATTTATGTTTGTTGCGTATATATATTCATCATGTAAATGTACTTATATGTCTGTATATTCATTATATATATGTACGCATATGCATTTATGTATATATATGACACAATTATAATACTATATCCCCTGTTTTTTTGTTTTTTATGATTTTTAATACATTTTTAATTTCTTATTTTTAAACATTTCAAATGTTTAAGCGAAAATGCATGTTCCTGTTAAAGCAAATTAAAGGAGTACAATAATTTGTAACAATATTACTTAGTAGATTTATCCTTTAATATAATGTTAATTTTAACATATTATTAAAACAGTTTGTAACTCTATGATGATATGCTATGCTCATTTTTATAAATTTTACTATCAATATTTTTATTTTATTTTATTTTTTTTTTAGTATTTTTATCCAAACCTCCGTGTCTTCTTTTTTTCTTTCCTTTCATTAGTTTGTCAATATATGTTTACCGTAAATTTATTTGTCTAACTTACTAAGAAGTAAAAATGAATGAATTATATACCCTGTACGAAGATATTGGGGAAAACGATCAAGTTTTAATTTCGGGAAAATTAAGAAATATACTTGATCACTTTCAAAACAAAAATAAATATTATGTCTCCGAGTTTGTTGTTGTAAGTAGAACAAGGTTTTTTAAATCTATTAGCAACTATGGGGAATTCTTGTTGTTGCAATCATCTTCCAGAGTAATAAACAATTATGAACATATTTTACGACTTTTACATAAAGCGAAAGTGTATTTAGAACTTGCCAGATGCTTAAAATTTAGTGGATGTAATATAAATAAAAACAAAAAATGCGAAGAGGATATTTTAAAATATATTAATTATTTAGAATCTAAGAAAAAGAAACATTATTACCATATTTATGGAACGCTAATAAAATTTATTATTACATCTCTTAAAAAAAGTGATAGTTCTGTAGAAAATAAATCAGACATTGTTGAATTGGAAAAACATGTTAATTTGGATATTTCTGAAAAAAATAGTAGTAAAAACGATGATCAAGCTCATGATTTTACCATAAAGGAAGCACATAAATTGAAAGATAATGAGGATTCATGGGATAAAAATTATATTGATGAAAAAAGTATCATTGAGCCCTTTGATGAGCTGGAAGAATATGGAGATTATCTGTACAATGTGTTGAATCAAATGGATAGCATATCATGGGAAGGTAAAAAATATGAAGAATATCTAAAAATGATTAGTTTAAATGATTCAATCATTAATTATGAAAACGAAAAAGCAAAAAATTCAGAAAAATCTAGTTTCACGAACATTCCAAAGGCCACAAACAATATTATTTTGTTACCAAAATATTTAGAAAATGTAAGAAATTCTATATATAATCATCAGAATAAATCAACAATGGAAGTGAAATCTATGATTGAGCATGCAATGAGTGATCATATGAAAGCTCCCTTGTTTAAAACGGGAAAAATAATGAGCGAAATGCTCCCCTCTCCAGATTATGAAAAGTATTGGTCCATTACAAAATCTTTTTTTTCAAGTAAATTGGATGATACTTCCATACTGCAAGACATGGTATTCAAAATTTTTAACTTAAATAAAAATCAATCAAGTGCTAATGCATCTCCGTCAAATATATATAGTGTTAACTATAATGATATTTTTAAAATTATATTAAAAGGAATATATCCAATTAAAAATGAAAATGAGGAAATATATATATTTCTGAGACAGATATTGAATAAGACAAAAAAAAAATTTTCCCACATGTTCAATAAAGAATTAGCAGATGCACAATTCAATCCAAATGATAAGTTGAATTATACTTTCCTTCCATTGCACATGTACAATAATTCTAGTGACATCTGTAGAGAAATATTAAAATATGCCATTTGTAATAAGGACTTAGTACTTACACTTAAAATAGTCGACACCATCTTATCAATAGCAATATACGAGAACTCTTTAAAAGATTTGGTTCATTTCTTAAACACATTGGCAGAGTATATAATTATACCCTACTTAAGATGGGAAATAAGATCATGTTGCAAAAAGGTTTGTGATGATAGAGATATTATCAGTTGCAACAAATCTGAGGACAAAAATGATTATAACGAATTAAATGTTGAAAATAGTAACAATGAATTTTGTACAAATTACATAAATTTTAACAAATTAATGTGCAAAATTCCTTTGCATGAATATGAATCATTGAAACTTTTAGAATTATTTTCATTTCAATATCCTATGTTTTTAAAAATAAATAATAATCCCCAAAGGTGCCTAAAGGATATCCCGAAACCTTGTGAATATTCAAGTAACATGTTACCTACATATGGATCATACATATTTCAAATGGTCGTTTCTTTTGAAATTGATAATTCCATAAAGGTATTAGATGAACTTGGATCAAAATGTAAAATAATGTTTCAGCTAGTGGAAGACGACGAAAATGAAGAAAACAATACAAATGATATTTCAGATGAAAATATAAGCAAAAATAAGGAATTCAACTTTTTAGAAATTAATTTTCAACATAATCATATGTTCACGAAATTGATTAAGGGTTCTGTTTCAGAATCTTTCATGAAGGTAAAGGATGTTACTGAAAGAGAAACAAATGATAAATCAACTAAGATATCTAATGTAGACAATAGCGAACTTAACACAAATCAGCATAATTCTACGATCAGCAGCGAAATCATGAATCATGAAAAAATTAAGAACAAGGAGAAAAATGCGAATAAACTTATAAATGTTTATGATATAACAAACATGAACACAATTGTATTTGATGTATTGATTGATCAAGGATGCTACATGAATGATGGTAATACTCATGATTTTCAAAATGATCATGGTAAAATAATCATCTATTCAAATGGAAGACATCTATTATCCACTAGTATAAAAAAAAATTCTGCGCTGGACAATATCACATTATTAAATAATAACATAAAACTGAAAGTATACACATCGCGTACATGTATTTTTGAATTCCCAAAAGAGTGCTCCTGGTCATCGGCATTTGTCGACGAATTAGTAAATAGAAAATTAATTCCAGATATAAATAGAAATTTTCTCCTCAGAAATCCACTTAATATAATTGAACTTTATAACAAGATATCAATTGCGTTAAATCGCTATATGTACCGTTTTTGTGATTGGATTGATGACGATTATAAGAAAATAATTGAAAAGGAAACATCATATACATTGTATAACAGCATAGATATTTATACTTTTGAATCGTTGATTAAATATATAGAAAATAATAATAAAATTTTGAAAAAATTGTCTACTCTAACCAAAAGGTGCATAACTGGAAAAACACTTAGTCCGATTGATGACAAGAATAGAAAAGAGATTTATGTGGAACATAATGTAAATCAATCTAATAATTGTGTCACAAAATATCAAGAATATATTTACGAATGGAACATGATATCGGATTCTCAAATATGTACATTAAGCATTTTAAAACTATATTTAAAGGAAAACATGGACATACAAAATAGTAGAATAGAAAATAATGAAAATTTCTATTCCTTATCTGAAAGATTGATAATATCATTTTTGAAAATAATTAAACTAAAGACTCCGTTTATAAGAATGGACGGTTATTACGTAAGCAAGAATCACCAAATGGAAGAACTAGACCTGAATGGAAGTTTATGGTTACTAAGGAGAAATGTGTTTCAAACACTTCTAGAGGCCGATAAAATTATTATAAGCAATATTTTCATGAGAATTCACATCGATACCATTTTAAATTTACTTAAAATTTTTTCGGATAATAATACACTTGATTCGCAAATGATATTGAAATTATTAAAATCTCTGGAACATAAAGGAATTTTAGAAATAATGATGAAACGCATGTTATGTTCACCATATCAAAGTTGCTCTGAAGGTTTTTATAAAAAGGCTGACCTACACTCAACTGGCAACGATGTAAATTCACAGAGTATGAATACATATACATTTTCCTCAGCGTCCTCGAATTCTACTATTTATAACATAAGCGTCGACAATTTAAATGAGATTAGTACAAACAATAATAGAGAAGAAAGAAGAAAGAAACGAAAATATTATGAAGAAAATAAACATGAAATAGAAAGATATGAAAAAAGAAAAAAAAATATAAAGTCTAGAATAATAGATACTACACATTTTGGTATTTTTGTGGAAGAATTAATTTCCCTCATAAATCATCAAACAAATAATGCAATTAGCATGCCTTCTGTTCAACACAATGAGGAAAATGATTTTTTAATGGAAAATAAATCATGCGATATTATTCATAAATTATGCACCTTTTATGAAGATGAATGGAGAAATGAGGATTGCATAAATTATAATTACCTAGACTTTTGTATAAAAGCACTTAATCAAATGAAACATAAAAATAATCAAGTAAGCAGTGCGGGTGAGGTGGCATCTATTTTTTTGAGAGGTATTGTATTGATGCTTACAACCTATATATTAACTATAGCAACGGAATATGAAACTACAAAATCGTTTTTATATCAACCCGTTATTCCGTTTTACAACACATATGATGAAATGTCCAGAAGAAGATCTGATGATAAAAAACAGAGTATTATTAAACAGTTAAAAAATGCAAATTCTTTAAAATCAGAAGTAGAACAAGTGGAAGACTATGGGGATAATGAAAAATCTAGCCATCAGGACTCCCGGCCAAACGGTTCCAGCATATCGCCCACCTTAAAAAATGATTTCTTTGATAACTTCAGTAATGATATGGAGGATATAAGCAGCTGTAACAGTAAGCGCTCCAGTTATTATTTCCACAATTCTTCATTAGACACAGAAAATAAACTTTTTCTAATGTATGAAAAGTATGGAAAAAAAAAAAAGTCATGGATACCCCTAGTTACTAGTAAAAACCAAGGTTTTATTGATGATTCAGTATCCCATTCTGATGATTCTGGTTCATACATATATATGAATAAAAACGAATTGTCAGATTTCATTCAAACTAGTTTAGAAAGTATAAATGATGAAAACACGGAAGCAACTATAAACCAGAAAAAACTTATCGAATCACAAAATAGCAAGACTATGTATACCCATTTGCATGAATATTATTACAATTCGGATGAATCTGAAGAGTTTTACATTAGAAAGAATTTAGAGGATTTTTATGAAAAAAATAAAGTTTCAAGCAATTTTAAAACGCATTTGAATGGCATAATGTATAAATTTTCCAAAAAAAAAAAATACATTAAAAATGGAAAGAAACTTAAAAATTTAAAAAAAAGGATAATGAAATATAAAAATGATTCGAAAAAATTGAATTTTATTTTTTTATTTTTGGAAGAAATATTAAAAATAATGTTAGGTGTAGGTCTCCGTGTTTTATCCAGTATTTCCTATCATTATCTGTATGAAAAAAATGGCATATATAAATTTATTTACATATTTGGATCGAATGTTGCGGGAAATGACGTCAATGAAGAAACATCATTTCTTGAATTATGTGAAAATATGATAAAACCGAAAAGTTTAACATTGTTGCAAGCATGTAATTTTATCATAAGTGGAATAATACCGTGTTTAGGATATGTTACCAATCTTTTTGTTGATAAGAAGAGCAATCGATATTCCTACATAAAAGAGTTGAAAAATTATTTATCGTTAAAAATGGCTTTAAACATATGGCCTATGTTTCTAAAAATAACTTTACAAGGGTTATTGACATCTAGACACTTGTCTTTCGAAATGTCAGTTCACAAGGATACTTTGTATCCTATCTCCGAGTGCTGTCTAAGTATTACGAGTTTAGCAACACACTTTTTAACATTCTTTACCATCATGTCAGATAATTTGAGCAAATATGAAATATATGTAAATATGAGAAAAAGCCTTAAAAACTCGAACCCTTATCCTATACCGTTGATTTTAATTAATGCTGCAAAATATATCCGTATTTCATCAAAGAGGAATAAATATTATGACTTTGAAAGGGCCATAAGAACTATTTTATTACAGCTTACAGATTGTTCCATTTGTGATTATGAAAATTACCTTTTCAATCACTACATAATTCCGCAGAGCATTTCTAGCTTTTTATCTGCAACGAAATCTATAAAAGAAGAAGAAGAAATAATTAATGAAGGATCACACAATAGTATATTCATAAATAATTGTAACAATGAAATGAATACAAGTGAAATTCAATCATTGGAAAAATCAGATGATAAAACATATAAATTCTTTCATGAATCGAAGGAGGGTATTTGTCCAAATAACTTTCAAAAGGAAACGCTAAAATACAGAAAAAAATCAATGAGAGAATCAACAGCAAGTAAAAATATTAACATGTTTAGGAAAACAAATATTGAATTTTTAAAGAAGCTAATGAATAATGACGTAGAAGCTGTTAAAGATTTAGGATCGTTTTATAAAGTGTTTCACAAGAATTTTGAAAGAGTTCAAATAGGACTTGTCGCTGTATTTTTGCACCTGATTGGATATAATCATAACATAAAAAGAAATATTGAATATGATTCTCAGAATATGTGTAGTAATGAAAAAAAGGGATGTTCAAATATTAATGAAGCCTTAGAAATTAAGAAAATATCAATAGCATGTAATTTATCTAGGCAAGGTGTAATTGATCTAATCTCGAAAAGTCAAATAGAGCATCAAAAAAAAAGTATGGATTGTGAATTTTCATCAAAATCGAAAAATAGTGATGATAAAAAGAATGATAAAAGTATGGAGTTCCTAGAATCATACAACAGAGCAGCTGATGAGGTGGATACAAAATATGATCTAAATAATCATTCGAAATATATTCAATATGGAAAACAAGGGAGTATTAATTCTACATGTAGTGAGGCGCAAAATGATTTCCCAGTTGGTGTGGATATAAAAGAAAATGGACAACAACAATTGTCTGAAGCTGATCAAGAAGGTTTTATTTCTGGCAATCTAAGCAATGAGGAATTAAATTATCTAAACGATGTTTTCCCTAATGCGGAAAAGTGTAGTAATATAAGTAGTGAATTAACCACATTGGATTTAATAAAAAAAAAAAGAGAAAAACAAATTGATAAAATATTAAAAAAATGTGAATGGATTATGAATACATATCCACATGGTTTATGTCCGATAGTTATAAAAGATAATTTTTCTCAAGAATGGGATGAACATTTTGTGTTTATGAGAAGAAATTCGTATGATATACCTATTACAGCTAGGAAAATATATGCAGATCGCAGTGACTGCTACTTAGTACAAGAAGCTGCTACAATGCCAACATTTTCAATCTCGTTAAAAACGAATGTTTCTTCCTTAAGTTATTTTGACCATGTACTTAGACACCCAAATAAAACAGATGAAAAACTGGAATGCATGCAATTTAGCACAGAAAACATTTTTGGTAAAGGGAGTACGAAGAATTTGTGCCTTTTAAAAAGGTTATTAAAAACATATAAAAAAAGAATTATTTTGAAGGAGACAAATAATGGAGAAAATGAAAAAGAACAAAATAAATACATATGTAATAGGAGAACGAGGAATTTTTCTAACAGTTGCCTAAGTTGTGATAGTGGAAATCTTCTCAATGATGAATCGAATTTTTACATGAATTATAACTTTCCTGAGAAAAATACTGGTAACTCGAATAATACAGGTATAATAAAATACAATAGTAATAATAAGAATAATATAAATTATTCACGACGTGGATTATGGTTAAATGGTCTCTTAACTAAAAATAACAGTTTTCAAAATGGATATGACCTTGTTGCACCATCAGAAGAATTGAACTCTAGCATTGTAAATTCTAAATCAGATTTCAATTTTTTTTCTCCAAAATCTTTTGATGAAAATGATTTTATAAATAAAAGTATTAACAACATCAGCAAATATGATAACAGTATTAGTTACATTACAAAATACACCAACTCTATGTTGGATTATGATGAAAATATATCCGATTATAATTTGTCCGAAATGAATAATAAATTTCGTGGGATTATAAAATCGCAAAATACATGTTCTGTAAATAAGTATGGCTTTATATGTGCATATGATGAAATGAAGAACGAAGAAGAACCACACACAAAAAAAGGTTTTCCATCGTTTGACTATTTTAAAAATCATATTTCATCAGTTCATGCTAATGATACAGACACAGGCATAAATGTAAGCATACTGGAACAGAGTGTTGAATCTAAGGATTTATTACAGTTAAAAGAAATACTAAATTTTTTAATTAACGACACGGAATTAGAAACTGTTTTAAATCTCATAAGAATAGAACAACTAACTACCCTATGTAGATATTTAATTAGTAGGAGCTTAAAATCAATGCTTTGTGCAGGAATCTTAGGGGGAATTAAAAATCCAATAATAAATGTAAGCAACAATAATAATGTTTGCCCAAATAAGAGATCAAAGAAGGGATATAACTCCAATTCGGATGATATTAAAAAAAAGAAAAAGAGTAACTGTAATGACAAAGTAATGGATAGAAACCATCTCTCTAACAGTGCAAATTATAATAAGATGGATAATAGTAACATTGGAAAAGACAATGTAATTGGTAATGATAGAAATAGCCAAGTCATGTCAGACGGAAAGCATCGTTATACAGAATCACATATACAAAACGGAAATGGAAAAGATAAAGGGATTTCGTTTTATAAAAAAAACAGATATATCGCTCTATGTTATAATAACAAATCAAACCTTTCCGTTGATCAAGGGATATATAAAAAATTTGAATTAAACAAAAAGTATAGTAAAGATGATATAAGAAAAAAAGGTATATTTGAGCAATGGAGACAAAAATCTTCCAAAGGTATGCAGTGGCCTGCTATATTAGATTTGCTTGTTCCATCTACTAGTAGAGTTATATATAATGAAGAAAATAAAATAATTTCCGATGTTGAAGCATCTTTATTTTCTGTGCAGAATCATGGATGGATGCTTTTGAAATTATTGCATATTATAACTATAAAATTTCGGAATATTTCTCCTTTGAAAAATATTATTACCCAGATGAATGAAAATAGTAAGAATAGCAATTTCCAAGGCAACAGAAAGAACGATAATTTGAAAAATCAGTTTTCATATCATTATTGGTTTACACAACCGATGGATCATGCTATTTCATTTACCCTAACCGATATTACCAAAAGTATATGCACATGGTATTTGAGATACAATCGTAAAATATTAATGAATTCATCTAGTTTTTCACAAATTATAAAAAATTCAATGAACACACTATGGATTGAAAGTGTGTTACGATTAATAGCTTTACAAATATGTTTAAGAGTAAAACCTTTGGATGATAGTAGATATGTAGTCCCTTTCTTGTATCATATGCTAACAATTTGCCAACCATTACTTCGAGAAGTTCATATAAATAGTGACAATTTGAAGAAAAAACATTTAGTAGGAAACAAAAGGTCAATTTCTATGGACCCAAATAATTCTCATTTCGATGTCATTTGTTCTCATTGTCACAAATCCATAATAGCATCTTCTAAAAATGTAAATCCCAAAATATTTTCTATTGGAAGAAATATAAAAAATATTAGAAAAGTCAATTCCAGTGAAATAACCTACAGCAAGAGAGCTTGCAATACTAGTGAAGAAACTCAAAACCTTTTTGGTGTAAAGGGATATATACATTCTGAACACATACAAGAAAAAAATAAAAGAATAAAACAAAGGATATTACTAGTGGAAAATTATAATTCTTCAGAACATGAAGTAATGCTTGACAATGTAATTACAGGTATCGTTATTTATCACGAAGCTGTTAAAGACAATACATCAATAAATAAAAAAATGCTTTTACAAAATTTAAAAGGTTTTAAAAAAAAAAAAGAGTATACACATGAAAATAAATATTGGGCATTATGCACACAGGAGTACAACGACGCACCCAAATATAGTCTACCTTTAAGGAATTTGAATAAATCTGTAAAACATACGAACGTAAATATTTTCCAAAATACGCATAAATCTATGGAATCGTGTTATTGGTTTATTAGTGGCGATCCTGTTTATAATATATACGGAAATGCTAAAGGTGTATCAGATGTACAGTTAGAAATATGCGTGAATAAAAATTATGATACATCTGTGAGGTCGTTCCTTAAAAAGAACAATTTTGAATTGGAGCTTTCTTTTAACACAGATGTGAATGATGTGGCAAATATATGGGTTAAAAGGAAATCAATCATTATAAATAAGGAGTTAATTGAGTACTCTGACCCATTTACAACTAGTTCCATAGCCAATTCATCAAGAAAGGAAATGTTATCTGAAAAAAAAAATGATGTAAAAAAAGATAAAAATAGCAAAAAAGAGAATCATGATATTGAATTGAATAACGCAATGGGTGAAATTCGATTTCAGAATTACCAAAACCAACAGTACACTTCAGAAAACAATTCCCAGTGCAAAAAGATTTTCTCTGATTACGACACTTCAAATGACAAAAATGAGTGCTCGCAGAGAGGTGTACACTCTGATAACTGTAGAGCCATTAACAACATAAATTCTGATAATAATGATAATTTGAATTATAAAAAACTGAAATTAATAAGCTGGAATTTGATAACAACGATTTTATGGGGAATATTAGTATCCGGTGAAAATGCTGAAAGTGAGAGCTCGGATCAAGTCGTTACTGAAAGTAGCACCAAATATATTAGGAATAATGTGAGTAATAACATACAGGAATATATAAATGATGAATACAATTACAAACACAATTACAATGATTATAAGTCTCAATTTCATTCACTTCAAAGAAAGAATCTCATAGAATCCGTGTTAAAAATGATTATGTCTGCTTTGATAAAACTATGCAACATTGTGAAATTATACAATTACTTGACCAAAAATCAAACAGGTTCTCTTTATATTACTATTAATAATACGAAAATAACTAAAAAACATGTGAAAGATTGTGAAAAAATGATTATCGATTTTATGCATGCATTGATAAAGTGTGTTCAGAATTCTCCAACAGGGGCGGTGATACTTCTTAAGTGCTTCTTATTCGGTCAGGATAATCCCACATATCGCTTTAAAAAATTATGTAAGCTTAATATAAATGGCAATTTTTATAGATTAATAACGGAATGTATTAAAAAAGCCCCAAATAACGCGGATGACATCACCTGTTTTTTCCATAATTATTTTGCTAAAACAATTATAAATAGTAATAGCATGGATCAAGAGAATTATACAAAAAATTATGCTAGAAAGATTAAAAATGATACGGTTGTTTCACGAATAGATAAAATGGACAACGCAACCGATAATAATGCAGCTCCATATTCTAAGGGAAATGTTAATAATGGTGGCTATAGAAGACCTGAAGAAACCAATATGAAGATATCTAATTTTTTCTTTAAAAATTATGATACCAATGTTAAGAAAAATTACAAACAGAGCAAAATACATGGATATTTTCTTCTAAGATGCTTACCACCAATAAAGATGTTTCCAAATCAGTTAATTATACAAGAAATTAATAAGTTTTTTGATAATGAAATTAGCTTTAAAAGTGAAAATAATGATTCTAAATCTAAAAAATGTGAAGATAAAAAAGGACCAAGTAGTATTAACGAAACGTGTCAAAATGATGAATTGTCAATAAGTTCAAGCTCGAAGGAGCATATTTCTTCTAATTACCAAATGGACATAAATACAGGAAATAATGAAGGAAATTCTCAATGTAATAGCATTAATGATATATTGGGATTATTACCAAGGATATCATATGGGAATCATCCTTTTGACGAATTACCACAATCTGAATTTTTCATGTCAAGTAGACCCTCAGAAGATTTTGAAGCGAATATGGAAAACAGAACATTGAGAGTATTACGTGGTTTAAACTTAGGCGGCGTTGTTTTATGCCTAGCTCCACTCACATTCCCGGCTTTAAATATTGGACCAAATGAAGTACATGATATAATTAATTTTCGAATTCAAACAAGAGGGCGTTTTGGAGTGACAGTTGCACCAGCAGAATGTGTTTTATCCAATGTATCTGAAGTATTTGATAGAAATGATGTTGTTGGATTTCGAACAAGTATGTGTCCTCCATTTAGACATGATGTATTTGCAGCGAATGTACAATACGAGTTAGGAGATTTATTAAGTGTAAAATTTAATGTAGAGGATCAGCAGAATCAAAAATGCTTGAGAACAGAACTAATGGTTTCAGGTGTTAGCATTGGATCCGTTCTTGAAGTTTTATTTGAAGCGGATTCACAAGTAGAATTTGAAAGGAGAATGAATTTAATATTTATTTTTCAAGATCCTATGACAATTGTATATGAGGGTCCATCTTTTACTATGGAATATGTAGACCCAAGCACCAAAAAATCTAGAAACATTGGAAACAATATAGAGAACTCGGATGAAGAATATTTAAATGAATTCTATGCAATTGATGGATGTAACAAGAAAAATATAAAAAAACAACTAAAAAAAATAAAACTAAAAAAAAAAGAGTTCTATGAATCAGTAAAGTTATATCAGGCCATTCTCGATTCGGACAATGAGATATTAAAAGATTTAAAACACGAAGTTATAATAAGAATGAATACAACATTGACTAATATAGCATCAAATTTGAGAATGTATTCAACAAATTATTCGGATCTAGAAATGGAAATGGGGCACCACACACATATTAGCAATTCTTATAAGTCGAATACACGAAAATTGACATTATTAAATACGCAGTCGCACGAGGAAATAAGAAATAATGCAACATTAAATATTGGTAAGAATAAATTATTGCTAGATAAGAGAAATAAGAAAAATATACATAAGAAAATGCACAATTCTATTTTTGTTAATACACATAAAAATAATTTACCAGAATATAATTTTAAAAGAATATATGATAAAAAAGAAGGTTTTACATATTCAGATCAGAGCATGCTTAACATAATCCATTGCAAGGGGGGCATGAACAAACCAGGTAATGAACATAACGATGTGAATTCAAATGAATTATGGAATAGTAAATCAGAAAATGGAAAATTATTTAATGAAATAAGTGATAAAACGGGTTGTATGAATCAAAATTCATCTATCCATGGAATTGTATATAAAAAGGCGAAGCCTGGTTTAGATATATATAAATCCATTAGAGAAGTTTTGTCCATAATATGTATATTGGGATTAAATGTAAATCCAGAGAAGAAAGAAAAAAATCAAGCTAAAAATCAGGATGATAAGAATTCCTCTATTGATGAACTACCATGGTTGTCAAGTTTATCAGAACTACAAAATTCAGTGGCATATAGTTTGGATAAAAAATGCATTGAATTGTTTTTTTGCAATTTAGTAGATATTATATGTAGTGATATTTTTCGTAATGCCATTTTTAATTTTGTAGCGAACAAACTACACAACAAGGAGGAAGGTATGTATAAGGAGAAACAAGATGTGAATGGATTAAAAAGTAGTAAAAAAGTTAAAAAAATATTTAGAAATATAAGAGAATTTGAATATAAACAAGTTTTAGAAGAAGAATCGAATACACACAGTCAGAAAAATATAAATAACAAAAATAGAGCTGCTAACACAAATACGTTAAATGAGAACAATTCAAATAAGAATGGTTGTACGAATAATAGTGTTTCCTCAGGCAATGCAAACAACAAAAATGACAATTATTTAATGAATTCAATTTTTATTGAGGAAAATGGATCATTAGAAGAGAAGGAAGGAAGTGAATTATATATAAATAATCCAGAATGTTTTATTAAGAAGGATAATGCAGAGGACGGAAGTTTAGAAAACAAAGGATTAAATTCAAAAATTATTTCCTTTGAAGATAAAATGAAAAAAAATTCTTTTTTAGAATCTAGTTTATGTTTAATTGGCACCAAGGCCATTATGTGTTGTTGTATTTTATTGAGAACATTGCTAGAAATGAACCCCGATGGATTTTATGAACCAGATGAAAATGTGTATGGATCCTTTAAAAAATTACTAAAATTTATTAAGGTTTTTTTCTTTTTAGATATAGGTATAAGTGACATTCTATCAGTATACTTTGCGAAAAAGAACTTTATGAACATAGAACATCTTTTTACCAAGTGTAAAAATGAGGGATCCACAAATATGTATACTTATTCTACCTCCTTTGTTGAATGTTTTGCAAATCAATCAGATAATGAAAAAAATAAATTGTCCCCTGATGATTCAAAAGAAGCCAATTTTACATCTTTTTACGAAAAGAATGAAAAAAACAATATTGATAAGGAAGGGGTAAAGAATGAAGAAGTAAACTTGCAGGAAATATTATCCATTTGTGGAGTACCATCAGATTTTTTCCATTATTTTAATATATCAACTCCAAAAATTAAGAATCAGCAAGTGATTACGCAAAATGATACGTTCGATTTATGGATTTACATTCTGAATCTTTTAATATGTTTTAATAGTCAAAATAGATATTCCTTATGTTTCCCACATTGTTTTAATCAGTTGAATAATGGTTGTGTAAAAAATTCCCTTTTCGATTTTGAATATTCAAATTCGTATTTTTCTAACAAAATAGTGCGTAAAACAGTAAAATTATTTGCAGGATGGTTACTAAAAAAAAATTTAATTGATATAAGTTGTGTTATGGCATCGTTACTACCAAAGTTGTTTATAGAACAGTTAAAAACAAGCTTAATAAAAATAAATGAAAATGTGAGAAATGAAGAAAAAATAAGTAATGTCTACAAAGACAGCCATGATTATACAGGGAACACCTTTCTTCCACGCAATAATACTGTCATGAAAGTAATAAACATGAAAAGAAATAAGAAAAGTAAAATATTTTATAATGAATCAAGTGACGATAAGATCAATAAAATGTTTAATAATGCTCCAAATGATAGATTATTCGATTCATTTGATGAGAAAGTAGAAAGAGAAAATAACAATCATGATTTCGATTACAACAATATGGATCAAAATAAGCATGAAATTTTATGGCATAATGATGATTATTATGATGGCAAGGATGAACATGACCAAGGTCATAAGGAGGAATGTTTAAATGCCAAAAAAGCACATTACAACAACATGAGAAGAAGTAAAAAAATAAATAATATATATCAGTTAATGGATTCTGGATTAAAGAATAGAGAAGAAATGTTAAATATATTTAGTATCATTTATCTTTTCCGAATATGCATTTACTATCTAAGTAGAAGCAAGGACATTAGAAAAGAGGATTACTGGCAAGAATTTCAGGGGCAAATTAGAAACTCTAAGGTAAAACAAAATGTATATAACCTACTTAATGAAAAAAGTTCCAAATGCTCCCTACTCTATGGATGGCAGAGAATATTCTATCAATGCGTAATTACTTGGGATGATAAAAAATTAGTGGATCAACTATTACATATAATTCAGTCTGAATTGTTATATCATTTAATAGGCTCTATTGCTCAAAGTAGATCACAAAATAGAGTAAAAGTGGAAATGTTTTATGCTATTTCACCTTCTGTTCATGTTGCACATTGGATGTTAGATACGTTTGTAAGACATCCTTTATGCCCATCAAAAATAAGAGCATGTTGCATTACTCCTATAACGGTTACTTCCCTATTTGGATTAATTATGAATGGAAACCGATTACCTATATTTATTGGCATAGATGCATGCAGATTAGTTTACTGGTCATGTGTAGTTTACATATTGCAAAATAGTAGGACTCATAAGAAATTTAAGAAATTACAAGACATAGATATGTTAAGACAGTTTAGTATTGAAATTGAAACCAAGGAATGTGATAATGATTTGAAAAATAATGAATATAATAATTATTTATCAAAAAAAAATGAAAGATACACTAGGATAAGGGAAAATTATAAAAGAGTGAAATGTAACTATCATGCATTTTTATGCTATCTCTTTCATTGTGTACATATTTGTGGATCTTCAATTTTTAGTCAAATTTTAAGTATGAATAATGAAAATACTTATAAAAATGGAAATAATAATATGAACAAGACGACAGATATTAACAATGACAATATTAGAAATAATAATGAGCATGTTAACAATATTATAGATAACTTAAACAATAATATTAACGATATTCTAAGTTGCATACAAAATTCTGCGAACAACAGAGTTGGAAATAACAATTTCCATGGAATTAGCAGTGTAAGTAATGAAACTATTTACAATTTAAATACAACAAATAGAGGTAGTGCAAACACGTCTTCAAACAATATTCAAAATAATACTATGCAAGAAAACACAGAAACCGTTAATTCTTGTAATAATGGCAACACTTCAGTAGATCCAAACCCATTATACATAAATACAACCGTGGCAAGTACCAAAAATGAGAAAAAATCATCACATAATTTCTCAAATTTTGATCTGTTTGAAAATAAAGAAAAAGGTACTTATAACCCCTTGAAAATTAATGCTTCATTACTTGTTCATTATTTCGCATGTGCTGCATATTACATTAAAAAGGTCGATATATATAATAACATGAATAATTACCAAGACAATGTCCATAATAACTTTAATCAATATTGCTTATATTTATACGTGGTTGATCATATATCAAAAATATATTCAAAAAATATAAGGCGAAATAATAGACAAATGGAATATTCGAACACTGATGAACTAAATAATAGTGGCGCTTCCAATTCGAATATATTGAAAAAGAACAAAAATGAGACATCACAAGATTTACATAATTGGGGAATTAAAAAAGGCATAAAAAATTATTCTTTACGTAACAAGGAAGACGAATTGAAAATAGATAATGAAATAATCAAAGGAGAAAAAAATAAGCATTTATCATTTACGGAAAATAAGAAAATTGTGAATTCTATGTGGAAAAAGAGTTTTTTTAATGACGCATTTGAGGGGCATTATCCAGAAATGTTCGTTGATAATGTTCTTCAGTTAAAAAAAAAGGTATCTGCAAATGTTATAATTGATATTGATGAAAAAATACACTATATTTGCTCGCCCAATGCAGATGTGGTTAAGCTAAAAATAAAGGATATAATTCCTATACCTAAACAAAGAACAAATCTTTTTTCATTAAGAAGTAAACATGCGCATGCAGATGCACGCAATGATGAGTTGCATAAATGTAATAGCTATGAGTGTAATAATAATCTAGAAAGAATAATACACTTACATAAAAAGGAACAAGAAGAACTCACGCATATTAGCCAAAAGGCAATTGAACACCCTGTTATAGTATTTAGTGCAGATAATAATTTCAAATACATTTTACAAGAAATAAAACATAGTAAGGTTCAGGAATTTTTGCATGTAAAATCGAAATCGTTAAGTACAAATCTAGATTTCGAAAGCATAGGAAAAGTTAATTTAGGTTCCCATATTGAATTAGTTGATCTAGCAAATATTCCGCATCCACTTATTTTAATTGGTGATTCAGAATTATACGCAGGATCACATAATTCTTCATTTACCATATCACTTTTTGTAGAAAATGATAATGGAAAAAATGTACATCCAAATTTCAATGATTTCCTAAATGTAGAAGTAGGATTGTTAAATGTTAGTACCAAGTATAACACAAATGATGACGAAATGGTTAACAATTTAGATGAACAATCAAATATTAACGAATTGAAAAAATATAGTAATTTTAAAATACCAATAAATGGTGTATTGTGTAAAAATAACAAGAATAAAAAATTACATAGACTAAGTGAAAATAACCTAGTTAATTATAGCGATAATTCAAAACATGATGAGGAAGAAGAAAAAATTTTGAAATATTCATCTTTCTTACCAAAATGTATGGAAAAAAAAGTATACTCAAAAAAAACAAATAAAAATGAATATAATTATGCTCTAAAAAATGAATTTACTCATCCAGATAAGACTAAACAAAGTGATAAAAATTATGTAGAATGCCGCACTAAGAACAAATTACTTAGTGCAAGTAATAACTATTCCATAAATAATTATGATAATGAAGATTCCAATTATGATAAATATTTCATCTCTGATTCTTATAATAATATTGATTATTCTAAGGCATTATCTGACATGAGCCCTTTGAATTCCAATGAAAATATTATACTTGATAATTATGCGTATAATAGAGAGAACAGTTCTATCACAATGAATATTGCAAATGGTACGGTTAATGCTATGGGATTATTTTCTGATAATTCGGTTGAAAAAATCAAGTCCTCATCGATAAATAAAATGTCAACTCCTATTAATATAACTGTGAAGATTGTTGGAAAGCAAATACTATGGTTCTATAATGATACGTTAATTATACGAAATGAGTTCAATGAGCCAATGAAAAATTTTATACCCCTCATCATGGTGTCACCTATTGTACAACATAAGAATTCAAATGAATTTTGTAAGAGTAATTCTAAGTGTTCAGTTCACATGAAATTTATTGATACTAACGAAAAAGTATTTGTATCACCTATAAATAGCTTTTATCTTAAATTCGAAAATATTCATAAAATGAAATATAGAAATAAATGTATAACAAATATGAATAAAAATTGGGAAAGCAGTTTATGGAACTATACATGTTTTGTCTTTTCAGATACCACAGCCATAAGTGGAACATCAAAAAAGGTAGTAAAAAAGAATAGAATGCCACTAATAATAGCACAGCCAGATAATGAGATTTTAATACAATATTATAACTCCAAGTATAATAATTTTTGTGGAAATGATATCTTCTTCAATACTTTTTTTTTAACGCCAAATATTCAAATTAAAAGTGAACCAATCAATTTTACCAACTTTATGTATTGTAAGAATGTCCAATGTGACAAATGGAAATTCTTATCTTTAGAAAATATTAGAAATGTAAGGAATGTATCAGTCATAAGTTACTACGGTTTTTTGAACTCAAATAAAAAATTCGAAATAAACAAAATCGATTTAGATGCAGGAAACAATTGTGAGCACAAGAGTGCAAAAGAAATTTCAACTATTCAGAATATATCTAACATACAGAAAACATACGCTAAAATATTAGAAACAAATACTAAGAAAGATATAGATAAAGATAATTCAAACATTTCATTGAAAGTGGATCTAAATTTACACAACCATTTAAATAGAATAAATAAGAATGAAGATTCAGGAATTAATACAAAAGGCAATTATGATATTATACATAATTTTTCCAATACAAATAAAAACAGAAATAACGAAAGAAATAAGAAAGGCTTAAATACGAACATAGGTTCGAAAGCAAATTTTTACAATTTAAAAGATGTAAATAGAACACACTATACTTCTTACTACAATGAATTGATACCTGAGAATAATAAGGGAATTTTTATTCATAGTAACTATATCAATGATTACTTTACGACAAATAATGATGGTGATTTACACATAAAATACAAACTTCATAATTTTCCCAAAATTAGAAAAGATTATTCATATAATGTGAAATATAGTTCAATACAAGAGATTAATGACACCTCCACCCATGGATGTACCAAATATATATATGATACGAAGAAACAAAGTATAAATGACACACATAGTAGTAAAAAATATATAAATAATAACAAATTATTATGCAAAGATAATCATTTAAATGATAACAATTATTCATTCATAAGTAATACCCATGATACAAGTATTAACATAAATGAAAACAAAACAATGAATAACTTGTATGCATCGAAGAAGAGCAACAACAATCAAATGAATAACCTTGAGAATTACCAGGATTACAAAGAAGATAATAATGATACCTTCAACAATTATTCTATGTATTACATAGGATGCAAAGAATTTAAACAATGTATCGATTCATATGAGTCTCTGTTTCCGGCTAAACATTTTATCTTCAATTGCATCGTAAAATTTGTTGAGTGTGATAACAGGAATGATGATTCTAATGAGGTCAATAATTACGTTGGTATTTTATGGGGTGTTTACCGTTGGTTATGGACCAGTAATGGAAAATTCATATGTCCTTTGAAACTTCCATTATGTGATTCAGAGCTTCCATCAGAGAAAATAGAAGAATGTGAAATAGAAGTAAATAAATTTAAGTCTAACGATAATTTATGTATAGAATTTGAACCATTGTATCAAAGCCTATTTTTTTATAAAAATGGAAAATATGAATTTGGTTTTAAATTTGACACATTCTACAATTATAGAAATTTTAGAAATATCATGCCATATGAAATAAATAAGGAAATAAAAATAGAAGATGTTAGAAATATATCTAAATTTTCTAAATCTAGTGGTATGAGTAATATAAATGTTAACGACTTCAGTGGTATGAAAAATGGAGACAACAAATATAGAAATGGTAACAATGATAAGGGTTCAGTCCAAAAGGACATGTATAAAATACAAAATGAAATAGACACAAAAGATTACAGTGACGAAATGTCTATTTCGCAGGTATATATGAATAACCAATTAAATTCATGCTATAGTGTTAAAGCGAATAATGCATGTGCACATGCGATTTCAAAAAACCACAAGTGTAGTAAAAGAATAGATGGCACAAATAATGTAAAAAACAAGGAAAAGAAAAAAAATAAGGATATAAATAATAGCCATAATGATATTGCTTATGATGATGTTGCAGAAAGTAACGAAAATAAAACGGTGAAGCGAATAAAAAACCATGTTAGCATGATAAAATTATACAACTCTTTGAAATTAAATGATTGTGATAATGTATCATCTATATTGAATTATAATCCTGATTTATTAGCAAAATCAGATGAAACGAAACAGGAAATAACGTTTGAACATTATGAAATAAATCAAGAAGATTATCCTTATGAATTATTATCATCAATGAAAAATATTATTTATGAAAAGGATTTAACTCCATTGATGCTAGCTTGTAGAATTGGATGTGAAGAATGTGTACGGAAAATAATAGATATAGGAAAAGTGAACCCTAATAAAGCTTGTCATAAAGCGGAGAAGGAAACCCCCTTAATGATTGCAGCACAATATGGACATAGCAGAATCGTATGCATGTTAATTTGTGTATATGGTGTGCAAATAAATAAAAAAGATTCTAAGGGGAATACAGCTTTGCACAAAGTGCTATTGAACCCTTGTAATGATGATGGCAGAAAAGATATCACACCAAAAATTGTTCAACTTTTATTAAAATTAGGGGCTGATATTAGTTTAGTAAACAAGAAAGGTATATCTGTGGAAAATTTAGTACAAAAAAATCTTATTAAAAATAAGAATGTAGAAAATATTTTAAAAATATGGATTAAATTATCATTAAAAAATAAGAAAGACAAAAAATGTTATATTAATAAGGATATTATACCTGGTTTACTTTCCAATTGTTCAATAGTTGCAGGATTTCCAATATGCATAAATAATTCAACTAATAATCTTTCTTCAGTGAAAATAAACTCATTTGTTGTAGGTGGAGAAGAATTAGTTAATATGAAACCTTACAAAAATGTTAAAAGTTATGAGGACAAATTGAATTTTGGGAATTATAACCTAAATTATAAGGAATATAAGATAAGAAGAACAGATGAGGAATATTACAGTTGTGATAACTCATCAAGATCAATGTCCATATCAAAATTTTGCCATGTAGATAACAAAATAAATGGAAATGATAATAAGCAATATTTATCAAAATGTAATAATTTTTCAAAAAATTCATCAGACATGGAAGAGGTGAAGGAAATTAATGATAAAATTTTGGAAAATATAAATTATGGCACACAAATAAATGATTTTTCACGGACGAGAGCAAAAATTATCGGAAAAGAAATTAACAATGATAATATAAAATTTGATGAACAAAAAATTAAAACAGATTCTACTAATGACAAAAATATGAATTCAATCAAGTATGAAGACGAAATAAATTCGTTACATGAGAAACTTGATAAGAAGGGAAATAGAAATATTAGCTGCAAGAACAATATCAATACCTCTATTGATAATGACAAAATATATTCACAAAAGGAAAATATGAGTGATATAAATATTTATGAAAATGATAACATTTTTCCATCGATAAAAGGGAATACAGTGGATTATAAATCTATTAGTGATGTGAAAAACATGAATGAAAATTATACACCTACTGAAGGAAAAGTAGAGGAAGGAAATAGCCAAAACGAGCAAGAAAATGATACCGATATCCCCCTATATGGATTAACAGAACAGAACAAATTATATAAGGGAAAAAATGATATATTCAACTATTTGATTGTGCATTTTCGCAACAGTCGTAAGTATGATGATAGGAATGTGAAATTTATGGAAGATGAAGAAGAAAAAGCGATGAAAAATTATTTCCTACAAAAGGAATCAAATAATAAGAATGAATTTCACTATGAGGATAATATTGTTACAAACGAAAATATAAAAAATAAATGTTTTGTATTTTCCAATTCGAGGAATAATATATTCAGTTACCAAGATTTACAGGGAAGTCTGATCGAATTTATTAACAAATCAGGTGTCTTTTCGAATATATTTAAGAATAATGGATATTTAGATGCAAAATGTATACCTAAGCTTGATGATCTGAAGAACTCATTAATTCAAATTAAGAATAAAGAAGATATCTTTAAGGCTTTTGACAATTTTTTAGAATTATTTGATTATCTATATATTGATGAAAGATTAAAACATTTCCTAAATATCGACCTAAGAAAGAACTTAGAAAACTGTCATAGGTTAATAGATTTAGGATATATTCTTTTAAAAGTAGATAGTTTTTCTAACATTTTTAATAGTTTCAGATTAAAATGGAATACTAGTACACATGATGAATGGAAAAAAAAATTATTAAAGGGACTTGGAATTTTCAATGAATTTTATGATATAAAATGGGTAACAGATTCTTACACAATTTATAGATATGAAGAAGACATGATAGAATCAGCATCCCTTATTGATAAAGTTATACAGAATGGAAACAATTTAATATTTAATAAAAGCATAATAAACATTAATGATGAGAAAAAAAAAAATTTTAAAAATATTATGTATCATTCACATTTGTTTAATGATATTTTTAAAAATATAGATAAGGAGAATTTAAATCGAGATGCTCTTCTATACGATTTCTGCTCTAACAAAAATATTTTAAAAGAACATTTATTGAATCAGCATAACAAAAGGATAATGAGCAATATTAATTCCCATGAAATTCATGAAAAATATAGGAATTTCCTGAGTGAATATATTATAAATGCTAGTTTGAATGTAAATGAAGACAATTATTCAGTACATGGCACAGTGGAGGATTCTAATGGAGGAAAGGAAAAGAAATCTAGAAAATATCACACATACGATAGATCAATGTACAAAATTAATTCCAAGCAGTATACACCACTATTTAAATCTTTGAATGAAAGGTATAACAACATGAATGATTCAAACAGTGTGGATAACAACTCAGAGTATGAGGATAATAGGGGCACAAATTCAAAGGGTAATAAATATGCGAATGAATTTATAAATACAGCCACGGATTTAAGTGAAAATCCAAATTGTAATAAAAATGGAAATTACGATATGAATGATATTCACTACTTGAACAATGATGATACTAGTAGAAGAGGAGAAAATGAGGAAGACGAAGAAAAAGGAGAAATGACACACCATGATGCTTTATGCAGAAATGTGTCAAATTGTTACAGAAATAGTAGTAGCAGCAGAAATGATTTCACACCATCTAGTCGGGAAGATTACAACACGGAACACAGTTTAACAAAACAAAGTTCTACTCCATCTATCAAATTAGACATTGGAGCAGATAATCACAATAATAGTAATACAAATTCATCATTTAATAGAAAAAAAAGTCATTTTCTAACTGGGAAACAGCTAAGGAATGCCTTCATCATGACTCAGGGGAGCTATGAAGAGGATGATACAAACAATAGTTATAATAATGATGGTTATAATAATGATGGTTATGATAATGATGGTCATCACAATGATGATTGTAATAATGATAGCTGTAATAATGATTGTTGTGATAATGGTTACAATAGTAGCAAAGGGCGTAGTAATAATAATGGACATAATACTAATAGTAGTAATTTGCATGCCATGCAACAACATTTTCCAGATAAAGGACTCAATACGCATGGTCGCAAGAATTATAAAAACATCCATGATGAAGAAGTGCAAAATATGATTCAATGCATGTGTAATAAAACCAAGCATGATGTTGTAAATTATAAGAACGAAAATATTCTTTGTAAAAAAATAAATGATAGATATGATAAGAAGGAAAAACGTTCTACTTTAAATAATACTTATAAGAAGTCGAAATGGAACACATTCCTTTTAACAGACAATTACAATAATAAATTTTTTTTGGATGGAAGTTTGTTACAAGATGGGTTTTATTATGATGAATATGAAGAAGTGGAAGATGAAGAACATGATTTAATGTGTGAATTAGAATTTATATCCAAGCCTCATGAAAATGATATAATAAGAGAAGAATGTAACAAGATGTGGCCCCACACACTTGATACATATATACTTCATATATATGACTTAATAAGTAGTTATATGGATTCGGCTGAAAAAATAAGTTTATTTGTTTATCATGCATTTGATGTGGAAAAAATAAAAAAAAAATTACCAAGTAAAACATCTCAATTGTGGAAAAGAATAAACATGTCTTTAGATGAATTTATTGAAGAAATAAAAAAAGTTCATAATTTTACTATGAAAATTGTATATCAAAGCAATTATAAAAAATATGGAATGCTTCCACCAAATTTTAAAAAATATTTTGTCCTTTCTGATGAATGTATAAAATATATGGCAAAAAATAAAATGGTTATGACTGTAGATTATTATAAAAACAATGTGTATGACAAAAATAAAAATTTATTTTTAAAAATCATACAAGATCGTATTACACTGTTGAATAAATTTAATACATACTTTGAAAATTGCCTACCAATTACAGCAGTATTATTTAACAAACCTGTTATTCATTTGGAGGAACATGGATTACGAACATTGGAATGCCCATTATGCTTTTTCATGAACTCTGATAAGCACTTACCATGGAATGTGATGAAAGAAAGAAAAAGAAATACTAAAAATGGAAATGCTTATTTACTATCTCATATCAAAATCAAAATAAATAAGAACGAAGGAAAGAAGATGTCTATTCTAGATGTGAAGAGTTCTAACCATGATAAAATCCTGAACGGCACGGCCAACTGTAGTGTGGAAAATGTCCATAATCATGCTAGCGAAAGTAGCAGTTTTAGTGATCTCTATGAAAATTCTAGAAGAAATGGTGAACATGGAGACGAGGAAGAGCTGAATAATTCGAGTTATTCCAAAGAAATCATGAACAACACAACTCCAAAACTGGAAAATGATGACAAAAGTAAATGGAGTAATATAGATAATTTTGACTTTGAGAAAAAAGAAAATAACGATTTGTTATCCCCCCAAAATAAGAATAATTACGTCATAGATGATGTGACATCATTGCACAGAAATGATCATAACTGTATCAACTGCATGGAGAACGATTCCAAGGGACGTAACAATAGCATAGGTAATGAATTCATGACTACCAATTCGGAAAATGTACAAAGTATAAATGAACATGATATATATATTTGTAGTGATAAAGAAAGCGAAAAAGAAAATCTATACGACAATAGCTCATTTGCACCCTGTGTAAGTCACTGTAAAAATAAATATGCCTCCAGTAAAATGGTTTTAGCAATGGGTTCATCGGACTTACCTATACAGTTATCCTCATATTTGTTTGTTAAAAAGGTGCTTAAACATGATGCTACCTTAAAATTATGGAAAGAATGTTTGAAAAATATTACTTCCTCAAGTACTGAAAAATCTAATTTAACATTACGAATTGATAGAGGTATGGCTGCAACAGCAAAAAGCATTGTTCATACTATGTGGTATCAAAGCACATATTCTTTACTAAATATTGATACAAATAAACTTAGAGGAAAACCAAGAGATAGACCATTTATGGTAGTATTTATAGGAGAAGGTGCAACTGATTTTGGAGGACCATTTCATGAATTCCTTTCATCTATTTCAAGAGAAGTTATGGGAAAACTGTCAGATTCTCCTGATAAAAGTCTACCAATATTTCCTTTATGTATCCCTTGTCCAAATTATACTCAAGCAATGGGAGGGCGACAAGATACAGTCATAATTAACCCCCAAAGTAGTTCTTACAATATAAATGAATCAGAATATGTTGGTGAATTAGGAATTATCGATAATTTAGAAAGTTTTAGATGGCAGATATTACACATATATAATTCCATACGACAGATAAAAAAAAAATTAGATAAGTCACAAAAAAATATGTGTCAAAAGGACTTCAACATCAAAGAAGAAAATAATTTCCTAGGTGAAGACGAAAGAGGTGACGAGGAAGATCTTATGTATGCAGAAAATTATTTGGAAAATAATAAGTATTCAAATGAAAAATTTCAAAAGGAAGGCAATGAAAACCATTTTAAGATTATTAATAGTGAGAGAAATGCTAAAAATTGTAGCATAAGTTCAAATGAAAAAGTGGAACAAGTTGCCCAATCAGACAATGAGAAAAATGAAAAGAGTGAAGATAAAGCTGTAGATTACGATTGCATCAGTTTTATGGATAGTTATGGTGCAAATACTAACAATATTGATAATGGTAGCCGAAAGGATAATAATAATGACAACAACAGAATCAGAAGCAGCATCAGTAGCAACAACAGCAGCAGTAACAACAACAACAATAACAACAGCACGATGAATGATAAATTACGAAATAAGAAAATATATTCAATAAATGGATACGAGAATGTGAAAGAAGATACGATGAACAAAGACAAAATATACATATTCGGCAGTAAAAAATCTGTTACATTTGAAAAAATACAGGAGGATAATAAAATGAATTTACATTTAGATAATAAAGTTAACAAAAGCCATTCTTCATATGAAAGTTGTATGTATGACAGTGATGTACTTGAAATTATTAACAACACATCATTGAAAACGAGAAATGAGTTTCTAAATAGAGTACTAAAAAAGAAAAAAAGTAAAGAAAATGAAAGAATGGTACATAAAGAAATGGAGTACAAAAGTCTTAAATCTGACAATTTTAAGAAGAATAACAAAAAACATAATGATTTTAAAAAAAACAATATGAATATAAAATATGATGAAAAAACAACAAGAGCAATAGAATTAGCCATGTATGAATCATTAGGTAGAGTTATGGGCATGTGTATTTGTATAGCATCTGCCTTAAATATATGCTTTAACCCAATCATTTGGAAAAAAATATGTGGTGCACCATTAGAACTGCAAGATCTATGTGATTACGATTTTGTTGCTGTAGAAATGTTAAAAACCTTGAAAATGGTAAATTCTGAAAAGAACAATGGATGGAACATGGAATTAAAACAATCATTAGGAGATATTACATTCATAACAGAAGATTCTGGAGGGAATTCCATTGAATTGATAAGAAATGGAGCAAATGTACCAATCAATTTTGACAACTTAGAATTGTTTATCCGCTTAATGACCAAATGTAAAATGAATGAATCATCCAAAGGACTGAGATATTTATTAAAAGGTTTTAGTTCTGTAATACCTTTAGGTAGATTAAGACTACTGTACGAGTTTACAAGTGTTGAACATATGGTTTGCGGTGAAAGAGAAATTAACTTAGAAGTGCTAAAGGCTCACACTTGGTCAAACGATTTGAAAATAAAAGACAAGCTCTTTGCTGTATTGGAGGAATTTACTAATGAACAGTTACAATCATTCCTCAGATTTGTTTCAGGACGATCAAGATTACCAACAACTAAGAATGATTGGTACATGATTATTGATGTTGATAACCCGAATCATAACATTAGTCAAATAGACCAAAGATTGCCCACGGCTGTCACTTGTGGATTTCGTTTGTTATTACCCCAATACTCGAGCTTAGATATTCTGAAAGAGAGACTTTTATATGCTATTAAAAATTGTACTGCTATTGATTTAGATGCATATGTTGTCCACGACCAAATGCAGTTAATGTACGGAGAATAATTTTGTGACGACGCACGCTGTGATTCTTTGATGTGTTAAATGATGAAAATAAAAAAGAAGAAACATATGAACATGCATATGCACATATGTGTATTTTTTTTTTTTTTTTTTGTGCTTGTCTGACCAGTGCACGGAGGCACTTATTTTATATGTTTTTTTTTTTTTTTTTGTTTTTTTATCTTTTTTTATCTTTTTTTCCCTTTTTTCCTGCTCATTTGTTTTGACTCCCCTTTTTCACGCTTGCTAGGTTTTATCCATTATATAGCATTTGTTTTAGTGTTATTAATTACACATTTGTGTTATGATTTACCAATTTTGTTTGTTGATTTACTGAAACATGAATTTTTTTTCATGAAGGGAAGGGTGTTTGTGTGATATCCTCTCCGAAAAAAAAGAAAAATATACAAGCGAATATTTGTATGTATACAGAATAACACACATGTATGTATACATAAACAAAACAATAAACTTTAAATAATGAATTTTACGAAAAAAAAAAATTCAAAATTTAGAACAAAATTTTATCGGCTGCGCTTATTATGTGTAGCTAAGGTTTCTTTAATTTGTGTAATACCTAATATAACACATAAATCACATGTACATTATTTATAGAATTACATGTTTTTCCACTGACCCAATTAGATGTCCCTATAAACGGTTGCCCTCTGTGTTGGGGATTCACTTACAGTTACTGCAACATAATTGACACTTCTTCTTTTTAAAAACGATAGGCTTATTTCTTCTATTACTTTATTTAAAATATACAGTCCTATTTCTTCCGTGGAGGAATGTTTGATAGGTATTTGAACACAGTCATGTTTGGGGAAAGAATATTCCGAATTATCTTCACAAGTAATTTTTACATTATTATCTACTTCTTGAATATTTAGAACATCACTATAAATTGGCAAGATAAAATGATGATCCAGCTCTTTACAAACATTTCTTACTTTCTCTTTTAAAATAGAAAAGTCTACCACATATCCATCATGTTGTATATACCCCCTTAATTTTAAGGATACACTATAGTTATGCCCATGTAAAGCTTCTCTGAATCCATTAAAAGCGATAAAGTGTGCACAATGGAATGAAAACGAAGGAGACTCAACTAGCAGTTCAGCAATATTATTATCGGATCTATCTGGGTTTGGGTTCATTATGTGCTATATCTTTACTCATCCCATATATTTCTAAATTTAGTTATGTAAGAGGAAAAAAAAAAAAAAAAAAAGAATGGAAGCAATAGATACATATAAGCTAAGCTTATTAAACTTGTTATCTTATATCAAATTACTGGTAAATAAGAACTGTGAATTTTTATTTTATTATTTTTTTTCCCACTTTAGGAATAAATTCTTCAATTTATCGTAGAATTAATGTGGGGTTGAATGGGGAATAGCAATCTAAATTAAAATACATAAAATGTATATTATGATTATTATATATACATATATATTATTCACACAGACCAAACCTTAACAACCGTACATCTATAGCGTGTTATGATTTGCAAAGCGTGTAGAAACGCTTTTTACAATACCTTGCATCGGATTAAACAATATATCGTTGTATTTATTGGATCCTTTTAATACGTAATAATTTTTTCGTGCATAAAAAAAAAAAAAAAAAAAAAAAAGTCATATGAATATATAAAGAAAACTTTGCTTTAACTGAAAACACCTTCATTTGTAAACAAATTTGTGTTCAGCATAAAGAAAACATTTTTGTGGTCTCAATTACTTCTAAATTAAAAAAAAATTAATAATAGCCAAATTAAAAAAATATATATTAATCCTATAATGGGGAATTTTGTACGTTCCAAATAAAAAAGGAATATTCTTAAAAGTTAAAACTTTTTGTGCCATTTAGCACCCTTTTTTAAAGTTATTACAAGAGTGGTTTGAGATTGAAAATTTTAGGAAAAAGGGGGAAAACAAAAAAAATAAATGTAATGTGAAAACGGAAAATTTTATATTTTGCGTCTGCCTCTAAACATTTAAAAAAAGGAGGACACAACATGGAACATCCCTTGTTATAGATATAAAAAAATAGGCATATAACTATACATCGTTATATAATGCCACATGACGAGGTAAACTCCTTAAGGATAGACACGTAAACGCAAATACACAAACATTATTCAAAACCCATTAAAACGGAAAAAGCAGGTAAAAATGAAATAATCGTGAATAAACAAATAATATATTGGGGGCATAACAAAATGGGGTTAGCAAATAAAAAAAAATAAATACAAAAAAAAAAAAAAAAAATAAAATAAATAAAATAATAATAAAGTAAAAAATAAAATAACAAAACAAAAATATACACATGAATGAATAAATACCACTTTACATTATGAAAGGGCGATAAAATATCAAAGAAATTAAATCGTGTACTTGGTTGCGTGTAGACATTTAATTTTTAAAAATATTACACTTAAAAATTATAACTGAAAAAAAAAGAAATAAATTAAATCCTTGTAAATACCTATAAATCGTTACCAGTCGTCAAAAAATTTATTATCTTAAATAGCTCTATTTTGTAGCATCTTATACTTCTTGGTTGCTTTTAATGCGGGATCACGAAGCAACTGAACTCCATGAAGATAGTACTGTTTATCTTTTATGTTAACAATGAATACAGTTTTGTTTTTCAGAAGTATCAGTACCCTGTTCTTTGGTGTTACTATTTTGAATGCCTGTAAAGGTAGGGGCAATTGTGCACATGTGTATTTCCGCATGTGCATATACACATATACATATGTACATGTACACATATATATACATTCGTATATATACATATGAATGTGTCAACCCACACACAAAGGTGAGCAACCACACATATTACTACACTTTATAGTGGGACGGAATAATCACATTAAAAAAAATGCTCAAGAGCTACCACCCCCTCATCCTCCATGGGTACAATTTATACAAAAGGAGGAACAAGAGGATATAATTAAAAGGTAAGCCACCTTTTGAATGATGTATTAATCTTGTTTCTTATTATTACATTTTGTGTTTCTAGTATGATTATTCCTTTGATTCCAACATACGGCGAGCACCGAGATTTGTGGATTTCAATTTCTGCTCCATTCAATTCCATATCATTAATAGTGTCTATGGGCAATTCTTCCGTTTTTGTCAAATCAAGTAATTCATTTACATAAATATTCCACATGCTGTTTAGCTTCTTTGCATGTTCATAGGATGTGCAATTTCCTGTTGTAACATTATAATCTGTGTATTCATTCGATGATAACCCTACTTTATTATATTGGTGTTTCGTATTTTTCTTCTTATCTGTTACATATGCATATGTATTTTTTAAACTTTCCTTAATAAATATTTTCGTTGGTATATTTACATTATTCTTCTAAAGGGGGTGGTGGTGGATATGGAAGAATGTGTCACAGAAAATTTGCATATATGTACACGTTTTTTTTTTTTTTTTTTTTTTTTTTTTTCCTTTTATATATTACCTTCTCAGATATGATACAGTCAAGACGGCAATGATCTTCCGGTATCTTGTTGATAAATGGGTGTGTCAAATATTGGGGCCCTCTATTGTTGCAGTTTCTGTTGCTGTTACTGTTACTATTATCATTCAAATTGCGTTTGTTATTTCCATATGATGCGGTTTGTGCTACGTAGGAATTTTTATTTATATAGGTCAGGTTCGGGAAGTTACTACTGGGTAAAAAATAATCATTTTTATTGGGCCTATAGCTTTGTTGATTGAACTGCCAGGAATGGTTTTTATTTATACCATTAGAATATTTCCTGTTGAAATTGTTACCATGTGTATAATAACTGACATTTGTACTCTCATTTGTTTTTCTTTTTTTTGTGATTTCATTTAATGTGTCTTGTTCCATGGTTCAGTGACCTATTTTTTTATTTTTTTTTTGCTATTTTATTTTTTTTTTATAAGACCTCAGAAATTTTATATGCTTGTACATATGTACGATTTAACTTCAATGTTATATGAAATGTTGTATAATACACGAAAAATATTCAAATATGATACTAGTTTTTCCTATTTTATATTCTATTTATTTGTTAAAGGCATCCTGTATGAAAACATACCAACTTCGTTTTGGTCTCTCTCTCTTTTTTTTTTTTTTTTTTTTTTTTTTTTTTTTTTTCAGTTATCTCGCTTCAATGTATATTTGTGATACTGATCCTACAAGTCTTGTAAATTTGATTAGTTTTATGAGTCCTGTGTAGCCCCTTAGAAACATTTGCTTTAATATATTGTTCCCCTTCTTACAAACATGACTAAGACCACAGTGCAGTTGTAAATATTAGTGTGTGCTAAATACTAAATACTACAATACAATGAATAATAATTAAGTATTCTTCTCATTTCTCTTTTTAACAATGTACTGTTGTTGTCGATAATGTTGTGGGGGATGGGGGGGGGGGGGAAGTGAGTACTATTAAATGTGGTGTACGATAGAACAAGTGGTAACACACCGGAATATTCTGAATTATACTTTAATGGTATGCGTATGAGAGTAATGTTATAACAAGCAAACAAAAAAATAACATAAAATAATTATAAAGGAATATACAAATAATAAATAAAATAAATGTACACACAGAAAAAAAAAAAAAAAAAAAAAAAAGGGAATTAGTTTAAAGCTATAATTAATGTCTTTTTGATAATTGTTCAACACTTTACGGTACTATGCATAAAAATACGCATCATGTGGGTACATATATTTTGGTTTACGTAAATATAAACCTACAGTACTCTAATATATGTGTACAGAAATATACACACATGACAAACATATATGATATCACAGACGCACAAATATCTATATATAAACATGTACCTATGCAAGGTAAAAATCTGCTAATAACATTTTATGTTGAATTGCTTTCTTTAAGCCCTCCACAAACGCGGATACATAAATGATGTTAATAAAATCGCACTAAAATTTTTGTGGAAAAAATTGACTAAATTATGTTTCAAAAGATTGTGGATTAACATGGAGCATTTTTTTGTTCCATTAATATACATAAAGTTTATGTTACTTAATAAGGGATATAAATAATATACTGTTTCATGTCCGTTTTATATGTAGCAAAAAATACACATGCTTTTTTTTTTTTTTTTTTTTTTTTTTTTTTTTTTTTTTTTTATAAAAAAATATTTTTTTTTTTTTTTTTTTTTTTTTTTTTTTTTTTTTTTTTGTTATTACACTTGTGCCACAATAGCATGTATGATATATAATACTTAAATGTGAAAATTATTTGAGAACAAACAGTTATATATATATATATATATATTAACGTTAAAAGGGTTGCCTGCAAAGATATTTAACACATTATATCATCCATGAGTTTAGTTCTATATTTTAAAATGTACATGTTTAATTTTCTTTTCTTTTTAAAAATGAAGAATAAAAAAGTAGTTCTGTTCCTACATGTGAAACAATTAACATGGATGAAAAAAAAAAAAAAAAAAAAAAGAGTTGAAATAAAACAAAACAAATCCAGAAGTTGCAAAAGAAAAAGCAGAGCAAGCTATATATATAAATGTAAAAACAAGCACTAGCAAAAGAGGAAGTTACTATTTTGAATGCATAATTAAAGTGTGACAATAATATGCAATTTGCATTCATACCTTAAGCGCACTTTGAAATGTATTGGGAAATACTTTTGCGAATTGTAAATGTTCTTTTACATGATCATCTCGTCGTAATTCTTAAGGTATGAATATACATGTGTACATATATATTTACATATATGTAACATATATATTACATATATGTCACATATATATGTAAATATATATTATATGTTTGTTGCCTTGTACAAGCTTAAGTGCGTAGTTGTTACAAGAATATATATATTTTTATATATATATGTATATATACATGAGCACATTCTGCTTTTAAATACCCTGCAATTTTTACTTGTTTTTTATTTTACTTTATTTTATTTTTTGTTTTGTTATTCATCTCATTTACTTCCAAGGGCTGCTAATTATTTTATTTACTTTGTAATGATTTATACTACACGGAGAATTTAAGCCTAATAGGCTAAGCTGGTATCTCGCATATTCAACCCAAGGGTAAATATACAAGCGTGCACAAGCATCGCCTATGAGGGTATGAATATAAGGGTACATATGCATATATATAAATACATGAATGGTACTCATTTAATTTTTTTTTTTTTTTTTTAATTTACTGATATTATATTTAAAATTTAATTATACTTAAATTTCGCTATTTCATAAATTTTTTTCTTTTAAATTATAATCTTCTGAATGCAGCTAAAAAAAAAAAAAAAAGAGGATGCTGGAAGGGCTATACATAATACGCTTGTTTTTGTAGGCACATGCATGTGGCCTATGTACCAACCCCATTTATGCGTACATGATCTTGCACGCGTAAAGGATTTTACGCGTGTAGGTCTTGATATTATATGTACGTATGCATTTATATATATACATATATATATGTATATATGCACAGTTAAATAAAAGGAATTTTGAAAAAAAGAAAAAAAAAAAAAAAAAAAAAAATAGAGAGGAAACTCACGTTAAGCATAATGAATATCACAGAAAGCAATGGAAATATCTCTAAAATAGACTCAGGAAAAATAAAAGATATTGACATTGATGAAAATATTTTCTTTAGCAAAAATTCATTCCCAGTTAATGAGTCATATGGAAAAAATGATAATAAGACGGGAACAAATGAAAATATAAAGGATGTGGACATATATAAAGAAATGTATTATGAAAGCATTAACAACCCTGAATTCTTTTGGGGAAACATAGCAAAAAATAGCATAAGATGGTTTAAATTATTTACAAAAGTATATATGGGTGATTTTAAAAAAGGGAACACTAGCTGGTTTGTTAATGGAAAGGTTAATGCATGTGAAAATTGTGTAGACAGATGGGTTGAAAAGCATCCGAATAAAATTGCTATTATATGGGAAAAAGATACACCAAATGATTTTAAAAAAATAAGTTATCAAAAATTGTTAGAAAAGACATGTAAAATTTCAAATTTATTAAAAATATATGGGGTAAAGAAACAAGATGTTGTAACCATTTACTTACCTATGATTCCAGAAATAGTTTATACCATGCTAGCATGTGCTAGAATAGGTGCAATTCACAATGTTGTATTTGCAGGATATTCTGCTGGTAGTTTATGTGATCGTATATTAGATTCAAAATCGAATATCTTAATTACAAGCGATTTTGGCATGAGAGGAGGGAAATTAACGAAACTAAAGCAAATTGCGGATGCAGCTATGGACATGTGTGGTAATGTTATCAAAACTTGCATTGTTTTTAAAAACAAAACAAAAATAAATGACATCAATAATGTATCCATTAAAAATACAATGAAAAGTCAGCTGTATAATTCTAAGAATATCGATCTAAAAGCTACGAATGATTTTTTGACAAACGACTCAAATCATATAATTGCAAAACCAAATGGCATAGATAAAAATTGGTATGAGAAAATAAATAACAATACCTGTGAAAATTCAAAAAATTACATTAACGGTAAACCCAATAATGTGGTTAATTATGAAGCCCTTAAGTTAGAAAAAAACTGCATGAAAAATAATTCTTCCGATTATGTTTATCCTTTGAATGCAGCCAAAGCTATTGGTGGTACAAAATGCAATCACACCAATGACAATAATTACAAGAATAACAATGTGGAGGTCAACAGTCAACATAGTATCCACAGTGATGAGGGGACAAACAGTAGTGATAACAAATCGAAAGGGATATATACCCTGCATAAGAAAATTTCGAAAAATAAAAATGTAGAAAAAAAAAATATTGTTTCTGATAAATCCTATCATAACAACGATATTGGTAATGGTCATGACAAGAGTGTTCATGATGGAGAGGCAAATAAAAACGTTGGAGAAATGAACCATTACAGTAGTAAAAAGTCATGTTATTATACCAACTCATTAAGATGTAAATCTCTTATCGATACATCGAATAAGGAATCCTTTGAAGGTAAAAATCAGCATAGCAGCAATAATGGGAAATCCGATTTTGACGAGAATATATGTACTTTAAAAGAAGGTCGAGATGTTGATGGTTCGGCATTATTAAAAAATATGAGAGCTTATTGTCCTATAGATTATGTCGACAGTGAAGATCTTTTATGTATATTATACACATCTGGATCTACTGGAAAACCCAAAGGTGTAGCCCATAGCACTGCCGGATATTTGTTATATGCATATACAACATGTAAATATATTTTCGATGTAACTGAAGATGATATATTTGGCTGTGTTGCTGATATTGGATGGGTAACTGGCCATACGTATGTTTTATATGGCCCATTATTAAATGGAATTACAACTGTTTTGTTTTCTTCCATTCCAACGTACCCAGATTGCGGTAGATATTGGAGTTTAATAGAAACACATAAAGTTACGCAATTTTACACAGCCCCTACAGCACTTCGAGCATTGATGAAGCATGGAGATTCATATATCGAAAAATATGATTTATCTTCTTGTCGAATATTAGGAAGTGTAGGAGAACCAATTAATCCAGAAACCTGGAGATGGTACTACAATGTAGTTGGGAAAAAGAAATGTGCAATTGTTGACACGTATTGGCAAACAGAAACTGGAGGAATTGTTATTGCACCATTGCCAAATTTATTCAAAGTGAAACCTGGATGTGCCACTCTTCCATTTTTTGGTGTGGAATTAGAAATTATAGATTCGAAAACGTTAAAACCATTGAATGGGCCAAATGTATGTGGCTTGTTATGTATAAAAAGCCCATGGCCAGGAATGTTAAGAACAGTTTTTGGAAATCACAATAGATTAGTAAAAACTTATTTTTCCATGTGTAAAAATTATTATTTTACCGGAGATGGTGCATATAGAGATGAAGATGGATATTACTGGATATCAGGACGAATAGATGACACTTTAAATGTGTCTGGCCATCGATTAGGAGCTGCAGAAATTGAGCATGCCTTGGTTCAACATATTTGTATTGCAGAAGCAGCTGTTGTCTCCTTTCCTCATGTTGTTAAAGGAGAAGGTATTTTATGCTTTGTTGTTAAGAAGGAAGTCGTATTTTATGAATCTGAAGAACGAAAAGAACATGAAGCACATATGGAAGAATATATCGAACGAAATATAAATACAAAAAATTCAAATGCACATGTAGCATCGATTTCGAATGTAAAGGATATGGAAACGATTAAAATGAAATATACAGATGAAAAAATTATAGAAGAATTAAAATTATCTGTTAGGCGAGCAATTGGCCCTATTGCTACCCCAGATATGATTTGTATTGTTCCTGATTTACCGAAAACAAGAAGTGGAAAAATTATTAGAAGGATATTGAGATGTATAGCGAACGATTTAAATGATTTTGGCGATATTACCACTGTTGCAAATTATGAAGTTATTGACATTATTGTTAACAAATTCAGGGATTCTAAAGAGAGGCGTCAGACATAGTCCTAGTATGTGGGTACAACACATTTCTTGAACCCTTTTTGTCTTTTAATTTATTTTATTTTGTATTACTTAATTTTATATTATTTAATTTTGTACTATTTAATTTTTTTTTATTTCATAGTTTCTTGTGCTTTATTCATTTTCTGATCTCACATCCTTTTTTATGTATCCACAGATATGTGTATATATGTATATACATTATATACGTGGAGTATTCAGCACAGTATAAAAATAATCACGCCCTCCTTTTCTTCTTCTTCCTTTGCTGCTCCTACTCCTCCGTCTCCCCCTTCCTCTGAAGTATATTAACACAAATTCCATGATACTTATTTAAGACAGTGATACAGTAATAATTAAGAGTCGGGGGGTGGGGGTGGGAGACAGTAGGAGGGATATTTTTCTATGTGCCATTATAGTGCGTTGTATAGCTTTTTACGAAGGAGCAGTATACACTGCTTTCGCACGTATATCTATTATATACATATATGCACACACATTTACCTATTTAGATAAATGTGAACTAGAAAGGGTGTATATACATGCATGTACATAACCCTCCACGTGCATATAATTACGTTTCTTGTTGCTCATGCAGAGCTCTTAGGCTTATGCTTTACCAATTTGTCGTTACATGGGGATATATAATGCAACCTTGTCAACGAGGTAACAAAACAGTTAGATTGTAAACATTGTTGTTCATTTTGCACGATTTTATTGTTTAGTTTTTAAGTGCTGCATGAGTAATATTATTATCCTTTTTTTTTTTTTTTTTTTTTTTTTTTACCCATTTTTACCTGCCTACATATGTATATATATATACATATATGTATGCATCAGTTTATTTTTATTTTTCGTTTTTCACCACCTTAAATGCATTTGTTAGTAATGTTAAAATATTATAATTACATTTCCTCTACTAAGACATGTGAAAAAATGTTATTGTACATTTATAATTGCATTATTTAAGGAGTGGCAAATGCTGCCCCCCCCCCCCCCTTCTACTTGTTTAGGCACAATACTAGTAATTCTTATATGTTTGCATTTTGGGTGGAAATGTATTATTGGAGAATGTGAATATATATAATATGTAAAACTTAAATATTGTATATGTTTTTATACAAAATCTCATATTTGTCTATTTTATCAAGGATAAAATGAATAGATTAGTTCAAACAATTAACTTTTTTTTTTTTTTATCAGGTTGCATATGTATGCTATAATTATATCAGTTGTTGTGCTATATTTTATGATTATTAAAGCGAGCATTTCAAAAAAAAATATGACCATAGTCACTATTTTTATACATATGTACTTACATATAAACTGAATTTATAAGCTCCCCAATAATTTTTTTTATATAGGAAGCATATTTATTATTAATATAATGTTACGGGCCACAATATTGTTGAGCCATAATTTCTCACATTAATAATTCCCAATAATTGATTTCACTTTAACTGTTATCACTTTTAACCCATAAGATAAACGAATGATGCAATTAAAGTTTATGAAATATTTACAACACGTTGAAACGGAATGATCAGAAAATGATGGCTAATCGGAACTATATGTTAATTATTAATGCAGTCGATATCAGCATAAGTATATATATACAAACACATGTGGTTCAAAGAGCAAAAAAAAAAAAAAAAAAAAAAAACATGTGAAGTGTGTATGTGATTCCTTTCAGCAAAGCTTTAGTTCTGTCTGCATAGTAAATAACGTGGTGTCATGGATTAATACACAACATCTTTTTTTTTTTTTCTTTTTTTTTTGCAAAAGTTGTGCACCTTAAAATGGGACAATTATTATTATTATTTATTTTTTTTCTTAGGCATGTAGTATGTGATATATCCACCCTCTGCGTATACTATTTACTGTTTTTTTTATTTATATTCGTATTTTTAATTTTTTGCAAAGAACTTTTTTTTTTTTTTTAAAAGGACAAATGTTAATCAGATAAATATATGGATGCGTCGCGTTTACAGAATATCAAGGTGCAGAGCGAAAAATGGACAATCTTTTTCTATATTTGGAAATATTTTTTCCTTTTTTTTTAATTAGGCGCCTACTATTACATATGTTAGCATATGTTTAAAAGTAATTACTGTGACATGAAAAAAAAAGTTTACTTAAAATGTGTTATAATTAAAAAAAAAAAAAAAAACGCATATATATATATATATATATATTTATATATATGCATATAAACAAAGATATTCACCAATATATACACACATATATTGGAAGCTTCCTTTGTTTTCAAATAAAACGTTTATTATATTCCCCCCTTATTTTAAAATTTGCTCTTAGCTTTTTCATTATTTGGCACATCTGCCATTTCTGCGTTTCGGCATCTTCTACATTTTAAATTTACATGCAAATGTATGGGAAATATATGCATAAATATGTTGTATATGGATAAAGATGTATATATAAACATATATGCGCATAAATATGTATGAATATATAGGAACAAATAAAAAATATAGACAAATTACTTATAGATATATGCATCCACCAGTTTTTATAACAATAAGAAAAAGCACACCTTTTACAAAAGTGTTTTATAAAGCGGAATATGAGCTCGCGAGTATGTATTGTTTTTGATACATAAATGTGTGGAATATATATATGCACGCACATGTATATGTACATATTTGTATATATGTATAGGAGGAATGTATGCACATGCATGTGAATATATGAGGAAAAATGAAAGTCGTTTCTCAGTCAGTGAAACACTCGTAAATATATACATATTTGTATATATACATGTGTATTCACACGAGTGGACTCAGGATAATACAACAGCCTTGAATTTACATGTACTAACATGAATGGAAAAATATAGGAAGGGGAAGTGTGGGTATGTTAGAAGAACCACCTAAAAATGTGTATTGGTATACATAAATAATTAAATATATACGTGTGTATATACACATATTCACACGCTTAAGCACAGGGAGGTGATTAAAATGTCTCTTTGCGTTTTGTATACAAGATCACATAATTTTCTATATCATATGGGGATATACAGGATATGTGTTTTCTTATGAAAATGGAACCTATAACTAGGTTTACATTCTTAATCTTTTCTAATTATATGTCGGTTTTTCAAACGAGTTAATAATAATATTGCATCTACGCATATGTATACATATGAGGGGTGGGAGGGAGATAGAGATATGTGCACATGGCCATGCAGCTAGGAGCACATTTATAAATTAGGTAGTATGTGGCACATATACATATGTACACATAATATGAGTTTTGTTGGCAAATAAAGACATACATGTGCACATGTGTATGCACGTGGAACAAACGGAGATGATCTCAACAGCATGGGACATGCAAATATATACACGAATGGGATGTAACTATGTATACATAAGTACATGCACACATACCGTACATGCATACTACGAATGCAAAATTATAAATTAAATCTCGTGCTCAAATCGTTCAGCATGTCGTCAGGTATTGGAGAGGAAAGGGAATCGCTCGTTGAATTATAAATTTCTTTCCAATGATTCGGGTATTTTTGTTTCATGGTAGATAAAAATTGATGAAAAAATATATTTACATTCTGCGATACGTACCTATATTTTAATATGATATAAGCAATGTCTCGCAAATTTTCGGCCGCAATATCTAGATTTAAATAAAGCGTTTCTAATATAGCTTTGAGTGAATTAATTTTTTCATTTTCTTGTGTACCATGAGCCATTATTTTTAACCACGTTTTTAAAAATTGGGGAATATAAAAAATGATTTTTTTTGGATAGGTGGAGGATAACCTACCTAAAGTTATGCAAATATTTTGTAATAAGCAACCATGATATTTAGAATTCTGACAAATGTATATAAGCTGTTTAATTATTTCATCAACATATATTTCCATGTATTGTGGGTCGATATGTATACTAATTTCTCCAATAGCCCAACTTGCGTTATTTGAAACAGGTGTAGATGGATGTGTAATATGTGCAATAAGAAATGGGATAATATCATTCAAATAGGGTATTAAATGTTGTGCACAAAATCTAGATATATCTCCTATCAATGCAAAATTAGATTGTAATATACCAAAATTCAAAAAGTGTTTAGCTAATTCTGTGCGTTCATCATCATGCTCTCCTACTCCTTCTTTTCCTATTAACATTCTTCCATTCTTACTAGTTGATGATGATACTAATGATGTGTTATCTTCTGTTGTTCGAACCATTTTATTAAAATCCTGACTAATTATTAACTTACTATTTAAGACACCATCAAACTTTATATTTTCAAATTTTAAGCAATATCTATGTACTAGTGGTATAAAATTATACTCATTTTCACTTATAATATTCACAATATTCGAATTAATAACACTTAAAATTCTTGATAATAAATCAAAGCTACATTCAATTAGATCCTTTTTCTTGGATGGAGAAATAGAATCGACATCTTTCAAATTCGTAAAATAGTCCTCATTTGTAATTTTATAATAAGCTAATAATTCACTAGCTGTTACAGATATATTATTTCTATTAACAATAAATGAGTTTGTGTTTCCTGATTTTTTACTATAGTAATATTTTATCTCCTCTTCTAAATCTATGTATAATAATACCAAAAACTTAATACAAGTTCTTATGACATTTTTTGCATATTTTAAAAAATCTTTTCCATATGCACTAGTAATACATGACATACATTCCATTAAGGCTATAATATGTGGGCTACTAATACGTATATTATTCCATTTTAATAAAATGGAATTTACAATTTCATGTGCTAAATCATTATTCTCTTTCACAATATTTACACTATCAATCAAGGTTCCAACTACATCGAATAATATAAAATAATTCTTCGCTTGATATATTTGGAATGCTTGTTGAATCGTATGAACAATTTCATGTAAATAATTGTTGAGTAAATCTAACGCATCTTCCTCCAAATTTGCAAATGAGGAACATGCTGCTTCTTGTACTCTTTTATTTGTATCTAGAATTCTTTTTAACAAATTTAATAAAACGGGTTCAAACCATTTGTCACAATTATCTGGATGACATATCCAGGATGAAAATCTTGTTACACACCAACAAGAAATGCTTCTTGCTAAAGGTTTCTCATCGTTTAATAATTTTATTAAATATTCTAATACTTTGGGAATAAATGGTGATAAACTGTACATACAACCTTTTGCTATAGCCCCTAGGGTTAGCACTGCACTTTCCCTCATATTCCACTTATCACTCATCAGCTTTTCCTCTATATGGGGTAAAATAAATTCTAATATTTCATCGTTAAACACATTGGATAAGTAATCTAAGCACAAAGCAGCCCCTTTTCTAACAGTCCAATCATTTCCCCACGTTCTAGCTGTCATATCATCCATTCTTTCACCCTCATCATCCTCACTCAAGTCATCCATGTTGTCATTATTCGTCAATTCATTTGGATGCATCATTCCTCCTGTGTTCGTACTCCCAATATTATTCACATTACTGTTATTACTATTCCTATTTCCATTTCGAGTGTTACTTCCCATATGCGTATGGATATCATTGGAATTCATTTTGTTCATCTTTACTTCACCTTGCATTTGGTGCTGTTGAGAGTTAATATCATTATTTTTATTATTATTGTTGTACAACTCTGGAGAAATATCCTGAATCAAGTCAGGTACATTTGCGTTATCATTTTGAAAATGAGATTCATCCATAGTTAAGTAATCCCACTTGGTATATACTGTATTATCTACCAATATTTTGCACAAATATGGTAAATAATTTTTTAATACTTTCAGAGCTTCATTCCTTAATTCGTTCATATTTTTATAAACATTTTCATCGATGTAGTTGTCTGTTTTGTTAACATCAACTATTTTATTATTATTATTATAATTCGAATACGCAATATAGCTCCTATCTTTAATAAATACTGGCCAGAATTCTAACGCTTCCAATTGAACCTTTCTATCACATGAGTTGGTTGCATTTACCATAAATTGTATTATTGCATCTAGATTGGTAAATATAGAGGAATATCTTGTATCTGTAATGATGGTCATACATGTTACGACAATTTTTAAAATTTGTGTATCTTCTTCTGAAGCTAGATATCCTAAACATTCCCATAGTTGGGGAAAATAATCATTAAAAATACCATTCGTTGTAAAACAGGATGAAGTTATGAATAAATCGAGACATTCAGCAGCATATTTTTTTTTTATACTTTTTTCTTGTGGTGAGCAATATGTGAATAATTTTTGTAATAACTGTGTTTTGCAAAATTGAAAAAAAAAAGAATCAGCGTTTTTTCTATTCATTAATTCATCTTCAATTATTATTATAATAGCACGAAATGCTCCATCTACTACATCATTATTTCCACGTTCAATCAGTAGTAATAAATTATATAATGCTTCCGGCCATTTATCTATACCTTCATATTTTGTTAATATAGTTGTTATTACAGAACCTGATGTATTCCTTATTTCTTTTACTTCATCTTCTACTGACTTGAAAATTTCATTCTTAATTATTTTTAAAATTTCATTGTTTAAAAATTTATTTTTAGAATTTATGTAATTTTTTAATAATAATCCTCCAACTTGTCTCACATCATTTTTCTCTTGCTTGTTCATAAATATATGTAGCAAGTACAATGCTGCATCTGCTACATTTTCATTTAGGTCTTTTAAAATTTTCGTAACCTCAATTTGGACACTGTTATTCGAGCTGTTACATGACGATTCTAGTGCCTCAATTATGGTTTTATATATTTTTTCATTGGGCTTCCATTCTATGTACGAATTACTATTATCAAAACAGTTGTTATGCATTTTCTTGCATTCACATATACATATATTTGCGATATAGAAGTTGCACGAAATGTGTATTTGAATTTTTACTTCGATGGGGTCTTGTGTTGAAAAAGCGTAGTGGGAAAGTGTGGTGCTTATTTGTTCACGATGCTATATATATATGCTTTTACATATATTGATGTGCATATATATATATATATATATATATAAATAGTTATATATACTCATGATGTGTATACACTTCTATATTTACATTAAGAACAAATGGAGTCATAACAAAGAACAAATACATTAGATGAAAAAAAAAAATATATTAATAAACTTTAGGTAAATTTTCACAATACAGAAAAAATAAAATAATAATAATAAAAAAAAAAAAACCAGCATGCATGCGTACATGTAGGTGCAAGTATTAATTCAATTAAAAATCTAATTATATTTTGGTGCAAGTAAATGTATATAATGTTGATGTACTAACAATGTCGGTATATATATCTGCTTATATACATGCATATTTTCTTACACATGTACATACAGGAAGACTTTTAAGCATGAATTTTGGGATACATATACAAATGAATACACATATGTATGTACCAATGTAATGATGAAAGTGTTTTTAATTTTTTTTATGTTTTTTGTCAAACATATGTAGAATAAAAATACAAATTTCAAAATTACATCTATAAAATATGAAACACAAAGAAAAAAGCACAAAAAAGAAAATCGAAAAATATAAAACGAAAAATTAATACTACAAATAAAAGGCACAAAATAAGGGCACAAAACAGGTGACACAAAATAGAGGCACAAAATAGGGGCACAAAATAGGGGCACAAAATAGGGGCACAAAATAGGGGCACAAAATAGGGGCACAAAACAGGTGACACAAAACAGGCGGCACAAAACAGGTAGCACAAAATAGGGGCACAAAACAGGTAGCACAAAACAGAGGGTAAAAGAATATATATAATATAACACAAAAGAAGCCACGGACTTTTTGATATGCATTTATATACACGAATGCATTTCTATATTTTCTTCTTTATATGATTTGTATACATATCTTCATATACAATCACAAGGATACACATATGTATGTATCTTCACTTATTCGTCATTTGGTGTGGCATATACATATCGTTTCATGCAAAAAGGGATGGTAGATATGAATGGCTGTTATACATATAAGTTATGCGTAACACTATCACGCGTGTGGATTATGCTTAAATTGTACATATAATATATATATGATACGCAATTATAAGGTATGTGCAAATAAATATTTATGCATATAAATTTCTATAAAATTGTAAAAATTTTAATTAAAAAAAGTTATGAAGCAAAAATAAATTGAAAAAAAAAAAAATTTTAAATAAGAAGCATGCGAAGAAATAATATGTATATGTACTACATCAAATTAATTCACGGCAAATATGTAAGCGCTTACCATATGAATTAATAATCAACATTAACGTAAAAAAATGTAATATGTGTGGTGGGTGCGGAGTATAATCGTTTTACGCATAAATATAATATGCATACGGTATGTCATGTATGCATATAACAATGTACTTAAGAAGAATGTTTTATTCATGCATTGTGCATGTATAATACTATCATACAAAAATATATGCAATACATAAGCGTGATATAAATATATAAGCAAAATGTTATTCACATCATGAACTTTAAGTTCAAATAGAAGCATAGAGGTAAAACTTTGTGATATATTATCTCTGTTATACATGTATATATATATATAAATATCTCTGTATATAAGTATATCTCTGTATATAAGTATATCTCTGTATATAAGTATATCTGTATATATTGAAAATGAAAATGGCAAAAAAAAAAAAAAAAAAAAAAAAATCAAGGCTAGTGTTTCCCTAAATTCAAAATCATTATCTAAAATAAATCAAATTTACTCGTTTTATTTGCTCTTCTACGGAAAATATGTTACACAATTTTTTTAATTTATTTAATTTGTTAAATATGTTTGGCATTCTTCGTATGGTTATAGGATAAAAGGTTAATTTTTGTTAATTTCGTTAAATGCACTATAACGCTGAATGCGCTGCTATATATATGCTTAAATGCGTTAAATGTTCTAATATGCTAATAAGTCTGCTTATGTTAAATTTGCTTACTTTTTTAATTCCTTTGTATTCTTTGTAATTTTCTCTTTTATGGAGCCCAATATCCACCTTCACATTTATAAATTGTGACAAATACTATTCTAGAAATTAAATACATCATACATACACATATATATATATATATATATACTTTACATATATCAGTATATATTATATATGTGTTTTTTTTTTTTACCCCCGTAAGTTAGAATAAACCAATAATGTAAAATAAAATGATAAGTTCAATTAAAATTTAGTTCTCATGTATGATTTTTTTTTTTTTTTTTTTTAATTGTTGCATACTCTTTTTATTGAATGATATGAAATTAAAAAAAAAAAAAAATGAATAAAACAAACTACTTGGAAAAACGTTACTTTTACTCACGAATATACATGAACATAGTGTCGAATTGGAACAATATATAAAACTACAAAACCTAGATTACGGGGGAAAAGAAAAATTATGACATTTTCCCCTAGGTCATAATTTCGAAGGTTTTTATTCATTTCTAGATAAACTACATATACGATAATAACGACGTGCCGCATTCATATATATATATATAATATATGCATTAAAAATATATGCTGACGTTATTTATATATATTATGTGAAAAAAAAAAAAAACAGTATATATTATAAAAAAGTGGAATTTACATTTTTCGTATTTAAAAAAAAAAATAATAATAAAATAAAATAAGTACTTTTTTAAAAATAAATTTCCAGTTACAAGAAAGAATTATTTTATTACTAGAATGAAAAAATACCCGTAAAAATATAATTGCCAACACAAAATAAGAACAATGTTTTAATAAATTATGAAAAATAAAAAAGGAGGGAACTTGTTAAAATTTTCTAATTTTCCCCAAATTATTTAATCATTAATAAGAGGTATAATTATGTATGTAGCAAGTAACGAAGTATTAATTTAACGACCAAGAAATAAGAAAATTATTTTTCTACAATTTTCGTGTCGATTAAAATATAAGGAAACATTATTTTATGACTCTTCTAAGGTAAGAATAATACTATTTTATCTCTTTGCAGTCATTCTATGTTATTATAAATTTAAAATAAAAAAAATCGGAATTTTACTCTATATTTAATCGCAATCATTTATTACATTCATGTCAATGTGGTATGCTAAAATAAAATGATGGAGAAGCAATACATAAATGTATATATATATATATATATATATATATATATAACGTATGCTTAATAATAAGCAATTTTGTAACTGTGTTACAAAGTCACTTCACATTCGGTACACGTACAGAGGAGTGAGAACATGTCCAAACAAACGATTTTAAATTAATTTCAAAGACCACACTACTACAAACAAAATCAAAGGTCGAACTCTTTCTTTACATTTTATTCTTTTACAATAAACATGAACCATATTACAAACAATACTGTGTGTTCTTTCAATGTTTTGTACTTTATCCTATACACACATAAAATGGTACATCGCGCCTTTAATTTGAACGTTTTTATTAAAAGTCACTAATCGTTCGTTGTATGATTTTGATATACCTGTTATTAATTGTAACGTGTACACATGATTATATATATACATATAAATATATATATGTGAGTGTTCATTTATTTTGGGATATATTAGGACTCAGGTCTAGTGCTGTCTTTTTTATTAAAATTGTGAAGCAAATGCTCCATTTTTTGAAAAAAAAATTCCGTGCACATTAGCTTTAAGGAACTACGTCAAAGGTTACGTGCGTTTTATATATACACGCATACAAGACATTTTAAATTGTGCAACCATCATACGTAGATTGCAGATTATGCACATTTAGTTATTACATTTTATCTCAATAATTAAGAAAACTTAAATATTGCATTGAATTAATTGCGAGCATGAAGAAAAATAATGTATAATAATAGAGATAGATAGACTGAAGGTGAAAAGGGGAAAAAAAAAAAAAAATTCATGTTGATGATAGCTTTACCTTGCTTAAACCCCATGGAGAGAAAAGGTAAATTTATCAAGTAATACTTAAAATTAAACGAAAACATCATCAGCCAATATTCTAAGGGTATTCGTTAAGGCAGATGACATGATTTGATTTAGTTTAAAAAAATTAAGTTGGTCTTTGTCGTTCTCCTCCGAATTTTTTTCGTAATTCATATTTACACTAGTGCTATTAGCATTTTCTAATGAGGTATTATTATTTCCCATAGAAATATTAGTAACATTGGTGAACTTGTTTATGCCTTCACTTTTTTTTACTAATTTTGTTTTGGTGAACATTTTCAGTTTTTCATTATCACATAACTCTACTTTTTCAATAATCGTTGATACATCGCACCTTTTTATATTATCATCTCCCCCTGAAAGTGAATTATATTGTTTATCATTTGAATCAAGCGATAACTCTTTGTCTTCAAATGGGTTGTTTTTTTCTGTGTTTGTTTGTTCACATGGTATATTTTCACATGATTCTTCAATATGGTGATCTTTTTTCCTGATATGATCATGTCCTGTTGTTTCTACACTCCTTGCGCATGATCCTCGACCCTTTTGAACACCCGAATTTTTCGCCTTCCTCCGAACACTGTCGTGCATATAATGTGTTATAACTTTCTCTGGGAGGGAATACAAGGGCTTCATGTTTTTTATAACATCTTTATTGCTATTTTGTGTTCTGTATTTATACGATTTGTCAATATTTTTATCAAAATGAACTTTAACATGAACATTTTTTATTAAATTGGTCGCCGATGGTAACTGTAAAATTGGTGGGTCAATGTTTGCACTCTCAGGATTTATTAAAGGTGCATTTAGAATGCTAATACCCCCTATCCCATCAATGGCACCAAGGGTAAAAGCTCTTTTTTTTTGGGGGGAAATGTAATCTTCATAGTTTGTTAAATCTGTATTTATTTCATAAATATCTTGTTTTTCTTTTATTTTTTTATCAAATTTGCTTTCTAGAATGTGATGCATATAGTTTATTTTATTGTCATTTTTATTTTTCATGTTCTCCTTTGCATAATTCATTTCGTCATCTTTCATTTTTTTTTTCAAGTGTCTTTCACCAGTTATATTCACTTTTTTTAAAAATGCGGTAAATGTTTTTACTTTTCACAGATTCTTCTTGTGGTCCTCCCTTACAAAATTAACACTCCAGGAGTTCAATTTCTTATCTGTACGTTTATGCATGCGTAAGTAATATGTACATACATACGTACATTTGTATATTTGTATAAATATATATATATGTGGGCCTTTTCTGTGTTTCCTGATTTTCAAAGGGGAAAATTCTTTAACTATTTTATCAGTATCATGGAGTTTTTTCCTCTCCTTTTTCGTCTTCTAGTTTCCGTATGTTCATTTATTTATAACATGTGCACTTGTGTGTATATTTGTCTGAATTCATTTAAGCAGTATCATCCAAAGTATTTTTAATTATTCTCTTTGTACTTTCAAACACAATAATTTACCTTCCTCTACATAATGTTATGTGCATATCTGAAAAGGCAGTGTTAAAGCGTACGTACCGCTTGTGTATATTTTGTCATTATTTAAATTTTAAATATTACAAAAAAATAAAAATAAAAATAAAAAACTTTATATTGTAAGAATATATGTACAGGTGATGATATAAGCATACTACAAAATTGTGCTACATTTTGGTATATCTTGGAAAAAAAAAAAAAAAAAAAAAATTAGTGTACACACACGTATGTATTGCAGACTGGTGTATAACCCTAAATATGAAACAATTTTCAAAATATTTGACACATAAAACTATGTTTTTAGAAAAAAAGTTGAAAAAAAAAATGTCAAAATGTAGTCTTAAATGCAACTGTTACATTCTCAGTGCTGCTGCTTTTTCTTCAGTTTGTCGTTGAAAAATAGCAAGGTTTCTACATTTTTTTTCCTTTTTTATTTTTTTTTTGTTTTGCATGCGTTTCTCATTGCTATAGTATTTGCCCACAAAAAATGAATTGTTGAATCGCTGAAGTTGTGGTGCATATTCGAAAATATGTTTGCAAATAAATATGTGTACATGCATATATGTATTATATATGCCCCTTGGTTAAATTTGAAAGTGCTATTTATTGCGTTTTCTAATCATTCATATTTCACAACGCACATGGATAGGCACATTAACAGTAACAACGAAGAGAAAAAAAAAAAAGAAAAAAAAAAAGTTTTTTTTGAGATATAAAACATAAAAAAAAATCAGCGAATGCATATATTTTATACAAACAACAAGGTATTATTTTTAAATTCACGTACAGGAACAATATCCCTTTTGAAGTTATAAGCATATTTTATGGGTTACCCTTTTAAGTAAATTCTTACGTAACAAAACTTGTAGCATCTACGAAATCAGAGGAAATCACCATGAGCGGAAAAAAAACAGCCTTAGTTGTAGTGGTAAGTGATCGCTATTGTGTTTAATTGCGAATTTCTTGAAGAAAAGCTGGCCAAACAGATGACAGCGTGCACATCTATCGTACATACATACATAAATACATTACTATCATGCAATTGGTACACATTTATTTTTACCCTTATGTCGAATTAGTTACCCGTCATTAAAACAAATCTCTAGCAGTTCATTTTATATATTTAAATTTTATTTATTTACATTATTTTTTTATATTATTTATTTATTTATTTTATTTTATTTTTTTTTTTTTGCTATTTTTTCATTGTAACAACTGTTTACACCTAAGGCATCAGGATCCGAGGATGTAGAATACATCACAACGGTCGATGTGTTAAGAAGAGCTAGTAAGGAAAATTTTTCATTTATACACCTTTGCAACTGTATTTATGCGTATTCTGTATATTTACAATACAACAGTTTTTTTTTTTTTTCGAAATTGAGGAAATTATATATAAATGATACACAAAGAGAGAACACCAGGAATTTTTTTCATGGGAGTGTAATATATGTATATATTGCGAGGGTCTATGTAACATTTATATATTTTCTATATAATCATTTTTCATAAATATTAATATTTCATATATGTTCATTTTTCATATATGTTCATTTTTAATACATATTCATTTTTAATACATATTCATTTTTAATACATATTCATTTTTCATATTTATTTTATTTTTTTTCACTCCTTTGCGTTAAAGACATAAGTGTGACAACGGCATCGGTTGAAGAAACAGAGAAGGTGTGCCTCCAATCAAAGAATGTTATCATTGCTGATACAATAATTGATAAAGTAAAAAACAATATTTATGATGTAATAGTTATTCCAGGAGGTATGAAAGGATCGAATGCAATATCCAATTGTAGCACAGTTATCGAAATGTTGAAGGAACAGAAAAGTAGTAACAGATTTTATGCAGCTATATGTGCAGCACCCGAAACTGTTCTACATCGTCATTCCCTAATTGATGATGTTGAGGCAGTGGCATACCCATCGTTTGAAAGCGAGTTCAAGCATATCGGTAAGGGAAGAGTATGTGTATCAAAGAACTGTATAACATCTGTTGGTCCAGGGTCTGCTGTAGAATTTGCACTTAAAATTGTCGAAATGTTATTAAATAGGGATACAGCCCTTAATCTTGCTAACGCTTTTCTCCTTCACCCCTCTGTGAACTTTTAATTGTATAAAACTTTTTTTCCTACATAATGCAAAAATATATTCATGGAACAAAACGCACATTAATATAACCCTTCTGACCATTAGGTCTTATTTTAATGAGGGCAGGAAATTATAACATAAACATATATACACTTACGATCATGTGAACACGAGTACATATATACATACACACAAATACATGTTCAAACACACATATATGTGCCGCTCTTTTCCATTTTCCATTAAACAATATTATTTAATTGTTAAGCAATATTTTTTGAATATATCCCTTTTTAATTTACTACATTTTGAAGAAACAACTAAAGTTTATTCTAATAAAAAACTGTATTAAATAAAGATCGATACCCCACACCCCCTGCTAAAAGGGTAAAGAGGGGGTGGTGGTGTGGGGAAAAGCCTCACATTAAATTAAATATTAAAACATATGTATGTTCATTTTTTCAAAACATTCAAGTTCTTCGTTATTTAGATAAAATATCCCTTCTAAAAAAAAAAAAAATTAAGTTACAACTATGAGGAATACGTAAAAGAATTAAAAAAAAAAAAAAAACATCCTTATTTAAAAACACACTATAAAAGTTACGAGAAAATGAGCTGTGCAGAAAAGAATATATATAGAATTGGATGAATTTTTTTTTTTTTTTTTTTTTTTTAAAGCAACTGCAATTTTTTTTTTTCTTTTTTAAATGAGAACTTTTTCTTCTGTTTCACAAAAAATACCTTTTTTGAGTTTTAAAGAATATCATACATACACATAGAATTTTGAATGTTTTAAAAGTCCATAACATTTAAGATACATATATTTACTAATATATATAATATATACATATTTCTACACTACATATATGTTGCAAGGTAAGAATGTAATATAAGCGACTCTATCTGCCCACAAAAAAATATAAAAAAATTAATTAAAAAAAATAAGAAACAACAGAAACGAAAGCCTGACATATAAGGTATGTATAAAATTATTTTTGACTGAAGTTCAAAGTGAAAATTCTTTATAGCAAAAAATGAATTTAAATAACAACTCCAATGAAAGCAATTACCAAAACAGACATAAAAATAACATTCTATTAAATGATAAATACATAAATTTTAAAATTTTTAAAAAGGGGGAAGAATTAAGTGACCAAGAGAAAATATTTTTAAAAGTCCACACATACTTATATGAAGGAATTATACCTAAATGTATCGGAATGGGCATTGGTGGTGGATTTGTGGGTGTTTTAATAGGTACATTTTTCTTTAGTATGCAACCAAATAACATAGACTATACTTTAGGATATAAGGAACAACTTAAGGAGCAATTTCATATGTTTAAACAATCAATAAAAAGCACCTGTCTCAATTTTGCAAAAATAGGATTTTTATTTTCCTTTTATGAAAACTCTTTACAAAAAATTAGAGCAGCAAATGATATAACAAATATATTATATTCTGGCTGCCTAACAGGAGCTACTATTTCTTACAAAAAAGGATTGCCTTCTATGGTTGGTGGATGTGCCAGCTTTGCAGCTTTTTCTGCTTTTATTGAAAAATTGCAAAAGTCTAAAAAATTTTGATGCGTTTTTCTTTTTTTCATTTTTTGTTTCTTTGAAAAATATCTTTTTTTTATTTCATTAAACTTTTTTAATTTTTAAAATTTTAAATTTTTTTTTTTTTTTTTTTTTTTGTACATTAATGTGTATTCATCTTAAATACATTGATTTTCATTATTTACGTATACCTGCATACGTATATATACATATAAACGATTTATATGTGTAAGTTTCACTCCTCACAACCACTATATTTATGATCAATTTTGAAAAACACCCCTTGCCTTTCACTTATGTAAAAAAGAATAATAAGCCCTAATGGCGCATGTAACAATCAAAATGATTATCACAAAATAAAATTTTGAAAAAACGTGTGTGTTAAAAGAGCTAGTCAAAAATGAGTAGCAAAAAAGGTAATCACAAAAGTGTAATTATACAGGGGGTACATATAACAACTTAAGTTTGAAATAATTCGATTATATTAATAACATTAAAGCATAAGAACTGAGGTATTATTTACATTCATAAAGTTTTATGATGATCTACACTTGGAAGGCGTAAATTTTGGATTTGCTTTGCAACAAAGAAAAAACTTTTGTTTAAAAAAATGTGTAATTTGAAGGAAAACTAGTATAACGAGAGAGCTCTTCTAAATCAATACTAATATTTCATATTATTCAAGTGATTTTTTCGAATATGTACAATGTAGAAATGAATATATATATTTTTTTCGCTAGGTAATAAATAACCACATATGGTAGTATTCATTCATACGGGATGGTTTGCCAAAATAAAGCGTTCACAAAATATGCGCTCTAAATTGACAATGGGCATATATGTGTAACTTAATAATAGAGAAACTTCTTCATCATTTTTTTATTTTATACTTCATATTTCAATATTTTTTAAAATATGTTTTTTTAGGAAGAGAGCATTTACCCTTTCTTCTTATTGAAGAAAAAATTAGTAATAACTGTTACTTTTTAGGGCACACCAACTGTATGTATTAGTATTAACGCTATCATTGTTCTTTTTTTTTTTTTCTTTTTTTTTTTTTCTTTTTTTTTTTTTTCACTTTTAACTATTTTCCCCATCAAACAAAAGGAGAACTATATGAGAAGTACAAAAAAGGGAACTGTAGTTTAAAACTTTTTTCGCAAGAAATTGGGAATTTACTTCGATAAGTAATTTAACATAGCATATATTCCATAGTTTTTACAATGTCAATTTATACATAAGTACTTGTGACTCATCCCCATAAACCGATGGATTTTATTTTTTGTAAAAATAAGCCAATGGTATATCTACAAATATAATTTTTGAAAAATCAAAAATTTTAGGACACATAGGGTGCTTAATATTGGAAGGAACACTATTTTAAATCCTCATAAGGGAGACATAATAATCAAAAATTGTAAAAAATAATATTCTACTACGAATAGAAACACACATACCTACTATAGCATTTATATACACAAATAAAAAAAATATATACTAAGCCTCCCGTATATTTGCTTGTGTATACATGTACATATAGGAGCACACTATCCATATATACCTATACAATTAATCGGTTAAGAAAAAAAAAAAAAAAATCACTTTCCAGCGTTATTGATAAAATTTGAAAGTGTAATGGGCCATTTCCATATTAAAAACATTTTCTTTCATTCGTGTTATTATCCCTATTCTTTAGAAGTGTAAAGTTAAACGCATCCTCCTTTTACACCTTAAATAAATTCATTTAGGAAATTCTCCCATCTTGTTAAATACTAAATCAAAAAGAAAAAAAAATTCCATATCAAACCTATAATGGGGGTTAATATTCTTTTCCATGATAAACTGAAATAGCTGAATTGTTCATTTTTATTTATAATAAAGTGGGCGTCAATTATATGGATGAAATAAAATTGTCATTTCCAAAACTTTGCTATTTTTTTTTTTTTTTTTTAAAAAGTCATTTTTAATATATTTTTTTAATATAAACATTTTTGTTATTTAAATCTATAAAAAAATTTGTGAACAAATTGTATTTTGGTTCATGAAAATTCCTTAAAAAAAATGCGCACGGAAATATATTATTAATATTAAAACAATGGTTTTCTTTTTTATTATGCAATTTTTTTTTTTTTTTTTTCTTCCCACTTCAGACATATGTACATTTCAAATATATAAATATATATAATTTTTGTTTTCCTTTTTAAATTTTTCTTTTTGATAAAAAAGGCAAATTTTTTTACATATATATGTATCACAGCTTAAACACTCGTTGTCACTAAAAAAAAAAAAAAAAAAAAAAAAATTAAAATATATTTGAAAAAATAGCGGAGCTTTTAATAATTTTTTTTAAGTGAAAAATGAAAGGAAACCAATATTTCTGCTACTACTTGTCATGAGTTTTTTTTTTTATTTTTTATTTTTTATTTTTTTCTTTTATTAATATTCTTGAGGAACATGCTGGGACAAATATATATGCATGTATACGGAAGAAATGCTTACACAATATTTCGTATATATATATATGTATATATATTTATGTTAACCCATTTTGTATCTTTTTACGTTTCCTGTATAATAAAAACCATTTTAAACTTCTATGAAACAACAAATCCTTCTTTGCAAAACTGATGTGATATAATCAATCACATACACTATACAATAAAGGCATGGAAAAACAAGAAACGATGTTTACGCGTGAATTTTTTTACGCTGTATTAAAACACACACGTTTCAGTTCAATTTAGACCTCTAGAATATTAAACAAAAAAATAATAAATAAAATTAAGCGTTTATTTGCTTTTCCATTGCATAAGGAAACAAAAGAACCCTGCAAGAATAAGGATTTTATACAATTCTTAAGTATAAGAAAAGGAGGGGGAAAAAAAAAAAAAAAAAAATATTTTTTTTTTTTTTTAAAAAAATGATTAAATGAAAGTTAAAAATGAATGAAAAAGAAAACGAATATGATTCACTATATGATGTAATATACGATTATGATATTAATGAAGAATTCTTAAATGATAATAACAACCTTCAATCTGCAAAAACTGTACAAGAGGACATAAAAAATAAGTTAAATGTGAAAAGAGAAAACTTAGAAGATGAGTTGTTAAAAAATGTATACAAAAATGATAGATCAAATGATGAAAAACAACTCTTCTTATCTTCACAATCGTCATTACAGATAAACAACAAAAACAGCACATATGTAAGAAAAGACGAAACCGAGGGTCATTTATCTACCCAGAATAATATCCTAGACGATGTTAAAGATAATGAAGTAAGCACGGACAATATTAACCATTTTGAAAAAAAAGAAAATTTGGCACACTTAAAAAATAATATAAAATATAACAATAATAGTAGTGTCACTTGTATGCACAGTGATGCTTGCACATGTGATAATAAGAGAGGAAATTTTGTTGATAAAAGAACACGTGAAAAGGCAACAATTATGGACACAGAAAAAGAAGACAACGAATCATTAATTTATAGTGAACAAATGGATAAAGGAAATACGCCAGATAGTTTTAGTAGTAATTGTAGTGGTAGTATTTCAACTGTGACCACTGTACATGTCGAGAGAACAACAACAAGTTGCGAAACTTGTAATGAAGAAGAAAAAAATCTTCATCAAGACAAAGCATCATCCGATTGCAAAAGTAAACATAGTGCACATGATGTCACTGTAGGTAAAAATTGCAACAACTTAGTGAATCGTAAAAAGAGATTATCTAAAAGTAGTTCTAAGGAGGAAGAATCCCCAATTGAGGATTTTCGAACAGTTAATAATGATGCGAAGGAGATTGGGCATTACAGTACAAACGTTATGATAAAAGATAGAGAAGTAAAGGAAAAGCACAAAAAAGTTAAATTCAGAGATGATACAAATGAAGAAAATCCAGATAGCAAAGTAGAGGCAGAAAATGAACAATACCCTAATAAAGAAGAACAAAACAAGTTCGAAGAAGGAAGCACAAAAAGTAAAGACATTGAAAATACAGAACACAGTAATAATAGTAATAATAATAGTAGTAATAATAGTAGTAGTAATAGTTTAAGTAATAATAATAATGATGGTAGCACTCGGGGAGAAAGAAACAATGTGGAAGAGAATTCTAAAAAAAACACAACATCAGAAAATGATGGTAGATGCACATTTGAATGCAACGTTTGTTTTGATGATGTAAGAGATCCAGTTGTTACGAAATGTGGTCATCTGTTTTGCTGGCTTTGCATTTCGGCATGGATTAAAAAAAACAATGACTGCCCTGTGTGTAAAGCTGAAGTTTCTAAGGAAAATGTAATACCGTTATATGGAAGGGGTAAAAGCAGTAGTGATCATAAATATTCGAATGCAGAAGAGCCTAGGCCAACTCCTAAAAGGAAAGAAAGTGTACGAAGAAATAATAACTATTCTAGTAATTTTGGGTTAAGGGCATCATTTGGTGTTTGTGTTAATCCTTTTTCCTTTGGCATGTCCTATACCAACATGTCAGAAGAACCGCATTTTTATGGAAACGGTGGTGACAACAGAACCCAAGCAGAAACATACCAAGCAGAAGCTGCTTCATCCTTTTTCTTTTTTTTGGGATTTTTCCTGTCACTCTATATTTTGTTTTATTCTTCATAGCATATTTGTACATATATATATATTCATATGCACATAAGGGGGAGAAGATAAATTCTTCAGAAGTAGAAGAGCATACTACAGGGATGTTGATACATCCTCCTTCACATGCACAAATATGGGCATGGAAATTCCCCCATGTGTGCACATTTTGTTATTAATTTTTTTTTTTTTTTTTTTTTTTTTGATCATCTCCTATCCCCCTCATATACCCCACCACATTTTAATTCATTGTATTTTTTCTTCTTTCTTTTGCAAATACTTATATTTCGCACTTATATAACATATGTGGATGCGTGCGATTATCCCAATAGGATTACTGGCCGCTCGACACGCACGCGCTAGACATGTATATTTATATGTATAACAGTGATCTTGATTATGCGAACAACTATCCCGTTTTTCAGCAAACCTATTTAAAAGTTTGAAGGTGCTTGAGGAGAGGTTACTTTAATATTTCCCCTTTTTTTAAATCGTCTACATATGCGTGTTCATATATATATGTACATGCACATGTATATGTATTTACTCATCCTTTTTCACATTTGATTTTCAATTTTAGCGTATAAAGTGTAAGAGCAAATTTAAACATTTCCATCACATAAAAACAATTGTTTTTGAATTTAGTTTTATGTAGAACAATCATTATCCACATGTCACAAGCTTACATGTATATAAAATTTCGCGCACACATACGTTAATTACTTACATACACGCATATATATATATATAATGATTTCTGGTTAAGTTTCCTTTTTTTTTTTTTTTTTTTTTTTCATTCATTCGATTAGATATAAACTATTTGAGAACACATTGGTTTTTTTTTTTACTGTTCTAAAAATGTTCCAACGAACTTAGTGTAAATATGGTGTATACGTTAAATATGTGTAACTAGGTGTAAATCTTTTTTTTTTTTTTTTTTAACTTATCTGATATCACAAAAGTATATATTACACTTTTTTTGTTAGGTACTATACGCGCAATATTTGATTAGCAACAAAAAAAAAAAAAAAAAAAAAAAAAAAAAAAGATTAAGCGTTTTTTTCTTTTTAAAAATTGAATTGACAAATGATTGTTTTATAATTTTTGTTTTTTTTAGCAAAAAATTATAGTAGTAAAAAAAAAAAAAAAACAAAAACAAACAAAAAGAAGCAATAAAGAGGAATACTTATTACCCAGAACAAGGAAAAGTCTTATTTAAACTGTACACATTATACAGAAAAAGAGACTCATAAAAATGGAGGTACCTTTTTGTATTTTCACAAAATTGGACATGTCATTATATACATGGGACGTAGATAACTAATGTCTAGATATATGTTTTAATTTTTTAATTTATTTGTCCATTTCTTCTTTCCCTTCACATAGCAAGTTTCTGTTCCTTAATTATTTTGTATATGTATATATATGTGTGCATGTGTGCATGTGTTCATGTATGCATGTTTACGTATGTATGCATTTATGTATGTACGTATGTTTGTATGCATGTATGGACATATGTATGTACATGTTTCTCCCTTTTATACACAATTCAGGAACTAACAAGCGAAATCGAATTAACTTCCCTTTTTATGAAACTATCTGTAAAGAGAAAAAATTTTGTGTGTTTAATATGGATATTTTTAAAGAAATATCAACGTTGATATAAATTCCATATACTCATTATTGTCCACTAGTAAAATTACATGTTCATTACAAATGCAACACAATTGTTGTTATGTTTTTTTTATCTATATGCACATGATGATACATTTTTGCCTGATCTGTTCTCATTCAGGATGGTTCGAAAACTGTAAATTCTGAGAATGCATTGGAGATTGTGTATAAGTTGGTGAGTACTCAAAAAAAAAAAAAAAAAAAAAAAAAAAAAAATTATCTGATGAGATTTAACATTTTTGAAATGGGCTCTAATAATAACTAAGGACGAATAATACTGTAAATATTAGTACATATCTGAACGCATGTTTATTCTTCTCATAGGGCTATGTTCCGTCAAAGGATGACATCGATGAATTTATTTGTGTTACCAATGGTTGGGAAAAAAAGCATACAAATAGAACTAACCGTAAATATATTTACAAAATGATATGGAAAAGAGAAATTTAAAAGAAGCTTATCAATACCCTAATTCCATAATTCTTATTTCATGTAATCCTTGTAGGTGTTTGTTCTCTGTCAAATATAAAAAAGTTTTGCAAAAAATTGAAGTCATGTAATTACTCTACCGATGGATTGTTAGATGTGTTTAATTATTACGATGTTCATGTAATTACTCCTTTTCTTTATCAATACAATTATTCACATGTTCATAACTCTGTTTGGTGATTAGAGATGATTTTATACATTTTTAAAAAGGTGGAAAGCCTCTACACCAAAAAAAAAAAAAAATAAAATAAAATAATAATATAGAATAATAAAATAGAATAAAAAAATAAAGAGGGGAAATGCACCATTCTGTGTTACAGCATCATGTGTGCATTTCATTATGCTTATTTTCAAAGAACGAACACATTTTAATAACCATCGCCCTTATTATATATTTAGTTATGGTTATGTTATTCATATCTTTCTTTTATTGTTAAAAAAGAGAACAGGAAAAATTTCAAAGGACCAATTTAAGCTTCTATTCACTACTATTGGTTCAAAAATGTCCAACGCAGAAATGGAAGAAATTATAAGGTTCGTAAAATGGTTAATCGGATTTGTACGTATTCGTAAAACTTTTATTAATTCAGCGTAGGTGCAAAATTTTTTTTTTTTTTTTTTTTTTTTTTTAAATAATAATAGGGAATTGTGCAATGATAGTGATCAAATATGTTATGAGGAGTTCTTGAGCAAGTAAGTATGAACATGTACAGCGTTCGAAAAATTCAGATATGTATACAATACACAATGGAATATTCTTGTACATCCCTTTTGACAGGTTGCTATCCAAGTGATGTAAACTTCATGTGAGATAAATACTTATTCATCAGGGACCCCCTATCGCCGTTCTTCTCTTTCTAAGAAGGATTTGTAGGACTACTTAAATTGAGAAATGACAACTGGTCTTTTATTTTTTTTTTTTTTCTAACGAACTGTACCATTAGAACATACTTATAGATTTTTTTTTTGTTAACTCGATTTTACAATACCAACAAACCTTTAGTTGCACAGATATGTCTAATACATATATATCCTGTAACACATTGCTTCGTTTTTTCCTATGGTTCTAAAAAAACGATCATTTTTGTTAAGGCTTCGTCTTCTATTTATAAGTAATGAGAACTTTTGAAAAATGTGAATTATCATTTTATATTTATGATATATTTTTATCTAAATCATTTTGGAATCGCTTTCTGTTAAGTACTGCACAGAATGTAGCAAATTCCATTTAATTGTTGAGTTCAGGATGAGGGACAGAAAAAAAAAAAAAAAAAAAAAAAAAAAAGAATAAAAAAATAGTAATGAAATAGCAATAATGAAGTGGCGGTAATGATAGGAAGACAATTAAGTGGAAGCAGTGATACGGAGACAAAGGGGCACAGACAATGGAGTAGCAACAAGGGAGAAGTAACAATGAAGTGGAAACAATGACGTGGAAACAATGACGTGGAAACAATGACATGGAAACAATGAAGTGATGATAAGAATGTAGTAAAAAAAAAATTATGAAAAAATAATTACTTTACAAACTATAAAAAATACAAAATTAATAACACAAGTGCAGTTTCCTGCCTTAACATTATTCTCACTACTCATTGGTTACATCTATATAACATATCCAAAAGAAAAAAAAAAAAAAAATATATTTATATAATAATATAAAATAAAATAAAAAAAAAGCACACTCACGTATATAAATGCAAATGTGCACAAAAAAATTTACATAAACATTCACATAAACATACACATAAACATGCACAGTTGCTGTGACTTAAAAAGATGACAAGGTTTTAATTAATAAATTGTTACTATAAGAACATTCATATATATACATATATATTCTATGTTTTGAAAATAATAAAATACACATACTCATGCACATATATATATATATATATATATGTGCAAATACAGCGTACGTGTATAGTAGGTAGGCTAAGCTTGTGAGATTTTGCTTGCAGCTTTTACATAAACAATATTTTTATATTCACTCCTTTTTGGAAGTATTGATAACAAATTATTTCATTTGAATTTGTTTTGGATTGGGCATGCTCATCGAGCTACCTAATGTGCATAAAGTAATGGATGTGATATAGTTGGCAAATTTATGTTTTTGTAGGTATACATACATATGCACATGATCGGGAAGCATACTTAACACCTTATAAGACAATTTTACATTTGTTTACACACAGGTGAATATGCTACAAGATCATTTAATGCATAATGTTCTACTCATTATCTACAGAATAAGTAGTTTGTGTTTTTTTTTTCTTTTTCTCCTTTTTAATGCGAAAAATACTAAGGAAGCTTTGGTTAATAGTCTGGTAGGATTGGTAAAACTTGTTTTTTTTATTGATTTTATTCTTCTTAGGAAGGAAATTTTTGTTTTGTGATCTGTACAATTTCAAAAACTTTTTCAAAACTTTTTTACAAGTTCTATGTGATAATACTCTTTCACATGCAACATTGTAAGATTTATCCCCATTAATATCCCTAACTGAAACATCAGCTCCTCTTGTCATTAAAATATCAGCAATATCGTATAGGCCATAAAATATGGAATATATTAGAGATGTTTCCCCGTGTATATTTGTAAGATTATAATTAATATTTTCTCCTTCATTTAAAATATGATGCGCTAGATTTTCATTTCTCGTACGTATACAAATCATTAATGGACATTCTCCATTTATATTATCTTTACAATTTACATCAATGTTATGTGATAATAAGAGTTGAACAACTTTTTCTTGATTTTCTAAGCATGCAATATGTAATGCATTTTGATGATATTTATTTGTTAAATTTATATTTACATTATTTTCAAGAAGAAATTTCAAAATTTCTATATTTCCTTCTTCTGCTGCTGCATGTATAGGTGATAATACATTATTTGAATCTAATTGGTTAATAACTTCCTTTTTTAATGTATGTAAATATTTCAATATATTTAATCTCTCCAATTTTGAGGCTTGTATAAATGGTAGGGACCATAAATTATGCTCCTTCTGTATCAACTGAGGATACTTTTTCAAAAGTAATTGAACTGTTGACAAATCATTTTTAAAAATTGCACAAGACAAAACTTCTGTTAAAATATGTCTATCACATGGTTTTTCCCCTGCTCCTGCATCTATAAAATGATTAACCCATGCTTTATTTAGATTATAAGCCAATAAAATAGGAGTAAATTTGTTATGATAACACCAATTTGGATTTGCTTTATTTTCTAGTAGTAACTGTATAATTTCACTTATATTATTTTCACAAGCTAAATATAAAGGGGATTTGTAATCTCTTACAAATGGACAAATAATGTTCAAATTCTCTCCATTCTTCACTAACGAATTCACTATAGAAAAATTTTTTTTTTTAATAGCAATATTCAAGGGGATATATCCATTTTCTATATCTATGGGAAATGTTACATAATAGCTATCACATGTGTTTCCATATGGGCTTACACAGATCGTGTTGCACTTATCACTATTTTTTTTTCCTTTTTCCAAATTGGAACATTCCATATCATCTGAATTAGGTTTTTCTAGCGAATTTTTCTTATCATCCACAATTTCCTTTCTAAATTTTTCTCCTTTTTCATCATAAGTGGGAGACCGTCCCTTATTCATTTCGTTCTCTTTATTTTCCTTTTCCTCTCCTTTCATATCACTTGGTGCTCTTTTCTCCATTTCCTTCGTGGATGTACAATCACTGTGTAAAATCTCCGTTGTCGAACCATCCTTAGTGCCCTTATTTTCGTCCCTATTTTCGTCCCTATTTTCGTCCTTATTTTCGTCCTTATTTTTGTCCTTATTTTCGTCCTTATTTTCGTCCTTATTTTCGTCCTTATTTTCGTCCTTATTTTCGTCCTTAATTTCGTCCTTATTTTGTCCTGTCTTATCATTATGAACGTTGCTGTGATCTCTATTGTGATCTTTTGCATCATCGTTTTTAATCCTGTTATCCCCCGTGGGGAGAGGTTCATCCTGATCCACTGTAACAGAGTTTTTGTAGCAATACTGAATGATGTTGTTTTTCTTTTTCCGTTTCCTTCTCTCTTCTAATAGAACTTCGACAAATTCTTTGGTTTCATTTTCACATGCGATGTACAAAGGGGATTTTCCTAAATAATCCCAGATGTCAATTTTGGCACCTCCCTTTAATACTAAATAGAATAGATATCTATTTTTTTTACTAATGGCTAGGGATATGGGCAAAGTCCAAATGTCAATTCCTCTGTTTTCATCTGTTTCTATAGTTAAAGGAGTATTGGATAATAATTCACTTCCTTTGTCTCTGAGTAAATAAACTAAGTTGTTATTTTTATATTTTTCACTTTTGCTTAAATCATATAATTCTTCTTGTATTTTTTTGCTTAACTTTACACATATTTTTATATTTTCATTTTTTAATGCTACACTGTATCCTTTTACATATATGTCTAGTCCTATACTTTCTAAGAAACATTTACTTCCCCATGAACCCAGTATATCCAAATTAGGTACTATAAAATGGGATTGTATATACGGATCATCAACCTTTATTAAGTTCTTATATCCATTTGCAAATGGACAATCTTCACATTTACACTTGAAATTAATTTCTTCTGTTGTGTATATACAACTTTTCCCATTACATCGACATTTGTTCAAATTTTTTTCCTCATCTTCATCGTCTTCTTCTTCATCTTCTTCCTCCTCTTCATCAAATGTGTTTACATTATTATGTAATATGTTCATACAGAATATATTTTCTGCTGTTAAAATTTTGGATTTTTTATTATTATTATTATTACTATTTCGATGATTTTTTTTATTTTCCTCAAAATTATTTTTCTGGAATTTTTTTTTTTTGTGATTACTTTTTGATGACCACTGTTGTTTTGTTCTATTCTTTTCCCCCATTTGTTCTACACTACTTTCACAGGTGTCTTCCTCGTCCATGTCCTCTTGGTCATGTTTTTTTTCATTTCTTCTCTCGTATCCATTGTCCTTTCGTGTATTCATCTTGGTATCGTTTCTCCATTCCCCACCCCCGTTGTCGGCTCTTTTCGCATTTCCATTTTCTTCATCTTCTCTTATTTTTCGAATTTTTATTTCTTCATCAAATTTTTCATGAAAACAATTTTCATCGTTTTTCCTCTTGCTCTTTTCATTCGCCTGTCGCCGGTTATGGCAACAGTTGTTCTTGTTCTTGTTCTTCTTCTTATGATCATTAAGAATATCCCCTCCTCCTACTACTACTTCTTCTGCATCCTGTTCTGCTTCCAATTCTTGTTCTCCTTCTCTTTTTCCTTCGCAGACATCATAACATTTCCCTTCGCCATACTCTTCCTCCTCCTCCTCCTCCTCCTCCTCTTCTTCTCTCTTCACAAATGTACAATCTATACCTTTGAATTTGTGTTTGGATAGAGGAATATTATTTTCTTCTTCATTTGTGTAGTTATGTTTTTCTCTGTTACATGTTGTGCCGTATTCACTCGATAAAAATTCGTCAAAAAGATCTTTCTTTTCGTGTACAAAGTTATCATTCATGTGACTTTGTTGCATGCGGGTATGATACCCAGATGGAGTGTTACTACTACTGTTGTTAGGATCCTGTGCCAAATTTCTGCTGACATATTTATTGTGACCAATCCTCATTTGGTTACTACACGTGTTGTTATGGTAGCTAGTATCGTTATTATGACTACGGTTGTTATTACTGTTACTATAATTATTTTCGTGTGTCCTTTGGCTAGATGCTGGTACATGTAATTCATCCTTCCTGTTTTGAGGTGAATTTTTGGCAATGCTGCTATAATCTGGATAGTGTAAATTGCTCTGCATTTTTGAGGAATATCCAAAATGTTTTATAGTGTTGTAAAAGAAATTATTAAACAGGCTAAAATTATTATTTGTCTCGGATTGACTAATACTACACTCGGTTTCGCTATTCATAATAGACTTCAATTTTTTCTTGTTGCTCTTATTATGATCAGTATGGGGATCTTGATAGATGTTTCGATTACACACAGTATTACTACAAACATTGTGGAATCCAGGACTAAATCCTGGGTTATGGTTTCCATTAGTTGAAGCATAATCAATGAGGTTTGACTTGTCCATACTACTGGGATCGCCATAACTCTGTATATTCATAAGATTATTTTTATTATTTTCATTAATTATTCTTCTGTTATTTTCCTCATGAGTATGAGACGTAACGATGGAGTTGTCGAAGCTCTTCATCGTTTCCAAGGTTTTACGTAAATTTTTCAACTTATGATAAATTAAATGGTTTTGGTTATTAGCACGGTTAATAATAAAATTAGCCATAATAAAAATGGGTTCTAACCATGCATTTGAAAAGGAACAGATAAAATTTGTAAAAACTGGCCAATTATTTTTTCTTAACATAACTGTTAAGGGAGCACATGTTAGATATTTGTTTCGAACACATTTTATACTTAGCGTTTTTAAGGATGGCAACCTGGTTTGCGCTAAAACTTCTAACGTTTTGTCTGTCAAATGATGACAAAAATCAAAATAAATTTCTTGCAAATTGTAAATAAACAAATGTTTCGTGTTTAAGGAATCAAAGTTGTATATCTGGTTTAGTATATTAGCTACAGTTATATCTTTTATCAATGTACATAATGTAAAATCTAGACAAAGTCTTCTTCTAACAGATCTATGAATATGTTTATAAATTCTAGGAAATACATATTCATATAATACCTTCGGGTTATACCCTAAATAGCTATTAAATATTAACCTATTGTGCCAAACTTTATATTTTCTTTTATAAAAATATTTACAGGTTTGACTGAGATTAATTATGGTATGCACATCTAAAAATGGTTCAATACATCTAATGTATCTTTTCCATCTTTCATTCTTTTTTATTATATTATTATTGGGATTATTCATATTGTTAAACTGATTATACCCGTTGAAGTTATTTTCATTTGTGAGTATTTCACTCAAATTTCCTTTCTTCAACGTACTGTCAATATTTAGATATGCATCTGAATTTAATTTAAACAAATCGTTAATACTTATGCTGTTTGCTTTTTCAAGGGTATTTTCCCTCTTAATTTGAGCAGCATTATGCATCAAGAGATCTTTTTCTAAAGAATTACTTAATGCATTGTTTTCTAAAACATGCATATCATTTATATTAACAATATTAGGATTATTCCTTTCAATTATGTTAGTATTATTCATAGTAATTACGTTTAAATGTTTTTTTTCAACACCTGATATTGTGTTGTTCATCGACACATGCTGGATATTCGCGTTGTATACATCTACAACATTGATGTTACTTTTTTCGCTTATATTTATTGTGATCATTTTTTGGTTCACTTCATTCCCTTTTTCATTTCCAGTTATAACATTGCTAGTATCATTGTTTGAAGTAGTATCATCTTCTCCCTTGCACTTTTCCCTTTCATTTTGTTGTTCATTTATTTTATCTTCATCATGTGATATAGATTTAATATTATTGTTAAAAATTAAATTTAATTTATTTAATATGTATTTATTTACAACATCTTGGTTTAATTCACCTCCTTGAGAAGCTGAATCATTATCATCTTCAACACTCTTCATTATCTATGGAGTGTATTTCTGTGCGTATTTTTATTTTTTTTTATTTTTTTTTTTTTCAGAGTATATGTATATGTGTGTGTGACACGTAAAGGTGTAGGACTATTAATAATCCTTTTTCTGTTTATTGATTTCTGGCGTGACAGGGAATAAAAAACTTGTATTTTGTACCTTTCTTGAGTTACCTCTAGGGTGAATACCTCGATTATTGTTTTTTTGTTTCATGTTCAGATGAATGTTTTCAATTTTGGATTATCTGTTTTATGGGATGTTTTATTCTATGTACTTTAGGTACGAATTTATATGACAACTTTTTTATTCTAAATATTACACTATAAAATCTTTGATTTTCAAAAATTTGTTTTCCCTTTGAAACATGTCGCTTGGAGAAAAGACCTTTCTCTACAACTATGCAATGGATCTTTGCAACGTACAGGTATTGCAAAAATTGTGAAGTGCTTTATTTTTAAAAAAGATGGTGACGTTTTTTCATTTATGTGTTTGCATTATTTTAGAGGTTTCTTCTCTTTCCAATGTTGCTTCCACCCTTTGTAGATGTTTGCAGTGCCCGCGTGGGGAGGGGGACTGTGTCCATATATGTGTGCTTAGTGTGGATATGTATAATTACATACGTAGATGCATATGTATATATGTAGTGTACATATACTTATATATGCATTTATATTTATACATTTATAAGCGCACTTGTACAAGCACATGCACAAAAAAATAAATTAATTCTTAAAAATCTCCACGTTTGCGGAAAAAAAAAAAGAAGAAAATTCTTCCTCTTTTCTTGTTTTAAGTGTATATATATGTTTCTTCTAAATGGAACAATTCCTAATTTTAAATTAAAATGGGTTAAAAAAAAAAAAAAAAAAAAAAAAAAAAAAACAACAGCGTGAATTTTGCTAAGTCCTCTTTTTTTTTTTTTTTGCTAATTTTACAAAGTATAAAGAGCCAATTTTTTGATGTTTTGCTTTTTCGAATGTGTTTTATTTTTAAGGCCTTGTAAAACACTTGGGTCGAATCGAGTATGTAGAAAAGTGCAAGATATGCATTATGTATTATCATGTTGGCAGGCCATTTTTTTTACGTTAAATATTTTTTATTAAGCTTAGAGTAAAATGAAAATGCACATATATGAATGGAAAATATAAGTGTATGTATATATACATATAATGTACATGTATAACATATGCTGCTCATGCACTTATATGAAGAAAAAGTATTTAGATATGCAGTTATTAATACTTACGCGCAAGTATATATATATATATATTCCTATATAAATATGCACGATATGCATATAAATTTCATATATTAGATATATGTTCATAACTAAATGCATAACACAGCACATTGTTCCTTCTATATATATATACCTTAAATATGTTGAGTACGCGACAGTAACCAAAAAAACGTATGGATTTTACTGTGCAGTGGTGGGGCCTTCTCGCAAACGTTATATATAAAAATGTATATTTGTTCCTTATATATGTCCGAATGTTATTTTAATATACTAACCTGGAGCAGAGGGGAAAAGATAGCGGAATTATATATTAGCGAGGGGGTAATATGACGTAGCGGTATATAGTACCACCAAGGACTATATTATTATTATATTCCCCCTTATGCTCCTTAAGTTTTGTACATATATATTTCAAATAACATTTTGTACGCTCAAACTAGTGCGTATCCATGTACTTATATATATTTCGCACTTCTCGAATGTCGCGTTTTGATATTGCCCATCGGTACTTTTAATGCTGCAAAAGCATGTATTTGCACGTACACATATATAATATATATAGATATATACACGAATACATATATTTTCTTTTGTGCCACAAAAATATAAATATTATACGCATAAAATATTCTTTCCTGTAACGCACAATTTACAAATTGTCGTTCATGGAAAAATTGTACTAATTTTCAAGTAAATGTTACGGAAAAAGAAAAAAATCCCCTGTAAATTATTTATTTTGTAAGTAAAAATCTATTTGTTAAAGAAAAAAAGGAAAAGGGGAAAAAGAAAAAAAAAAAAAAAAAAAAAAACATAAAGCAGGAAAATAAGGTAAAACATGAAAAATTTGGTAAAACAGGGCAAAAATGGGCAAAACAGGGCAAAATGGGAAAAATAGCAAAACGGGGGCAAAACATTTCCAAAAAATAGACAGACACCTTAATATATTCACAACATATTTTCGTTCACCACATAACATAATAGTATTTTTTGCCCCCGATTTTTCTGCATTAACCTTCTTTTTCAGTTATAATTTTTAAACGCATATAATTGGGAAACCTTTAAAAAAAAGACAAAAAAAAAAAAAATAAAAAAAAAAAAAACACATTTGTAGTTGAATTTGTTGATTTACTTTATATAAAGGAATTACATATTTACGTACCATATCCATTTTGTGTTTTACTAATTTTTATTTTCCCTGCCTAAATGGGAAAATATTTATTATAATATATATGCATATATAAATATGTACCATATTACCCAAACATATAATTATACATATATATATGTAAATATATTATATATACATATGATGCATTTATACACATTTGCTCATATAATATGCAACAAAACATATACATGGTTAACAGACATGTAAATTTGTTTTATCTTGTTGGATAAAAGTCAACTTCATATTTTTAACAATCGGGAATACCACATTTTAATTCTTTAAAAACTGGAACCCCCATAATTTAGGAATTTTTTAATTGTAATAGAAATAACGGAAAATGTTTTGCAATGAATAAACAACATTACTATTCATTGAAAAGAAACGAAACGGAAATAATAATTCAAACGAAAAGAAACATAACCCAAATAAATTTCGTGGGCATAAATATAATGCCATGTAGATAACAAAAAAAAGAAAAGTTCTGTTGACTGAGCGTTTTACATAACACCATATTTACGGAAATGAAAAGGTGTAGTTACATATACACATTGTTGTATTAGCATGTTTATATGTATGTGGCCTTTGTATCGACATGAAATTGTTACACACCTTTTGACGCAAATCTATCGCAATTTGTATGCTTCCGAATTTATTATACCCATATACTATTCCTGTATTTTTGTCCTTTTGTTTTTTGCACATTGCATTACCATTGTTAAGTTAATTGTGCCTTATTTTATTTTTTTTTTTTTTATGCACATGAGTATACGTAAATTTTAAATAGCTTGAGCAAATAGAAATAACATTCGAAATGGCAACATATAAAAAAAGAAAAAAGGAAATATAAGACTAAGACAGCCCCAAAAGTGGAATCGTTTTTTTTTGTTTCTTTTCTCAATTTTGTCTTTATATTTTACAAGTACTGAGGGACAATACCTTAAAATTTTGTAACATAAGTAAAACAAAATTTACGAAGCATAAATTGTTGCGTCTGTTTTTGACTGATAAACGCGTTAAAAAAAAAAAAAAAAAAAAAAAAAAAAAAGCAGAAGGGTGAATCACGTTATAATATCCAAGTGGATAAAAGTTATTGTACATAAAATTTCTGTCATATTAAATTATCATCAATAATATTTCAGTTCATTTACGTCTCTAGTACCTTTTCTTGAAAGCGTACTATTACTGTATAAATGTCTTTAAAAAAAAACTAGAAGAAAATTGTTACAATATATTAAATTTTGTATAGAACGTTTAAATATAAAATAGTACGTAAAACAAAAATATATTTAAAAGTTTACAAAAATACTTTCATTATAATATTCCATAAATCATCTTTTTTATCATATAAAAACACCAAAATGGACCCATTTTATTTTCTTCCCGGTTTCTTTATAACATCTAGTAAAAAAAAATATATGTAGGATTGCCGTTAAGTCATTTTTTTTTTTTTTTTTGTTAACAAGGACAAAATTAGGAATATATACAATTAACATAAGAGTAGAAATAACTGCTTATATGTCTTCTAAACTGCTCTTTACTTTTTCTCGGAAATGATCTGTCTGAATGTACGGCACTGTTTTGAAGATCTTTCACCTTGTCTTTTTTTTTTTTTTTTTTTTTTTTTTTTTCAATAAGTTCCTTTGTGCGTCATAACATAGATATAAAATGGCTTGTTTAAAACATTAAAAGTGTGAAATTACGTAGTACTGGACTGAAATAAACACAAATCGCTAATAATAATTTGTGCATATTTTAAAAAAAAAAAAAGCAGAAATGTGATTTACAATTTGTAGATTAAAAAAATAAATGCTTGAATGAATTAAGCGAGAGGGAAAAAAAATGCATACTGTCGAAAATTTTTTGAAAAAACATGTGCATATGTGTACGTATATATTTATGCATCCATTAAAGCATATCTTCATCAGGGATAAACATGCCTAATTATGCATTTTCTCCCATCCTTGTACATGTGAATATTAATACACATGTTTATAATTGAAAAGGATTGATATTTGAATGTCCGTAAAAAAGACAGCAAATATTGTAACACGTCACAAGTAATATATAGGCATATAAATACAGACGATCGGGGCGTACAAAAAAAAAAAAAAAAAAAAAAAAAAAGGGAAAAAAAGAAAAGGGCTTTCCATGTGCGGATGTGCAATGATACATGCTACAGGATTTTTTTCTTACCGTTTATCTCCACACCGATTTACAGACAAACTCTTTTTTCACATGGAGCGAGAAGTAGATTGCCAAACAGACTCGGTTGACATATCAGAAGAAATAAAAATTTCTGAAAAAGTGAATGATATCCTAGTATCCTATGCAAAAAATTTGATCCTGAACAATCCATCAAAGTCTTTCGAAAATGAAAATATAATTAAAAAAAGAATATATGAATGGTCAAGGGAGTATTTTCAGAAGTTATATGATGAAAATGGCAAGGATAACAAAATTTTAAAGGATGATAGGACAGAGTTGGAGACGAGTGTTTCTCATGTCGATTGTCCTACGGTAAAAGATCAAATTAAAAAAGAGATGGAACGGGTAAATTTTAATATGGACAACTAATAAAAACGGTAAAATTTAATTTATTTTTTCTGCACAAAAAAAAAAAGAGAAAAAAAAAAAAAAAAGGAACACGGGGAGAAGAAGAAAAGATACACCAACAATAGACATTATCTTCAAATGATGTATATATATATATATATATATATATTCCTATGTGAATATTTTCTGTTTTTGCATATTTTTCCCAATGAATTTTCCCTTCAACCGTATACGTCTAATTTAAGAATACATTAGTAAGTGCGGTATGCGAAGCCACGTCAGTACCTGGTTAAAGCAAATGATTGCACTTGTATGAATAAATTAATGGAATGCCCAATATATTATGCTGACGAAATTATACGTGTGATGAAATTCGCAAGGGGAATATTTCATCCCTCAGTCGGTACACATTGCATGACACGCACGGATATATTTCCCCATTATTTTATTTTTATTTTTTTTTTCCATATTTTTTACGTCAGGGGTATTGCATCCTTTATAACTTGATATTTATTCATGGAAAGGAAGTCCTTCAATTCGGAACGAGTGATCCAAGCAAAATCATTTATATATTCATTTTTGGACAGATCTAAGTTAATGTCATGATTGAGATAATGAGCTCTATAATAGAAAATTTTTCTTCCAATAATTTCATTAAATGAAAGGGGTATTTTAAATTTTCTTTTTTCAAATGTACATGGACACCAACCAATAAAAAATGGCATTTCGCATTTTAAATGTTCTGTACATATGTATTGTAAATTTTGTCTAATCGTAAATTTTTTTCTAAAATCTATCAGTGGGAACATCCATTTATTTGTTCTTTTATATTTTACTATTAGGTATAAAAAATTAGTTGGTTTCCTTTTAATATTTCGATAGTTATATTCGTTTTTAAGATCATAATCGTAATCATTTTTTTTTTCTCTCTCATCCATATCTCTATCGTTTTTTTTTTTTTTTTTTATTTCTTTTTCATTTAAAATATTTTGTATTCCTTCTGTGGCAAACAAATTTTCTAAGTCTTCGTTTTCTGAAGATGCGTCTTCTTTATTTTTTTCATGACTCTCTTCATGATCTAAACTTTTATTATTTTTATTTTTTTTGTTTTCCTTGTTTATTTCATCATCGAAATAACTTCTTTCCATATTATTTTCTTTTTTCTTATCTTGAAAGGAGCTTAAATTATATTTCATATGTAAAAATTCCTCGTTGATATTTAAATTATTATTTGTTTTTAGAAGCCATTTATCTTTGAATTCTTCAAAATCTTTTTCAAATTTTTCCTGCACAAAAGTTAAGGGGAATCTGTCTATGCACAGGGCAACTTGCACTTTGTACTTTTCATGAACTACTATTTTTTTTTCCTCTTCTCCATTTTCTCTTACCGCACTTAATCTCTTAGCTGCATTTGCAACATATTTTGCATTGTTATTGATTAAATTTTTTTTTCCCCATTTCAGGTCACTTTTGTAACGTACATACTTTATCTCATTAAGAAATAATCTCACATTGTGTTTACTCAAAAGGGTATAAAATCCTTGTGCATGTTTTTTCATGACTTTCATCGCTTAAGTAAAATTTCTTTATAATTCTTGGGTTCGGGACACTGCACAGTTGGTTTTTTTTTTTTTTCCTTTTTCTTCTTTCTATTTATGGATTATTATTGTTGCACGGGTGTGGTACTGTTTGTTTAAGAATCCATCCTATGTGCACATGTACAGATTAATGTGTGCGTATCACAACCACTGCCTTCTCTAAAAGCTTTTTAAAAAAAAAAAAAAAAACATACCTTTTACGTACCCATAAATGCAAAAACGATGTGTTTTTTCCTATTTTTTTTTTTTTTTTTTTCTATCTTTTTTTTTTCTTCTTTTTGTAACGTACTATTAATTCATAATTATGTTTATGTCTGTCCACATAAAGATTATAGGGATAAAAAGAATAAAATATGTCACATATTGTTTACATTATGAGCAGAATGTCAAAAATGCTTTGTTTAACCTTTTTTCTCTTCTAACCCTCGCATATGTGCAAACATATGATACTTATTTCAAGTGAATTAGTGCGCCCTAACCTAATAGGAATTATAATATAAATGTATATTTATAAAAGAAAATGTATTAATCTGTATATTTCCTCTATGAATTTTAGTAATACTTATATTTGACAAATGTACCAAATTGTATGCGTAAAAAAAAAAGGCTCAAGTGTATATCTCTCATAATAACCGTGGTTATGCTATATTTTTTTTCTTATTTGGATTATAACCTTAAAATATTTCGTTTAAAAAAAGGAAAAAATAAATAAATTTACTTCTCTGGTAAACTCCGTTTTGTACATTTATGAGCATTTAGCTATTTTTAAAAGGAATGTTCTTTTCTCATTTTTTTTTTTTTGTAAAATGTAATTTAAAAAAAAAAAAAAAAATTTTTTCTTTTTTTATTTCTCCTAAATTTTATATAGAAAACATCAATCTTTTATAAACAACTTGCCAAGAAACTTTGTATCTCGTTAAAATGTGAAAAATGAAACACTTTAAAAAATGCAAAAGGGGATAGTATTTACTTGTTTAGCATATTTAATAGGGGTTGAGAAAACACATGTGTGTATGTTAATGGTAATAGAACAAACAGCTTAATCACTATTATGTAAAAAAAAAAAAAAAAAATATAGAAAATATAATGTAAGTGTTATTAAAATGCCTTTTTTTTTTTTTTTTTTAATGATCTATATAAAAAAAAAAAGAAATAAAATGTTCATTAACAAAACTTGCGTTTTGTAAAAATGTGTAAGATTAGCGTGTACAAAAACGTTACTTTTTGGATTTATGTAAAGTTTGGTATATTCATACAAAACACTAAATTTTGGACGCATAAATTTAATATGGAACTTTACATAGGTTTCACCCGTTACCTACCCATAAGGAGAGAAGGAATTTTTTTTTTTTTTTTTCACAAATCGAAAATACCGTGCAATCATTTTTAATGTCTTATCTAAATTTTCCAAATTAATCTACTGTGAGCAAACTTTTAATAAACCGAAAAATTTTATTCACGTACTTGTATATTTTATGTGCAATTAAAATGCTCATTAATTCAATGGCTAATTGTTTATTTTGTTGGGTTTTCCTTTTATTGTTTTTTTTTTTTTTTTTTTTTTTTTTTTTCTTTTTCTAATTAACAAGACGGAATACACACGTACAGAAAATTATTACATAAAAAAGTATATAGAACTAATCATAATATAAAAATATCTCTATTGTTAAAGGATTAATTATGTAATGGCGGTTCTTCTTGTGAAATAATACATGTCCATGCACATAATGTAAGATTTAATTAAATAAGCGCACACTGGGCCAATAAGGTATTATATATGATGCAAAATGTAGTATATTGTGGTATAATATATATACATATATAGCATATAATAACATAAGGAGACAAAATATGTATCACAATAATGAACAATAACTGTATGGAATATATGTATCCTTTCTGTTATTTCGGAGTGAATACTGTATTCATGTATACAATATGAAAGCTCAGGCAGTTTTTTTTATAATTAATTTTTATACGTGTCAATAGTTGTTTCCCCATTTATATTAATATGATGAGTCCAGGGATATTTTAAATCTTCTTCTTTTTTTTTTTCCTTTTTTTTTCTTCTTCTTTTTCTTTTCTCTCTTTTTTCTTTCCCTTTTTTTTTTTTTCTTCTTTTTTCTTTGCATGTTATTTTGAACACATATACAATAATTTATAGCTTATTATTCACCCTATCATTTTAAAGAAATATTGAGCGCTTGTATATTCACATTTTATACACTGTAACATTTCGGTCATTCCACTTGGATTACTTTCATTAGGTTGGTACCTCCTGCAACTTCTTCTTTAATACCATGAATGCATATTACACTATCCCCTACTTTAACTAAATTTCTCTCTTTGGCTATTTCTATTGCATTTCTTAAGACATTGTCAGTTCCTTGGAATGATCCTACCTTAATACATGTGGTTCCTCTGTGTACGTTCAAGCATCTAACCGTTGAATCGGATGCACTAAGGGCTAAAATGGTGCAGCTTGGTTTATATTTAGCTATTAATCTAGCAGTATATCCAGTTTCCGTTAAAGCTACAATTAAAGATGCACCAATAGATTCAGCTGTTTCGACAGCTGATCTAGCTACGGCTTCCTGTACACTTATCGGAGTGTCTATCGCGCTAACCAATGATTGATGTAACAACTTATAATCAATACATGCTTCAGCTTCTAAACAAATTTTGGACATAATTGTAACAGCTTCAACTGGGAACTTTCCGCCAGCTGTTTCTCCAGAAAGCATAACGCAATCCGTTCCATCTAACACTGCATTAGCTACATCTGTCACTTCGGCTCTCGTTGGTCTTGGGTTCTTGGTCATCGATTCCAACATCTGAGTAGCGGTTATAATTGGTTTTCCTTGCAAGTTGCATCTGTATATGTGTAAAAACAAAAAAACGGGAGATTTGATACGTTTGTGCTGGCATGAAGTTATACGGGGCGAAATTGATTAAAAGCGCATAAAATACCATCCACATTGGACTGGAATAAGGGGGAAGAAATTATAACGTCTGGTTTTGCATACATATATATATATATATATGGATAGATAAATGCATGCCAAAAGCGCGTAAAAAAAAAAAAAGAATGTATCCCCTTATGCGTGATACTATGTATCATTAAGGATCTACGCACAATTGTTATCTTAATTTAACACCAAATGATTTTAAAAATAAATGAAGCGAATGTAACACTTCATATATAATCAATCAGCTGACTTATAAGATTAAAAAAAAATAAAAGACTCGAACAAAACGCTCACTGTCATAATATTAATTTATTTTATGCACCACTTGGATAATATAAAATTAATTTGTAATTTTATTTTTTCTCTTTTGTGGTGCAAATGGACGATATTTATATGTTTTAACGAATCAATTAGTTATGCACAAAATAAATTTGTTTTTATTCAACAAGAATAAATTATTATGCATGTTCTCAATTATCCATATTAATGTGCGTCTAATCTGTAGAAGCATTAATTGAACTTACTTCGAAATCATTAATTTCTGGGCTAAGAAAACCTTTTCAGGAGATATTTCCATCCCCAAATCACCTCTTGCAATCATAATTCCATCAGATTCAGCTAAAATTTTGTCGAAGTTAATAATACCCTCAATATTTTCTATTTTGGGGATAATTTTAATATGTCTTCCTCTTGGTCCTAATAAATTCCTAATTAACCTGACATCCTCTGCCGATTGAATAAATGAAGCTGCTATAAAATTACATCCCATAGGAATTGCAAAATTGAGAATATCATCTTTATCTTTTTCTCCTATGATTGACAAATCAACCTTTACATTTGGCAAATTCATATTTTTTTTTTCACCAATTATTGCTGAATTTAGTACTTCTGTTATAACATGATCATCATGTGTTTCTAATACTTTACAACTAACTGATCCATCAGCAATTAATATAATGTTTCCTTTCTTTACACTTTGTGGTAACTTTTTGTATGAACAAGCAATACATGTTTCATCTCCTAAGTAATCATAATCTGTAACTAATTTTAATTTACTTCCTTCTTTTAAATGAGCTTCTTTGTTTTTTAAAAGACCTGTTCTAATTTCAGGCCCCTTTGTATCTAACAACATTCCTAATAGGCTGTTTGGCCTTTGCTCCTGTGCCTTCAAAACATTATTAAACATTTCCTTGTGGTCTTCATGTGATCCATGAGAAAAGTTGAATCGGCAAATGTTCATACCTTGGTAGATGGGCGTAGGAAAGGGTAAAATATAAGCGATTATTGTCATATTGTGAAATGGTGAAAAAATCGAAATAAATGGAGAACGTTAAGAGTAGTATCATTTACATAACGTTCAGACGTAAAAATATGTATAACATATGAAGGTAGAAATATCTCATAAAATATGTAATTCATGTCTCCACATTTTTGTAATTTACCCTTTTGTGGATAAACTAACCTGCATCTATCAATTTTACAAGAGTTTCAACGGATTTGCATGCTGGTCCTAAGGTACAAACAATGTGCGTTTTTTTGGAGCGTAAATCCACAGTACTGGGTTCTAAAATTTGCCTCAGGGTTATATTTGCAGCGCTTTGTAAACTTGCGCCTGAAATAGAATTCTTATATTTGAAAGAGTTCATTTTTCTTTGTTATGAATATTTTATGAATGTTTTATGTGTGTCCCTAAGGTTCTTATTCAGATTTTGTTAATAGGAAGGGTAGAAGTGGGGGGAGGGAAGGAGAAAATGTAATTATACTCAAGTTGTTCTTTTTGAAATTGATGTTCGTATCTGTTGAATTTTCTTTTATTTTTCTTTTATTTATTTTTTCTTTTTTGTGGCTATTTTTATATATTTCTATTTTTTGTACACTCTCTAGAGCATCAGAAAATCACAAAAGAAAATTTAATGGTTCTAATATATATTTTAAATACGCCAAAAATTCCTGTTTTGTTATGTGTCAATTTTTTTTCCCTTTTTTCTTTTTTTCGGGTGAATACTATAATTATAATATAAGTATACTCGATCAATTTAATTATTATTTATTTAAAATTTTTTTTTTCTCTCTTTTTTTTTTTTTTTTTTTTTTTTTTCTCTTTGTAAATATGGGAGAAATAGCCTATATGGTATTAACTATATTACTACTTGTATACACTAACCTTTTTGTGAATAAAATAAGAAAAAAACAAATGTTTAATGTGATGTATATATTTTTATGGTGTTTTACAGTATTATGCATATGTATATGCACTTTGTATGAAATTTAAAAAAATGGTATACTTTTTAATTTGCAGTAGAATACACAAAAAAAAATATTTACAAAGTATTCGCTCTGTTGCAATGGTATATGCATATATATATATGGACATTATATAAATAGGCGGTAAAGGTGTGTTTAAAGATTGACAAATAAAATTAAAATTAATAAACTGTAATTTTTTATATATAAATTCTTAATATTTTTATCTCCCTCAAAAGGGGTTTTCCTGGGGTATATTTTTTTTTTCCACCAGTAGTAGCTATTCATATATAACACCATTTATAATTTGGTTATGTTATATTATCACATGAATAATAAGTATGCACATATTTATGTATATTTGTGGAAGAGAGGAGAGGAGAAGGGGTGTTTAACTTTATTATTAAAGGCTTTTTGGCTCCGATTTTTTCCTTTTTTAATTGCTCTCAATGTGGAGTCAAGCACTTCGCTATGATTGTAATATTTGTTTAAATTATGTGCATCACGTAAAAATTTATGGGTGAGATAGAGGTGTTAATTGTTCATCACTTCCGTGGAGTCCATGTACCTACCTATGTAATGATATATATATATATATATATATGTATATGTAATGCATGTATATTCACAAGTTTGCAAAGAACGGTGTGTACTTGACATGTGCAAAAATGGGTTCGTGTTTTAAAAATACGCTCTCAATATATATGTGTGTTTATATATATGTATATATATGTTTACGCTCCATATGAAAAGTGGCTGTTTTTTGGAGAAGTTATGGTTAACCAAAATTATATTACATCTACGAGTTATCGATAATAGTATTCCTTACTGCGTTACAATGAGAAACTTAAACATTCAGATGGACATGTTACGTTTGTATATAAATATGTACATAACATGGATACGAAATACATGTACATAAAAAGTAAGCGCTTTTGTGAAGGTACATTTGTATATAGGTTCTTGAAGGGTGTGGGTGTATTGCTAGGTTCGTATTTTATAAATGCAATTGCTGAAGACTATGAACAAAGATTGCATATATTTATATGTATATAATATGAAAACATATGTATGACATTAACATACGAAAATATGTACACGTTTGTAATATTCCAACACCTGTACCCAATATAAACATATAGAGAGGGGATGAGTGTGAGAGCACATGGGGGGGAAAAAAAAATATATATATTCTCAAATAGGAGTATAAAAAAAAAAAAAAAAAGCTTGAAAAAAAAGTGCGTTTTGTAAGTTTAGCAGAGGAGTATATATATATATATATTTTAACTTTGTGCGTGTGAAAAAGATACTAATACTCCTATCCCATCATGGATTAAGGGGAAAGTGGATGTATGGGCGATTGTTTGGGGTATCGCATGAAAGTGTCATATATATATAAGCACATGTTGAAATAAAAGTGTAAAAAAAAGATAATTATACAATCCACGCATAAAAATAAATTAATTTTTATTAAAATTCTTTGACGTTTGTGCTTAAGATATATTGCAGACATTTCACGTGCATATACAGATATATATATATATATATATAATGTTGGAGTTGTTTTGAATGTGTGAAGAATGGCATATGCACACACAGACACAGAGCGTTTAACAGAACATTTATATTTAAGCAGTTACACCAAGTGTACTATATCAACTGTAAAAATAACAAAAAATAAAAAGTTCTACATATATGTGGTAACAGAAATTTTTTTTCTTTTTTTTTTTTTTTTTTTTCCTCATGGAGAGAGGCAAAATGAGAATTATATTTGATCAGCTTTTAAAAGTAAACTAGAACAACATGGATTTTGTTTCAACACATGCCATTTTACGTGTTTTAACTTGTTTCAATTTTGATTTAATTCGTTTTAATTTCCACCAAGTTATGATGAATTAAAACAATTCTTAATTATTGCATTTACAGAAAAATGTTTTAAAATCCATCTAAAGTAAAACTAGCCTGAAAATATATAGATTATAGGGAAAAGATATTTAGAACCTAAATTTTTCCAACGCCAATATATTAGATTTTGCGTAATTTTTTTTTTTTTTTTTATTTTACACTAATAAGGATAAGCTGTTTTTCTTTCATCACTACTTACTAGGGATGTCTAAATTTGATATGCACCACCTTTTCCTTTTTTTTTTTTTTTTTCATTTCTTTTCTTTTTTTTTTTACTTATTTATAAATTAGGAGGTTTATTTGAAAAGTACCAGTTGAATACATTTATTTTTCAATTTTTTAAAGTACCTAAAATAATGTAAAACATCTTCGAATGTTTCCCCCATAAGCATCCTCATATGTGAGAACGTGTGGATATAATGTTGTTAATTTTTTATGTAGAATATGTAGCAAAAAAACGTGCAATCAACTTGTATATATGTATACATATGTATATATTTCCACGCTTCATTCGTTCCTATGTGAATGGAAAGCTATCTGTTATTAATTTTTCGTTCCTTTTTTTTTTTTTTTTTATATTCAAAAGGTGCTAAAATTAATATTAGTCTCGTATATACTCAGTGTTGAAAATTTCCTCTCATCTCATATATTAGAGATGACGATGAAGAAGAAAACAAAATTTCTACGATTTTTTTTTTTTTCAAAATATTTTTGTTACATAGTAAAAAAAAAAAAATGCATATAATTATTATTATACATACAATATCTGAATGGTCATAAATATGTATAGAAAAAGCTAACCACAGAATTAAGCTAATAGGATATGTTGTTTTCCTTCAAAGTTTCCTCGACCAACTTAACCAAACAGTCAACATTTTTTCCACCACTAGTAAACCCAGAATAATGAACGAAGGTTAGTCCCTTTATATTTGAAACTTTTTCAAGTTCCTCATCCTTGAGACCCCTAAAACTTTTTGGAAATGGAAGTCTAATTGTGAAGGCTTCATTTTTTTTTGAAATAGTTCCACATCTATAATTTTGGTATCTGTCTTGGTAAATGCAAAATAGAATTTCATCCTTTATATTTAATTCTTCTTCTATGTCATACACGTGATCATAGTATGGACAATGTTTTTGCAGAAATATAACTTTTCCTGATTTGTGAAAATTAAACCTATTTTTTACTGCTTCGAGTGTTATGCTTTTAGCATGATACCAAACATTTGAATAATAATGTACAAAGTTAATAAATTCTTCTTTAACTATTTGTGATGCCAACATAAAACGTTCATCTTCATTAGCTTCTTCATCTAAAAAATTTGGATTAAATCTATTTACACGATTTTGTAAGGTAGTATTTATTTGATATTTTGCTATACCTTCATATTGATTAATTCCATTATCTAATGCATCTACAGATTCTATGAAAGCTGTATATATCTTATCATACAACGTGTTCACTTTATTTTCATCTGTGATATTAAATCCTTCTCTAAAAACATCTTTTCCATAATGTTTGTAAATTAAACCTGCACTACTTAGTCTTATGTCATGACTATCATCTAGTGTTCCATTAAATTCTTTCTGATGGTGATCATATCTTTTCTTTTCATGATCATATACTCCTCCTACATCTATCACGATGTCACATTTATCTAATTTCTCCTGATCTCGAGTTCTAATAATTTTAGCATCTTTATATTCTGGTAAAAATTTTAGCATCACAGATGCTAGTATTTCATCCGTGTGAAAGCGTCCCGAATGCGTACCTATTACTTTCTCCATGGATGGGGAACAAAAAAATATAAACGACGTTAATAGGTACCTTTTTAGCCTCCTTAATTCAGGTTTTCTCACAAGAATAATCTTGTTTTCAAAGATATTTCTTGACAATATAGTATATTTCACTGGGAAAGTTTTCATAAAACTCTTTCCTTTTTTTTTTTTTTTTTTTATATAATTTCCACAGGTTAGATTAACTCTTCTGCTCTATCACATACGTTGGAAATTTGGTGTATTAATGATTTGATGTACTACGTGATTAATTTATTATTCAATTGTTTTGGAATTTTCTATTTAGCTTTTTGATGTTCTTTTCAGTTCTAACTTTTTGATATTTTTTTTTTTTTTTTTTTTTTTTTTTTACTACTTTTTATTATTACTAAATTTGCTTAAAACTTTTTGTTCTTATTATTTTTTTATAAATTTTAATTTTTCAAAATTTTCTTTTAATTTTATAAACGCTGTATTTTTTTTTATTTCTTTTCTCATTTTGTTGCCACTTGTTCAATTTGTGGTAATTATAGAACTTATGCATGCATAGAACAGTGAGCCTTTTTTTTTTTGTTGTTGTACTCCGCATGACGATTTATCTATCCACTGGATAAGAAAAAAAACGAAAAGGAAAGAAATGAAAAGGAAAAAAAATGAAATGAAAAGAAAGCTACAAAACAAACTACTATAAAGTATATTAATAATCGCCCCTTTTTGCATGGCACGTGTTTTGTTCACCTTAGAATCGTTTCCCATTAATGAACAGTTTTATATCCACTTAAGGGGACTCATTTCCGAGCGTGGGGGATGTTTTTTTCATCCCACTTTTTTGGCTTGAAGTTTTTTCAGAGTTCTTATACATGTAATATTATACATCGGATCATTTCCACAATATCCCCTTCACGCGTGGACCTCTACATGTGGACCGCTACATATGTATCAATTTATGTAGACCTCTACATATGTATCAATTTATGTAGACCTCTACATATGTACCAATTTATGTAGACCTCTACATATGTACCAATTTATGTAGACCGCTACATGTGGACCACGACATTTTCCCCATTCATAATATATACGCAATTTTACATCCTCAGGCACAAAGAGAGGAAGGCAACATTTTTTTTTTTTTTTTTTTTTTCCCCCCCCCTATGATGAACAAGTACATTTTATATGGCCTCAGTGGGTCCTTGAGCGGATGGGTGTTAAGAGATCTAGTAATTTGTTTTTCAAATACTCTGAACCTGTCAAACGGATTACTGTTAAATAAATTTGTTTGCAGTAAAGATGATTTTTTAAAAAGCATTTTTAATGAACTGAAGTATTGTTTCGATTCCTTGGAATTAAAAAATGGATTTAATAATTACCATATTTATTCAAAAGAAAATGACTATTTTGTAGAGACCTTATATATTGAAAAGTGGAATAATATAAAACATATGAATGACTATATTTATAGTGAGGAAAATAAAAAAAAATTACATTACTTAAAAAAAATGAATATATTTTTCTCCCCTTCATTATTTGTTTTGCTAAAACAATATCCAGGGAATGACACACCTACATATTTAAAGAGCTACTTGTTGTAATATGGTTGCATGTACACATGTGGTATGCCCTGTTGTGAAATCGGAAAAGAGGATTAACACATTATATATCCATTTGCATGCAAATAGTATGAATACATATGTATGCACATGTTTGTATGCACATGTTTGTATGCTCATGCTTGTATGCTCATGCTTGTATGCTCATGCTTGTACGTAGGACATGTGTGTGTTATATACATAGACATGGACTGGGGGGATGACGAATTTTACACCTTTCTAATTTTCACGTTCTCCTTCGCCCAGCCATTTTCGCATGACGAATCATATTGACAACCTCACAAAAAAATAATGTCAGAACATATTGTTGATTAATAAGAAACAGAGTTTATAAAATCTGTGTGTATACGCCCCAATTTCCAACTTTTACATAATTACATTTTAACTTCTTCACGCTTTTAGAAATTGAACTGCTAAATTGGAGTATATAGACAACGATAAGTTTTATATATATTTAAAAGGGAAAAGTGCAGTTATTTTGGATGTTCATATAGTTGGGGAAATTTAATGAAATGAGAAGAAAAAAAAAAAAAAAATATTAAAAACTATAGCACCATCACATGGATGTAGTAATTTTTATATATTTTTTTAATGAACACCCATTGATAGAGCAACATGATGTTATATGATGATTCCTTTCATGGGATTACTTTGCATTGTTTCACAGCTTTTTTTTTTTTTTTTCTTTTTTTTATTCATTCCAAATTTTGTGACCTACATAGCGTAGGTGGTATATTTGCTATCTCTTGTTTGTTATTTCATTCTCCTCTTGATACATCGAAATTTCTGCTGTAAGAGATTTTATGAGTATTTCCTTCTCTTGCAACTTCTTGCGTATTTGTGCCACGTCCTGAACAGATGTTTGCTTTGATTTGTTGCTTAATTGAAGTTGTAAATCTTCACATTCTCTGGTTTTTAATTGTATAATACTATTTTTCTTCATGGATTCTTCAGTTTTTTCAATTAATTTTTTTTGTACACATTTAAGTTTTTGTATTAAATCAAAAGCAGTGGGATCATTTCCCTCTAAATTTCTCCATCTGTGAATATTTATTGGTTTTTCTAACTCTTCTGATAGAGTTTTCACTTTATTTTGTTCATTTAATAAGTCCTTTTTGAGGGAATTAATTTGCACCTTATTGTCGTTTAATTGCCCTTTGGACAGATTGGTGAGTTCGGTGTAATTTTTCAAATTTGCTACTTTCTTATTCAGGTTTTTAATTTCTTGCATTTGATTTTTGTTAGCTATATCTATTTTATCATGTGATATTTGCAACAATTTATGTTTCTCCTTAAGTGTTACAATTTGTTCACTTTTTTCCTTCATTTCGTTATTTAGTAGATCTTTTTCTTTTTTAATTTGATCAAAATTTTTTTTATAAGTTTTTAATTTGTTGCTGAGTTCGCTTATTTCAGAGTCTAGTTGGTCTATCGTTTTTTTGTCGTGAACCTGTTTCGTTTTGTTACTTTCATGTTGACTTTTAAATTTTTCAACTTGTTCTTTTAACTTTTCGCACTGATTTATAACATTTTTTTTGTCTTCCATGGAATCGTTAATTATAGTTTCTAAATTTTTCTTTTCATTTTTTATTTGCTCTAATTCGTTGTTTTGTATTTTGTATTTCTCTTCTAGCATATTTAATTTTTCTTTAGTTTCCATTAGACTTTTATTGGTATTAATTTTTTCACTTTTTATATTTTCATAGAGGGATTTTTCTTTGGCTAAATCATTTTTTAAGGAATTGACAATTTTAATATAACTCCCAATTTTGCTGTCTTTATTCACTAATTCGTTAGTAGTATTTATAGCCTTGTTGCTTATATTTGAAAGTTCTTGAATTAATTTTTCTTTTTGTTTAACAAGTGATTGTATTTCTTCATTGAGCTTATTTTTTTCTTCGGCATTTTTCTTAATATCCTTTTCAAGGTTAATGTTATAAATTTTATCCTTCTTTGCAATTTCGGTATTTTTCTTAATACTTTCATCAATTTTTTCGATTAACTTTTTGGTTTGTTCTTTCTCTACAATAAGATCCTGGATTTCTTTCTTTTGATTTTGATATTTTGTTTTTGTTTCTTCTGTTAACTTGAGCACATTTTGAATTTCATATGTAAGCGATTTGACATTGATAGTTAAGGACTTGTTTTCTTTTTGTAGTAGTTTTATTTTAAAACATTCTTGGTCTAACTTCATTTTCATTTTTGTGTTGTTATTAGTGAGTGAATTAATTACAGATATGTTATTGGCAATTTCGAGTTCTTTCATTTTTATATCATTAATTAGAAGTTTATTTTTTTTATTTAAATCGTCTAATTTTTGCTCAAAATCATTATTTTTTTTAAAATTATCTTTTTGTTTTTTTTCTAGTAAATCTACTTTTTCTAATAAACTCGTTTTACAATTTTGTAAATCTCTATTTTTATTGATTTGGTTTTCTAACAATTTTTGTGTTTTTATTAATTCTTCATTGATGTAATTTCTTTCTTCTATTAATATTTCCGTATTCTTTTCGATTAGCAATTTGTCCTTGTTATACTCTTCATCTAATTTTTTTTGTTCTTCCAGTTCCTTTTTTAAATTGTCTATTGTAATATTTTTTTTCATATTTTCTTTTTTTACACCATTCAAATTTTCATTTATTTCATTATTTTCATTTTTTAATTCTTTACTATTCTTTTCTAAATTATCAACTTTTAGTAATATGTGTTCATTTTCTCTCTTCAATCCTTCAATTTCATTGTTTTTTTTTTCTATTTTAATTTCCAATTCTTCGATTTGCGTTTTTAGAGATTCTATATCCTCTAGATAATTTTCCCTTTCAGTATTCCACCTGTCTTCCTTCTTCTGATTGCTATCAAAAAGGTTGTGTAACTTATCTGATTCTCCTTGCAGAAGTTGAATATTTTTTTTTTCTTCTTCATAACGCTTTGTAATGTCTTTATTCCTAATAATATATTTCTCTATTTCTTGTTTTAAATTTTTAATGTATTCTTCCTTCTCCTTATTTTGCTGATCTTTTTCTTTAACAAACTTTATCGTTCTTTTCAACTCCTTTTTCAAGTTTTCATTTTCTCTAGATACGTTCACAATCTCACTATTCTTCCTTAGATTTCCTATAGTTCTATTTAATCTGGAAAGGAAATTTATCACTTCTTCAGTGTTGATGCTGTTGTTGTTTTCCTCATACTCACCGCTTGAGGAGCAGCAAGAAGAAGTAGAAGAGGACAGAGACGAGGTCAGAAGGACCCTCGAATCTCGTCCTTCGTTTGTTGATTTTTTGTTTCGCTTTTTTTTTTTCTTCTCTTTTTTGGATTTTCTCCCCTTCGAAAATTTTGCCTCGTTTGAGGATTTCTCGACTTTTTGTAAGCATTTTCTATCATCCTCAGAACTCAAATTATCATTGGTTTCACTTTTTTCATTACAGGGTTGATCATAAGTAGTGCTGGTTTCATCCAGTGTTGCTTCTACACTTCTTTCTTGATTTTTCAAATCCTGTTCTTCATGGATGCAATCATTATCTTCTTCGTTGACATGCACATGAACGATTTCTGAATGGTAGACCTCGCAACGATCGACATTGGAATTCATTTTCCTTTTATTGCGGAAAAAATAAGAGAACTACATCTATACTAATTTTTGAACCAGTAGAGCAATCGACATCAATGAGACAAAGGGAGGAAAGACCTAAGGAGAGAAAAAGCTAAAAAAAAAAAAAAAAAAAAAGTGACATTAAACAGAGTACGACAGGGAAGATGGTGAAAAAAAAAAAAAAAAAAAAAAAAAAAAAAATATGAAGTGCAGAAGAAGAGCCAACACACAAAACCATAAGACACCTACGTGCTTGCAGATGCTCAATTATGGTCTCCCATAATTTGCGAATCTTTTTAGAAAATTTAATTTTAATGCATTTTAAGAAAAAAGGGAAGGCGAAAATGTAAAAATAGAGAAAAAACCTCCTAACATTTTTGATGACAAAAAAAAGTGTAAAACACTGATATATACATTTTTTTTTTTTTTTATTTATTTTACATATTCATTTTTTTATTCATTCATTCACTCATTCATTTATTTTAATTTTTTTTTTGTACTCCATCTCGGTGCGTATTATTACGTGCGCGTTCCTTATTTTTTTACTTTCATTTTATTTATTTTTATTTTTTACGACAATGCAACTTACTAAAGCGGTTGAAATGTAGCTTAACCGTCAAACCAAACGTAATTAAATCTCGAAATTTTCTTTTTTGCATATTACAAATCTAGAGAAGCAGAACGAAGTGTCGTGGTCATAATATAAGCATAAGGTTGTATACAAAATAAGTTTTGTCTATTTTGTCTATTTTGTCCATTTTGACTATTTTGTCTCTTTTGTCCATTTTGTCTATTTTTTCTTTTTCTTTTTCTTTTTTTTTTTTTTTTTTTTTTGATATTTCCCAGTGCTCCAATATTACTCCTTTTTCTATGTATTAATAGTTCAACTAATATGATACTGAAAAGAACAGATTGACATGTTATGTAATTTTCCATAAACCATTATAAAGAATACAGTAAATTGGAAAAGGTATATATAAACATGCATGTGTATTGGGTGTGGTGGAATTCTTGTACAGCATGTGTAATGCGTGCTCTCACGATGAAGGCATATATAGGAATGTTTAAATTGGGGAAGAGCCACTTTAATGACATACTTTAATATTGTCTTTAAAAAATTTTCAAGGGAAAATAAAAAAAGAAGAATGGAAACAAATGATTCTTGGATAAAGGAAAAAGTGGGAAATGGCAAGTGCTAGAGGACAAAAAATAAATAGCGAATTAGAAATGGCGGATTAAAAATAATTTTTTACGAAAACAACAAGGATAAGGAGATAATACAATAATCAAATAAACAAAACAACAACAGGATGAAAATCCACAAGGACAGGAAGGAACATAAAAAAAGAAAAAATACACGACCAAAGAAAACAAAGAATATAGGAAAATGTTGCAACTCATATGATGAAAAAACCAAGTAAAAGTATTGAGTGTACTAAAAAAATAAAATAAAATAATAAATTCATACAAGTGATTGGGAATATAAAGTGACTAACAAGTTATATGATAAATGACACAAGACACTTTTAAATGGCTTTATAAAATCAAAATGCAAAAGTCAGTCTTGTGTGAGCTTAAAAGGGAAGCTCCCAGTTGTGTGTGTGTATCGACATTATTATATGATGCCAGTGTATCCTTTTAAGCTGTGTGAAAACAAAAAGGAAAAGAATAAAACGGAAACAGAAAAGCAATCGCAGTAGCAATAGCCATAGCAACAAGAACAAAAAAAAAAAAAAAAAAAAAAAAAAAAAAAAAAAAAAAAAAAAAAAAAAAAAAAAAATTCTAAATTTTTTAGCGAAAACGAAAAAACAAAAAACAATTAGACTAAGATACTCCAAAAACAAAAAGAGGAAAATAAAAAAAACAAATACAAGAAACCAG